CATGTTCAATCATCTCGCCACCATCGATCGATGTTGCCTGATTTACATTTGCTTGAGTCGGATTATTCGCATTCGAACTGCTGCTGTGATGAACTCATTCGACAATGATACTTTTCTCGCGGCCATCCAAGGATCAGCTGGACTGAACGATGAACGTCTCAATGGAATCTCTGGCTAACAATGATGATAACTCTTTGATAGTCATCATGACATCTCATATCTCATATCTCATATTCAATATTCAGGGACCATTCCCTACGATTCGACCATCAGATTCTCAGCTCAGAACAGCGTCAGGGGTGCCTCGGATATCCCCGTCAACTCGTAAACCTTATCGATTCAACAAGACCAGTACATGCATTAGCACGATTCCTGTAATTCTGACCCAGGTACACGGAGCATCAAGATCAACACTATCGATTTTAGATCTTTCTCAGACCCTTGTTCATCCTACATCCTCCACGCCGAACAGCTCCGTGTCAGCGTGTCTACCCCAGAAATCAAGTCATAAATTCAATCGATAATACTAAACTCAAAATAGACAAATTGAATTTTTCTCTCCCTGGTAAACAAGACATGCAAGCCTCACGGCAGCCTGGCGGTCGATCATTTTGCGGGGGAAGATCCAGAGTGGTCGAATTCATGCACTCGGGCCAATAAAGCACCTCCCAGCATACCATCTCCTACGGTATCTACAGTACTATCGTACTTGAGTTTTTCGCTGAACATTCCCCGGAAGAGCACTCAGCATGATCCGAGAAAGACCACTGTACTGGTTGACGCGTGCTGCAGATTCGTTTTGCCCAGCACCCTGGGACCTAATTTACTGACGTCGCCACTTAAATGCCAGAGCCCGGTGATCCGGGACTTTCGCCGGAGCATAACACAACTTCATACTCATATTGTATCTGTCGGAATCAGGAGCTGGTCCGAGTTTGACTTTACTCGACGGAGTGTGCACGTCCTTCGCACTGGCCATGGTCAGTGCAGATAGGGACTTGAGGGGAGATCAGGAGATGAGGAGATCGCTAGAATTGGTATCACTTTTCCAGGGCTGAGGATACCCGACGAACAGAATCTCCCAGAAAGGGGAAGTATTTTGAAGCCTACCAACTATGCCTTTGTCAGGCCATTGTATCTAAAGTCATATCGACAGTGCATCAATAAAAGGACCGTTTTGGGTCCGGAGATGGTACCCCTCCACTTAGAGCCTTACAAAAGGTAGCAAATACCGAGAATTCCGTTCAAACACCTCAATAGTACAATATTATTATGAGTGGATAAATGCAAGAAACCTGAAGAAGTTCAGTGGCTTGGACAAATTAGGCAAAGTATCTGACGGTTCCTGGACCAAAACAACTTAGACTTTAACCCTTCTTTTAACATCCCCACCCCCTTGCATAGGTATTTCCTATTCTTACCAGGGAGCCTCAGTGGATCTCAAATAGAGAAAGCATTTTACTAAGAGTTTTTTAACGGCAATTTTTGCTTTTTCCCCTTTGTGCCTGGTACTTGTCGTGCCAACCATTCATGTTGACGCGCATTGCAGAACACCCGCATCGCCTTGCGTCGTCGAGTCCCGGTTTCCTGGATACGACACCCAGTGGCAAAAGTCTATGTTATCGGCTCTGCCCTACGATCGGCTTCTCCTAGAGCGCGCTCCTGGGATTGGAGATCGGTGATCGCGTTTGTGGATGCTCTTATTGTTTCCAGGACTCCATCCTCCCTGTATTTGTCCCTCGTGTTACCCCAGCTCTAATCAGGGTCGCGATAAAAGGGGAAGAACGCGATTATCAGTTATAGATTAGGAAGGACCCTTCGAATCTTAGCTCCTCAAGGAAGAAACTCAACAAAAAGTCATATATCCAAGCACGAAGTGATCCGCAATCGCCGAGAAATCAAAGTCATAGCGCTGGTCAGTACTATTGTACTCTGTGGTCCAATGCACATACCACAGTCGACTCAATAGCGCAGGTAAAACAGGCTGGATATGCAACACGCCTCAATAGCACATCCTCAGAGCACATTGGAGAAGGCCATCCGGTCTTACCGATTGGCGGCCCTGATGAACAACATTGATCGACCCTGCGCATCACATCTAGCATGCTTAACATTCCCAAGGGCCGAAACTACGGCAGATCGGCGGTCCAAACGCCGTCCACCCCACTCCCCCAATGTACGGCACGTACCAATATGTCTTGGGCTAGCAGAGGGGAGGCTGCGAGGCTAGACCTTAACTTGGTCCGTTCACTACTGTCGGTTGCTCAAGGAGAATCTTGGTGACATCATCGAGGTATGCCCTTGCCTCAGGCGAGATAATCGCGCGTGCCTGTTTGGTCGACACGCATTACGCTACTTGGTACAGTTTCATAACAGGGGAGCAATATAATGCTCTTCTCAAGCTTTTAGACTGCGAGGATATGGGTCGTGTTCAATATATTGTTCACGATTGTGAGATGGAGTGGAGTAGAGTTGTAGCAGGAGGGAGTGGGGAAGGTTCCAGGTCTGTATAGTACTTTCGGATGAAAGGCATCATTCAACGGGAATCAAGGAGTGCAGACTCATGTACGTTTGAGCCAGGGTGTTATTCGTGGCAGGTCTCTGTGCACAATCGCTTCTGGTGAACCATATTGAATGGTGGGTTTTGAGATGGCCACTTGAGGTTTGGTAAATGGGGCATTCATCTGGATTGGCCATGGCCATAGTAAACTAGTTCACTTAATGTTAGGTAGTGGTACGATAGCAATCAATAGGATCTCACAAATTGCGGTTTCAATGTCTAAGTAATCCTGGTACTTGCTTTACTTGTAGGTCGAGAGTGCTTGGAGGGAAATTGTGCTTGGCCCTAAGCATGAATTCTCTTCTTCAGAACATACCAATACAATTAGAATCTAATTTAGTGCAATGTTCTTTAGATAAGTCAATTTGCAGCTTCTTTCATTATTCCTATCGAGTATTGTCCGGTTTTCGTTCGAGTATTATATAGCAAAGACATCGACGTTTGCTAATGAGGCTCGACAGACAATATATATCCTGCACCTTTGTGCTGGTAAACTAGCAACACCATACAATTCTAGATATTCATGGACATTACAAAACAACACAAAATTGATCGTTTGAGGATAACGACAGATAAATTTCAATTTTTATCTCAAATGAACATGTCATGGGAGGCGATACTTATTTTCTACCCAAGGCTATGCCGACCGAGTTCTCATCTGAGGTGCGGGCATCATCTACACATATGTACATCGCGACGTCTGGAAAAGCGATGACTACCGTACGGTCGCATCTTAAAACCATCAAGGCTTAGCCATCCTTTAATCCCTACCAAAAATGGACTGATCGTGTAGCTGATAATCGGGCTCAACAGCTATGGTGGAATCCCTCGAGCCACAGAGTATATGCCGACGATACCGATCCCAACGAACCCGACCAACCCTCACACAAACATCCCATCCTCCGAGCGCCATTTCTTCAAGACTCACAAACCGGCAAATAATTGGTTCGAATATGTCCATCGATGGAGGAAGCATCCACCCGGCTGTGGGAGCAATAGCGGACAAAACCGCCCGAGCTAGCCAGCTAGACAATCGCTTCATCTCCGACAAAAGGTTACGAGTTCCGAATGCACCGTGCCGACACGGCGTGGGCCACGACTCGTGTGATAACCCGCGGGGAAAAAGCAATAGAAGTGACAAGAATCCTCCGAGATGGCCTGCTCCGGGCCGGATTGGCGAGCCGACTGGATAATTGGCAAGCCATCTGGTCGAGTTTAGAATCCGCATTGCAGAACGCGCGCGGAAAACGCTTCTCTACGTGGGATCCCGTCGTCTGACAGGCACGCAAGCAACGGAGAGTTGCAGACACCTCCCTCGGCTTTGGTCGGACATGCAATCCAATGTTTTGCTTCTTCTGGCCTCGTGTGCAGGCCGGATGGGCGCTTCCAACGGCCAAATAGTGTGCGTGGATTCAACCTAGCCGAGCATCGAGAATGGAGAGGGCTAGTCATAGTCGCTCAGCCATGGTCGTTGTGCGACTGGGAGGACTATGACCGCGACTATTGCTTCCAACCGCTGCCATGTCTACTCTCATCGCATCTGAAGGGTCCCAGATCTATGTACGTAGTACAGTCAGTATGTATGCGTGCACATAGATCGGGTTGTGGGGACCACAGCGGAGTTCAAATGGAGTGAATAGGGGAGGATGATGGGTATGATTTGAGGAAGTGGTGGGTTGTCAAGTGTCAGCTCCATCGAGTGAGTGCTCCATCACGTCTTCATATCCCTGAGAGAAGGCAGCTGAGGCATTCGACCAGTTAATACTCTGTTCTAGGCGTCTTCAAGTTGGGAACCCAGCGTGAAAGAGGGCCACAGTAGGTGACCGCGTCGTGACGGTCGGAAGGCCCGAAGAAACCCCCAAAACTGCCTAATGGAACACGTCAAATCAACACGGCTTCAGAAACAGCTGATTTGCCCTCAAGAAAGAGAACATGAGCTAGGACTTGACTAGCAAATGGCGACATATCAGCTCCAATCATCGCATCAGTTCTAATCGGAGCCTTGTCCGATGCTCCCACCGCTACACTACGGTCGGAGTTCAGCACTGAATCAGCATTGATGTATGCCGATGAATGGAGGACTTGTCATTGTTCTCGAACGCCCAACGCCGCGACTAAGCAAAAACGGGGCCAGTCTTGATTGCTCGCCAATCGTCCTTCCAATGTTAATTCGCGTTATCAGCGCGGGGAAACCTGAAGTCTGCCGTCAGCCCCAAAGTGTCGAGCAAATCAGGAGTGTCCCAAGAATTTGCGGCTTTGTTGGCGTTACGACCCTAGGCCCAACGCGATAAGCTAACACTTAAAGCCGAACTCCGAGGCCAAGGCAGCTAAATAACGGCCCTCCCAAGTTCACCATCTGAGATCCTAAAGTCTCTTAATCGAGGCGTATGTCTGCTGTTAGAAGAGTACAGGTGCTCAGCGCCCCTTTCATACAGCCAAAATGGTCGCCGCCGACGAAACGCAGCCCCTGCTGGCGGGCGCGTCAGAGGGGTCAATCCCCCAACGCTCGGATTCGAAGAAACTCATGATCCTGCTCATGTGTGGAATTTTCGTTCTGGCCGCAGATTTTGGCAACGATATGGCGCTCGCCCCGCAGACTGCGATCTTTGAGCAGATCATCTGTCGCAACCAGGGACTTTTGTCGAGTGGAGGGGGCACGCCATCAACGGGTAATCCACCGGTCAATGGCAGTGATCCATGCAAATCGGAAGCCGTGCAGGCCGAATTGGCGCTGATATTAGGATATAAGGATATGTTCGAGGTGCTGCCGGGCATCCTGTTGTCCTTACCCTACGGAATGTTGTCGGATCATTGGGGGCGCAAGCCAGTCATCTACCTGGGCATTGTGGGTTTGCTGCTGGGGGAGATATGGATCCGCCTTGTGGGTAAGTTGGAGAGCTTAAGTTATCCTTATCCGAAAGTTGTTAATGAGATGCTAATCAAGGGTGATTCATCTATAGCATTTTGGTCAAACGTGCTGCCCCTTCGACTGGTCTGGTTGACAGGACTCTTCAGGGTCATTGGAGGCGGAGATCAGGTGGTTGTATCGATTGCGTTGGTCATGGTCGCAGACATCTTTACGGAAGAAGAACGGTATGCTAGCCTGACAGTTTGGCTTTATATTTGACTGTGCTAACTGGAAGATAGAACCACGGCGCTCTTCCGTCTTCAATCCTGTGTGATTCTCGCCGAGGTCCTAGGCACTCCTATCAGCGCCTGGATGATGCAATACAACAACTGGCTTCCATATATACTGGGTACAGTCATCATAATTGTGGGAAGTACTCCAATATTATTCCTCCCAGAGACTCTGGAAGAAGCCAAGGCAAAGAAGGCACGATACCGTCGTGAAGCAGGTCTAGATGCGGCCGAAACCTCCGACAACACTGACGAACGGGTCGAGCCATCTGTCAAACGACCATTACTGCAAGAGGTTATCCACCAGGCTCGCGAATTCAAAGACTCGACGCAGTTTATTTGGCGTAATTACAGTGTCTGTCTGGTGATTCTGTGCTTGCTGGTCACAGTCATCAGTCGCCAGTCCTCCAGCGTGCTCCTCCAATTTGCTTCGAAGAAATTCAACTGGAGCATTCCTAGGGTATGTATTTTCTCGCTGACATCGAGTTCCGGAAATTTGCTAACGCTGCTACAGACCAGTCTGTTGATTTCGTTACGTGGGGTATTCAACCTCGTCAACTATCTCGTCGTCATGCCAGCATTGTCCTTCGTCGCTGCCAAGTATCTCAACTTGCACGGACAGCATCGCGATCACCGTCTGAGCCAGGGCAGCGGACTGGTCTCGATTATCGGCTTCCTTGTCATAGGCCTCGCACCCGTTCCAGCTCTGCTGATTTGTGGGTTGGTTATTCTCTCCCTGGGCTCTGCGTTCCTTATCACTGCGCGCAGTCTGGCAACCGGCCTTGTGCCTCCAGATCACGTCGGCACGCTTTACTCGGCTATTGCGATCTCTCAATCCCTCGGCATCCTCATAGCTGGCCCACTATTTGCCTACCTTTTCCGAGTTGGCTTACATTTGGGCGGTGCTTGGATGGGGCTTCCCTTCTTGCAGGCCGGGCTCTTCTACGTGATTGCTACGCTCGCCATGTGGTGCATCCGAGTGCCTCGAGCAACGCAAGATGAAAACGAGGAGGCAGAGCCATTATCATCAGAATAGAGTATTGCTTTGCGACCCAATCCGAGGTCCCTCCAAAACTTGGAATTCTTTTTGTCTTTCACTTCGTATTGCCTCGAATCAAAGTGGGGGAAAATGTCCGGTAGATGCAAGCAACAAGAACCTGAACCCCCCTCCTCCAGTGCCGATCTCAGGTGACACAGTTGCGCCCATCGACCATACCTTAAGAGGCGAAAAGTGAAAGTACAATTGCAGTCTTCCAGATGGCTTCTGTCGACGTTGGTTCGCCGGGAAGCGGGCGATCAGCGACCTCTTTAATCTCGCGGGGCGTCGGAGATCCACCGGAGACAATGCAACGTCAATTTGGGCCTATCCCCTCCTCGAACAATCCCAAAACACTAGCTACAATTCGTCCAAATTGAATCCCCAGGACTTCCGACGGAGACCTCTCCCACGCATGGCCGACTTCACGGCTGATTCGACGTCTTTATTGGTGGCTTCATTAGGATCTTGTTCCCCGCTCCGGTCGGGATCGACCTCTTTTCGTCAGGGCAAAAGACACCAACTCGGTCACTAAGGCTGCCAAGCATCGCTAACGGGTTCAGCAACGACCATTCGTCTTTTTAATCAGTTGAACGGCGATATCCGATCTGTCAGGCACGAATCAGAGTCGTCTTATCGGTGCATGTGCTGCTATCAGTTGTGATCGACGTTTCTCCTGGTGATGCGCCCGTCGTTTGTTTTCTGCAGGACGCTCCATTCCTGGGGAGGACTCTCGTTGATAGCGAGTTAGTGACTGGTCGGTGTGTGCCCTATTTATGTTTGGCATGATGCCCCTGGCAGATGATCCAGATTGTCAGTTTTATTTCCCTTGAAGATCTTTATTGAATATTCTCTCTATCTTTGTCCAACTATGGCTTTCTCTCGCTCTTCTATGCTGGCCGTGGCGGCTACCACTCTGGCCATTGGCGCCTCTGCCTCGCTGGAGGTTTGCACCAACGACAGCACCTTCAGTTGCCAGAGTTCGTCCACGACTGCGACTTGCTGCTTCAATTACCCGGGTGGTGCCCTCCTGCAGACTCAGTTCTGGGATACTGACCCATCCACGGGCCCATCTGACTCCTGGACTATCCACGGTCTATGGTATGTATCTATCATTGCTCTCTTGCATCCATACAACTACATTCCCGTAAGAATACGAAATAGAACAATATACTAACTAGAATACAGGCCCGACAACTGTGATGGCACTTACCAGTCCAGCTGTGACTCCACTCGTGCCTACACCAACATCTCGGACATCCTGACAGCACAGGGTCGGACCGATCTTCTAACCTACATGCAAGAGTACTGGGTCGACATCGACGGTGACGACGAGTCCTTCTGGGCTCACGAGTGGGGCAAGCACGGTACTTGCATCAACACCATCGAGCCCAGCTGCTACACTAGCTACACCGCGCAGGAGGAAGTCGGCGACTATTTCGAGAAGGTGGTGGACCTGTTCAAGGGTCTCGATACGTACACGGTATGTAGTCAGATGACTAGTGCTCAAAGATATGATCTAATAGTATTCCAGGCCCTCTCCAATGCGGGCATCACCCCCGATAGCTCCAAGACCTACACTCTGAGCGAGATCCAGGCTGCCCTGACCAGCCTGCATGACGGCGCATCGGTCTACCTTGGCTGCTCGAGCGGCTCGCTGAACCAGGTTTGGTACTTCTTCAATGTGGCTGGCAATGCTATTGATGGCGAGTACCAGGCTGTGGATACTCGTAAGTGGCTCGCCGTTGGAGAATAAACCACTCGCCATAATGATGAGTCTGAAAGCTAATCTTGTTTACACAGTTACCACGTCTGGCTGCCCCAGCACCGGCATCAAGTACGTGCCCAAGTGAAGCTCCGCAATGGAATGATGCACAGGTGTAGTCTGGCTTGGATAGATATGAGAGATCTTTACGAATGACTTCACTTTCTATGATGCAATGATGTGAGAAGGGGTATCTGGTTTGGTGTCCTGGAGACTATAGTACATAGCATAACGCTGGGTTTGATGCCGATGAAATGAAATCAACTAGCATAAGACCGACCGCAATTCAGTAGTCTTCGAGTAGAAATACAAAGTCTTCACAGTCAGTGAAGAATACAACAATCAAGCTTCGCACCCTTCCTGTAATGGTCCGCCTCTGGCAGTGAGCATGATAAGAGCCCGCATTACCGCCGGCGATCAGCAAATGGTCCCCGGCCCTGCAGATTGAGTGTCCGGTGCGGACTATTTCACAAGCCCATCCACCTTCTTATCGGTGGAGGTGCACACTCGGGAATTTCCCATTTCGAACGGGATCGACTGGCTGGTTGTTTGAAGGAGGCGGGAGCTGCCACCCCATGGTATTTGGACACGAGGTTTCCCAAATGCGACCATGGGCGGCATACACTCCGCAGGAATGGTCTTTGGTCCAACCGAGACACTGTGCCGGGATATGTTTTGTGTGTGGGTGGAATCTGCAGCCCGCATGTAGGTAGATAAAAGAGGGCGAGCAGACCACAGAGACAGATAATAGCAGCCTCACATGCCTTTGAGACGGGCCTGTCTGGCTTCCTCGTCTCGTTTGGATTCCATACGACCCAAAAAGTCCATACGGCCCATATATCCTTCCTTGGCTTTGCTGTGTGTCCGCAGTTCGTCCTTGATCCCAGCCTGATCCACATACTGTGCCCAGTCGAGTCTGGACTTCTCGACGGTGTTGATCTTGGGCCCGGTTGCGTCTGCCGCGCCCTCTATAATAGCCTGTTTCTCCCAGCTCTTCTTGATCAAGCCGGTTGGGTTGGGGTCGAATCGCGAGACCTTCCGGAGAGGACGGCGCAAGTTGGCAGTGCCATTCATGCCATTGGCATCCTCGACCTCGGCGAATTCCACATTCTCGCCGCTAGACAGGAAGGCCTTCGCCTCGGCAGAGTCCTTCGGAACCACTTTCTCCTCGGTGATCATCTCACCCGCAAACTTGTATGTGCGCTTGATCTTCACCATTTGTTCTTTGCGTTGGCCATGGCGCGTATTGTCTTCCGGATCTGGGGCACGCTGCGTTGGCGCGCTCGTATCGGCGACACGGTCGGATTCGTCTGGAGCCGGTTCATCCTTGCCCTCGATCTGGGATGCTTGCAGGCCCAGTTGACTCTCGGGGGCGTTCATCTGCGCCCACAGGGCATCGACATCCACCGTGGCGCCGTCGATTCGAGCCAGCGGGTTACGGTCCTCCTCTTCCTGTCTGATCCAATTGTGAGAATCCCGAATGAAGGTATAGAGACACAAAGAGTAGAATAATAATCTTACATATGTTTCTTCATCGCGCGTGTCCGTACGAAACCTCCAGTTCCCCCTTCCTCATCCTCGTCGAAATCAATATCCTCGTCGTCGGCCACATTCTTGCCCTTGCCCTTTTTCTTCTTGAGTTTATTCCGTTTATCCCGCGCTTTCTGTATCGTGGCTTCGTCGCCGGAATCTAGTTCGTCTGCGACAGTCTCGTCTTTCTTATCGGTCTTGCGCTTCTTCTTCGCGGGTTCGGCAACCTCATCCTCGGATGAGGATAGCTCGGACTCGTCTTGAGCTGGGTCGAGCTGGAAATCTTCATCCTCAGCGGACTCGTATGGCTCATCTTCAAGGTCGAGAGCCGATGGGGCATTCGGGTCGGCGGACATTTTGTAATAGAGAGGTGCTTGTTGGTGATAAAGAAAGGTGATGCGAGAAACGCGCCATCGTGATTCTGCCGGAGGCGGTGCTGATAAGGATTATGTAATAAAATCCAAACCTGACGACTGGCCAATAGTTGATCCGTTCCTCTAAGGGGTTGAGACTCCACACCAATATATCATCAACTGACAAGCTCTAGATCGATCATCCACTAGCTTTGAAAACTGCATCGAGGGCTCCTCTTGCGCTTATGTAGCTCTGGCCAGACAATCCCATGAATTCTGCTCTCAGGATTCTGCCCGAAAGGCCCGCTTCTCTTTCTTAAACAGGCTAACGGCCCGAGCAAGGAAACCCGTAGGATGAAAGGCATCATCGAGGGCCTTCCACGCCCGGTAGGCTTCTTGGCCAATTTTCACAAATTTTCGGACCTCTGGCGTGGTGAAATATGGCCATTGCCTTCTGGTCTTTGGCTGGGTCAAGTCTACGGTTGTCGTTGACAGAATAACCATGATTCAAAATGTGCATTGTTGTTGAAAGAGGGCTTCAAGGTCGTTGAAAACCTCTCCCTTGCCTCACCAATGCCAGTACGGAAAAGGCTAAACCCTTCACAACAAAACATGGTCCACGGTTGGCTCTAGTTGATCTCAGTGTTTCGAAATCGGTGAATTTGTTACTACATATCGGCGAGTCTCCCTATCTCTCGGTGGACATATGGTATAATTCAACGTGGCCCTCACCATGCCTCCTCTTCAATATTCCAAACTATGACCTGCATGTACACTCTCAAGAAATAGCCCTGCTATACTGTCGTCACCTGAGCCCAACAAGCCCATTACCCATACCCATATACAAATACCTACTCCAACACTCAAAATATCCTTGCTCCCTGCGAAGTTGATCCTGACCTCGAACAAAGCCCACAACTGGTGCATACATTCCTCTTACGGCCGATAAGCTTGCTTAGTCGCAATTTCCAATTTCTCCAACTGGACCTGTGCATCGCGACGACGAGATACATCCCGCTGGGACCATGTGCCAGCAGCAGCAGCAAGCCCCATCAGAATCTCAAATCCGAGCAGAACACACAACAATGCAAACCCAGCACGGGTCTCGTGGCAGTCGCGAGCAAAGTGGGCAGGAGTGGATGTGGATCCACTCGATGTGTCCCATTTGCATGTCCAGCTGTGTAGAGTCTCTCCCTTGCTGAAGCCGCTCGGATAGGATGCGGACGGCCGATAGATGATAAAGACAATGCCAATGAGAGATGTGATAAACCCGGAGAAGGCCGATGCGGATGCATATGAGTTGAGAAGCTTGATACGGGAGTGTGGCTGGATGGGTGTTAACAGCTGTCGTAAGAGTATTGGGGCTGGTATACTAACAGATGGAAGTAAAGCAACAACCATATATACAAGGTTCAGAGCAGCAATCACACAGCCACAAGCTAGACCTGCGATTGTCGGTCGCACGTCAAGATTAAGTGGCCAGAGAGCAAGACCAGCACTTTCCCATTGGGCCGTGGTCTTATAGTGACGCAGCGGTTGCGCTTCACAGGCGATGACAGCAATAGCCCCGGTGCTGATCAAAGCAGACAACCCCAATCGAGTCAAATGAAGGGCTCGGTTGCGCTTGAGGAATTTCGACTCGTCCATAGAGCCAGCTGTAGATGCGTTTGAACTCATGGTGAAGGTGGTTAACGAAAGAGGACTGTAGTAACAATGGAAAGACTATCGACGATATCACGATAGTATGTAATAGAAATAATAGAGCACGCAACCTTGCCAGCAAGGTTTCTTAATAGGAAAACCCTTAGGAGTAAAGATATAAGGTATAGCGAGCGGAACGAGAGACCCTCACTGAGGGAAGAAAGAAAGACAGGGAAGTCCCGTAAAAGAAGAGAACGGCTCGAGGTGGAAGGGATGTAAAAAACCTCAAGAGCCAACCAAGCGCCGGCGGAGGATGCCTCTGAATATGTACTTGCTGTACGAGAGTACTCTTGCCGATCATGTATCTTCTCATCACAATTAATTCCAAGCGAGTGTCTGACTATCACAAATAGCCCTTTTCCCGAGGGCGCTTACCCAACCAAATGGATTGAACGGGGTAACTCTTTGGACGGAAAATACCCCCTAGTGCACGGATTATCGAGTTCTTCAGCTGCTTTGATTTGTTGAATAGAAAATAAAATTAATTTCCAGGACTATGAGGGCATCACTGTAAACATGCGGCTTGCAGAATTGTTTTGCTTATGGGGGTCTTAGCATGCGGATGGGCGCCAGCGTACAGGCTTGGCGGGGTTGGAGAGGGGAGGGCTACGCTTGCATAAAGGCATAAGATAAGAGGGGAGAGCTATATTTGGAGTCTAGGAAGGACGATCTATCACTGGAGGTTTGGATTATTGTTTCTTATTCGCGCCCCTGCAGCGCCGCGTTCGCAGGGTCTAGGTGGGCGGCCATGATGATTGGTTGATGCGAAGCGCCGGGGGGCTGCAAGAGGAGGCCCCCGGCGGTTAGGATAGACTCGAGCCCTCAAATCAGAGAGTCTCGAGGTCTGGTTCCTGCAGGGTGTTCGCCAAATCCTTGAATTTTGCAGAGCCTAGACATGGCGATAATCTACCCCAGAAGCTCGTGGCTTGGCTATTGTCAAGAGTAGATGATATCGAAGAGGGGGAATAAGCTGTGCTATTTTGGGAACTGGGAGAAAGGCAAATTGTAGACCTACCTATTCTTCTGCTATCATCCAGTCATTTGCGTAAACTTGTATCTGGTTTTCAAGTGCCCATATTTGTGTTCCTCGGTAGGCTCATTGTCGTAGATACTCCGTCGATAATTCGCATGCCCTGCATATATCCGCAGGAGTTCTCAATCTAGTGTTTCTTAACCCTCCCATGCCACAAAAGCACTATGTTTTCGGTTTCCTGCTAGTCATCCACGTGCCTTCTAAGAGAAGGACCTTAAGCCCGTGTCTGAAACTGCAAGACGTAACGCCATCGATGTAGGACAGGGCCGATGGATAGGGATAGCACTACAACACTATCATTCTTTATTTCAATACTATGAAGATACCACCCAGTAACTTCGTTGTGGTATTTAAGAGCTGATCGCAGCGTAGGCGAAGCCCTGTCGATGTTGAAATCATTTAGAGTAAAATGCTCTTCAAAGAAGGGAAAAGAGAGCAAACATTGTGGCATGGGTGGAGCATGTGCCTCGATAAATATTTCCATTCAGCCCATAAGGCCATGCACACTTTATTCAATACTGAATCTAGATCACCCATGCATGATCATGTACTATCAAGCCCAAACCTATTGACACTATCTCGGCCTTCCTAATGCTCTATGCTGTCAGTTCCCTTACATGCCGTTCTCTCAATGTCCAAGCTTTACCCCAATGTGTAGTAATAATACTAAATCTGACGAAGAACGAGTCTTAGATATTACGATCAAAGCATTATATCCTTATCTCTGGTAACCTGGCCGAGTCAAGTGTACACCGGAATGTGTGTACGCCCTCCCTCCGCAATACAGTCTGCTTCACGCCTAGTATGGCCTGACCAGAGAGCTTGAAGGTCAAATCCTGGCCTTTCTTGAGTCTATCAAGCAGGAGGCAGCTGATGATCACGCTCGGGAGCATTGGCTTATATTGAGATATCGCTCAAAAACCGGGAACTCCCGGCCGTCTCAAAATCCACATACTTCAGCCTTACATCGGAAGAATCCAGCGGGTCGTCCCTTGGAATGCGCAGCTTGCTGTATGTACCCGCTTATGTTTAATTAGATTACTGTGTCCTATCGTGTCTAGATCAATTGGTAATATGTCTAGACACCGGGCCTTCAGACTCCTATTCAGCAGCTGGAAGGGAGATGTAGAGCAATTACCCGGCCAACATTCCATGCTGAAAGGGTTCTCATGTAGTATTCAGCGTAGGACCTACGTCGTTATTATTGCACTGATAGGCAGCAATCTTGTTCTGCATAAACTTGGCCCACCGATGGCCCATAAAAGAGTTTAGAGCTCCTGGTTTTATCCTTCGCACAATATGCTTGCGACGACACATAGTAGAGCCTGCCGATCATGGCTTCTATCTTGAAGTCGAGACTTCTTCTATTACATTGTACATATTTGTTTCTCATGTCCATGATCGGCAGTGTCATACTCTACACTAAATCGACGCAGATCAGTGATCTACAATATGTTGACGCGTTGTTCATGAGCTTTAGTGCCATGACAGGGACTGGGCTGACTGTGGTTTGTCTAGCCCTTGGATCATTGACGGACTATACTCAATTGCTAACGTGTTGCACAGCTGGATCTCTCTACGTTGAACGGTCTACAGCAAGGAATCCTACTCACGCTCTTGATCTTGGGTCATGCTATTCCTATCAATACAGTCATCTCTTTCCTACGCGCCCTCACCCTCCGTTCTGCGCTGAAAGATAACTCGAACAAAAACAAACTGTGGCAGGATATGATTCACAAGCCAGTAATACATTTACAAGAAAAGCAGACTGACAAGGATCATTATACTGCTATCCTTACCAAAATTCTGACACCATTGAGGACACACATCACAGGGAGGGAAATACACGCAGATATTCCATCCCCGTCCGAGCCCGATGTCTCTCGAGACACTCGCCATTTCATCATTGTCACCGACCAGTCATATCCTCATTTGACTCGGCAATCTCAGTCTATAAATAATAGTGGTCACCGACGGAGGGTCGGTGGTTTGAAAACATGCTCTTCCTGGCTTATAGTCAGACTAAAGGGCATGTGGCTCCGAATCAAAGACCTTGCGCACTGGAACGGATCAATTGACCCCAATGAGCCGGGCTGGGTAGAGTACCAAGCACTCATAATACTATCGGTGCTCACAATACTCTACGCCATCGTCTTCCTTTTTGTCGGCATTTTGAGCATCGGACTTTGGATGTCATTATCACGCCCAGATATCCCACAAGCAGACGGAGTTTCTCCTCTTTGGGCAGGCGCTTTTCTAGCCACATCTTCGTTTGTCAACAACGGGATGTCACTTATTGATGCTAATATGGCGCCTTTCCAACTGGAGTATGTGTTTCCTTTCAGTTGGTCTTTTTTCTATAACATGACCTGATTATCCCACCATGGGTAGGCCTGCTCCACTTCTCATCTGCGGGTTTCTCATCCTCACTGGAAACACGCTGTTTCCGTGCATATTACGGCTTGTGATATGGACCATCAGAAAAATGCTACCAGATAAAACGAGGTGGAGGCCGTGGCAGCGACCTTTCGACTTGATTCTTACCCAACCTCAAAGGGTAATTTCAACCACCGCCTTCTCTATTAGACTTTTAAGCTCACAATATGTATAGGTGTGCACTTTTTTATACCCTGCTATACATACATGGTTTTTGCTCGGGACAGTCTTGGTACTGAATGGTATCATGTGGGGGTCTTTTGAGCTTGCTTCTGTCCGCAGCAGCAAAATCGCCACCCTCCCTTTCAAGTTCCGAGTCTTGGACGGCCTTTTCCAATCTTCTGGTATGTACATACAAAACCTGGAAGTTCAACAAGCTAAATATGGTTCTTATACAGCTGTGCGGGGTGGTGGATTTTCCGTCGTGACATTCGAGAAGCTGCCACAAGGACTGCTCACTATCTATCGTACGTAAAATTCAGATACCATACCTTCTCACAGAGCAGTTGGCTGACAAGAATCATTTCTAGTCATCATGATGGTAATGATTACATCTACTAGTATTGCGTGATGAGTGTCTAACTATTTTTGCATAGTATCTCCCATTATTTCCAGCAGCTGCGGTCCTTAGGTATGTATGCCTGCTTCCAAGGTACTAGTCAAAAAGGCTTCCCTAACATCTAAAAGAAGCAGAAATTCCGACGAGAATGAACTGAAAAAGATCCCATGCATCGAAGCTGGTAAATCAGACTGCTCGTCTCCACTCAGCGGTTCAAAAAACTCGATACTTGCCCGCGGTCAGTCCTATATTCAGCACTTCCGCGTTCATTTAAGCTACGATGTATGGTGGCTAAGTCTTGCCGTTCTTATCGTCTGTGTTGCCGAGTCAGATCATTATGATTCGCAACCCTTGGCCTTTTCTACTTTCAACATCATTTTCGAGGTTGTATCCGCATACAGCTACGTAGGTGTTAGTGTTGGATACCCCGGCAAAAACTACTCTTTCTGCGGGGAATGGACCCCATTCAGCAAAGTCTTGCTGATATTCATCTCTTTTATTGGCCGACATCGCGATCTGTTCGCTTCAATTGGGAATTCCACATGGCTGACTGGTTTTGGGGAAGTGGCTGATGAAGACATGAAGCTTCAAGAGAAAGATGCTGAACATATCTCGTCTGCGACTGTCCGGCTCTATTGATGCGGCTAGCTATTGTTATCTTATAGTCAGATATCCATCTCGCTCAGCTCAGATGATTGGTTCTCAAGTAGTCTCCTAGCCCCTTGCGTCACCTCGGCCTGCTTGTCCATTGCGTAAAACTTCAGTGGGTTGATTTTCCACGGGTTTGATCGTGGTGCGTGTAGCTCCCGGGCAGAATATAGAGGCCAGCCATCATATTGTTCTGTACGCCCTGCTGCCGGTATACTGCCAGTGTTCTGTGCCAGTGTAGAAGCGAGTCTATATGTTCGAGTTGCACATAGCACGGAATGTTGTATGTAGGTGTCGGGTAGGCAAGCCAGTCTCGGTGACTGAGCTGTGTTCCCTGAACGATTCATCGGTTCACCAGCCCTTAAGCAGGCTGATCGGTAATGAGGACCCGAACGGTGCTTTCAGTAGATGTAGAATCTTGTGCAACCTCGATGGCATTCCGAATAGCTCTGGAATGGTATTCACAGGACTCCTCCTTTGTCAAGCCCCGAGCCAAGACAGATCCAACCCATTCTTCCTCTTCTATCGTCGGACAGAAACACAGGCTCATAGTTTTCAATCTAGGTAGCCTTGTGAAAATGGAGAATAAAGCAGTTTTGTCGAGGTCGTCTCTCATTATTTGTTGTTGCTCTTCACAAATGTCACGTAAAACATCGTGTACTAGCAAGTATGATGGGTAATCGTCTGGTAGGAATCCACGGCCCTCGTATATCCAGTCCGAGTAGTCATCGGGTGTTAAAAGTTCAGAACTGAAATACTCCGAATCGAGAATCTCTGTAAGATTATTAGCTCTACTGTGTGTGTGTGTGTGGTGTGCAACGGGGTTGGAATCGTCAATCTTACCAGGTTTTAAGATCTCTGGAGCAACGTATGTCAATGACACCACATGATGTCTTATATTAGAACCCGAAAGGCGTCTCAATCCATTCAGACTGGACTTGGAGAATTCAAATCTGACTGCCCTGAAAAGCACGGGTATTGACGCGTCCCTGAGCCGCTTGCTGACGCAAGATAGCTCTTCAACGTCCCCAGGCTGGAGAAATCTCACAATCCGCGAGAGAATATCGGAATGGAGGAGGTCAAGACGAGTTCTCGTACTGTTCATGGTCACCGACACACGGCAGGGAATTGACGTCTCAAATTCAATGGCGACCCAAAAGGAGGTGCCGGAAGGGCCTTTGTAGTCGACATCAGACCATGAAATTTCAAGACCCTAACACCCTCCGCGAATGCGTTCACATCACTGGTCTGCCACTAATCAGACATGATTGGTAGAAGCTCAGAGACAATGGCACCAAGAAAAGATCCAGTGGGGGTCTGGGGCAAGTTCCGACAATTTAAAAACCGCACGGACAGCCCTCCGTTCGTCGACGGCGTCTCAATAGTTCCTTCGGCAGCCCCGCTCTTGGTGCTAAAAATCGACCAAACAAAAAAAAAGTCCACCGCACATGTTTCCTAACTTGGTCGCACAGTGATAAACGATCAAGACGGGGATTTCGGCTATTCTAGCATCTCACACTCGTTTATCCCACCGGTTAAGATCTCACTAGGGAATCAATAGACACGGATAGCATCGGCATGGCCGGTGTAGAGATTCCCGTCCCGATAACAAAATCGATATCCGTGGGTATAAATAGGATATTCGGCATACACGTGGCGCTAAGAGATCAGGGCATTCTCCACTCACATCGTTCTTTCTCGCTTGTGGAAGTTTAACGAAAGGACTACAGCCTGATCGAGCAAGAGAACCAGGATGGAATGTTCCTTTTTCGGAGAACGTGCATTAAGCTGTTCAATAGTCTGTTTGTCCATGTGGAGCCCGCTATTAAATCTCCGGTTTTTTTCATCTTTGTTGGCAACGGTGGGGATTGCGAGGTCAACAACCGAACCAATGCTGATTTGCCATTATCAATGTTGCACTCCGTTACTTTCCACCAGAAGCCACCATCAAAGCCACCATCCTCGTGGGTCTCCACCCCCTTGACGACCTTTGTCTACGGTTCATAGTCTAAAGAGACCGTAGTGCCGTCATTTTCGATGCTTCCACCCAGTCATAACCACATTCAGAATATCTATCAGTCCCCGTTATCCGAGTGGACCCCCCTTAGCTCGGACTTGTACCACGTTCAGGATGAGAATATTTCCAGAATAATGTCGTCAAACCCCGGTGATACGGAAGCGATAATCTATAGTTTTCGACCAATCTCTCGAGATCCGGAAACTCCGATCGGTACCATAGAAAGTGCCTCCTCATGTCCAGGTACGGCCTCAATCTTAGATCAAGATAAATATTAGTCAATCTTTCTGTTACTTTTTCTGTGAGAAACATGCAGGAACTTGCATAGAGTTTTCTATTCTATGGAAAAACCTTACCCCTTCCCTGCCTGTTTCTTGTTTCTCCCCCCTCAATCGCTTACAGTACTACCTTCCTTCTGACATTATCTTCTCCACCCCATCTGTAGGGTAGCCCCGAGACTAGCGAAACTAAATCGGAGACTTGTTCTGATTTGTCTGGTAGAAGAAGAACTATTTCCAATTCACTACGGAGGACGCCTATATTAATCCTGACTCGGTTGACAGGTCTCGTGTACACTTGATAGTCAACTCCTACAACGAACCGCTCAGCCCCAGACAAGTAATCAAAAGCGAAAAATGCAGGAAATTGATTGCTAGAATTCCCCCTTTGTTTTTTCTCTCGGTGGCCATTCTCATTATACTGTGTCATAATATGTATCTCCTACCAGCTACCAAGAGTACATGACGGTCTCGGCCGTGCTTGAATTCCGCGGAGCGCGGAGGTAAACTACCCAGGACTCATACAAAATGCACGGGTGAAAGGGGAAACACCATGTACTCGTAATTCAACCCCATATGTCAATTGATGTTACCTAAATTTTTTCCAAATTGCGGGGAAATCAATGCACGCTAAGACATACTGCTTTCTGCAATATTAAAATTTACTGATAATCGAATTTCACGCCACAGAGCATGGCCACACCGATTCCACTGTATTTCTTGACTACGGCTTGTCTTGTAGATGGCGCGGGGAAAGCCGGCCGGGGGGCTTTCCACCGCCCGGCAGAAAAGAAAATATGGCGGGGCAAAGGTCATTTCCTTTTGATTGCCACAAACGCAGGACTCAATTGAACATCTTCTCATATACACAATGCCCTTGTCCAAGTTGCAGGGAGTTAAGCTCCCGGCCTCGGCCGACTTCCACGGTACGTGTCGTGGGCATTGAACGGAGAAGTTGCCCGAGTGATTCAAAGCTTAAAAGTGACGGGCACAACTGACCCCCAGAATAGTCCACCTTCGTGATGGCCCGATGATGGAGCTGGTTACTCCTACCATCCGACAGGGTGGTGTGAACACTGTCTTTGTCATGGTAAGAGAAGAGATACCTTGAAGAAAGAAACCAAAAACATGTGGATTGGCGCAGCTATATAACACTTTGCCCAACATAGCCCAACCTGGTCCCTCCCATCACGACCGTCGACCATGCTCTCGACTACAAGAAGCGCCTGCAGGCCATTGAGCCCAACGTCAACTATCTCATGTCTCTCTACCTGCACGAGTCGATCACCCCCGAGACCATCATTGAGGCCAAGCAGCGCGGCATCACCGGTGTCAAGAGCTACCCCGCCGGTGTGACGACCAACTCGAGCTCCGGCGTTGTCGACTACACTTCCTTCTATCCGGTCTTCGCCGAGATGGAGCGTCAGGGCCTGATCCTGAACCTCCACGGCGAGGCTCCCTCCAAGGGTGACGTGACGGTCTTGTCGGCTGAGGAGCGGTTCCTGCCCAAATTGGTTGAGCTGCACACCAAGTTCCCCAAGCTCCGTATCATCCTGGAGCACTGCACCACCGCGGCGGCCGTCGAGGCTGTCAAGAAGTGCGGTCCTACCGTTGCCGGTACCATCACTGCTCACCACCTGTCTATCATCATTGACTCGTGGGCCGGTGACCCATTCTGCTTCTGCAAGCCCGTGGCCAAGACCCCCGCCGATCGCGACGCTCTCCTCCGCGCGGCCGCCTCTGGCAACCCCAAGTTCTTCTTCGGCTCCGACAGTGCCCCTCACCCGTCTGCCTCCAAGCGCGGTGGTGAGAAGATTGCCGCTGGTGTCTTCACCCAGCCTTACACGACACAGGTCGTTCTCGATTCGTTCGAGCAGGCTGTTGAGAACGGTGTGCTCAAGGATGAGGATATCACCCCGGAGATTATGGAGGGATTCATGAGCAAATTCGGTCGGGCCTTCTATGATATCGGCGAGGAGAAGAAGGAGTTCATCACCATTGAGAAGAAGGGTGAGAAGATTGCGGAGATTCTGAAGTCTGATCAGACCGATGTGGTTCCCTTCCGCAAGACCCAGGACACGTGGACCGTGACTTGGTCGTAGAGAACCAAACTTGATCTCAACCCGTAAAAATAGAATAAAAAGTTCAAGTCCATAAAGGATCATCTCACTTTAAGCACCGTATCATCTTACGACGATTTGTGTTCTTGCGTAAGCATGTTGGCCACGTTCTCCAAAGCATGCGCCTCGGAGATATCGATCCGGCGTCCCGCAACGACTGGATTGCCATCATCGCCCATGGCCAGTTGCCCAGCCCGTTCCAGGTGCAGTCTAATCCGGCTCTCGATGTACTCCTTCCGCTCGTCCCGCTTAGACTTAGTCTCCATCTCCACAGTGGAAGCCGGCAAGCTGGCCAACTTGGGCCGCAACTGCTCAAGTGTAGCTTGCAATGCCGGAAGCTGCGAGAGAATAAAGTTTGTATTCGTCGTAAGCGGGGCGTGTTTGGAATTTGTACCGGCATCGACGCCGACGCGAAGTTGGCGTGCAGCTGGGCTGGATGTCAAGAAGGACAGGTCCAGATCTTTCTTCGGAGTTGTCTGCGATTTGTCGGCAGTGCCGTCCGACTTGGCAGATTCCACGGTGGATAGAATAGACTTGAGTTGGGAAATGACGGCTTCGTTCCGGGCGCACTCGTCTTTCAATGACCGGTTTAGCTTTCGAGTCTCGAGGAGCTTCTTGCGCTGCGCGTGGATGGTCTCGGGCGTGGGCGTATCCGGTGAGGACTCGAATGAAAGACCCTACGAGCGGACGTGTCAGGGTATACTCCCATATCAGATAGACAAAATTTCCCACCTACCTCATAATGTTTAAGCCGCACCCAGAACAGCAAATCCTCCGGCACGGTGAGAATATTCCTCAGCACGTAAATCTCAAACTTGTCGAACGCCTTATCGACATTAGCTTCGAGCAATGTCTCCAACTGATGCAGCCCATTCTCAATTTCCAACTTGGCCTCCGGATAAACAACATTGCCATCCTCGTCCGTATCAGGAATCGTCGAGCCGTTACTCGCATGACCGAACCCCAAGCGCTCGGGCGGTGTCGCAAGCAAGCCAGTCTCCAAACTTGAAATGGCCTGGTAAATCAGATTGTTGATCGAATTGATAATGTCATCGATAAGCGACTGAAACCACAAAAAAACAAGGTCAGCAAGCTGGTTTCTCAAGGGGTGGGTCTCCGAATGTCACGCATATACGCAGGCCCTGGATGCAGCGAGGGGGGACTGCCCCCGAAACGCTATCTGGTCGGGGGCAAACTTACCAAGGGGGTATAGCTGAAGTGCTCTGTGAGCAGGGAAGTCGTCGCATCGTTCATTGCAACTATGGAGGGCTCTCGTCAGTGCGAGGCTTGAAGTTGACAGGCGCGTTGAAGAAAAGACGCGCCGGGAGCGGGGGGACACCAGACCGCCTTGGGTTAATCCCAAAGACTCTCGACTGGCGGCATTCGACAACATTCCTTAGACCGGTTTTGTTTCTTACAACAGACCATACATAGGCACATTTCGAGTCAAATTTTGAATTTATTCGCTTGCTCATTTGAATGGATATCCCAAGTTACCTCTCCAAATAGGCATGAGTGCCATATGGTTGCACAAGATTCGGAGACGGACTATCACATCCGCACGATCTGCTTTGCCCTGAGTCTGGATCAACGCGCGAATACGACGCTATGCTAACGTGCATGCCCGGCGATTTGAAACCTGGAAGTTTCAAACTGCACGGCACCTTGTCGAAGCCTGTAGTTCCTGAGTCGTTTGCCGCAAAGCCGAGACCAGTCCATCTTCCAGCCTATGTAAAGAGCTGACCCGTATCCTCATGCGTATCAGTTACTCCTTTATTGTATTCCAAACATCTAGATGTAAGTATTCCATCTGGTTATATCGACGGGGCAAATCATTTGACGTTGATAGATCACCATGATCCATCCGGGGCCACTTCGAGTACTTGTGATCATCTCACAACGCAGCTCCCTATACCCCAAAAGTAATACTTCCCCAGAGGAAATCATCCCACTAGCCATGCGCCTCCTCAAGAAGAAAAACATGTGGAAGGCAGCGGACTATCCCACCACAACAAAACTTCTCGCCGTGCAAAAATGGCGAAGCCGCGCATTCCTCGTCTTCGACATTGCCAACGAAGCATACGATGCAAAACTCGGCCATCTTCCCGAACATAACCAGCTACCCGTTGTCGTGGCTCATTTCAGCAAGAAGAAAGCAGCATATCCAGCCAACTCGTGGGTCTCTCAGCAAGTCAATCATGATGTTGCGATGCTGCATAATGCGAATGGCTTCGATGCTGTCCCGCCATTCATGGAGGATCATACGCTCGGGACACCGCCGGCGTATCATAGTCCTCGGGATATTTCCATGTTGCGAGTCACGTATATCTAGAAAGGTCATATGGTTATTTCAGGCGATGTTGTATCGTATCTCTTGGGCGATGTATTTGGTATCTCGAAGCAAACAGAATGTCCATAAAATCACAATCATCAATTACCCCGAACGCCATGCTCGCTTCCATCCTTGAATCCACATCCGGTAACATATATTGACACAAGTCCACTAAAAATCCATCGTAAGCTGCGGCGCCATCTTCTCAAGATCCTCCACCTAGAGCAAAACATTAGCATCTTCCCCAGCCAAAACACGGATCAAAAAATAACAACAAACCTCCAAGAACCCATCTCCAACTCTCCTCCCACCACCCGCACCCTCTACCTCCGCCCTCTCGAATGCCGCACGCGCAATAGCCTCCCTCACAAAGACATCCACATACTTAGCAACCACCGTATTCGCATCCTTAGCCACCTTGGTCTTCTCATTTTGGAAATGGTGATGTAGCAGGCGCGTCAACAGCTTCGCCGGGATCTTAGGTTCACTCGAGGACACGTCCTCGGTTTCATGATGTGTGATGATCTCCGCGAGGATATAGTCCGGTTCTTGGGAGAGGGAGCGCTCGCGGCTGTGGACTGAGGTGTCGGAGCCGGCGTCTGATCCGGCGACGGATTCTGAGGCGGGTGGGGACTCGACGCGCTGGCGTTTGGTGGAGGATGAGGATTTGCGGTTCGTAGATTTGGAGGTTGAGGCTGAGGCTGCAGAGGATGATTTGGCGGTGGTTGATTTAGTGGTGGTTTGTTTGGCTTTGCCTTTTGGTTTGGATGCGGCGGCGGAGGAGGGGCCTGCACTGCTTGATGCCCGGCTTGGTGGTTTGAAGGGGAGCTGGCGCTTTTTCTGCGCGGGTCCTTCAGTCATTGTTGTAATTTGGCTGCTTTCTGAATGGCCTAATTGTCTTGTCGAGTGTGAAGGTTGATAAGATGGTGGCTGTCTGGGCGGTGCTTGGAAAGTCGACGCGGATCGCGCTCTCTTGAGACGCGGTATCAGGTGATCACAAAGTGTCTACAATTTGGCATAGTTGAATATTCCACGAAACAAGATCCACACAATAAGCTGGTGTCTTTCAAGTTGATTAATTGAAATTAACCGTTCGCACGCAGGTAGCATAGATGCTTGTGAAATTAATGACTACATACAACATGTTGGTATTATGTATCACCATCCAGGCCATGACAAACCCCACTCCTCCATCCTCAAGCACACACAACTCCTTGACACTCCGACCCAGATCTACTCTGTCTTCCCTGTCTGTCCCGGTGGATAAATGACAGTTACATGCAATCCAGACTGATCCAAAGCCACCCTGGTATCCCGCCAAGGAACTCCAAACAAGCCCGAATTAAATTGACACGAGAACAAAGCCGTGGGCACAGGCTCTGTCCCATCCAGGCGGAGATCAACAAGTTTCTCCTGAAGATCTCGCAGCGCGGCATAGGTGTGATTGATGATTTGTTCACGTCGGTCAACACGACGACCATACCCTGCCGAAGTGAACAGGCAGATGATCCAGTGCTTCTTCCGACCCGGACGCGAATCTGCTGGCTGTGGCGGGATGATAAGGGCTGTGCCCAGGGGCTTCTGGACGGAAATAGAGGTCATGTTGTGAGTTTGCATGTCCCTGATCTTATGGGTTTCCCGAGAGCGAAGCAACCCCAGGCAGTGGCTTCGGTATACTTGATATGCCGTGGGGTACTAGCAGAGAGAGCTTTGTGTTAGATCGTCGATTGTCTGCACTTCATTTCACAAACGAGTACTGCTCACATACCCGTTCCTTGAAGGTTCCTGCGATACCCCCTCCCCAGCTACCCTGGGTATTGCAGGCATCTAGTGCGGTTAGTATTCAGACTATTCATAAATTGCTAAGGTAGAGTAGAGTGATAGCAGGGGTGTTACTTACGGATCAGTGCGGACCCCTCGGGGGCATCGAAAAGATCGCCTGGCAGTTCTGTGATGCGCGTCGGGGTTGAGATAGGCCCCGCTGCCTGAACTGACAGTGGAAGAGAGGGTTGAGCTTGCATAGTCATGTGAGGTGTATGCTGGATGGGTTGTGATGATGTAAAGAGAAATTGACGAAGGCTTTTTGGGATGGTGGTGTTGTCATCCGCGGGGTGAGAAAGACGCGTTTTGGATTGTTTCTCAACATCCAGAAAGACCGATCGAAAAAAACAATAGAATATATAAAGCGGTCATCCCTTTGACAGGCAGAATCCCTGGGGGCTGTGAAGTCACGGAACTTTCCTAGTTGGTAACCCGAACTTACTGGATACGAGGCTTTTGCCCCACTCGACACGAAGAGATGCTAGTCGTCACTTATGAGAGTATCAAATCTCTCCCGTTTTATTTCGTAGGGATGTCATAGTTCAAACATCTAGACATGTGTCTATAACACATCAAGTCTATCAGGAACGACGGAGTGTTGACTTGGGAAGGGTGGAGTCACCGAGTAAGAAGCTATCTATAAAAATCGGCGCTAGCCATATGCAGTCGGCAGTAATGGAACCTTAACTTCCAAAGTCACCACCAAATATTTAAAGGGTGCAATGGGTAGAAAATTCCAGTGGAAGCTGGCTCCAGCAATTAGTTCTACTGAAGTATTGAATCTTCAAGACTTCCGCAGTGTCCAACGACGAGTATAGTTCCATGGTGGAATATAACACCCAAGAAGAGTCTCTCTATTAAGGGGTTTGAAAAGACCAAGATTCATTAAGGATAATTCATGTCATTATCCATGGCTCTGGTGTATAATCAAGCACATCAAACCCGGTAACAAGACAATAACAAGACAGACTCCCCTTCTCTTCAGTGCTCATACATCTACTCCTTCATGTTCTCCTTGGGCTCACTCTCCTTCTTAGGCCGCATGTGGCGATGGATAATGGTCCGCAGTGATTCTCTCTTCTTGAGGGTCCGTCCACGTCGTCCTTCCTCCACCGGTGCAGCTTCTGCGGTGGGAGATTGAAGAAGGGTGGTTGGGGTCGAGGAGGAGGGAGAAGTCAAAGGTGAGGACAAGGAGATGGGGGCACTATTCCCACTGCTCGACTTGAGGTGCCGGCTCATGCCGCGGGAGATTGACTTGATCAGTCCTGGGCTTTCTGCCTCATTGCGTTCCAGTCGGGAGATCGTGCCTTGGGCAGTGGATCCGTTAGTTGCCAAATTCTCTTCGGGAACCGACAGGAAAAGAACGACACCCTGGTCTGGGGCAATCCCAAGGAGCTCTTGAAGACCCTTCTGGATGAGATCCGTGTTCCGGATGTTGGTGACCGGCGCAATAGCTGACGGAAGTGCGTAGATCTTCAACAGATATGAGGGAAGTGAAGTGTTGCCGAAGACGACAGACACATTGTGCTGTACCACTACCTGCAAGGCTGACTCTGGGCGTTGGTAGATGTGGGCAAGGCGGAATACAAGTTCGGAGATCAGTCTCGAGTCTCCCTCTTTTGCCTGTGGAATGCATGTTAGACAGGAAATGAGTTGAGGGTTCGGTGCAAATAACGTGCCTTGTGGTTGGTGGCCAGCTCCACGATCACGACAGAGTCCAGAGCAACACGGTCTTTGGGCGAGTTGTGAGAGCCTCGAATAGCAAAGGCATCTTCGTAGTACATTGTCTTCTTCTTGGTGGTGGTTGGAGACTCGTCCTCAACACTCTTGGAGATCACATAGGCTGGCTTGGTCTCCGGAAAGTAGTGTTGGACTGGGGCGACGTTCTCGTCCTCTTTGTCGTCCTCTGGAAACAAGAATGGTGCGATGGCCTGTCTCTCTGACTTGGGGCGTTGATGCAGGTTGATTTCAGCCGGGATCTTGGGTGCCAAAGCTGGCAGCGAGGTCGTGGAATGGCGGTCCGAGGAGACGTTCGTAGCCAGACGGGGAAGCGAAGGCTTTTTCTGCTTGGAAAGATCCATTTCGTATTGACTCTGGTATCAAACCAGTATAGTGAGGAGCCAACAAACTGGATCAAGGTGTTGTCAAGAGGAGAGAAACCCGAGTCCGGGCGACATTGGGGCATTATCTCAACCCAAAACAATAGAATATGAATAACAGGAAGTCGCGACTCCATATGAGCAGTGGATGGATGTATTAATGGAAAGTACGAGGAAGAGTGACAATGTAAATGAGTGAGCATTTTGGGTATCATGGAAGGAGCGACTCGAGCTTAATACAAAGCGTTGTAAACAACAAACTAACCAACCACCATTCATAACCCGCTGCATCGTTGTTCTAGAACTAACCCATTCTCAATTCAAAAACGCCAGTTCGCTAAATGCCGAATTGCCGCTGTAAAAGATCTTGTCGATGCGACGCCGACGGTCCCAAACAATCTCCCCGTTCACATGTCGAATGTACAAAACCCGATGTTGTGGAATAAACTCTTCATCTGTAGTCTCTTTCTTCCAGGAATTCATGCTGACTTCCAATTGACCCTCGAATCGATCCACGAATCCAATAATGTAGTCGTCACGACTAAACTTGGAGTCCCAGTTGATACGATTGATGATATCTGTTTGGCCAATGGCTGTTAATTCATTTCTTTGCAATGCATTCATCAATAGTGAATGGGATATATACCTCCAGCTGGTCTTAGTCTATTCTCACCGGATTGAGGTGGCGAAGGGACTCTTGGTGGACTTCTAGATGCACTCCGACGTGGCGGACTAGGTGATCTTGATGCTGCTTTCTCCCCAGCGTATTCTGGTTCAGCGTGAGAGGTGTTCTCATGCGAAATTTCGATTGTGGACGCCATGACTGTTGTTCTTTAACTGATGAGAAACAATTGATTGGTATTGGAAAAAAAAGAGTGGTTTCATTTCCTGGCTATGAACCTCTTATATATTTCTATAGATATACAGATGCACCCCGGATTCTCATAGATGCCCTATCCCCTGAAAGACCGTCGTCACTGGCCCCTCAATCCCATGCTACAAGGTCTCAGGATAACGTGATAATGGACCCAATAGTAAAGTGGAATACGATTGATGACTCTGGATGACTCTGACTTGGATGTGAGTCAATGTGGCGGAGCCGCCTGACTCACTGATGCAATAGGCCCCCACTACCTAAGAACTTGCGACGGTCGGAAGACTGCATTATGGTGCAACTGAGCCTTTCCAGTTGACAGCAGAGCTTAAAATTATTGAAACGATGAAGATGTCAAATTTCTTGTCCAAAAGTCAGATCTTGGACAATGCCGTATAGCTGTCCACTAGCAGGCCAGGCGGGAATTGACAACGAATTTAGCAAGCCGGTTGACTGTACAGATTTTAAGAAAAGTAGATGTATTTCTAATATGAAGACCAACAGCGCTATGCGAAAACAATGATCTATAATAAGGCTTGGGTATATCCTTTCATGGAAGCGTACAAGAGGAAGTATGATAATCAATGACTATCTCTTCCTATCCACTCACCAGATTATCGGGCGTGGTTGCTGTGCCAGTTACAACATCCCGATCACTATTCGTGGCATCACCATTTGTGGCCTCACCAGTCGTAGCATCGCCATTCTGAGCAGAGCTGGCACTTTCGGCAGTAAGTTTCTCAGTCTCGGTGGACTGCTTCTTCTGCCCATTCTCCTTCGGAACAGTGCTCTTCCCCTTCGCAGTAAGAGCTCCATTCTCCAGAGCTTCTTCAGGCAGAGGGCGAACATGCGGCTGGCAAATCCAGAAAGGTCGGCCGTACTCGGCAATCGTAGCCTTGGACCCAGTCAAAGTTTCATCGGGCTGTCTCTCGAATTTTTCGGGCGACACCTCATACTCCTGAAGTCCGGACTTGACGGCCTTTTCCACAAGAGTGAGGACGTTCTCGAAAGCAGGCATATCTCCAGGTCGCGAGCGAGCGAGCGCATCGCGAACATTTGTGTGACTAGCAACCATTGGCCGCAGAACCTGGAACAGGTGGCCTTGCATGACACCCAAGCTGGGGGAATTGATTCGCTTGAGTCTCTCGCGCTTTTGCTTCTTCTTGGGCGGACCGTCTTCCACTTCCTCCTCTTCTTCCTCTGCCTTTTGTGCCTCGTCAACGGGATCGGATGGGAGGTAGAGTGGCTTCCGTTCTGGAACGGGTTGCTCGAGGACGTGTTCGTAGATAATGTCGAGATACCTTCGGAGGATCGCATCGATTCGATAACCACCCTTGCCATCTCGTCCACGCCAGTATTCCCGTCCTTCACTGCCAGGTGGTGGAGCTTTGCTGAAAATCGTAGGATCGGAAAGGTTGCCCTCTGCACTCATCACACCGTCGGCACCAGTTGCCTCCAAGCAGCGCTCAATATCGTCGTGGTTCAAAATATTGCCATTGGCGAAGATGACAGTCTCGGGAGGCAAGTTGTCCCGCAGATACCGGATGTAGCTCCAGTCCGCCACTCCTGTCTCGTGTCCCTTCTGTTCTCGCCTGCGCCCATGAACGGTGATAATATTGGCACCAGCAGACAAGATCATCTTGGCGTATTCTAAAGTCTTCTCCTTCGTCTCCTGGATGCGGAACTTGGCGGTGATCGGGACTGAAAGCTCCGTGTGTAGTCGATTAATGAGTTTGTAAATAAGGTCCCAGTCTTCCTGGAGGAAAGCACCGTAGTGTCCCTTTCTCGCGATTCCCTGCGGACAACCCAGATTCAAGTCAACAGCATCGCAGTAAGGAGCCACATGTCGTGCTGCTTCTAGGAATTCATTGGGATCGTTTGCGCAGAATTGGACGAAAAGGGGACGGTCAAATTTGGGATTTCCGTCGAGGAACAGCTCGTCCTTTCGCTTCATGTCGCCGTTCGCCTCACGAGTGGGCTGGAAGTGTTGCGTGCGCAATTTGGCTTGTTCACCGAACAGGCGTGCATGGTACATGGGTGAGTATGCGAGGAGAGGTTTCGGCTCGTCTGCGGGCATGAAAGATCGGGTGAGCATGCGCCATGCCTAGCCAAGTTATATAGCGTTAGCTTCGAATAGAGGGAACTAGAGAGTGAAAGCGACTCACAAATTCAGACCGATCGACCATTGGAGCCACAATGTACTTTGGGCTCCCAATGCTTTCGTAGAACTCGCGTCCTTGGAGCTTCTTGTGGGGTGCAGCCGCGGAGGCCAGCGTGGCGCCGTTCTGCGGGGCGCTGTCGGTCGCCATTTTGAAGATAGTCTTGGGCGTGAATTGCAGAGCGCGCCCAAGCCACTGGGAGAATAGCTTCACGGAACCTATTTTGACTGCTTGAGGGTTCGAGATGGCGACAGGCAATTACCGCGGAGTCTTTTTTTCTTGCGCCAGCGTTCTTATCACGGAACGGAATAAATAAGCTCCGCTTTATCTTATCGGCACGTTCGTCCTTATTGTATCAAGGAAGGTAACGTGCTCAGTGGGAGTATTACAACAAGCACTTCTGATGCTGGAAAGTGTAGAAAATTATGCTAAAGTCAGGATGCATCAAGATGATGCTACTTTGAATTTGTATATCTGGTTCTTCTTACTCCAATATATTATATATTGACACCCCCTCAATCGGGTCATGCCCTAGCAAACACTGATGTCATCAGCCTTGTTAAGGTGTTTGGTTGACCACCTACACTCTCAATAGCCCATGTTGTAGTTCCTGAATTCAAGGAAAATATAGATTCGAGAACAGAACGCTCAGCACTCGAAGGATACAAGCTGTGATTTGCATTAATAGATCAAGAGCCAGAGAAAATGAAATCTGATGCCTGAACCCTCAGGCCGCACTGCCAGTACGCGCCGACACGCCTATGATCGCGTCCCATGGAGACTGCTTTCCTCGCTGAAATAAAACACACCACGTCAATACCGCCTATTGCGTCGTAGGAGCTGAGTGCTGCTTGACATGTGAAAGAATTAAAGAGTGGCACAATACCACAATACTCACGCATACGGCTGCTCAAAAACATCAGCCTCATTGATGGCCGCGTCGGTGATGGATGCATCTACGGGAGCTGGAGGTAAATCTAATCAGATTCATTGAATTGACCGCATGCTAATGCTGTTGCAGCCGCGTTGGCATTGAACCTCTCCGATGACGGGCTCTATGCTGCCCACGTCAATGGAAAAGACCTGATTGTCTACACCAACCCAGCTTCAGAAGACAAGGAAGCCCAGGTTGCCAGGATCAAAGAAAACGGCGTCAAATATCTGAAATTCTGCCCTGTCACGACATCATCGACAGGACTCAACCACAACACAGAACGACGGCTTCTCAGCGCCAACGACACTCGAATTTCAGTATGGCAGCTGGAGCCATTGCAAATCTTCGCCGAAATCGAGAATCTCGAGCCCGGAGCATTGAGCATCGACTTTGGCAGCGATGGAAACGAAATCCTCGTCTTCCATGCTTGGAACACAAAAGTCACAATCCACTCCCTCGATACTGGCCGAATCTCAGTGATCAAGACGCCAAAGGGTGCCCACCCCCTTGGATTTGGATATCGCCCAAACACTAGGCAACTTGCCATCTTGCTCAAGCCCGACGCGTCTGATCTCTTGACCATTCATGAACATAAGACCCATGAGCTAGTTGGTCGTGCTGTTCTGCCAACTGTCGATGCCCAAGGGCTGAAATGGAGTCCCGATGGAAAATGGCTTGCCGTTTGGGATGTGGCTAGTGGTGGCACCAAGGTGCTGATTTTCACCGCGGATGGACAGCTGTTCAGGACATACACTGGACCAACGGGGGCAGACGATGCATTCGATTTAGGCGTGAAGCAAATTGAATGGAGTTCGGTAGCTGGTACAAACGGGGCTTCTGAGGTTCTTGCAGTGGGAAAAGTCAATGGCAATATCGATCTCCTACGAACGCGCACGGTATGCTAGACCCTCCTTTTCAGCGAGACTCTTCCTAACTATCATTCACAGTTCTCATCTTCAATTACTCTATCACATGTTTTCCCGGCAGACCAGCATGCACCCAGTATCTGGCGAGAGCGGTTCACCAGCGCCCTCGGCGATGCCGACTACGTCGAAACCTCAAGTTCCTCGGCGTCGAATATGAGCCCCGAATCATCAGGACTACCACGCGGCATTACAATCATGACATTCAGCTCTGATGGCACCCTCTTGGCAACCGTCGACTCCATGCGATCTAACGTTGTCTGGATATGGGCTCTAGATGGTTCTCCCAGACTGGCTTCTGCTCTGGTACACGAGCAGCCTGTTCGGCAGCTTGCTTGGCACCCTTCAACACCACAGTTGCTGATCAATACAATCACCAATAATCTACCAACTATACGATGGTGGTCACCGAATGCTCACCCCGTGATCGCTCGGGTTCCCACCCACAAGAGCGAAAGTGGCAAGTATGAAGTGAAATGGCTGGCGGAATCAGAGCCCGACTCGGCCTTTTGGTTTGCATCTACGGAGGAATATGTGGTGGGATATTTGTCTGCAGAAGACGACTTGGTGAAATTCGAGGTCTTGAATTCGGTGACAAGCCAAGGATATGGTGGACATGCTGGAAGTATGATGAGCAGGTAGAGAAGGACATGGTTGCCGTACTGGACCTCTTAATGTTGAAGAGTGATGATAAATCCACAAATGAAATATGCACTAGATTTTAGTTTCTCATTCGACCTGTGTAAGACTCTAGAATCATCATTTCCCTTCAACTATACAAACATTGGGTGTTTACTCTCCAAGTCTCTACTGTAGTATAAGCGCTGTACCACGTGACATCTGAACCAACGCACCGCAGATCATGTGACCCGCACTAACCGAGACCACAAAGAGGCAACTGGGGCTTAGGGTTAGCGATGCTTAGTCATGCCCCACGGCCATTTTCGTATCTCATCAGCCGACCGCCACCTCCTCTTCTCTTTGAACCATCCACACCAACAGTCAAAATGGTGAGCCCAAATCCCACGATGAACCATCCGGCGCAACAGCAAAACTAATATGTATTCGTGACAGGCGCCCTCAGCAACCGGTGGCAAGAAGCAAAAGAAGAAGTGGTCCAAGGGCAAGGGTACGTTATCGCCATCTCCATCACCAGACACTCCGTCATGAGCACCATCCAACCCGACCGTGAAAACGATTTCCAAACTCTCGCCGGGGGAAGCCGCTTGCAACGAATGAACCGAAGGGAAAATGGGAATCGTTGGATCGATCACGAAAACTCGCTAGACATGATATGATGCGCATCGAGATGCGCCCAGAATCAAAGAAAATGAGAAACTAACTTGTCTTTCCCCGTCTCTAGTCAAGGACAAGGCTCAGCACGCCGTTGTCTTCGAGAAGACCACCCTTGAGAAGCTCAACAAGGATGTTCAGACCTACCGCCTGATCACCGTTGCCACCCTCGTCGATCGCCTGAAGATCAACGGCTCCCTTGCCCGCAAGGCCCTTGCCGACCTCGAGGAGCAGGGTCAGATCAAGAAGGTTGTCAGCCACTCCAAGCTGAACATCTACAGTGCGTTTCCACCGTGATCTATATTCATTTTGCGACTCGAAAATATACTAACTTTCTATCAGCCCGCGCCGTCACCGCCGAGTAAACGTCTCGTTTCCTCTCGTCTTTTCTCGCGGTTCTTTATTTCCTTTTGCTACGGATGATATCATGTCAGATGGAAAATAGGCTGGGTTTAATGCCCTTCTCGGAAGTGTGGACCATTCGCACCTCCTGGACTCGTATCAGGCAGAACGAATGCAAATAAAAAAGTTACAAAACTTCCAAATTTCTTGGTCCTCGTAGAAAATGGGGTTATACCCGTTGTAGAGGCTATTCGAAATCCACCAAAACGCTATGCATTATGATATACATCTTCATCTCTCCTTGTCCCCATGAAATCACATCAGGCTACTCCTCTTCCTTCATCGCGCTCCTCTTCGGCCTCTGCTTCTGCGCACTCTCACAAAGCACCCTCTTCCCCTTCTCCACATCAACAACCCCATCATCCACCACCCTCCCAACCTGGAAATACTTCTTATGGTTCCTAAAGAACCCTTCCCACCGATCAACAGTCTTCTCAACCGCCGTCCTTGCAAGACGAACCTCTCGCTCCCGACGAATCTTCTTCTGCGCACTCGTAATACCCTCATCCTCGACATCCTCAACGGGAACGAATAATTCCTCTGCCCCAATCAAGTCCGACGTTAGATCCTCCTTGAAACAGCCCGTCACAAAGGCGCGGGTTGCATCGCGCCCGGTGAAGAAATTGTAGCTCCCGCCGGGTCCGTAGATGGCCGGGTTTGCGGAGACGTCGAAGATGGAGCCGTTGACGACGAGGTAGATTGGGAGGGAGGGGTCGGAGCCATTGTAGAGGGAGAGTTCGGTGGGTGTGAGGTTAACTGGGCCGTTCTGGGAGGGGTTGTAGTGTTAATATTTTGCTTGGTTGCATGTTTCTTCGAACTCGGGGCCATTGCGCCCGCGGTGGTCAGGATGTGGAGGGGGGTTTACCAGGTATGTTTTCACAACGGGCCATCGAGTGAACCAGGGTCTGTAGCCCCATAGTAGAGATTCAGAGTTGGTGATGTAGTAGGAGAGACCGCACGATGCGAGGATCAACGTGGCGATGATGCGGATGATGTCGAGGGTGCTGGGACCGTGGCTTTCTTCCCTGTCGGCACGGCGTTCTTGTCTGGGGGGTGTGGTTGATTCTGCATTTCGGTCGGACCCCGCGGATGTTGCAGGCTGTCGCTGGCGAAGTTCTGACATGGTCGTGTGTGTGGTGGGCGTTGAATGGGGAGGTTTGGATTTCGTCCATTCCACAGAAAAGGTGTTCTGTTTGGCAGAGCGGATGAGGTCAGAAATCCGGGGGAAGCCCACATCGAGTGATCTACAATACGCAATCCATGCAACCAACTACACTGATTAGATCAGAAATATTGTTTGATTGATACTAGCTACATGATAGGGAGTGTATGTTTTGAGCCTGAGAGTATTTGTCTCAGTTCATATCCTCTCTTTTGGAATTGTTCAGTCCAACTGGTGCGAACCCTCTGGTCCGAACTCAACTTTGCCTCCAATCCATTCCATGTCGAGGCACAACCCGAGTAATGCTTTTACTCAGTTGCGTGTTCCTCTTCGCGCTCCCAGCTTCGAGAGAATACATCATTCAATGCCTCCTGGAACGTCCGGCAGTTCATGTCGATCAGACCCTTTTTCTCGCGGGCCTCTGGGTTGCGAATCACCGAGACGAGACAAAGGTACCTAGAGACACGTCAGCAAGGGACAAAGAAAGGTTACGAAAGGGACCATACTTATTCATCTCCATGAGGTGAAGCATTGTCTCATCATGCAGAACGACATGGCTCTCAGCCTCTTGCATTTGCTCACCCTTGTGCTTGCGAAGCGGGTGGTCCCAGGAGTACAGTTCTGAGATGTCGACAATGACATCGATGTAATCGGAGCACATCTCGTAGGCGGCCATATCGACAGGCCGCGTATCGGAAGCAATGTAGATTTTGCTCAGAACGTCGAAAAGATAGGTCTTTTCGAAACCACAGTTGTTCCCCAAAGTGGTGATGAGGTTCTCGAGGGTTGAGAGGTTAGGGATCAGTTTTTGAATGACTTTACTAAAGGCTTCAAAAACGGAGTAATCGTAGATTGATGTTAGGTAGAAGTGAACGGGTGCGTTTTCGTATCCGGCATCGTTGAGTTCGTCAGTGATACGCTGGACGATATCTTGGTATGCATCGTGTCGGTACTCTTCTGAAAGCCCATCCACTTTGTGAATGAAAACCTCGACATTGATGCCTGGATAGTACTGCTGGACGGTGAGGATGGTCCGGTTGAGACGAGCTACCGAGTCCAGGTAATCATCCTGGGCATCAATAACCCAGACTAGGGCACCCAGGCTTCCAAAGATATCTTCGAGATCAAAGGATGGCTCTAGGTATTCAAGCTGGCCAGGAAAGTCCCAGACTTGGAAATCCATGAAAGAGCTGAGGACGGGTTAGTCATATGGTTCTTGACTAGGTGCGATCGACCATACTCACTGGATAGAGTCTTTTTGAATGCGGGTCGTAGATTCGAGGAATAGCGTTTCATTGGGTGGCATTTTGTGAAAAACCACGCTGGCTATAGATGACTTGCCACTCCTTGAATCACGTCAATATCCTGCGTGTCCACGTGGGGTAAAGCCAGACCAGCTTCAAAAACAAAAACTTACCGGCGAAGTCCCATAAGGAGTAGACGTGGTTTCGCATCTCGAGGTTTGACACTGGGCTCCAGAATCACTCTGGAGTGGCCCGAGACGGCAGTATTGGTAGTTCCCTGTAGAATATTCTCGAGACTTAGCTGGGCAACGGTCTTGCTGGATTTACTACGATGCAGGAGACAAGGGTTTGACAGCCGGCCTTTCTTGTTGAAATCCATGGACCTGGTTCTGCGAACATGCGGGAAAGCCATGTTGGACAGACAGGGAAATGCATGACATGAGGGGAAGGGGAAGACTGGGATACCACGAGGGAATAAACAAGAACTTCTGTTTTCAACGAGTACAGCAGCGTGGTGAGACAGCGATGGCAGTGATTCCAATGAACGCGTCCTCAAGGTTGACGACTACGCGACTCCAAAGGGAAATAAACAGCCGCCAGCGAGGAAAGAACATCCCGTCCAAAGACCAACCTCGAGACATGACACCATCACAATCTCACAGTGATAAGCTTGCATGCCTCTAGCTGGGCCTTCCAGAAAAAGACAGAAATCATGACATGCATTGGAGCAATCGGCAATCTTTCTTTCTCACCGACAGCGAAACTGGTACTCGGAACTAGGCGTCCTTGTCTCACCAAAGGGTAAGAATCAGACGCTGCAGTGGTGCAGTAATCAACCGAGAGCCATCGAGGACAGCTCAGCCGCATCACAACAAAAGGCAAGGGGAAGAGACAGGGGGTGGCCCAAGTCAACAGAAAAGAAGATAATTTCTTACCTCCATGGGCAAATAGATGGTCAACGACCAGACCTTTGAAAGTTCTAAAAGTATATTAGCCATTGTACGTCGCAGTCGTGGGTAAACATACAAATCGACGGACAATTACGGTCACCGAGGAGAGACAGCGAAGAAAAGAGCCAGTCGCAAACGATGGAATGCGCTCATCCGCGGATACCTGGACGGGGCCAGAATACGGTGGTACGGGGGGTAACGGACGCGGCAGTCAGACCAGAGGTACCCTCCCTCCGCGGGAGCTAAGAATATCGGCAGAGACAATCGAAGCTGAGCTAATGTCGTCGTTGCACAGCTCAAAGAGCACGGAATTGGTCAAGTATCTCGACGGAGTTGAGGATGTTGCACTGCTGCAGAGGGGAAATGGGTAAAGGCGGAGAGCTGCTGGGGGATCCGCGTTATCGCGTTATCGTTATCGGCCTAGCGTGATGCTCCGATAAGAGTCTCCTCGGAGTTGACATGCGCAAATCACAACTACACAAACACACAAACGCGAGGAATCAACTTATTCTGGATAATCAAAACAACTTTTTGCTTTTTCTACCGAATAGGGAACAACCCTAATGGTGGCTATGCTTATGACCCTTCTTAGGGCCATGTTGATGACCTAAATACTCGCTGATGCGGTGCTTCCCCAGCTCCTCCTCGTCCTCGATCTCAAAAGCAGGCCATTCCTCCCAGCCATCTTCCCAAATACTAGCCAGCTTCTTAGTTTTGGCCTCTCGGCTAAGCTTCTTATTCTTCATGACTTTCTCCCACTGCTTCATATCTTGATCACTTAGCAGGCACTCGTCAAGAATGGCCGAGATCGCAGCCTCGTCAATTCCCTCGCCAATGAACACAAGTTCTTGGCGTCGGTCTCCCAGGGACCCTGGAAGTCATTTTGAATCGACTTGATGACATCCTCATCTTCCGGCCAGGCTTCGTCAGGTACTTCTGCGAACCAGGGACCTCCACAGCCGACGGTCAACATGCCGCCGGCTTGACTCCACTCTCCGAACTGGAATGGTCGAGTTGGTAGCCAGAAGAAGCCCTTGGAGCGCAACACAGGACCAAAAGCAGGGTGTTGGCGCTTGTTTTTGAGGATGTCCTCAGGGTCTGGTTGGTCAAAGTCCTGCATGGAGTCGGTGTCGGTGTCCATCTCGTCATCATCTTGCTCATCGTCTTCATCCTCCTCCATATCGTCGCCCTCCTCCTCCTCCTCCTCCTCCAATTCATTGTTCTGCAAAATAATGAACTTGTCATGGAGAAGAGAGAAAAGACGACGCGGATGGAAGGGCCGCCGAGCGGAGTATACAAAGTTGTTGATACCATACCTGGCACGCCGTTAGCTATTTATGTCCCAGTTTTTAGCGCGTTTGATGCATACTCTAGAGTCTCCGGCTTAGGAGCCATACGCTCCCCGTTACCAGTTTGCTGGACCGTCATCTCATGCAAGCTACGAAGCCATCCTGCACCGGAGGCAGCCCGCACGAAATCGAATTTGTTGGTTGCAACAATCTCACGCACGTCAACTTGAGAATAGCTTGACATGAGAACCTTGGCATCGGGATTGAGAAGTCTGATCAATTGAGAGATCTTGTCTCGTGTCGCTTGATCAACCGTTTCAATCTTATTGATGATGAGTACATCGGCAAACTCGATCTGGTCCACCATGAGATCGGAGATTGTACGTTCATCCTCAGGAACGATCTCGTCTCGGCCATAGCGATCAGACAGGAATTCTGTGGTGTCAAAGTTTGAGAGGAGGTTGAAGGCGTCGATGACTGTGACCGTGGTATCTAGACGAGCCATTGTGTGCAGACCACCCATTTCGACGCTGCGAACATTAGATCGGAAATAGCCAGCATCATGTCAGACTGGTACTCACATTTCTTTCAAGACCTTTTTTGTATCTTCATCAGTGTCCGCGATCTGGTCCTCAGCCTCCAACATGGCAGCACTGAACTCCGAGGTAAATGTCTCGGCAACCTGCATTGGCTCACTAATACCCGTGCTCTCGATAATGACATATTGGATATCATTTTGCTTTGTGAGCTGCGCTAATTCAGAAAGAAGGTCTCCACGCAGAGTGCAGCAGATGCAACCGTTCTGTAGCTGGATGAGTTTTTCGGTAGTTTGAGAGACCTTGTGGTTCTTAATGAGGGCAGCATCGATGTTGAGTCTAGTATTTGAAAGTGGGATTAGTATGAATTCGTTATTTGCGTTATCTAGAGTACTCACTGACTCATGTCATTCACAATGACAGCAATGCGCAAACCATGATCGGGTGACTTGAGGATGTGTTTCAATAGAGTGGTCTTTCCACTACCCTACGCAAAAGTGTCAGTACTTGCTTTGTTGAGTCTCTCTGCATGCAAAACAAATTACTTACTAGGAATCCAGAGAGCAAGGTCACTGGTAACTGCTTGGCTTTAGGCTTGTCCTGTGTTGGCGCCGGGACACGATACGCCACGGACTCTCGACCCGAATCAATGACCATTGTAACTTTTAGAATATAGTTGAAATTCAAAAAAAGAAAGAAAACTCCACGAAAGACGAAGAAGAAGGTTTCTAACTCTAAAGCACCTTGCGGGCAACGACTTTATCTATCCCAGCCCATCGTCTCCAAGTTCCTCACCGTCGCGCGCCTGTAGTAGAGACCCTTGAGCGATACATATACCCATGCAGACTACTTCAGACAGATAAGTATGCAGTGGGCCCCGGGACAAGCCAATAAAGCGCAATAGGCTGCATCAAGCTGATAAATGGCGCCTTTTAAGAGGCTGGCGGTGCTGGTCCCCAAGGTACCTGGCTCACGCTGTTGACCTTCACGGTCCTCATCTGACAAGGGGTGGTCGGTAATTCTGATTTAAAAGAGATATTATTGGCTGAAAAGGTACATAATCTGTTTTCAGGTCTTTAAACCAGTAGCTAAGGGGTTTAAAAGTGGCATGTCTTAGTATTTTCTATGGAAGACTGGTTTGTCGGGAGCTCAAGTTGAATAGCACATCAATCCCGTGACGCAAAAAATCGAAGATGTAGCTTAACGCATTTGGATGTAATCGTCTCAATCTCGCATGGCGCAAACAAAGGATAGATCAAGTCTACTCCGACTGAGTGCACCTTGATTTTTGTGTGAAGAACAATGTTATTTTGGGTTCACGCTGTCTTTGTTTGCCGCTCGCTTTCATGTACGGTCCAAGATCCACTGCTAATGGTTGAAGATACAAAGTAAAATCAGGACAAAATAGCCAGTGTTCCTCCGTAAGGCGGCTCAATTTTCTGTCTCCTTTTTTCATGGCAGACAAACTAGCACAACCAAATACCCCGAACACCACATCTGATTAACAACACAAGATGATTTAGGATACTACATACGATATTCGCTCTAAGATACCATCCCCCGTGCTTTGGAAGAAAACTCTTAATTATGGAGAACCGGTTTGGAAACATATCTAAATAGGTCCTTGACTTTTAAAGCCCACACTGGCGGAGGAATTAGCTGCTTGCGGCGAGAGGGCTGCGTTCTTTGACAACAATCTGCAGCCCGTGTCGATTTTCAGACCAGCTCCCGCGATTATGACCAAGTTAGGTGTCATGAAATCAAGAATATAGACGAAAAGCGCCTATAAAATCAAGAAAATCCTAGATAAGAAAGTCTCAATCATATGAAGTTGATTGGAAAGCGGGTGTTGATATTCGCAGGAGCAAAACATTAATGTATCGAGGTTGGGTTATTCGAGCAGACAAGGTATAAAATAGTGATAAGAAACCTCATCAGGAGTAGATAATGAAGCACAGTCATCTCATGGAATGGACCAGGAGATAGTGATGAATAATCGATAAAGAGCAGATTTGGATAGTGGTTACACTATAATCTCCCTAACTAGTTGCGAAGTGCTAGTCGCTACCCAAATTCTAGCAAATTACGACTAAGATTGTATGTATTGAAAGGCAGTAGCTGATCTACATACGATATTGAAGATTCTTGCAAAACGAGACATGTAGGGCGTGAATCGGGGAAATAGACGGGGCTAGGAAGATTGTACAGCCTTGCGAGTAAACAAATATTAATAATCAGTAATTCTGGTGATAGCCCTAGTACCTTCTTCGTGTATGAATGGAGATTCCTCAATTTAGCAAACAAATTGGTCTTTGGGATGGTCTTTTGAGTCGTCCTAGATTTGCTATTTAAACATTGTATAAGAGGAAAGCGCAGCATCACGCTAAAGGGAGGGCGGTAGTGGAGGTCTGCTCAACAGTAGCGCTCGTGAATGCGGCGCTCTTCTTTTTGTACCGTAGAGATAAAGTATACATGATCAGATCTCATTATGAGGTTGAATATCCTCCTAGGATGGTAGGTGCTTCTCTGCTTGATCTAGCCCCACTTCTTTACATCAATCCGAACTAAAGTGATGCGGTCGGCCTCAAATCGGCGCTCGGTCTCGCCGACGGGCCGATAGACCCTAGAGCGGCCGATGCAATGATCAAGTATGACCAAGTATAAAAGGGACATAAGAGTACACTATCCTAGTTAATATTACTTTCAAATACCAGTTTCAACTACGAGCTCCAACCAATTACTCGAACAAGCCAAATCAAGCTTCACGGCCTGTCCTCAAAACAGCCAATCCTTTTGTCGATCAACAATCTACACCGATCACCGATCGATCACTCGCTTCTCCGCAACGTCAACATCAAGTCCACCCCCCTCATCCCCTTAACATTACCTCATCTACACCTCTTACACCACAAAATAACCACAATGGACCCCATAAGCTGGACTCCCAACCTCAGCACTATCGGCTTCGCAGCCCTATCCTACGTCACCTACAAACTCGCCCGCCAAGCAATCATCTACCTCCTCCCCAGCAAACTAGCACGCTACAACCGCACCGGCAACAATTGGGCCCTGGTAACAGGCGCCACCGACGGAATCGGCTTCGGCTTCTGCCAAGAACTCTGTTCCCGCGGCTTCAACGTTATCCTGCACGGGCGCAATGCCGAGAAACTCGCCAAACGCGCGCAGGAACTTAACGCCGCGTTCCCAGAACGCAACGTTGACACGCTCATCCTGGACGTTATCGGAGTAGACGAGAGCATCGACAGTGTCGCGCAACAAGTCCGCGATATCACCGGCAACAATGGCAAATTGAGTATCCTGATTAACAATGTTGGCGGGGAGTTGCGAACGTCCGTTACACTTGATACATTGACATTTGCCGATGTGAACGAGACGATTGACAAGAATGCGCGATTCATGACGCAAATCACGCGGGTGCTACTCCCGCTTTTATCAGAGGGGGAAGGTCGGTCTGGCCTTGTACTCAATGTCTCATCTCTTTCCCAGTGGGGACTGCCATACGTTAGTGTCTACTCTGCAACGAAGGGGTTCGTGGATACATTTACTCGTGCGCTGGAGGCGGAATGTAATGCTGAGAAGCGTGGTGTGGATGTGATGGCTCTGCGGGTTGGTCAAACCAAGACCCCCGGGTATGATGTTGATAGTAATCTGTTTGTTCCCTTACCGCGACCCTTGGCCAAGGCTGGACTAGATCGAGTGGGATGTGGTGAGGTTATTGTGTGGGCGTATTTCTGGCACTGGTTGCAGGGGATTTCGTTTGAGATCATGCCACGGTGGATTTTGATGCGTGCTACGGTTGCGGCGATGATGGATATGAAGAGGAAAGGACAGGAGAAGGCGCTTAAGAGGCAATGAGATCTGTCCGGGAAAGAAGCAGGTGTTTATATTCTAAGCGGTCTCTGTCAGATTTACAAGATCCCAACGAAGCATTAATATCCCCTTGTATCAGTATGGACGAGAAAGCATAAACACGAGAATAGACAAGCACAAAAACAAAAGTATATAGTAACAGTCTAGAAACCAGAAGCAGCGCGGGCCTCGTCATTGGGGCCGTGTAGACCAGCACCCAAGTTCGCGACACACTCGCTCTGCCAGTTCTTAGGCGTGAACTTGTCGACAATCTCCTTGAAGGCATCGAGCGTGCAGAAGGTGTCGTCACCGGGCAGGTGGTTCTCAGCCTTAGCAGCACAGCCAGGAATGCGCACGGGGCGGTCATTGTAGCGAATACGGACATAGTGCTTGCGCAGGGTATCACGGGTCTCCTCGGGGAAAGAAGTCGCAGGGGTACGAGCAGTCTCGGAGGGAGTTGGTTGCTTAGACGCCGACTTGCCACCACCAAGAAGAGATGAAAGGACACCGGGCTTCTTAGCGGAAACGGACGGGCTAGAGAATTCCTCAAGCGTATTGCCAGCATCGATATTGTTGCTAGCAGCCTGGGAGAAGAGCTCAATGGCAACGGAGGAGGTAAAAGGCGGCCAAGACTCATCTTGGAAACCGCCGACACTGGACAGGATAGCTGCAAGGGTGGTATCGTGACATCCGCTCATGGCAAACTTGATGGACTTGCCAGCTTCGGGGATACCAGATCCAGATGCAGCGCTTTCACTTCGCCAGCCGCCATCCACAGCAGTGCTGACCATACGGTCAACAACGTCGCCCATCAAAGCACCGATACCGAGCTTACGGTACTCGCTGCTCTCATTATAACCAGCAAACCATTCTTCAACAGCGATACGATCCAGGATCGCACGACCCTTCTTGTCATAAAACTCCGAGGGGAGTCTAGTAGCCGGGCCATGCGCGTCGGTAGCGTTGATAGTATCCATAATACCCGAGAGACGGGGGTGAGCATCAACAGCCACCTTGGGCGAACTCTCAGGCATGTGCTTGGACCAGAGCTTGTTCAGGTAGTCCATCTGCTCAGAGTCGTTCCCTACATGATAAAAATATCAGTATGTCGTGACCAACATCTTCCGATGCGTTATCTTACATCGAGTCGCAGCACGATCGGCAAAAAGGCGAGCAAGCTGTCGGAACCGGCGACAGTTACCCTCATTAGGGAAAAGGGTCTCCTCAGAGACAGAGCGAGCGACGATCACGGGCGGAGGGAAATCTTGCGTGCGTGCACTAGTCGGATACATGCCCCAGAAGGCCTGCTGCAGGGACTCGAGAGCGCGGGGGATCGGCGTCGCGCGCAGGTACATATCCTCTGTATCAGACTTGATCTCGGGCATAAAGCCGAGCTGGTCGACGTAAAGGCGACGCAAACGTGTGCCCAGTGCATAGGTCGTCTCGCGACCCTTGTCGGTGAGTTCACCATGCGTACTATATGATGATTCATTAGTCCGGTCTCATCAAGTCTAGGGCTGGCTCGGTTGGGAAATAACCAACCACATGGCCTCGATTTCGCCTCCTGCGCCAGTTGCAACGATGGCCTCATCATTGTCACCAAAGGCCTCCATCTTTCGCCGCCATTGGAAACCATTCCACGAGGATAGATCCTGGTTGCCAGCAGCCATCTGGACCATACGTCTCGCGACGCCGCAATAAGGCCAGTCTATACCCGGTCGATCAGTCAATTATTCGATTGTAACGTCGTCGTAAAAGAATATCTTATAAAGGAGGAGTGCATACACGGGCTCAGGCCTGTCTTCACAGCGCATTAGCATCTACCCAGGGTGTACCAAGCAAGTCTGTACAAAGAAAGCAGGGGACATACATTTTGAAACCGCGACGAAACAGGCGTACGCTCGCCTATACCAATACCACAAATAAGTCTCTATCCGATATCCAACAAACCATCCATATACAGTGTATGAGGTGAAAATGGCACAGGTCAAACCATACCATGACGCAAGAACTGTCGGGGTTGGACGGATAGTTAGCTACCCCAACTCTCTCCGCGCGATGGAATAGATCCTCCAAACTCACCACCTGGACCAGTTGTAGCTTCAGGTCCTTGGGATATAGGCGCTGTAGCTCCTCGGGGGAGTACGCCTCGCGGGGGATAAGGGTCGTCATTGCCGTTTGAATGCGTCGGGGAGGAGACGAGCTCCTGGCGAGATGTTGGAGATGACACGCCCGGTGGGTCATGGGGCGGTGAGGGGCGCTTATTGGTGGTGGGCGTGGGGGTTGACCGTTGGCATTCTACATGACCGAGGAGATAGGATCTTGATTGTATTATTTGATGAGGCATATTGACTGCTAGTTCGATAGTATTTACTGTGTTGTGTAGATATTCCGATTCATTGTATAGGAGGTGAGATAATTTGCCTTTTCTGGCATACAATAGTAAATGGCATGATCGGGGTTCTTGCCGAGGTCCCGAATACTAAAAGTATTTATAGATTAGTATCTTACATGTTATAGAAGCTTGAGGATTCTACTAAGATAATAACTATTTAATAGTTAACTAATAACCTTTTAGTAATTTAACAAAGAAGATATCTTATATATCTGGAGGCTACGTTAATAATCCGACACGTTCGAGGTAGATGACGAGGTGCTATCTAAGGCAGAGAATTCTCAGCCCAGTATGAATCAGATTTGGCTGACTCTTTCTCGTACAAGGTTGAAGATTTAGACCTCCCTCATCGTCACTTAATACTCCCCACCCACAAGTCCATCGACCTCCACAGTCCCAGCCGTCGAATCCTGCGGACCCCAGAAAGAAACATCCCTCGGATTCGCGCCTCCAGTCCACGCATCCACTGTCTCACTCCATTCATAGCCAGTCGTCGACACAATCCTGATTTTAGCTTTATACTCTGGAATATCCAAAATTATGCTCCCCGTAGTCCCCTTTGGTGTTGATACATAGTACGACAAGGAAGACTTTCTACTGCTGTCGACTTTCAACGACGCAGCATATCTCCCATAGTCCAATTCAAACCCAGCCTCAACATCCGACAAATTCCCCGGTCTCGGATACGCAATCCAGTTCGTAGAATTAAGCACCTGCAACCCAGCCACATAGCTACTAAGAACCAGCAGTGGTCCCGGCGACTAGCCATGTGCATGGCTTACACGAGCAGCATCCGAATAGGCCCGATAATCCAGTCCTCCGTCTGTGCGATACCCCTCGATAAAAGTCGAGTTCGTCATTCGGGGATCATTGAGCATGAAATCTGCCCCCATGAAGCGCATCAGATCGATTGCGTTCTGTGGTTGTCCTGCTAGAAAATGTGCTTGAAGTTCGTAGCTGCTTATAAAGGGGGAGATCGTGTTGGGTGCTTCTGGTGCGGGTGCTCCATAGGGACCCCAGCGAGCCCGAAGATTGTTGGATATTGTCGCGGCCTGGGTGCTGTTGGCTACTCCTGAGATAATGGCCCAGACATTACCGTCTTGTGGAAATAATGAAGTGTTGTTTTCATTGTCCTGATAGAGACCCTCTGCTGAGTTCCAGAGGAGTTCGTTTGCGGCCATCTCGATTCCGTTGATGGTGGTTGTCCAGTTTGCGCTCTCAGAGTAGTCGGATACAGCTTCGGCGAGTGCTAAGGCTGCTTTGAGTGTGTAGGCCAGCATTGAGTTTGCCTGTCATATGCATAAGTATAAAGCATTTCAAATCAAATGGGGAAGAAGACATACTTCAATGTTATAATATCCCATGTCACTCCGTAACCAATCCCGATTGTTAACAGGAATATAGGCAAGACCGCTACCATCGACATAGCCAAGACTGAAGCTCAAGCCAAGTTTGAAACGGTACCACTGTTGCTCCAAAAACGCAATATCTCCTGTGTATTTATATAATAGTACAAGGAAAGAAGCCCGTGTAGTCCATACGTAAAAGAGAACTCTTCAGCCAGGTTGGAAATCTCATTGTCGGCAGGTTTCATGATGATAGGTGCAGCTGCATACGGCATCTGTCCAGTTGCTGCATTTTGTTGCGCAAAAAGCTGTTGAACAGAAATCTTGATTATGTCGGCTTCATTCGTCGAAAGGAAAACCGCCGGAATTTCTATGCCAAGATCACCCGGCCATATCAGTTTGTCACGCTTTGCGCCATCCACTAAAGCATAGGAGCCGTTGGTTAGGGTGCTATTTGCCCACCAATATGTGGGCTCGGATGTACTTTTGGCACCGGGGTCGGCGAGACTGTTTCCTTGGTCCGAGGGGATTGTGCAGAGTTGATCTGTCCATGCTGATGCGTACCAGACACGATTTAGCTTGTTGTCGTCTGCATGGAAATAGCCTGTATAATCCCGCAAGGACGGGGCACTGTTGATATATGTGGTGAGATTGCTCAGACTGACAGTACCACTTGAATTATGATATAGACTCATATCCCGAAACCCGCCACGGTTGTAATCTGAGTCAAGGGCGTACTCTCCAGGGCCAGTTATCGAGAACCAAATGACCTCGTCAATGGAAAAATCGTTAGTAGCGTCTGAGCCGTTGACGGAAATCCATAGTAAGGATTCGGTGAAGCTGATGCCGATGAATTCATCACCCGTGCTGCTGGATACATTGCTGATAGTAAACGATGCAAGACCGTCTAGATTTTTGCCATGATCATAGGTAATGTTAGAGTTTACAGTAAAGTGTGCCTCCCCACTGCCAGACGTCGTTAATGCATCGGCATTATCGACTGTGCCGTTAATATTGTATACTGAACCAGGTGAGACGTTTCTCTCAGACGGGGCTAGTATGTACTCGGAATAGGGGATTGCGGCTATTATTCGCAGTGCTATCACAGCAGAGAGAAGCTAAGCTCTAACCATTTTGAGGTTATTCACTCAACGCTAAATCGTAGAACGGAGGCCGTTTCAGAGGACGTATAACCTTCTTAACTTTGGCTATTTAACGCACCGGACTCATCAAGCGATAAGCCAGGACTTATCACGCGATAGGAAGGACTGGATATATAAGGACACTTATTTGGCATCATATACTTAGTTCTTCTCGATCAATCCTCATTGTTACTAGGCATAATCAGTTTACACATTATTACTTAGTTACCACCTTTAGGACTCTGCTTCATTACGGTTCACTTCAAGACAACCGAACCTATAAGTAGGGGATTCACTTAGTAGCAATACTTCATGATTGACTTACTTAGCGCGCACCTCTGGCACGTTCTGTAAGACCCTCAACAGGATCCAACCCGCAGTAAGGTTTTCCGAAGCAATAGTAACGATTAAGAGATAATCTTAGAATTCGCAGTTAGAACTAGGCAAGTATACCCGTGGACTTCTAACTCACAGTGACCAGTCGGCACCGCGTAACACGTGCCTCTAGCCTTCCCTCTAGGGTATAGATACTATATTCCGGCCTTTAACGTGCCACTATCTTACTAAAATTAGCGACGGCGATTTCGGGAGCTTCCGGAATTCATAGTAAAGTTGTAATCATGCTTAATTAGTAGCATGATACTAAAGATGGCTCCAAATAACCGAAGCTTCTTAATAGTGGTAGATACGTTTAGGTAAAAGCCTAATCCGACCTATAGGATACATGGTATTAAGATAGGGTATATTCCGGGTATCTGAAGGTAATTATCAAGCTAGAAAATATTACAAAGCGATCCTGACGAGAGGCTGATATATCTAGCCTACTAGCATATCTTTCGTGGCCCTAATTCTCAGGTAAGAAAACTCAAGGTAGTCAAAGGGTTAATTAGATAAAACGAACTTTCCCTCACCGATGTTCTACGTGAATACGATATCGACCGCACTAGTGGCGTTACTAAAAAGCTCCTCGAGACTTAGGTCTTCGATTCGACCTTGAAGGCTAAGATTCGAGCTAAGATTCGGTTTCCGGAGTTATTCGATGTATCGCCTACCCAGAGTGCTAAGACAATTCACAAGCGAGTGGCTCACATAACCGATAATATTGGAAGTAAGGAAGCTCCGATTTGATTCGAGGACATATTGCAGGGCTTTTTCTTGAGGCTTACCTGCTTACGATGAGTGTCCACGGACAAGGATGATAGTTGTTATTGCCAAGATTAATTGGAAAAGCGAGGGTACTATTTCACTACACTATGTACCAATGCAGTAGCAAATGATACTCGACTCAGGGCTCTATAAAATTGTATTGATGCTCTCGTTTTGCTGTCTTATGCCCACAAAACCTTCCATTCCCAAGTAATACCACCTCAAACATGTAAGTTGGAAAACGCAAACCCAGCCCAATTCACTTCGCAACTTCCTCCCTTTTCAGCAACATTCCACCCCCAGATCACCCCCTATTGGCCCAAGACGGAACCTTTGGCTCCCGCGGGTCAAACTTTTCATTATTCCTCGCATCCCAGGGCATCCACTTATCCAACTTATCCCCCAACTGGTTCAAATCACTATGCGCACTGCCCCACTCATTATTCAACAACTTCCGATTAAAATCGCAGGGCATCTTCTCCAGCGAAACAAGCGGCGCCCGCCACCACCTCCCCATATCATTCTCAATCTCGTCATCCTTGGCCTCGGCTTTCCGCAACGAGTGCGTACCGCTCGATCCCAGGTGATACACAATCTTGGCGTGCGTGCCCTCGAACCGGACCGTGGACGAGTGGTGCGTCGTATAGTCGCCGTGCGCGGACCAACTGACGAAAAAAACCTGGTCGTTGAGCGTCCAGACAATCACATGCTCCCAGTCGTGCCTATGCGCGTTTCCGGGGCCCTGGTCGACCTCGAAATAGTATCCGTACAAGTACGCGCACCACCCGTGGTTGCACCGCTCGCGGACGTACGTCTGGCTGTGCTCGAGGCGGTCCTTATCGCGGCAGCCAAAGGGGATGTAGGGACCGTGCGTGGAGCTTACTCCAAACTCGCTGTCGGCTTTGGTCGCATTCGCAGCGAAGACGACTTGCTCGTCGTCGGCGCCGGCAGCTTGCGGAATCCCTGGTCCCGTACCTGGCGGACGCGGTGGAGCGAGGTTTGGGCCGATGCCGGCGTTGACTCTGTAGTCTGTGCCGATGGCTGCTGTTTGGTAGCAGCTGTCCTTGTCAAAGTCGAGGACGGGCTGGAATTTGATGGCGCCGTCGCTGGCCGTGTCGCCGAAGGGAGTGAGGATTTCTGCTAGGCTGGTTCCTAGCAGGAGTGGGAGGAAAAGGTGTAGATTCGAAATTTTAAAAGCGAGCATTATGGTAATTACCCTTTCGATGAATGGGGGTCAGGACTGTCTCTGCTCAAGGATAGAATGTTCGATTCCGGAGCCGTACTCGGCCTTTTCATATATCCTTTGCATAGTGGCATGTCAAGTAAAAAAAAGAGCACCCTATCGCACTTCGCAGCTGAACCACATTTTTTCCTGCCGTTTTTTGAACGAGGGATATCATAGCCTCACCTGAATCTTTGGGCGCGTCTTAATGCATAGATGAGGATCCAAGCGCAGTCGTATCGTCCGACGCCACAAACACTTGGCCAATATAAACAGGGTAATACTGTAACCCCTGCGGCGGATACATCTATGGCAAAACGTCAGTTTGCATATTAAATCGTTCTTATCCTCCTCTCGACTCACCGATCCCCACTAAGGTCGTCGACTCGCTGTTTACTCGACAGGGATTTCTCAGCCCTAGCGACGTGGCTGGCCTAAAGCCCATCGGCTATTTGGCCCGTTCTGTACAAGAGTCTTAGATCAGCAGAGGTAATCGTAGATTGACTTTTCTTTCCCCGGCCAAGGGTCCAACCAGAAGTAGTCGAAACCGGGCGATTGGTTTCAGCTGCCATTTCCCCCCGACGGATTTTCAGCGTCGGCGATCCCGCTGCGCACTTCGCACTCGGGCTCCCAGTGTCGAAGCAGAAGTGGCATGATCTTGCAGCAATCAAGCATTGTGCTGAGAAAGTCGGTGTATACTCCGATACCACAGCCCATAATGGCTTGCAGAGACGGCTGAAGAAACACAAGAGCTGAACAATTTCGGACGCATACAACGTCTTTGCTTGATCCTCTGGTCAAAATATGCGCTCTAAGTCGCTTGGCATTCACTGTTCCACCGATATCCCGTCTTTCATCTCTGCACCGCAGCTGGTCGATAAATGTTAAAGAGAAGCCGAGCCCTCTTCGAACGGCAAATCCATCACTGAATCTTTTGACTCTATCAGGCCTCAAAATGGCCGCCTTCAAGCCAAGCGACATCCTCCTCCTCCTCCTCACAACAATCCTATCCCTCCTCCAACTATCCTCCGCCCAACGAACCCCAAACGAAAACCTCGTCCTAGCCGACTGCGGCATCGGCCTCGGCGTCAACGGCGGCTCCACCTCCCGCGAAATGATCTACTACCCGGGCGACGTCTGGACAGGACAAGGCCTCCAAACCAACAGACCAACAATGATGGTCAACGTCCCCTGGACGGGCGCGTACCCCTGGGGGCAACAGGGCGGCGTGTCGGCGCGCATGCCCAACGGCGACGTGTTTACCGTGCACATCAACCCGAACATCAAGGACCCCATGGCGGCAGGCGACGCGTGGCATTTGTTTGAAATGAATGTCCCTCTCAAGTGTTATTCGTATCATTATATGTGGGTGTATAAGCTTGATGATGGCAAGTGGTGCGAGAGCGCCTATGTGTGTAATCATCGGGGGACGCCCACGCCGCATCTGAAGCCTGCTCCGGCTCCGGCGCCGGCGCCGGCGCCGAATCCTATTCCGCCTCCGATTTGTGATGTGTTGAATAATTGATGTGTTGTGGGTGCTGAGATGGAAGTGCAGAGCTGGCTGAGGTTGGTAGCTGTGGTTATTTGTGGAATGCGGTGTGAGGGGATGCCATTGCGCAGTTTTATCTGTCTTCTAAGAATTTGTACCAAAAACCATGTCACAGAGAGGACTCATGACCGAGGCATTGGTCGCGTCTTTAATCCTGCAGAATGCTTTTTGTTGTTTCCTTTCTAGAAAAGTGTGGGTTGACTGGCTGAATCAACGGTTAAAGGCGTGCATGCTTCAGATGATCTTATATTTTGGTCACTGGTCTATCCTTGACTGCAGGGTTGCATTTAGAATATGGCAATGCCTACAACGCGTGAACTTGGATATTAGGTAACCTGTTCTGCTGTGGCTATTGAGCTTTTGGAGTATCATTCCCAAACCTCGTAACGCCCTCGATCTCTAGTGCCATCAATATAGTCCCAAAGACCTCCTCCAACGGCGCAACAAACGCCATCTGACTCTAACTATATTGTAAGTTACTGCCTTCGTACACAAAGACCTCGAACCTCCCGTGAGAGACATATAGGCAGGATCCTATCCTATATGAGTATCACGATCCTAGTAGAGTAGAATTAAGGGAACCGTCTTAATTATAGGGGGAAAAAGTAGTGTAGTAGTAGGGTTAAATCACTACTTTAGAAGTAGGGTAAAATTAGGGTGAGTTTAATGGCACTACATGAACGCTACTCACACTACAAACTAAGCCGCTTTCGGTTTAGCGCCAATTCACCCCCGAAATGTACATAGAACCTCTGCATAAATACTGCCAAGCCCCTATGCATGTATACTACTATGCATAAGCGCTTTCTGCGGTTACTCGGAATTTCACCTTGACCTGAACCGCGTGATGATACAAGCTGCGGCAAATGATGTTATTAATGTTACTATAATAAATTGTGCAGCATAGTAACACCTCTTCTCCCCTAAACCCCTTAGCTTATTAACCCGGATCCTCCTATCCCCTTCTATCCTTTTGTTACACGGCGCCGACTAGTCACTGTGAGTTAGAAGTTTCATGGGTATACTTACCTAGTTCTAACTACGGATTCCAAGAGTATCTCTTAATCGTCACCGTTACTTCGCAAAGCCTTACTACAGGATAGATCCTATTAAGCGTCTTGCAGAACGTGGTAGAAGTACACGTTAAGTAAGTTAATCACTAAGTATTACTACTAAGTAAATCCCCTACTGGTTAGGTTATCTTTAAAGTAAACCGTAATAAAGTAGAGTCCGAATAGTAAGTAGTAACTAAGTAATAATATACAATTAATCGCGAAGAACTAAATATATAATACCAGATAAGTGTCCTTATAACGTAATTCCCGCCCTTCTCGAACACCCCAAACACCATAGTAAACACGATTTTTCAGATAGCTATAGATCAACAACATGAATGTAATATTACTAGATTTTTCGTAGGATACTTCCTAGTAAGGTTTAAATTAGTATAGATCTATCAATAAATAGATAATACAATTACTTACTTATATTACCAAAAATACACGCCAACGTAGTGATATATGTTAATATGTCTATATTATACTACCTGAAAATAAGAGTTATGTCGGACTTTATAGTGGTTTATAAAGTCCCTTTGCACACAAGAAGCGTATATATACAGAATAAGATAGAATTCAACGTTATATATAAGGACACGGTCATGAATATAGGGATCGTGCGTTCTAGAAGAACCACGATTGTGGAAGAGAAACACCGATCAAAAGAGAAGACTAAAAGGGATGTCAAAGTTGATTCAATTTAGCTAGGAAACAGGGCAGTATTTATATCTTATGGCTATATCAGACCAAAAGCTGGATGAACGGTGGTACGTACTGCTCCTTCACCGCCCACCCCCTGACGGTTGGAGTTGGATGCAGAGAAAGGAAAGTATGGGCTTTCGCAGAGGCTCATCTTCCTGCAGCTTGACTTTGCTCTTATATGTCTCTAGCTGGTGAACCCCCTATCGTGGGTCTTGAGAATGCAAAGGTTATGGGCCGGAATTGGTTATACAGCGAGTTCCCCAAGGCGCACATGTGCTGTCCACTTCTGGCATAAACTGAATTCACGTTTGCATTGGCATCAAGCAGTACCTGCAAAATGTCTACAAACCTTCATCGGCATTGCTTGCTTTGTCTACTGCTGGTGCATGAAAAGGATGACAGTCACTTTAACCTTGGTCTGAAGCCCATAGGATCGGTATCAAACTAACCATGTTGATGCTCAAAGCTTGTTTTTTTTTTCTCGTCGCTTTTTATAAAACTATTAATATAAGTTGTTTGCGAGAGTTTCTATCAAGTGTAATGATCTGATACAATGTAGCACATCTCAGCAAAGGTCTGAACCGAGCTGGGCGTTGGATCGAGCGGCATCTCCGGTAAAATGAAAGGGGGCAGCGCGTTGGGCTGAGAGCCAAGGCACAGTGGTTGGTGGGGGGCAGAGTGAAAGAAAGCGGCGGCGATAAGTCCAAGGTAGAGGAGTTGAAGGGAGGGGAAGAAGGAGAAAAAACGGTCGAAAGAGCCAGGTCGGTCTTTTATATCCAGGCGACGGAGGGAGAGGTGACAAGACGGTATATGAGGGCGCTAGTCCCAATATTACATTTCCTATTTAATACTATCGAGATCACGGATCAGATCAGATGGGAGTAATTTAGTATTCTGCAGTCTTTGCACAGTCCAGAGGCATACAAGGTTGATAACGTCTATATACAATAATCCATATTTACTCCTCATAATCACTTGTCTCCCATCCAGCCTCACTCTCACTCGCACTCCACACCGAATGCGCCGGTAATTCAGCCTCCTCCTTCTTCTCCTCAGTCTCCGTCACGACCGCAGCCACACCCGCAGCCGCAGCACCAGCAGCAGCCTTTTTGCCCGCGAATTTCTTATTCTTCTTCGCTTTACGAGCTTCCTCCGCCTCACGGATAGCCTTCTTGGCAATCTCCGATTGCATGGTGGCATCTCTCTCCAGTAGTTCGACGAGTCTCTCTACGGCGGGGGCATAGGCCTGTGCCAAAGCGAGATCGCCAACCTTCACGCGCATGTAGTCCATTGCCGCAGCGATAGGTGCGTTTACTCCGGGGATGAGATCACTGCGCGGCAGGCCCGGGCGATTAGGCAATGGGAAGTGGATGTCGTCGAGGAGATGGGCGGCAGACTGGACACTTTCTGGTTGATCCTCGGGGTCGTCGAGGGGGATATCAGGGTCTGCGGGTTCCTTAACGGCAGGAGCGACTACCTTCTCCGCAGGGCCAGACGACATCACCGCGTTGTGCTTGTTGGTGCCTGCATTTTGGTCGATGCAGGCGACCTTCTGATACCGTTGGCTGAAATGGGTGAGGAAGATCGCGCGAGCCCCCATGCGACGGCCAACTTCGAGGGCTTCGGCTGCGGTGGAGTGACGTTTCGCAAGAGCCGAGCCTACCATATCGTTCTGGAAGGTAGCCTCGTGAATAAGTACGGTCGAGTCACGGCCAATAGAGGCAAACTTGTCCGAGGGTCGGCAGTCACCGGAGTAGGAGACCTTGAATCCATCGGGGAAGACGATAGATACGGCGAGGGCACCCTTGCAGTGTTTCACGCGAGTAGTGAGAATGTCTTCCAAGCCCAGAGCGGACTTCAGGAGCGGTGTCAGAGGCGAAGAATCATCCTTGAAATCAAGGATAGTTCGTCCAGTAGATTGAATTCCGTAGGGAGCATTGCCATTACGAGGCTGCCTGTAGCTGAACCTGGTGATGATGGAAGGCCCTGCTGGATCGGGGTGCGCACACAGAGGAATCAACTTGTCAAAGCCAAAGTCCTCGACGGCAGCATACTCTTCCAACCAAGCGATCATCATCTCCTCAGAGATCACAGCCAAGCGCTTCTCCTGAAGGATCTTGGTAAGGTCAGTCTCCGGTTCGGTCGGCTTAGACTCTGCTCCGTAGTTCTCCTTGTACCAGGCCCTGATCAGGGACGCCGTGCCGAGATGGTGGTCGGCGTGAAGGTGGCTAATCCAGATCATACGCAGATTCTGCAAAATCTCACGAGTCTTTTCATACCCAAATACACGTTTGATCTGTCCAAGCGTGTTCTCACCGCAGTCCAAAAGATAATAACCATATCCGGGGACGTTGAGTAGTGTTGCGGAGACGTTACGGTACTTGGAAGGGGAAGATGATCCCGTACCAAGAGCAATAATCTCTGCCTCAGCACCAGGAAGGTCTTTGCGCATCTCAGCTAGTTGCCTTTGGAAATCTGGCTTCTTGACACGAGTACGAATGACCTCCATCCGGTTCTCAACGGAGCGTGGGATTTGGAAAACAGTCTGGGCAGTGTTCAAGGGGGTGATTACATCGCTCTTGTTGAAACCGAATTGAGGCTCCATGTCAATAATCAGCCCCGGTTGAAGAGGCTCGAATGGTGAGTCCTCCAGCGAGATGCTGTCAGGTCGTGCACCACTCTGGGCCTGCGGGACAGTCACATTGTCATGAACAGGAATGGGGTAGTTCTCCCCCCTCAAACGAGCAAGTCGGACGGCAGCGCCAGCAGCACTGTTGAATGCCAGATAGTTGGGGCAATAGTCCACGCTGGACACGGTGTGCTTCGCATGGGGCATGCGTGCCACAAACTCCCGAAGCTTGGGATGATCACCCACGCCCGGCCCCAAAATCCAGATGAAGACTTTGAGCTCAGTCGTCACCGAAGGGGAATTCCACTCGGGGCGATTGACCAAATCCTCGACATACTCTGGTGATGGCAAATCAATGACCGCAAGACCTTTACCACGTCGGACTTCACCCAAAACCATGTCCGGGGTCACCGTCTTGCCTTCTGGCGTCTGAATGGTCTCTCCCTGGCCAGGCGAGCAAAGTCCGGGCCTGGGGGAACACCCAGACTCTTGGCCGTAGCAGTCTCAAACTTGCCTCTGATATCGTGACTCCGAATAATGTAAGAGACGGCCTCCTTGGAAGGCGTAGTGGGTGGCAGAGACGTGACCGTAGCACCAGGCCAAGGCTTCCGGACAAGTACCTTGATATCAGGCAAAGGGTTGTCGTCACCAGGGAGAGGACCCTTGTATGGCTCAATGTCCTTGGTCTCCGCGTTGCGTACAAAGAGAGCTGCAGGCATTTTCACCTCCGCCAAGGGGGTTTCAATGAGCGCATCCATTTTCCAGTCAGAATCGAACATGTCCGAAACGATAGACTGTCTCAGCATCTGATTTTGCGCAGTCTCGTCCAACTGCTGGTCGGTCTCCTGGAACTCATCCAGGCTTCGCTTGCGCGGGCTTTGCGAGCGAGTCATTCTCTGAGCATCAGTCGGCTGAGGCTTGAGGGGAAGTGCCCAAACTTTGATGTTGGTATCAATGAAAGTGGGTGTCTCGAAGGGATCCTCCTTGTCGAAAGAAATCTGCTTCGCAATGGTCGCCGAGTCGTACTCTTTCATATAGATAGGCATGCCCGTGCGGAAAACAAATCGCCGAGCCGTAGCCATCGTGTGCATCAGATTCGTAGCTCCGTGGACAGTCACATTCTGTTTCCTCATATCACCCGTTCCATCAGAGGGTTTGTTCTTATTTTTGGCCTGCATGCCTGCAGCCTTGCGCTCTGCCTTTTTCTTATTCTCTTCCTCCAACGCATCATTCGAAGACTTCAACGCATCTGCTTGGGTCAAGATGACACCAATCATGCCTCCGGTATTGGCCCATTCTGTCCGACCCGTCACGAAGATATCGGCAATGGAAGCAAGCTTATGAGATCTCTCCGTACACGCACGCTGTGTACCCTCTGCAAGTTGACCGAACAAGTAACGCTTGTCCGGATAGTGGAGGCCGACGACCGTGCCGGGGGTATCGGCCGTCGGGGTTGTGATAATCTCGAACCAGGCCTTCATTGGGTGTACACCTCGCAGGTCAAGACGAACGTCTCTAATATCGGGATTCTCGAGGTCGGAAGGATCGCAAATCACGTATCTGCCGTCACCAACTCCAGATTGCGCTGTATAAGGAAGGAAGCGCGTGTGAGAGTCGATGTCGAGGGTTATGGGCCGCTTAGCTGAATGGTTTCGGTGCCGGACCTTACGGTGTTTAACAGGCGGTACTCGAGCTTTGGGAGAGCGGCTTAAGCCCGATGTTTGTCGCTTGGGTTTTAGAGGCTCGCGATCGATGCTGGTGTTGCGAAATCCTGCCGTCAAAAGAACAGTCGTCGAGACTGAAGTTCTAGGAAACGCGCGCGAGGCGACAGCGCGAGAAACCGCGGCAAAGAGGTTACCGCGGGCACTGAGGGAAGCCAATTTGGCTGGGAGAAGGGAACAATAAGGAAGAAATCAGCATAGATTCACCGTACGAGGGGACGAAGGAGGAGAATAATGTTGCGGAGCGAAGCTGCGGAACCGAACTTTTTTGGGTGGAGATCTCTGCGTCACGCCCGCCTGAGTCAACCATCGCCATCACATCTAACTACAGCCAACACTGCTTAATTACCAATATGATTTATGACCAATTTTTACCTAGATTAAAAAGAAGCTACGTTACAAGTATTGGAGAGTCTTAATCTATAGAGTATTCAATCAATTTTCAGCTGTTATTTCGCTGTTTCATCATATATGCGCCGAGTAATCGCTACAAAATTCCCACCCAAAAAGCCCATAGTCCAGCCCGGGAGATACACATGAGAAAAACGAATGAAGAAGCGCCGTAAAACTCCCGGGCGACATCTGAGAACTCCAGCCCGATCACTCGCAAGATGTAGGAAGACAGTTCGGCGTAGATGTATCACCAGGCCACGTAAAAGAAGAAAGCACAAAGAAGAAGGTGACGGGATAATGCTAGTACATGAATAGGCAGATATACAAAGAAAATGGGAACCAGAAAGGTAGGACGCTAAATGGGGAATCACTGGAGGTGGGAAGTGGCTAATGACACCCGCTCAAAGGCGGCGTGCATGCTCTGGCAAAGTAATCTCAAACGGTTCTTGTCGGCGGCACTGACATGGTTGGGGGTCTCCACCACCAGCTCGTAGCTGGGGGAGGCCTTCTCGGTCGGGATACCGTCAAAAACAAGCGAGTCATCAGCAGTGGTGGAAGTGGCAGGAGAATCAGCAAAGAGGTCCGACTCGGAGTCAGCAGGGAAGCTGACATCAGACTTCTGGGTCAGGGCATCCAAGTCGGGGATCTCGGGCAGGTCAAGGACTGGAGCCTCGTTCTTCTCGCTGGACATAGGAGTGAGCGACTTGCCACAGAGAGCCTCAATGTCAAGCTCGGGACCAGCAGGCACATCCAGAACTGCAAAGACGGGAGCGTTGTAGTTCATGTCGATACCCGAGTTCCAACCATTGCTGGCCATCATGGAGGCCTCCATGGCCTGGTTAGGGACCATCGCCATGGTAACCTGGGGGTTCTGCTGCATCTGGAAGTCCTGGGGACGGGCAGCTGCGGCCTCCTTGGGGATAGTGGCCGGCATGGCGGTTTGAGGGGCGGGCTGCTGGTGCTGGATTTGCTGCTGAGGCTGCTGAGGGGCGGCTATTTGAGATGGAAGGGTGTCGGGCATGTCGTTCAGGAAGCTAGAGAAGTGGGGAGAGCCCAGGAGCATGCGGGCCAAGTCGTTGAGGCGGGAATTCTCCTCGTAGAGGGCACGGTTTTGGAGACGCAGCTCGTGAGCCTCGGTGGTGCGGGTGGCGATCTCGCTCTCGAGTTGACCAATGTACTCTGTGGAAAAAAACTATGGTTAGCTGGACTGAAGTCACATTCAAAGATAAATCAAGTATTCCATACCCTTACGACGGGAGCGGAAAGCACGGGCGGAAACCTTGTTCCGCAACTGGCGACGCTCCTTGCTGCTGAGCTTCTTGCCCTCCTCACTAGCCAGGAGACGCTCATCCTCATCCATATCAGCCTCGTCCTTCTTGGCCTTGGCCATGTGAGGCAGAACCGAGGAAGGGCTGGGTGAAGTCTCGCCGGCGGCAACGGCATTGGCACGCATCTGCTGGAGCAGGCGGGAGATACGCTCCTCGACAACGGGATCGGGCTGGCGGGCGCCACGGGGAGCGGCGGCATTGGGAACCTCCTCCACGCGACGGTGTTGCATCTGTTGTTGACGGATCATGTCGTTGTGCTTTTGTTGTTGGGCCTTGGCCATCGCAGCCTGCTGCTGATGCATGCCAGGGTACATGCGGCCGACCTGAGTGGACGGACCGGCCTGAGCCAGCTCATGGCCGCCGAGCGCGTTAGGGTCGACATATTGGTTCTTGCCAGCGCCAGCCTGGAAGAAGTACGGGACATTGTGCAGACCGTCGGACTCGATGTCCATCTCAGATGGGTTGCGAACCGGGGCAGTGTTGAAGTCAAAGGATGTATCCTCACGCTTCATTTGTGAAGGGAAGACCTCTCCATTCATCGGGTAAGCCTGGGCGCCGTTGTTGAAGTTTATCTGGGGCACCTGGTTGTAGGTCATGGACAAGGCACCGGGGGGAAGACCGGTCTGCTGGCGGTGCTCTTCGTAGTGGTGGCTAGGGGCGGGAAAGGCGAGAGGGGATTGTCCACTGGAAGCGAAGCTGGTGCTTCGGACATCACTGGCGCTGTATTCAGTGCCGGCGATGGACGGCTGGCTGGCGAGCGCAACCTTGGGACGGGCGGCCTCGGCGGAAGTGTAGGCGAGTTGATCGAAGTTGATAAAGGAGTCGAGGTCTTGGTCGTAAGTAGTGTTCATCGGCATCGGCGAGGCCGTGGCGTGCATAGGATGTTCAGCGAGAGTTGCCATATTGTGTAGGTGTTGGTACCTAACCCCTTTCAGTAATGGGTGATGGGAGGGGGCAGGTTATATATGAATAGGGGGTTCGAGTGGAAAGAAGCGAGAGAGGAGCGAGTGTGGTTCTAGAAGGGGGGATGGTGGGTTGAAAAACGATCCAAAGTGTGGAAAGTTGGGTCTTTAGATGGAGAAGGGGAGGGGATGAGATAAAAGTGGAAATCAGGAGGAGGACAGGGCCAAAGGGCTCCCCTCAAAAAAGGGCCCCAAAGGACCGAACAGGCCAGAAAGGCTTGCGCGTCCTCCGGGCTGACTCAGCGGGGCTGGTTGCTCCGAGCCCGTGATTGGTTCGGTTGCCACCCGTGCTGAAACGGTTGTTGTTTACTCCGGTATTCTGAGATCCGAAACCCCCCTTGTCTATTATTGAATATCCAGACGGATGACTCCGTAGAGGGACTATAGTTTATTCAGTAGTATATTTTAGAACTTAATATATCTTCCGACAACCACATTTCTCCCCGCCCAGTATCTATTGAAGAGATTTTCTTGATTGGATTATTGATAGCTGTTGACCGTCTGTACCTACTGTTACCGTCCGTATTGGCCGTACGTCCATTACCGAGTTTCTAACTCTACTTGGTAAGTGGGGCCTGCCGGTGCAGGAACCACTCACTCTGATTGGTTGATCAAGCAACATTTCATGCATTTTGTTTTTATTCTTAGAGAGCCCAGCGTCTGGTTCGTCCCAAACTTACTGAACTCGGTAACCATCTCGGCGAGGTCACTGGCATGACGCCGGTGGCTGTGCCTGTTTATCGTCCACATGCTCTAGATTACCACATTCGACTAAGTGGCATTCCTCGTTGACAGCTGGGGTCTAGCGATGGAATGCATAACTCTTAACGTACAATCATTTACGCTCATGTTTACTGTTCGAATTATAGAAAACAGGGGGTTGCGAACAGCCTACCGGGATGGGCTTTCGAGGATCACCATCGTGACCATCTGGTTGGATATTGGATAAAGCCCGTCTCGACGCCAGCTCAGGCTATCTCTGCACTAGAGACCAACGGGGCTACATTCAGCGCTTTGAATGGTGGCCACCAGTCATAGTAGCCCACTTGGCCCTATCGACACGGCTGATGGGCCGCTAGTACTGTAGTGAACGACCCCCCAGAAAAGCTTGGGATGAACGGAGGTTGTGCACAAACTCCAGGCATCGCGGCCGGCCTCGGCATCCATCCTTCTCTTGCATCATGAAACAACAATACCGATCGGATTAGATGTGCCGGTAGAAGACTATCACAAGAGAAGCCAAAAAAGCAAACCGTGGAACGAGGCTGAGGCGGTGGGCGTCAAGCCTCCCAAGCCCTCGACCATCAAAAGGAGGGCTAGATTTTGTCTGGTCGGCAAAACCACGGGAGTTGGTCGTTTCGGATCGCCTAAGCCATCGTCTCAGCAGAGTGGACAATGCACAGACTACTAACAATAAGGTTTTTCTGGCTCAAAGAACGAGGACGATCTGTAGCCCTCACTATCGAATCAATTCATCTCAACCAGTAAAAACACCATCCCAATTTTGCGATCGTCTTTTTTTGGCGCCGGCTGACTTTTGCTGCATGTGAGTGTAGTTTATGCCGCATTAGGTTAGTTCGGCCGAGTTTATTTGCAAAGCCGAGTTCTCCTTTCTTGACTTTCTTCGGGTTTACGGGCTCGCTCACTACGCCTCGCGGACTAATGAATCTCGCTACTCCGCTCTCTGTCCACTATACTGGCGATCCGATGATCTAGTGGTGGCAAGTACGGAGTACTATGCAAAATCAATCGCGCTTATTTGAGGCTTCAACGTCTGCGGCGCAGGGCCATGCCTTCAACAGTTCTTTTTCTGTGGTCCGGGTTAAATCATACCCGCACGTCTCTGGACTCAAACCGAGTGGATCAAGACCGACAAACTTTGTTCTCAGAAGAACGAGACCGGGGTTGACCCCTTTTCAGCAAAGATCACCTAGGGCTGAGACGAGCCACACGAGTTAATTGTCTTGTGTTTGGCCGAGATCGTACGAATCCGAGGCTGTGCCAGAACGCTGCCGTCTGCGCCTCGATGCCACATCTTCCTACTCCGTGTTCCATGCTATGTTCGTAAAACATCAGCTCCTCCCCGGGCCTCTTCATCCATGTAAAAATAGACCCGCCACCCACGAGGCATGAACCATGAGGCATAAGGCCTGTGGCGCCAGTCCGGAATCAATAATTGAGACGATCATTAGCACTCTAACGGGCGCTCGAACCAGCTTGAAGATCTTAAGCCGAGCTTCCACTTCGTCTCCATTCCTTCCAGAACACTCGTGACTTCACGAAAAGGGACAATCATTGGCTGGAACGCACAAGTAGCACCAGTCTCCTTCCCAAACGGGCACCGAAACTTGGCCTCATCGAACTCCTTCACAAATTCAGCCGGTACGGGTGGATCCCCCGTAGGGCTTCGGCACGTTATTCCCTCCACTTTCCAATGGTGAAGTTTTCTGCTGTACACGGAGTACAGCAGGAGAATCCAACTGACTATACTCCGTGCTATGCACACTGTTGAGAAATGACTTTTTTCCTGTACCAAGGATCAATCGACCAGGATGCCGTCAAAGGAGTTTTATGCTAGCTACATTCCACGGCTACGCTGAAACGTATCTTGCCCACGCCGTCCAAATGTTGACCTACGGTCCAGATCCAGACGAGTCCAGATCATTCTGACCCTTTGTTCATAGTCTGGTTATGTGACGACGACTTCTACAAGCCCCGCCACATCCCTGATCGCCCGGCTTTTACAGAGACCCTCAAGACCCTTGACCGAGTCTACTTTAGGGCTTCGAAAGGCCTTGCGAGTGTGGCTGTCTGACGACAACGGAGGACCCGTTAGGATCCCAGGATCAAAAGTTTGGAACCGTTTGATTGCGATCCCGTATATCGATCTATTATCCGAGATCTAGATCTCTTGACAGTCCCGATTAGGTACTCCCAATGAGAAATTTTCATGTGCAGGCTGGCTCTCTTTTTCTCGCTGTAGTCTCGAACATTCAATGCCTTCTGTCTAGAACAGTCTATAGAGCCTCTTGGTCGGAACTCTCAAAGCCGGTCTTCGAATAATCGAGCTCTACGTGTCTCCAGACAGAAGATGGCCGAGCCAAAACTGTCAAACATGGTTGTGGAAAACGTCTAGACCTGTTCTAGGAAAGAATTTCTCATACAATGTTCTCATTGTTCGGCTGAAAATGAGGCTCTGCAACGTTTGTACGTAGCTTAGGGCTACTCTATTCACCCGTCGTAGTATCACACAGTAGTATCTCCGGCTCGGATATCACTATCAACCGCTTTTGGATCCATCTTGATCCTTTAATCGACCTGTTCAGGCTATCTCGCTTCTCTGACAGGACGGCTTCTCTGACAGGACGTGGCTCCGAAGAATCAAGAAGCGATGGAGAGGATTGTCAGTAAACTGTGGAAATCAATCTTGCTTCTCGGTGGTTGAGGAGCTGGTTCCGGCAAATATTGACTGAGAAGCCCATGAAGCTGGCCAAGCAAAAGATTCAACATCCAAGTGATCATCGTTAGATACGAGGTAATCAATCACCGCGATGAAAATATAGGCACCAACGCCAGTGAAAATATGCCACCTAACTGGTAATTAGCTCAGGCCTTCTAGGAGCAGAATTGGTTACTGCAGTAATCTGATTCTCACCATCCGTGTAGTTCTAGTACAAAAGCCAAAGGTAGCCCTATAGCTCTGCGAGAGTCTCTCAAAAAGCCGCAGGCCAATCTATCAATAATCCAAACTGCATACCCTAGATGGAAAATAACTATGTGCAGATAGATACTCTAAATTAGCGCATGCATATGCTTAACATATCAGTGAGATACCTTACCAGCCCCGAATCGCACCATCCCCCAAATCTGCTTCCGTGCGATTGACTTGGCTGGGACTCGAGTCTTAATCAATTGGATAGTGCGAACTCCGATGATGAAGATGGACACGACAAAAGTCACGGAGTGTAAGAGTATCTCATTCGTCACCATATGGTAGGTGACAATAAGTGCAAGAGCCGAAGCTAAGATGATCGCAGTGATGCTTGATTGTCTGCGGTCTGCATTGACTGTTAGGGCTCGGTGGAGGACTGGGGTTGTCGTGAATAGCATGGAAAGATCATCCACTGTTCATAGATTTAGCTTTGTTCAGTCAATGAGCCTTAAATAACAAACGCCCCTTACTCATTTGCGTGTGATATTGGAGACTGGTATGAAATATGCCAGAGCATATCCCAACCGCCATCAAGCCCCAATATGGGAGAGCCCGGAAGAAGTCAACATTCAATTTTTGTCGCAGTTGACGGAGTCCATAGATTGCATAAATCACTATTACGTCAGATATATCTTCTCTCAACAATAAGAAGCTGTGTCATAGGTACCATAGATAAGATTTGTCAGTGTGTTAATGAATTCAGCGATATATCTTGTCACTAGGTAATCCTGGAATGAAAAACACGAGTTAGAACAGGATGAATTCTGTCCAAGAGGCTTAGCTCCGTACTTCTTCACAGAAGCTTTTAACGTGTCAGCTTACGGTTGACCGAACAGGAGTAGCACACTGACTTGGACTTGGAGCTCGGAGGGCCCCAGAACGGGCTATGTAAGCTCATATTGACTCCGTATCTGACACTTGTGTCTCAGGTGAGGCAATAGCAAAGATTTAAAATGTCTTTCAAGCGAAGTCACCTCAGCAGTGCAGGTGCATGTTTATAAGCCGGTGTTGGGACTAGGCAGCGGTGAAACATGAAAAATAGAGTGAGATCCTGTCGATGTCAGCTTCGACTCAACCTTAAGCCGAGCCTCCCGTCCAACGGTTGGCCCCCACGATCAAGCAAAGAGGGAATTCCCTCCGATCCCAATGTGGAAATTTGTTGAGTAATTAAGGTACGATAACCTCCCGATCAAGGCATCGGTTTCGGCTTATATTTTTCCTTTTCAGGGATCACCGGATCCTGGATTACCCAGCAGTGAGCATCCCGTGTTCCTGGATATATATAACCGGGCACATGTACCTTCACTCTAACTCATCGGTTGCGTATCACTACCTATCAGGGCTCCTCCTGACTAGCCATACAATCTCAACGGGCGCTAGCCACCCATTAATAAATTGTCTCAACAAGGCATAGTTGGAATGAGAGCGCCAATTGCCCTTGCTTTTGTTTTCTATAGAATCCTAGCGAAATCGTTACTGCTCCCTCAACAACAAAGGGTCCCCGCGCTAAACTTAGCTAGGGAAAGTGAAGAGAGATGTAAGCCCAGCCTATGGCATCGCTCCATGATGAGATCGCTCGGCTGTTCTCCCCTACCTAACCTGACTGTCCTGATAGGAGTACATCATAATTGCGAGTTATCACCAGAGATGCTTGGCGTGTAATGGTGGAGCCTAGATGAGGATTCGGTCCAATCATAATTGGGCCGAGTCGATTTTTCGTGTCTCTCCCTATTTGTTCTGACTCGGCCCAGTTGCCCGCTCGGCTATTCATCTTAGGTTACCAAGAGGTTTTTGATATGCTTCGATATCTAGTCTATTCGCGGTAAAGAATCTACCTCCTCTGCCGATAGTCATTTGGGTGGTTAATACTCTTAAGATTACGTTTAGTTTCCATGAATGCTAGAAAATAGTACTGACATTCATCTTGACGGTGAGATTGGGTGTACATTAACGTTAATCTATCATATATCTTGCCCAGAAGCAATAACACCCCTTAAACTAGTTTAAGAACAAGGGTGTAGCAACTAATGTTGATAATGGTGGTAATGGTGATGATAATGATGGTGGTGAAAATGGTGATGATGCTCAACTTGCTGCACAAGTCCAGGACCATTGATGGTAGATAGCGCATCATTTGGCATCGAAGATGGATCTCGAGTCGATGAGAGCACTTGCAGAATAGCAGCTTCTTCAATCGATGTTCGTTGATTGTCCTGTATCCCTGGCATGGAGTCCTGCGGTTCGGCCTGCGTTTCCTGCGTAGGAAATATGGAGGATACATTTCCTGAATTCCCGTCGACGGAATTCAATAACTCCCAAAGGGAGTCACAATCATAATAATCTTCTTGTTGTGGTAGGGTCACTGGCCTGGGCGGCTGTCCAGGGAAAGGGACGTTGTGGCCAGCGGTATTGGTCAGGGGCGTGGTATTGGATCTTTTGGGGTCGATTTCATGAATATTTTCGTGGTTATGGCTGTGATTAAAGGCATGGCTAACCAGCGGCACCTGGTGTTTTGGTGGATTTCCCAATACAGAGGAGCTGATATCTCCTATGGAAAACAATGGTGATAGGGCCGGGTTTTCTGATACGCCTGGTGACAGATTGGTAAAATCACTTTCAAGTCGGTGCGAGTCGCTCGGCGTCTGAGTATCCATGGCCTGTGATGAGAGACTATCATAGTCCCTGGGTGTAGATGTGGATGCTGACGATGGCAAAGCGTCCGGAGAAGAGGTAAGTTCGGCGGAGGATAAGCCGCTCATGTTAGATAGATCTTTAGAAAGTCTCCTCCACCTATTTCGACAAGTCAAAGGAGGTCTTCCTGGGAGACCAGCAGCAATTGTAGCCCATCGATGTCCAAGCTCGTTCACTTTCGCTGTGAGGTACTGGTCCTCTTCTGGAGACCAGTCTTTGAGACGATCTTTAGCTAAAGGATTGAGGATGTCGCGACCCTCGATAAGTAGAGCTAGGGTTTGTTAGCGAGGCTTCATCAATTTCCAATCCTGTAAGTAGAGACCGCTCACCAATTTCCTTCCAAGCAGGCCCCAGTCGTTGATGAGCCGCGAGTAGAATCTCATCTTCTTCCTTGGTCCAGCGACCTCTTCGCAATGCAGGATCCAGAGAATGAAACCAACGCTTTCGGCAGTCCTGCCAACTAAGATCAGACGTGCTGTGCTTCAAATCGGATCTGCTTCAAGGTACCTTGTTCGTTCTGCCTGGAAGCCGCTTGGAAATTTCAGCCCATTTGCTGTCCTTGCCTCGACGATCTCCAAGAACAACCCTACGGCATGATCCTATTCAGCGATTTGGCGTGGAGATTTCTCGGGGACAGTGCTTACCAGAAGACCAGGATCCAGCCCCAACGGGGCATGTCAGTTTCCCAATAGGATAGAACGAGTCCAAGATTATCTTCCCCAGTATCAGCATTTAGGTCATCAAAAAAGATTTAGTGAAGCGATACGAACTGTACTCTGCCATGATGATACCAGCCCATAGAAGAAAATAATTCCATCCCAGAGCGAAGCCCCATGCTGGATCAATGAATCTGGCGGAATAATGGGCGAAGGACCCAGAGACGGCGATGAAAGATCCCAGTTCACCCAGAGACTGAATAACAAACCACAGAAGAAGCCCAACAATCGCGAAGCATATGAGAAGGCCAGCAGGACCGGCAGTCGAAAGGCCAGTTCCCATGCCCATAAAGTATCCCGGTCCTATAACGCCTCCAATAGCCATCATGACCTAGGAAATGTAATGCAAGTGTTAGCCTTTCGGTAATGGCAACCAATGCGTGTAGGGACCGGACCGAGTCACGTACAAGGTGTCTTTGAGAAAGAGCCCGGTTCAATTCATCATGGCCCACTTCACGGACTTAGGTTTCTTCAATGGATTTTGCATCGTCTTTGTTGTGGTGCATGTCTATAGGATCGGATTTCTTTTGTTCCGCCATTGTGATATTCTCGAGTCGCACTCTTGTTTAGAAAATCCCGTTATATTAGAGGAGGTCTGGCTATCTTTTAAAACGCGGAAGACTCCTCTGTTCTTGAGCGCTTATCAAGACGGGTTATACTTTTTAGGTTGACCAAAAACTATAAAATGTCGTGGGGTTGACTCAGCCCAATGAGCCCATCGACCCGGCTCAGTGCGGTTATTGAAGCATATCAACTTCGTCTATTGAATTGATCAATTGCCATTTGCACACTTTATCTTAGCCTCCCTATACAGGTAATCCTCATTGGACTAATCTATTGCTATCTCTCCCCGCGTTTTCTTGATCACCGGAGCGGGCCAGGTCATCTCAACCGAGCAGTCAAAAGCCCCATTTGACTCGGCCCACTATTGGGGGAACCTTGAGTTACAGAGACGGTGGTGCTGAGATAGCTCACTTTCCCTTCTGGCGTAAAATCCCAGGGCTAGAAATTCCAGTATATCTTGGGCGTATAATTCCGGAGCTCTTCAATTTAAATGCGAAGGACAGTCCGAGATTGAGCTACAGTAGATTGTCCAGGAACAATTACCCCACGTGCCTACCTAATATTGGTGGAATTCCTATACCACGACCTAGACCGCATAAATATCCCACAGATATTATAGACAACATGATAATATAGAGACAACATGATAATATAGTTTTTCCAAGCAAGAAACCCGCTAGAAAGCAGTCGGCAGTACTCGGCCCGGTTTTCAACTATCCACCCTCCATCGTGAAGGAATAGAACAGCAGTGGTCATGTCTTGAAATGGGAGGTTTTCCGGAATTTAAACATTCCATTTGAGCTTCATATCTCGGACGGCCTTGTAAATCCATGCCCTCACCCCGGTGACAGGGCCGGGGTTTGCTTCATGAGCAGGGCTTTGGATGAAGAGAAGAAAGGAGTTAACTTGGCAAATGAGGTGGATCTTGAACATCTTTACTATGCTTTCAAGCCCCAAAGGATGTCCCCAAAAAATCGATGTTCTTTCCAGACCAAGTATGTAACCTCGGCTCGGTGGCAGTGGGCGTGATACAGTTTGTTGCGAAACCGGTGCAACAAGAACACTCTGACACACTCTTTCCGTCCCCACAAATCATTTATTGAGGGGGCTATACCGAGTGAAGGATAATTGAAATCATATCTTGTATGGTATAGTACGGTGAGGTGTAATATTACAAGATATGTACGAAAGGTACGAAATGGAACTGAATATTCCCTACATCACCATGACGCCCACGTCAAATCAGCATTTCCCCACGCCGGAGCGTAAAACAATAAATTATGTGATAAAAAATCCAAATTAACAATCAACTAGTCGGGATTCTGCCAGAGACCCGATCGATGTCTGCATTATAGTTTGCTGATAGCCGTACTGACGATAAGCTGAAGTGGAGATCCAACCACCAATTTCTTCCCTGCCAAGAACCAGTCATTTGTCTCTGGTGGATTAGTATGACCATAGCACCAGATACAAAGTTTATTGTCGCCAACAGGGTTCCACTCCGTGGGCACATGTGTTCCGAAATCAAACCCCTCAAGACCGCCGACGTCTTGAGGGATCATAATTGTACCGCGCTTCTTAGGGACTTCAAATTCCGACCACTTCCGCGATTGCTCACATCTGCGATCATCAAGCCTAGTTTTTTTCTGCAAGCCACGCTCCACTATAACGCGGGAAAATTCCTTCAAAAAGTCATCGTGTTGGCGCAGGTTGGGACACGAGCCAACCGTGTATTTAAAGGGCTGGAATGTCCCATCCCCGCTAACAAAGTAGCTAAGGCCGCGGAGAGTCGGCGTTTTTTTTGGTGTCATTGGGCCCGTGATTGAGATAGCACCTTGGGTTGGAACTGCAATATCCCTTGATACCACGATCTGGTCGGCTTCAGTATCGAAATGTTTGTGTACGAGTTTTATACTGAAGTTCTGTGGCACTTTGTGTTCGGTGAAGAGGGATAGGAGATCTATGATATCTTCATGGTTATCTTCTGGGACATGAGAATTTTCAAGTATGTATGGGAGACAATTATATGCCTTGGAAGGTAAGAGATCATCTTTCAAAAGAGACATATTTTCTTGTTAATGTCAAAGGAGCAGCTTGTATAAGTGGCGAGTTTCTAAACAAAATAAAATATTGGTTTAAGGATGGGTCTATTCCCTGAGGTTCTTATAGTTTTAGCAACTTCATTTTTTGTTCCATTGAAATCCAGGCTCTAACGTCACCTGTAAATGTACCGATCCTTCTAGGCTAATAATCAATTGTAAACAGCTAAAAGGTAAACGATCAGTCGTAAATGACTGAGCCTCGTGTCCTTGCATTCTGACTGTATACGTCATTTCTTAGCTTATATGGTTTATGATAAGGCGTTTCATCCTCTTGCGTAATGAACTGGAATAATTTTCACGATATTGTCAGTTCAAATTCTATTGTCTGTTTCCGTGGAAGAAACCCTTCTAGGCATAAGTTATTTTAGAAGCCTATTTGATGATCTTAAGCTAGGGTGAAAATTGATCGAGATTTCCGCGGGACACATGATCTGAAAAATATTTAATGAATCCATCGCCTTCCACATCGCTTTCTAGTATAAGAATACCTAGAGATATATAAAGTACGCCATAGAAGGCTATTACTATATGTCAACATATGGATGTTATAGGGTCATGTGACGAAAGACCCACTAACCCCTCACTGCTTCTAGATCTTCTCTATAAGATCTATCAGATTGATCCTCAACGATCTCGCATTGAATTGCCTACCTAGGCAGGAGACTATATAACACTCCATGGTTACTTCTAATATTCCTGATGTTTCATGTGATCTTTTATCATGTTTCCTAGTCAAATTGAATCAAGTTTAACATCCCTTTTGATCTTCTCTTTTGATCACTGTTTCTCTTCCACAATCGTGGTACTTCTATATCTAGAAGTACGCATGACCTCTATATTCATAATCGTGTCCTTATACACAACATTGAATCCTGTTTATACATACATTTCTTATGTGCACTACCACCATTTTATGCACACTGCTCAACTCCGACAACATCGCTAACCTTTCGGCAGTGATTAGCTAGCGTTCCGTTAGTGTAGATAATCATGTCGTTAACGTATGCTGATACAAAGTTATCTAAGTACTCTCGCAGAGTCTGGTTGATATATCTCTAGAACGTTGCTAGAGCGCCTGTTAATCCGAACGGGGTAACGTTCTACTCGTAGAGCCTATATCGCGTCCGAAAGACTCGCTACTGAATGATCATCGTGCATCGGCAACTTTACCAATGCTGGCGCAATCCCTGGTGCCCGATAAAATAGGATACCGTACTCAGGATTGGAAGTTTTCCTTGCCGCTAAGGAGCCATCCTCAAGCCTAAAGTTTTCCTTCTCGTTGTTTTTGTATTCTAGATGCATTCTTACTCAGTTCTACCGAATGGCGCAATGATCTCAACGACCGCGGATCTATCCGATGAGGTGCACGGGAGGCTATTTTTTCGGCTGCCAACACCGACCGAGCTCAGCCTCGCTATGATCTCACTACTAAATCGCGACTTGCAGGTGCCCTCGAGCGCCAGTAGCTACGGTTCAGGCTTCGCTTATCCTGCAGAACTTCGCCTATGGAACATTTCGCAGGACGATTAGCAGCAATTCACGGAAATAACTCGTCTTAAGACTCTCTTCCTAAAGTCACAGAGCATCACTGCTATCGGTTACGGTCCGAAGATACTTGCTGTAGGAGGTGCAATTGTCGGCATTCATGGCGCAGGCCCCGCATTTCCTCCCCCGAGAGGATCGCAAAAAGCAGCACATACGAGACGCGGAAGGCGGTCTGGCCGTCGCCCTTCTGAATTCCTCGCATGCCACATATCGCAATGGAACGGTTCTTTTTTCGAACCAAAGGGCATCCTGATTCGTTGGTACCTTTTTGGCCCTGACTGGAATTACCTGGACGGGACGATGGAATCAACATCTGATTTTCTTGTTAGTAGAGGTAACACAGATGTCGCCCAAGGTACAGTCCGAGTTGTTGTCATTCCCATGATAAATTAACGATCTATTCGACGGCAAAACTGGATCTAGAAATTCATTGATTCATGTACTCGATATTTCGGCTTTGATCTTCTCTTCTTAATAAGATTTATGAGACCTTTGAAAGGAAAAAGGGGGTTCTATTTGCATATTACAGTGAATACATAGTTCGACCTCTCTTTTTGGACAATTCCTAGAAAACAAATCCGAAATATACTTCTCCCACTTCTGGCTGCCTCTCGGTAATTCGGCAGAACCACGATGGCAATGGCTATACCCAGGTCGATAGGTCATCGTTATAATACCGTAATGTCCTATTAAATTACTCGGAATTTATGTAGTTCTGACGATGTGCTAAATTTACCCGCTTATATCTTTAAACCGAATTTGGCTCTTCTAATAAGCTGACAGGAAATTCTGAAGTATTTGATTTCAGAGATGGGCCACTATGACATTAATGTAGAAATGAAACATGGGAATACAACTCGGATCATACTCAAAACACTTCGCTATTATGGTGGCCCTAACGCCTTATCTGCAATCTACAAGCCCCTCTCAATCTAGTGGACCATCCCTCGGGCTCCTTCATAATTCCCTTGGTACGTAAGAAGAGTTCTTTCGGAAGAAATATTCAAGGATATTTGTCGGGGTACAGACTCCCAGGAAATATCACTTTCGGTTCTTTGTAGAGCCTTTTAATTTTTCATCTTTGCGCAGGCGTGGGGGCGGCGCTCGGCCTCAAATGACTGGACTCAATTAGGGCCTGTGGACCTAGACTTTTCCAGTCTCAACGCTAGCGCTTATGTATTTACTCTCGTGCGGCGCACGGTTGTATCTACCTTCTTAGGGATGAGTGTAAGCTATATAACCGACCGGGCTCCCCTGTTCAGAGGTAAAATTCCTTCTTAAACACAACCTTCATATTCATAGCTCCAAAGCCAATTGCCAGAATGGTGTATACGCTTTATGAGGGTTTTATTCTCCAGACAAAGCGGGCTTTGAATACACTTTCGCATATTCTCCACAAAGCCGAGGAGCAGCCCAACGCTTCTATTCTTCCGTCTTGTCGACTACACAATGATATGAAATCACTCAGCTATCAAGTGTTCGCGGCAACCACGCAAACATCGCTAGCTTTGGCCAAGCTAACAGCCGAGTCATTCCCAACCGACGACACGAGCAACGATGTTGTCTACACATATGCAGAAATGTACGCTCGCATCGACAAGGTACTTCAGGCCCTCGACGCGGTTGACAAAGACTTAATCCTCGAACACTGCGAGGTTGTCAATCCCGCGCCCCTAGGAGCGGACATGCAACCCCTGTCTGGGACTACATACGCTTGCATTATGCAGGCTAACATCTTCTTTCATGTATCTACTGCCTATGGCATCTTGCGCAAGGAAGGCGTGCCTCTAGGCAAGGTGGATTACATTTTACCCTTTGTAACTTCCTGACGCTAGGCGTTAATCAAAGGCTTCGACTTGAACAAATTGAACATAACCATCAGCCCTCTTCTGCCTCGAGGACTTGCTTGACTTTATCGCGCCTCGGCACAATCAGCGTGTGCACAGTATAGGCGCTTTCGTGTAAGATACAGGCATAGAAGCGTCTCAGCCGTATTGTAAGATACGAAGTCTACTTAGGGAAGCGATCTAAGGTGCTCACAATTGATCCCATCAGGACTCGCACACTTCGGATTTACTTTCTAAGATCTATCGCAAGAGTGGAGTGGTAAAACTGATTTCGACCGGCTCTATACACGAGAGGCTGCGCTACATGCGGGAAGAATAAGGGGAAGTGGCAACCCGGGGCGTAGGAAGGCGGAAAATGGGCAGATGATCTTGCCAGATCGCTAGATCTACTAAGCGGCTCTAAGGGATTCTATGGTCAGTAACATACAGTATACAGATAGTTCCCCACTTAAGAACATCTCATAGATAAGCTCTTGGAAGGAGCCAGGGTTTGGAGCCATATTTGGTTCGACCACTTATGATTGATTGCTACATACGGTACGCCTTCCGGGACAGAGTATTTTAGAAGTGGGGTAGAGAGGTAGCACATGTAATGAATAGTTAACTAAGTTAACTAACTAGTTACCAGCTCTCTGTAATTTAGACCCATTGAAATCCGATTGGTGCACCTAGATGAGCTCAGCAACCCATTTCCGATACTCACCAAATGCCCTTCGGCCCCACTCCACCGACGTAACTGTTCTCAGCCACCTTCAGCTCCTTCAGCTTTGACACTTCGACAACTATCGATATCCTCAATCCTTCCACTCCCTCGTACCTTCCTCCTCCTTCCTCCGAAACGACGTCCTCCGGAACGATTTTCACCCGTTCGATATCAAAATGCCACCCCACGAAGGATTGGTCCACCTGAAAGAGTACGACATCAAGGACAGCAATGTGGAGCTGATCGGGTCTGACCTCGACCGCCGTGTCAAGTACAATTCCGCTGCGACCGAACCAGCTTGGAACAATGGACAGATCGGCCAAGAAGCGGGATTCTTCATCTGGCGAATCGAAAACTTCGAGGTTGTTCCTTGGCCGAAAGAGCGATATGGCGAATTTTACGACGGTGACAGCTTCATTGTGCTGCACTCATACAAGGTCGGGAAGCAACAAGGCGAGGAGAAACTAGCCCACGATATCTTCTTCTGGTTGGGCAGTAAGACTACACAGGATGAAGCCGGGACTGCCGCCTACAAAACTGTCGAGCTGGATGAGTTCTTGCACGGCGCTGCCACTCAACATCGCGAGACACAAGCGCAGCCCTCCGACGAGTTCTTGTCCTTATTCCGTCACTACCAGATTCGGTCTGGTGGTGTGCGCTCCGGGTTTACCCACGTCGAGCCGGAGGAGCAGAGGGAGATTCTCACACTACTCCGCATCTTCAAGGACCCCGGTGGTGGCCGTGCGATCATTGTCTACGAGGTGGAACCCACATGGCAAAGCCTTGATGAAAAGGACGTCTTTGTTTTGGACAAGGGTGAAAAGATCTGGGTCTGGCAGGGCAAGAGCTGCAGCCCAATGGAGAAGGCTAAGGCAGCACAGGTGGTGAATGACATGACTCTAGCAAAGCATATCGATGTGGAAGTTTTGTCGCAACTTGAATCCCGCTCAAAGATCATTGTCGATCTACTGGGAGGCAAGGAAGTGCAACAACATACATTCCAAGCCCCTCGGCCCGGGTCATTTGCCAAGAGATCCGCTGAGGCTAATGACACTCCTCATCCGCGCAAGCTTTTCCGTCTCAGCGATGCCTCTGGGCAACTGTCCTTCGATCTTGTCAAAGACGGCGGTCGGATCAGCCGGTCGGACTTTGACGGCAACGATGTCTTCCTATATGACGTTGGCAGAACCCTTTGGGTCTGGCAGGGCCTCGGCGCCAGCGAGCGCGAAAAGGCACACTGGCTCAAGGTTGCCCAATATTACGTCCGTCGACTTCAAGAAAGCCAAGAAGATTCCGAGGCATACCTTACTCCCATTGCCAAGGTGGTTCAAGGTCACGAAAGCACGGCATTTTGGAAGACCATCGAAGTGTAGGTATGTACATATATTTCCTTTCATATATTTTGTAGAATCAAGTCACCAAATACACTTCAAACTAGCCAAGCTCCTCCATTAGTGGCCACAGTTGACCCCGTCACAAAATAATCCTTCATCAGGTACAAGTATGCCTCGGCCGTGTCTTCCGGATATCCAATATCTTTAGTGAGAGACTGTTGAGTGTACTTCTCGATTGCACCTTCCTTCATTTCCTGGGGGAGTCGGTCCGTGAGTTCGGTCAAGATGAAGCCAGGTGAAACGGCATTGACACGAATAGGCCCCAGCGTAATAGCCAGCCCCTTCATCAGACCTTCCACGGCTCCTCCGACAGCTGGCGCAAGCCAGATTGACGGCTTTTTACTTTGGGTCCCCGTAGTCAAAGTAATCGACGAGCTCTTGCTCGACACCATGTACTTGGGCGCGTATTTCCCGACCGCCATCGCGCCAAAGAATCGAACAGTGAGGTAGGCGTCGAAATCGCTGAAAGAAGCCTCTGCCAGCGGTACCATCGGAGGGACATTGCCAGCAGTGAAGACAATGTGGTCAATTGGTGAGGTTTCGGCGGCATATTTGAGTAACTCTTCAATGGTTGACTCTAATTTGTCCTTTATGGAGAGATCGGCAACATAGCTGCGTACTCTCGAGGCTTTGTCTGGGTTGCTATTACGAAGAATCTCAACAGATTTCGATACTCGTTCTTCAGAGGATGATGTGATGGTCACATTTGCGCCGTCGGCGAGAGCTTGTTTGGCGACCGCAAAGCCGATGCCGGATGTGCCACCGATAAGCAGGATATTCTTGTTTGTAATTCTGGAGACCATGATCGAGTTATTCAGATTGAATTGATTGTTGAATTCTGTATCCCTAGTTCTACTCCATGTACTGGTTCCCTTTATATAGGTTTCAAGATTTGTTAGTATTCATAGCTACGGCAGTTCCGCTCGTTTGGTCCGACTATTCGGCCGGACTGTTGGTGTCAACGGACCAGAGACGGATGAACACATCTAGGTGTACAAAACAGAGCACACATTATCCAGTTAACGATTAATGTTACTTGGTAATGTCTCCATGGCCGTGATCTGACGAGACAACTTTGGGGGATAACTCTGATAGGTTAGCTCAACCTAAAGCGCACGCATGGGTCGGGTCATCTTAGAATACATCGCACTAAAAGATCTCGTTGGAGTAAACTAAGCGCTTCTAACACCACTTAAGTTAGCCACCATATCGAATGGCGACGGGAAAGACACTGGCAATTTGAAGAAGACTCAGGCTCGTATAAAGGCCAGCGCCATGAATGCCAAGATAAGATTCCATGGCGTCATCTTAGGCTTCAATTTGTCCAGTCCATCTCACCATACTTGGCATTAAATTGCCTATTAGCCAAGATTCTCGCTGAGAAAGCTTGCTAGAATATGCTTTTTTGTTTTATCACTTCATGATGTTTAGGGGTTATTTACCTCTGTAAACGTCTCTACGCTATCTTGCTTTAGATCTCTATTTATCGAAGGGGGTTTCCACACAAGCTCATACTGGACTTGTATATTGAAGAAGAGAGATTAAATTCTAGGTATCTTAAAATAAGCAACAATGTCTTGACAATCTTAATCTTCGTCACGCGGCAATTCAGCTGTTAGCCGTGCGGGGGTGATGCATTTGTTGTTTTGGCTTCGGAGCACGCAATGCCAGACCCTTATTGAAACAATAGGACTGCCTTGTCAATGTCATATGTAGCACATCTTAGGCCATTAATCTATCGCCATATGGTCGAATGTCACCCCGCGGAGTTGTCTTCGTTGGTGGAAAGTGAATATAAATGGCAGGGATATCCTACAGTATTCACAAGTCTATCGGAGCAAATATAAAAACCCCATGATAGCCACTGGGCGACCTCTCGGGATCGAAAAGCCATGGTTAAACCGGATGGAAAGTCCACTTCGGTGGTCACTCTGAGCGAGACTTATCCAAAAGAGCGCGCAAAGAATTATGGCACCCTAGAACCACGTGGGGAAAGTACCGAAAAGAACAACCCTTTTCTGGACCCCGAGGTTGCAGAATACTGGCGTGGGGTATACGAAAAAGCGCAATATGAATGTCGGGATGTGTTTGATCCTGATCTGACGTGGACTGAGGAGGAAGAAAGACTCTTAGTTCGCAAACTCGACTGGAGAATTTGCTTATGGGCTGTATGACACCAATTCTCCGAATCTTTTCATCATCCTAAGTTGCTCATCACTTGTTGCTCTGTTTCCAGTGTGTCATGTTCTTCGCACTCCAAGTCGATCGAGGGAACCTTGTTCAGGCGGTCTCCGATACTTTCCTGGCCGATCTGAAGCTTAACACGAATGGTAAGTCAAAACTTCCTACTTTCAAGTCTCAGGAGGTCATCTCAATGCCAAATTGGATGAGCTTGTAGTATTCCTCGTTGGCTGGTTTCATGGGCCAACACTAACGATGTGCAGATTACAACTATGGTAACATCATCTTCCGAGTCTCATTTCTTGTCGCAGAGCTACCATCGCAGCTCATCTCAAAGAAGATTGGACCAGATCGCTGGATTCCCATTCAGATGGTGCTATGGTCGGTAGTTGCGATCTCACAATGTGCCCTGACCGACCGGAAGACATTCTTCCTCACACGTAGCTTGCTGGGTATCTTGGAGGTATGATGACTTGATGAAATTGAGAGACCTCTCTGATGCGCTAACTTTCGTTCAGGGTGGTTTCATTCCGGATATCGTGCTGTGGCTGTCTTATTTCTATACCTCTCGCGAGCTTCCAATTCGTCTAAGGTATGATCAAAATCTGTTGGTGCCTGCCTGGTCTTTACTAATACCTCTTAGCTTTTTCTGGACGTCGCTCTCCGTGACAACAATCGTGACATCTCTGTTGGCCTTTGCCGTCTTCCACCTTAGTGGTGTTCATGGCTGGGCAGGCTGGCGATGGCTCTTCCTCATCGAAGGATTAATTACCCTCTCTATCGGTCTAGCATCATTCTTTATGATGCCCGCATCGGCAGTCCAAACCAAAACATGGTTCAGACCAAATGGATGGTTCACCGATCGTGAAGTCTCAATTGTGGCTAATCGTGTCCTCCGCGATGACCCGTCCAAGGGCGACATGCATAATCGGCAAGCCGTAACTCCTCAAAGACTCTGGAGTGCGATTAAAGACTACCACATGTGGCCGATTTATTTCATCGGAGTGGTTGCATACATCCCTCAATCACCTCCGAGCTCATACATCACGCTTACTCTGCGCTCACTCGGTTTCAACAAGTTCAACACAAATCTACTCACGATTCCAGCGAATGTGTTCCATATCGGCAATCTACTTTTGATCACCTGGGTATCAAGTCGTCTCAATCAGTGGTCATTGGTTGCTATGTTCCAGGCTCTATGGACGCTTCCATGCTTGCTTACACTCCGATTCTGGCCTGATGTTATGTCCAATGCCTGGGGAACGTACGCGGTGGTGACAGTATTGCTAAGCTACCCATATTGTCACGGTATGTTCAAGATGCGAGCATTGGTGCGAACACAAAATACTAACAACAGAAATAGCCATCGTGGTCGCATGGGTATCCAGGAATGCCAATAACGTCGGGAATCGCTCGGTGGCAGCTGCACTTTACAACGTAAATGACCCCCATGCGAAAACATGAGTGGCCAAGTGCTAACTGATTATACAGATGTCGGTGCAAGCAGGAGACGTTGCTGCTTTCTTCATCTACAGAGAAGATGATAAGCCCAAATACCGAAGGGGTAATACTGATTTGATTGCGATCAATATCCTGGCAATCGTGCTATTCGTCGCGGCCAAAGCATACTATGTGTTCCAAAACCGGAGGCGGGACAGGATCTGGAATGCGATGTCTGAACAAGAACGGAATGATTATATCCGAGATACTAAGGATCAAGGAAGCAGCCGATTGAATTTCCGGTTTGCGCACTGAAATAGATTGGTATATTTTGCGAGTGGAAAAGAAGACAGGAAGGGAAGAGAGGTTGAAATGGATAGTCAAGAATCAAGTTCACCGCCGCCTAAGAGAGGCGTTTGTTGTGCCCCACCATCAATTTTGACACTGAACTTGCAACTATTCTAATTCAATTGAATCCTCTTGAAAACGTCTGATTCCCAAAGTACCAACATGTATCATGAATAAGAAATTCGACAGCTAGTCACGATGTCGATGTGACAGAGAGCTTCCCACCATGCAAGCAGCCAACATCTCCTTCGCCAGCCTAGGCTTGGTGGTTCTTGACGAGATCCGATTTCCTAATCGAACACCCTTGACTAACATACTTGGAGGTTCTGGCACTTATGGTGAATCTCCTTCGACTGAGTTTCGCCTGGCATAAGAAATAATTGACTGACTACGGCTATAGCAACTCTTGGTGCCCGGTTATTTCTGCCTCCTCCATCTAATCCCACGTTAGGATGGGTGATCAATGTGGGAAACGATTTCCCGAATCCAGTGAAACAACAATTAGAAAGGTGGAGAACAACATTGTTCATCAGAGAATTAGTGGACGTGCCATCAACGAGAGGCTTGCTGGAGTACAAAGATACTACATTCGGGCGTATGTAATGTCTTTCACCCTCCGTTTTCTCATGCTAATTTCCTCTCTAGCCAAGGACTTCAAATATACGACTCCCGTGCTCGCAGTCCAAGAGAACAGCTTGAAGCACACAAATCTTCTAGCTTCAAGGTCATTCCATTATCTAGCTAGCCCCGAGGATCTCCACGTCCGAGTATCTACGCTTCTTGCCCTGCGGGCAGAGGCAGGCATCCATGAACGGCCTCTGATAATTTGGGAACCGGCTCCTCTTTCATGCCGGCCAGAGAACCTCGAAGGATGCCTGGAAGCTGCAACTTTGGTAGATGTCCTTTCTCCCAATCATCTAGAGCTGGCCAAACTGTTCTCTGAACCGCAATCAGATGTGATTGACAAGAAAAAGATCGAGGAGTTAGCAGTGCAGTGTTTGAATCGTGGAGTCGGTCCAGATGGTAATGGCACGGTAATCGTGCGTGCTGGTGAAAATGGCTGTTTCATCAGTAACAGGAATATTTCGTCCACATGGCTCGATCCATTCTATTCAACGAAGCCAGGAGAGAAGCCGAATGAGAAGATTGTCGATCCTACTGGAGCGGGAAATGCGTTTCTGGGGTCGTATGCCGTGGGGTATTTGAAGACCGGGAGTGTCATCAAGGCAGCCTGCTATGGCTCAGTTGGTGCATCATTTGCGCTTGAGCAGGTGGGAGTGCCACTGTTGAGTGTTCAGGACAACGAGGAGTCATGGAATGGTGTCGATGTTCTCTCGAGGTTGGAGGAGTACATGGCCCGGCAGAATTGCGGCCGTGAAGGGGTAATCCGGGTCCTTTAAATCTCAGTCGCAGCCTAGATGAAGATGGATTCTAAAAATCTTTAGTCTTAATGAGTATATGTCACAGATAATTCTCATCGCGATGGCCAAATTGTCGACATGGTGGTTGGTGGATGCGGATCCTCCTGTTCTTCCTCGGCTGAATTTCCCCAGGAACCTGGGGTATCACATGTCAAGGACCCATTCCGTCATTCCCAGTCTTGCGACCATCTCCTCGTCTTCCTCCTCTCCAACCAGCAAACCCCTACCACACTCCCTATCTCCAAGTGGTCATGTACAGCCCCGACTCTGGCTGATTGACAAGTCGATCGTGTCGCCATGGCTGTACAGTCGAAACTACTGCCGCCCGACCGCTCCGTCAAGCAGCTCCTCTCCAGCCTCACCTCCCTCTACCTCCGACACCGAACGGGCATCTCCCGCACCGTCTACCTTGCCCTCTTCGCAGCACTCGCCAAGCGAATCCATAATGCTATATCCGAACAGAAAGCTGCCTCGCAGCATGTAGAGCTGCGCCGCCGGCCCGGAACCAGCTCGCTTGGTGATGAGGAACAACCGCGGAAGAAGCGAGTGGAGATCAACCGGGAGTTCTTCAAACACCTGCTTCGCCTCTTGAAGATTGTGATCCCTGGATGGCGAAGTAAGGAGCTACGGCTCCTGGTGAGCCACAGTGTGTTCCTCGTGCTGCGGACTCTGCTGAGTTTGTATGTCGCCGAGTTGGACGGCCGGCTGGTCAGCAGCCTAGTGCGGGGAAAGGGCAAGGACTTTTTGTTAGGCCTTGTATGGTGGATGATTGTAGCTGTGCCAGCAACATTTACAAACTCCATGGTAAGTCGTAAAAGGCGTTCATCTTTCGTGGTTGGCCGGTTTCGCGACATGCGACCGTGGAGAACCTCTCGTTAACTTGGGTGTTCCCATGTCTAGCTCTCCTACCACCAGTGCAAGCTCTCCCTCAGCTACCGGAAACGATTAACAGACTATATTCACGACAAGTACCTATCTAATATGACATTCTATGCCATCTCCGCGCTCGATGACCGGATCAAGAACCCCGATCAACTTGTCACGGTCGACGTGTCGCGCTTCTCTGATAGCCTGGCGGAACTCTACTCGAACCTCGCCAAGCCGATTCTCGACATGTGCATCTACAACTACTCATTGTCCAAGAATGTCGGAGGAGAAGGATTGTTCATTATGAGTTTGCTGGTGCAGCTGTCAGCAAATGTCATGCGCATGCTGACGCCACCATTTGGCAAATATGTCGCAGACGAAGCTCGACTTGAAGGTGAATTCCGATTCCTCCACTCAAGACTTATCGACTATAGCGAAGAAGTTGCGCTGTATCATGGCCATGAGGCCGAGAAAGATACCCTGGATAAGGGCTATTTCACGCTAATCAAGCATGTGAATCGCATTTTGCGCCGGCGTTTGTATCATGGATTCATGGAAGACTTTGTTATCAAGTATTTCTGGGGTGCGCTTGGTTTGGGTCTTTGTAGTTTGCCCGTCTTCTTCAAGATCCCTGGTCAGGAAGTCACTCAGACCATGGGAGACCGGACCGAAAGTGAGTTGTCTATCTCTTCTGCGCGATGTGTTACACCTGCTAATATGGACTAGGCTTCGTCACAAACCGACGGATGCTGTTGTCATCGTCTGATGCCTTTGGTCGTCTCATGTTCTCCTACAAGGAGATTTCCGAGCTGGCTGGATACACCTCCCGCGTCTCATCGCTCCTCGAGGTCATGGATGATCTGGTTGCTGGGCGTTTCGAGAAGAAGTTAGTGTCTTCAGCGTCGACCGAAGAAAACGCTGCCGTCCTCTCTGGTCGTGGCGAGGTCATGGAGAGTGACTCTATCGAATTCACCGACGTTCCAATTGTCTCGCCGAACGGTGACGTCCTGGTTCGCAAGTTGTCGTTCACCGTTCATCCCGGTGACCACCTTCTCATTGTTGGGCCGAACGGATGTGGCAAGTCCTCTCTTTTCCGCATTCTAGGTGGACTCTGGCCAGTTTACGGAGGCACTGTTAAGAAACCCCGGTTTGAGGACATCTTTTACATCCCTCAACGACCGTATCTGTCTCGAGGTACATTGCGGCAGCAAGTTATTTACCCTGATGGCGTGCGCGAGATGCGCGCCAAGGGCATTACCGATGCTGATCTCCATGAAATCCTGTCTGTGGTCGAAATCGCATCCGTCGTTGACCGTCCTGGTGGCTGGGACGCTGAGGAAGAATGGCGTGATGTATTGTCCGGCGGTCTACAGCAGCGCATTGCCATGGCTCGCTTGTTCTACCACCGTCCCAAGTTTGCCATCCTCGACGAGTGCACCTCTTCGGTAACGCTAGAAATTGAGAAGGTCATGTACGAGACGGCCAAGAAGCTCGGAACCACGTTGATGACGGTATCGCATCGTCGCAGTCTTTGGAAATACCATAAGAAGATCCTGCAATTCGACGGACAGGGCGGCTATGTCTTCACAGGACTCGATTGGGAGCGACGTATGAAGCTGGAAGAGTATGTGATACCCCATCTATCCCTTAACTCTAGCAACTATGTGCTAACCCAATTCTACAGTGAGAAGGATGAACTTGAGTTACAATTGCGGGCCGTGCCGGAACTGGAGCGACGAGTTGCAGAGTTGACAGCAATCTAAATCTAGAGGACGATTCTATTTTGTACCAGTACACTCCTCCGTATTCATAACGCGAAGCGATTGTTCTCGAGTACATTCTGGAAAATGACGAGCATGCTCCACTCTCGAGTCTAAGCGCAACCAATCCCAAGTCCTCCTCGGCTTCGGGATCCAAACTTTGCAGACGTTCGTTCGGCTGGCCGGGCCCAATTCTCTGACTAACGTCTTTCAACCAATCATCTCTTTCATCCTCGGCAGTGGCACCGATCAAACCTTTTCCGAAGCACGTTCTCTTTATGTCTGGAGTTCATAATCCTCCGCACCGACCCACTATGATATCGTATTCTGTCCCTACGTCATCACGCTGGCTTATCCTGTTATGAGGCTTGCCACGATTTCCTAGTTTCACGAGAGTGTCCTTTATTCTTTGGGTCTAACCGAACGTGATTTCCTTGATTCTTATATTTTCCGCTGTATCTCCTTTTATCCTTTCTCCTGTGTCGTGGGTTTTTTTGCCTTTCTTCCAGCCAATTCAGGATGACAAACTCCAACATGAAGCCCGCTGAGCATACACCTGTCCCGCAGAAGAGAAAGATCATTATCTTCTCTGGTATGTAGTCCTATTCTATCTAAATCCAGCTATACCCCCAATCTACACCACTATCTCTAGACCCTAAACATGCAATTCCCAATCAAACACCTCCAATAACCAAGATAACCAATACTAACAAACCCCACAGACTTCGACGGCACAATCTTCATGCAAGACACCGGCCACATCCTCTTCGACAACTACGGCTGCGGCGAAGAAGCCCGCAACAAACTCGACGAACAAATCAAATCCGGCGAGCGATCCTTCCGCGAAGTCTCCGAAGAAATGTGGGGATCCCTCCACGTCCCCTTCGACGACGGCTTCGTAGTCATGGAAAAGACACTCGAAATCGACCCCGGGTTCCGAGAATTCCACCAATACTGCATCAAAAACGGATTCCCCTTCAACGTGATCAGTGCCGGGCTGAAGCCTGTTTTGCGGAGGGTGTTGGATACATTCCTCGGTGAGAAGGAGGTACGTCTTTACAACCCAGCCCATACATGTTTCTTCATGGTGAAAAAAAAAAGTGTATATACTAACAACATAGGCCGCCGCAATCGACATCGTCGCCAACGACGCCATAATCAAACCCGACGGATCCTCCTGGAAACCCATCTGGCGGCACGACACAGAACTAGGCCACGACAAAGCGCTCTCGGTAAACGAAGCGCGCGCAAAAGCACAATCCGAATGTCGCCCCGACGAAATTCCCCTAATCATCTTCATCGGCGACGGAGTCTCCGATCTAGCGGCCGCCCGCGAAGCAGATGTCCTCTTTGCTCGACGAGGCCTTCGTCTCGAGGAGTATTGCCAGGAACATAAGATTGCTTATATCCCCTTTGATAGTTTCCTGGATATCAAGCGGGAGATTGAGAATATTAGTCGCGAGGATCAGAGTAAGACTGGTGGTGTGGGGAAGCCGGTGCGGTATAATCCACGGGCTAATATGTGGAGGCGGATTTCTTCGAAGGAGGCAGTACGTATTCTCTTTCCTTGTTGAATGTTTCTGGGTGGATTGGTGCTAATTGAGATACCCTAGGTCCCGACTTTGATGGCCGTTGCTACTCCCTCCAAGGAAGAGAAGATGTTCCTTTGGCCGGAGACGTTCTCCGACTATAAGCCCCAGGCGACGATTCAGGAAAGGGATGAGACGGCTACTGCTTGAGTACGCCAAGTGGATTTCCTTTCTTTTCTCTGATGAGTAATGAGCTTTTCGATCTGAAGATATCGAAAGCCTTTTCATCTATCTCATTTAGTGTTATTTTTCTAATGCAGGCATGGGGCTCGGTGTCGGTTTGAGATATCCATGTTCATGTCCCATGCCCCAATTCTCTACGTCTTTTGGGGATGTCCTTCCAGTGACTGCAATGTTGTTGATGAAAATAGTGTTAAAAACAGTGTTGCAATGTGCATATAGACGCAACTTTATCGAATGAAACATATAGAAAATTCAACTGCTTCCTTCTACGTGCAGCTAATTCCAATTAAGTAAAAACATATACGAATTATGCCATCAGGGCTTGAATGCAGAAAAGATACAGTGCACAGACAAGAACATTGAGTAAAAATAATCACAATCAGAGTACCAAATCACAAGTCAGATGTAAGGTCAGGCCTCATCCGCAATATCAAGAGGCTCGACATTCCAAATACTATCGGCGTACTCGTTAGTCACCCGATCCATAGAGAAGAAGCCCATGCGTGCGACACTGGTGATCGACTTGGCAAGCCATTCTTCCTGATTCTGGAACTCCTTGTCTACCATCTCATGAGTAGCGATGTAAGAGTTGAAGTCATCGGAGACAAGATAGTAATCGCCATGCTCTTCAATGGAAGAGATCAGCGAATTGAACGACGAGGGATCACCAAAGGTGCCCTCCTTGATGGTTTCGAATACACGCTTCAGCTGCGGGTCCAGCTGGAAGCCACCGTAGAAGTGTCGGTGCCGAAGATCCTCCACATCTTCCGCAAGGTTGCCAAAGAGGAAGATGTTTTGCTCGCCAATTTCACGAGTAATCTCAATCTGTGAAACATTAGCGAAAAGAATCCACTGGTTTCTGAACATCTGCACAACTTACGTTAGCTCCGTCACAAGTACCGATAATCAAACCTCCATTCAGCACGAATTTCATGTTGCTTGTACCACTCGCCTCGGTTCCAGCAGTGGAGATATGCTCGCTGATATCAGAGGCTGGGCAAATAATTTCTGCCTTGCTGACATTATAGTCCTCGATGAAGATGACCTTCAAGAGATCACCAATTTCATCATCCTTGTTCACCACGGCAGCAACGCTGTTGATGAGATAAATAATCGACTTGGCCATCCAGTAGCCAGGAGCCGCCTTGCCACCGAAAATTGACACACGCGGTACCACCTTCTTCCGCTCTTCTGGTGTCATGGCCTTCAGACTAAGGTATCTGTGAATCACTCCAAAGATATTCAGTTGCTGGCGCTTGTACTCGTGGATACGCTTCACCTGAACATCGAACAGCGAGTTCGGATTCACAGAATAGCCAGTCACATCCTTAATGAGCCTGGCTAGCCGCAGCTTATTATTGGCCTTGATGTGTGCCCATTCCTGTCGGAATTTCTTGTCATCCACAAAAGCCTCGAGCTTATCCAGCAGGGTCAAGTCGGTCAAAAACTCATATCCACCAAGCTTCTCTGCAATCAAAGCAGAGAGCGCCGGGTTTGCCTGGTGCAGCCAACGTCGAGGCGTGATTCCGTTGGTGACATTGGTGAAGCGATCGGGCCCATAGATCTCCACAAAGTCCTTGAAAATGGTCGTCTTGATGAGGTCCGAATGCAGCTCAGCAACACCATTAACCTTGTGAGATCCAATGATGGCAATGTGGGCCATGCGCACCATCTTGGGGTGCGATTCTTCAATGATTGAAACTCGCGAGAGCATGTCCCGGTCATTGGGGAATCGCTTCTCCACGGACTGGAGGAAGAAGAGGTTGATATCGTAGATGATCTGCAAATGGCGAGGAAGTAGGTTCTGCATCAAAGGAACAGACCACTTCTCCAAGGCCTCGGGGAGGACAGTATGATTGGTGTAGCCAAAAGTTCCAATCACAATACGCCATGCCTCATCCCACTCCAAGCCCTCGACGTCAATCAAGATACGCTGCAACTCGACAATGGCAAGCGTAGGATGGGTATCGTTCAGTTGAATTGCGACTTGGTCAGGGAACTCACTCCAAGCCCTGTTTGTCTTCTTGAATCGTCGCACAATATCATAAAGAGAGGCAGCGCACCAGAAGTACTGCTGCTTGAGACGAAGCTCCTTGCCTCGTTCCAAGTTGTCATTCGGATACAGCACTGCAGAGATGGTCTCGGCAGTCTGTTGGTCGGCAACTGCACTCTCATAATCACCCGCATTGAACTTCTGGAAGTCAAACTCGCCACTGCTGGCCTTGCTAGACCACAACCGGAGGTTATTGGTAGTCTTGGTGCGGTATCCAGGAATGGGAACATCGTATGCGACGGCTTGGACAGTCTCTCCGGCTTCCCAAGAATGGCACACCTTGCCATCCTCATCCTGGTACTTTCTCACATGGCCATAGAACTGAATGTCCACCGTGATATCATGACGAGGGAATTCCCAGGGATTATTGTCAAGCCAGTAGTCCGGAATCTCCATCTGGTATCCATTGACAATCTCCTGCTTGAAGATTCCGTAGCGGTACCGCAGACCGTATCCCCAGGCGGGATAGTTTAGCGTTGCCATGCTATCCAAGAAGCAGGCCGCCAGACGACCAAGACCACCGTTTCCAAGTGCGGCATCATGCTCTTGGCTGATGGCGTCTTCAATTCGGAAGCCAAGATCGGCCAAACCATCTACACAATGTCAATGACCTTTCATGGCTGTCAGTTGCGAGTTTCTGATCACCCACCTCGCGCGACGTCTTTCATGCCGACGTTTAGCATCGCATTGTCCAAAGCACGGCCCATCAAGAATTCGAGCGAAAGATCTAGGAATTGTGTTAAGGCGAGAAAGCAACCCAAGATTTGTCAAACCTACAGTAGACTCGCTTCTGGTCGGTAAATGTCTGGCGCTGCTGAGTCCGATTCCACTCGATGATCAATCGGTCTCGGAAAGCCAGTGCGGTACCGGAGTAAGCCGCGCTGCATCCCTCGTTGTCAGTCAATTGCCATGAGCAGCCTGTCTGGATCATCGGTGTACGTACAGCTCGTCGCAATTGTACAGGGAGCGGGCGAGGGTTGTCTCGATGTGGCGCACGAATTCCCTCTACGGAACCCTGTCAGCTCATCCAACAGCTATCTTCCAAGCAATGAAGTACTAACCTCGAACTCATCTTTAGAAGTGAACTCGGCTGCAGACTATTTAATAGTCAGTATCAAGGGTTAATCCAATTCCATCCAAGGGAGGCTCGGTCCAACGTACATGCTTTCGCCATCTATTACGCCATCGCATATACACCTGGTCAGCTTATCCAGCACCCCAGGTATGCATAAAACAGAAAAGAGAACCCCAAACTCACGCCTCACGCAGCGGCTCTGGAATACTCGCTTCGACACTCTTGATCTCGGACGGGCCGAAGCCGGTGAAGGTGCGCTTGTGCTTAGGACGACTGAAACCTGGACCGACGGGACCCTGGAGATCTGCAATGGGAGCTCCGACGGAGGGTTTGCGCTCACGGCGGGGCTCAGTTGGCTCCGACGACGCCATGGTCGATGATTAGTGGATAATGATCAGCGATCAATTGTGAACAGGGACCGTGAAGGTGGATTGTTTTCGAGTGGGAGTGAACTAGAAAGTAGAACCCCAGAGCAGGACTGGGATATGAAGAGAAAGATGATGGGAGGGAAAGAAGGAAGAAGCCAGGAAGACGGGGGTTTTGAGTGGTGACACCAGGTAAAGAGGGGAAGGAAGAGGGGAGGGAAAGAGCAGGGAACAAGGGCAAGTACCACGGGTCAAAGTAACGAAGATTAACTGATCCCAGCGGAGCACGAGCACCTCCTGCATGCAAGCTGCACCGTTCATCAGCTGGGGAAGCGCAGCAGTCGAGATGTCCGAGCGACGCCGGATTCGGTGATGATGAGTGGTGTGTTCATAGAAGATACACTAGATAGTAGTACTACGGTACTAGAAATACAATACTAAACTATCTATCTATCTAATAGCTATATTATACGTCTTCTCTAACTATTACGTGAGAATGCGGTATACTCTAAACGACTCATGAACGAATCGACTCGGATATTTGGATCAGGCCAGAGCTTCCAGAGCTCTGGTGGGGTATCTCCTCATCAATGAGTGACTAGGGGACTATCAAGTATACATAACTAGTCAACTAGTACGATTCAGCCTTTCCAATTGTCCGAGCTAACGGCGTCCGTGCACTCTCAGCCAACCTTGCCAGATCTCCCCCCTGATTGGCTCATTGCCCTTGACTTTCCTGCTTTCCTCTATCAACCCGACAAAGTATCTATTTAGCAGTAACTCGGTAAAAAAATAAAAGGCTCAAATCACGAAGCATTCGAATTCAGATGATCTGATTAGAACGTTACACTCGGACCGATCTCGCCCTGGCCCGGGACCTTACAATCTCAGCAGTTCCGGTCGGGAACTGGAGTATATGACGCTTCGATCTATGGGACGATCCACTCCAGACTTACCAGGCTGACAACCACCACACCACACCGTAAGGTTCAAGGCACAGGGCAACTGCTGTAAGCCCTTGCCTATCAACGAATAAAACAGAGAACAGAGCATATCCGAAAAAAAAACTAGCCTTTAATTATGCAATCATGCACAGTGAAGACGATACAGTCATCTTCGTCCATCCTGCCCTGCTTTAATCCCCGACCTCTCCGCATCATGCCATCGCATCCACCCTTTTACTCCACTCTATTCCCACTAGCGCGACGTCTTCACAGACATGGGCATACCATCGAGCTGTTCAATTAATTAGTAGCTCTGCCACGAACTTCCAATAATCAAGGTGAATTCAATCACTTGCTTATTTACATTTCCCGCCAGGACCTACTGGCGGCCCGCCCTTTCGGCGCGGGGAGCAGTACAGCTGCAGGAGTCAGCCACTGACGACAACATAGGCAATAAACACGATGCCCCTCCTTCCCCTCACCGAAGTCAAAAGTAAAGAATGACTTGATCGAAACTGAAACCCAAAAAAGGTACTGCACCTGGCCGTCCAGTTCCCTCGGCAGGGGATCATCTGCCATGCAATCAGATATGGCGGGGCTCAATAGTCTGGGCCTTGGTAGATATCAATGCTACGATCACGAGAAATAGGAGGCTGAGAATTGAAGATCATGGCAGTAGATTTCAGTCAATGCCCAAAAGATAAGATACTCAAGCCGATGCCGGACGAGGAGACCACACGTGCTTTGAATGTTCCAGTTCCAGATGCCAGAGATCATGAAGAGACCTCCACTTGGTGGTCTATGCTAGAAACAGGAAATATCAAAGGACCATTAAGAAGTTGTATCAACTTGCCGCTGAAAAGACCCTCGAAAGAATACAGGGGGAAGGATAATAGATATCGAGTAGATGAGAAAAGCATCATATGCATCAAAGCGCTGAGGTCGCGAGTCCAAACGTGGCAAGTATCACAGAAGTAAAATAGTAGTTAAAAAGCATCAAAAGCAAAGCATGGGCCAGGAGATATAGATCAGGGATCAAATCACACAAGGTTAAATCCGCCGTGATATGCATCAGACAAAAAAAGAGGCTAGAAAAACACAGATTTGAGGATAACTGTCGAAAGCTATTCATAACATATGGAAAGGCCGGTGGCCACAAACACAAAAGCGTGAGGGTCGAGAGTTGGCGTGGGAATCCTCGCCCAAAACCACGCAGGGGAGGAAGTATCCCAGCGACTTTTGAAGTTGAAAGTAATTCCTCGTCCCGGGTTGAAGCTGGCGGCGATAGCTAGATCCATAGAAGAAGGAAAGAAACCCCATATACAGGCACCAGGTAGTCTGTTCAAAACTACTACCTGGGATTCCAGGGCGCAGTAGAGGAGCCACGGTGACAAAGGAAGAAAACCGAATACCTCCTTGTAGATACCAAAAAGGGTGGGGGTATCACCTAACAAGCGCCGGGGAAATAATTCAAAAAGGAGGGAATAACAAAAGCGCCGTAAACGCCAGCAGCTAGTCCAGCAATAAGAATCGAGTAATTGGGTAGTCGAAAAAAAGGTATGGTAGATCGTAAGAGGTGGGGCGGGAGGGTCCAGAATAGATTGTTTGAGATTCAAAGGACGTATTTGTAGAATTGAATAGGTATATGAAGATGTTCGGATGGTATCGTGAGGGTTGTAGAGGAGAGAGATAGGTAGGTGGGAGGATATAGGTGACGGGTTTTAGGTTGGTTTTCGGAAGAGTGTCCAGCAGCTCATAGAATACCAGAGTCTTTCAATGCATTTTGCAAGATGGTTTCCTTGACCGCTGCAAAGACAAGTCGGATATTTGTGGTGTCGGTTGCTTGGGTGAGGCTACAGACAAACAAGATGATCAGAAGGCGCGTCTTCGGGATGGGCGCAAACAAGTCTCATGAAACTTACTGAGGATATAGATTCAGGTGGGCTCTGTTCACCTGGTTGAATCGCCACAGAAGATACTTGGCCGCGCGGTTCACGTCGTTGCCGCCCGAGTAATCCGGGAAATAGTTGCTCAACGGAGAGCGTGGTAGCTTCTGGCGGAACAAATCGACCTTGTTTAGGAAGAGAATGATACTTGTGCGCATGAACCAGCGAGAGTTGACTACGGAGTCGAAGAGAACCAAACTCTCCATCATTCGATTCTAAAAATCGTGAGCTTTCGAAATGGACAGCGCATAGTGGAGCTAGTCGTTAGCCTTACCTGGTTGCTCTCTTCCAGCAGTGTCTGATCATATTCACTCAATGCGACACAGAAAATGATCGAGGTGACGTTCTCAAAGCAATGGATCCATTTCTTCCGCTCGCTTCGCTGGCCGCCGACGTCGAACATGCTGCAAAACCTGGGTTAGTCACCTATCATATAGGGGTTGAGAGGTATCCGAGTGCATACTGTATACTCAATTGACCCATTGTGAACCGCGTCTCGTATATACCAGTAGTTTTGGTACGTGCTCGGAGAACGTCGGATACATTGGGGATGTAATCCGGGGCCGTTATTCGCTTGGCTTCCTCGAAGAAACTAAATCACCAGTCAGCGGGCAAATCTTCGCGATCGGTGAAAATATGCGGGTTCTCGGCTGCTTACTAGGGCGCGGAATCCATCAGATAGAACTCATTTTGCCGTTCCAAGACTGTTGATGTGCATGGGTCATTCCAAAGGTAAGTGACTGCGTCGCCGATTTTCCCATCAAGCGGAGTATTGGGGTCCGGGTCCACATGGTATTCCTCCAGGAGCGCGATATAGTCCTTGACCTTTGGACTGGACGGTTCAAGGGAGAAATGGTGATATGCATCGATGAGAGCTTTAGCACAGTCGAGCAGGTTCTTGTACACGGTTAACCGGTACAGAGCCAGCTCCTCCACGGTGTAGCCATTTTGGTGGATAATCTTCATCTGTTTCACGATCGTAGACTTGCCACTTTCTCCGGATCCTGCCCCATTGTGAGTTTAAACTCTAGCCGGTGTCATATGCGCAACGGACCGCGCGGACGATGGTCACATACCCAGCAAAAGGATCTTGCATTCCCTACGTAGCCGTCGCTGATCTTCCTCGAGCCTCCGGTCGATCATCTGGCTTTTCTTCTTCTGCTCCGCATCCCCCGTAGCTTCCGAGCTGAAACAGGAGCCCATGGTGAATCGCTGTGTATGCTCAGTTCCTATTTTTTTTGTGTGTCCTTCAAATCGTCAAACCAGCAGGGAGCACGTCCCGGGTACCGTGCGCGGAAGCGATCGGTGTCAGCCCGTCGGGATGGCCGCAGCCTTCGCTTGGTCGGGAAGACGGCCACCCACAACGCTCAGGGTTGAGACTCGACGCCAACCGAGGGTACAGGAGTGTCGGTGAGGCCTGCGACGGCAGGGAAATCGCGCAGATTGGAATTCGGTGAGGGTCAAAAGGCGGGGAGGGGAGGGGGCACCGATCGGAGAGCGAAAGAGGAGGTTGAACGAGCGAGACTGTGAGAGGGAAAGGAAGAGAGGGTCGTCAAGTGTGTCGGATTGGGGTGGTTGGCGAGAAACGGAACGGATTGCCCGGCCGAGCTAGAGTCCGGAGAGTCGGCTAGGAAGAAGGGCAAGGCGATGAGGATCGGAGTCAACGGTGGAGAGAGATCAAAGAAGAGTCGAGAGGAGTTCCAGTGTGACCATCGTCATGCTGGGGGGAGTGGAGATGTCAGGAGGGTACGGGGGTAAGAAACGTGTACGGGTTGAGCTTACATCGGGCCCGTAATTACAGGGTGCTTTCGCCCGACAGGCTGGACTGTACAGTACGGAGTACGGAGAACTTAGTACTCAGTATAGAGTACAGTACAGTATACTATACGGAGTACACTCAGTAGTACTGGACAAAGTTTTCTTGGTGTTTTTTTTGGCCGACTTTTTCCTTCTGGGCATTGATCCCTCCCGTATTATTGCTGGTATTGCCCTCAACTTTCTCTCCGGCTATGCCGACTTTACCAACGGTTTTCGAGGACTTTGCCGTTGAGAGGGTGTATTATTCCCCCGGGATATCGGAAACTGAGTATGTACTCCGTATACAATTTTCGACATACATTCTACAAGTTACGCCGTATAACCCATTTTTAGCCTTGACCCTATGGTGTTTGCGCGGCTCGAAACTTTCGCCTAGACACTTGGGCTTACTACGCATTGGGGGCCAAGGTAATTTCGAATACACCCCTCAATACGGGCTCCAGAGGTCTCCGCCGTGGTTTATTATTAGGGGGTTGATCTGGTAGACATGGTCCTTTTCTCCTATCTCGGCCACGGCCATCGAGGGAGGACTTCCAAAGGGCGACTCTCGTTTAAAAGGACAAGGGCTGACAAGGGCGAGTACCACGATCCTCGTCCGGGTAAGGGTTGGGGCGCCACAAGCCCCCCGATCATGGTTCCTTTCTGACAGCAGTCCGAACTAGTTACATAACTCTTACTGGACCTTGACTACGAGCGGCTCTCCTAAAATTACCTAGCTAGGGAGGCAGTGTATGTGCCCTGTTCGCCTCACTCTGTCTATAGAGAACGAGGGAGAAATAGATGATCCTTCCGATGCGACATGACCATCGAACTGTTGTATTATGGATAATTATTGGCGGGGAGGACATTTTCTCGAGTCACGATCGCCTAGTGAGGGGTACTACCAGTATTGTACAGTACTATATCATCCTTCGCCTGGTGTCTCCAGCCCAAAAACCCACCGGAGCTTTTCAAAGTGGAGAGTCATGACGCACATGGGGGACCTGTGGCCTCAGGCCCCAAGGCCCCCAGGACCGGTTCAGCCTCCCCACGTTCTGCAGGCGGAGACAAGAATAGAACCTGAGAGACACTATTGGAATTCGGTACTGCCAGGGCGATGAATTCTGGGGGTCAGCCATACACCTAAAGGGACTCCTGACTGACATGTCAGACCAGGAGTACACCGCTGGATTGTTCCTCACGACTCATAACCCTTCAAACGCGGGCGCAAGGTGCGGTGTAGAGCGACCATGAAATATCGGTGGAGGGATGTACACAGGGGCGTACAATGTGGGAAGGGCCGGTATAGAAATACTGTATATTCCAATCTACCCCTTCTACTATAGTAGGTTAGATACTCTTCAACCAAATAATTGTATTGATCTTCGACTAGCTTTAGGAGAAACCCTTCCAGTCTCCGCTTTTGACACCGAAAGTTTAAACCAAGATGCAGCCCTGTCTTTTTCAATCCTTGGAGGATCAGAAATGGCTTTGTTTTTGGCGTCTGTTCTTCATTTCATGCAGAAGTGTGGCTTGCTTTTTATTTCACATGTCTTGGTCCGTGGTGCCCAACATTGCGATCTTCTAACCTCTTGAAAAATCAACTACGGACTGTACGATGATGAATGATTGGCGAAAGGACTGAGTCCACGTTGTTAGACTATCAAAATAGTTTCTATACATAGTAGCCGAACCGATCAACTACCACGTCATCCCGCCTCCAACGAAGCGGATATCGTAGAGTTAATGCAGCAGATACGAGAATCCGGTAGATATACTCAAGTAGGCCAGGCTAATCAGGTATAGGTAGCCACGGGACTGTCTAACTAGCACAGGCCTAAGCCAAGTCCAGTCCCGGTAAAAAGGAAGATAGTATGAGACTGATTATCCCTGGCCAGTAGCAGGATTGAAGGAATGACATGTGAGGAGAGTTCCGGAGGCGTACCGGGGCAAAAGGCGCCACGAATGACAGCCGCACAACACATCAAGTGTGTTGGGCGGGCTAAGCGCGGTTAAAAGAGGCAGGTTGGGGGGAATTTCCAAGGTTTGGCTCTCTTCTTATCGACCAGGGTCGTACTGAGCCTTATATAGTTTGGTCACGGGGTCGAGATTACACTACATGTGCAGATGTAGTGTAAAGTAGTAGACGGAGGATATCCGCTGTCTATACTACTGTCGAGTGGGCTGCGGAAAACGAAAGAATTCCGGATCGTAGGCTGGGAAACCTCTTCCGGGTTCGTCGACCGGGTCTGGCCAGTCTGGGCCAGGGCGCCGCGTGGTTTGGGTGGGGGGAGGCTCGAGGGAGTTTTAGTGTTAGCAGGGTGTGGTACATCAGGGCACACAAACATATAGAAGAAAGACATAGACACACGGATAATTATCAGCCTAAGAAGAGCAGCCAGGCCAAAAAAAAATAAGCCTCCTATAGGCTCTTTAAAGGCTAATCATTCAGGAACCAGTATACAGAGTCAAAAACAAGGCCGCAAACCCAGAACCCAACCGGGGCGGTTAGTCAGCCCGAAACCTGCCTTCCGGTGGTCGCAAACGTCATCGTCCTTGTTTTCTGCGCTTTTCACCGAAAGGGCCCTTCCCCACATCATCTTTCTCCCCTCTGTCTCTTTTGGTCCTGTCCTCTGTACCCCTTTCCTCATACGCCTTCACTGTTCCAAAAAGTTTCTTTCTCTTATTCAACGCGCTCTGTCTTTCTTTTTAACATCTAATTCTCCATCATGGCGGAATTCGTACGATCCCAGATCTTCGGCACGACCTTTGAGATCACAAGCCGGTACGCATTCTCCCGGACCCTCAATGTTTGGATTCTTCAATCCCGATCGCTAAGATTCGCAATTCTAGATACACGGACTTGCAGCCGGTAGGCATGGGTGCCTTCGGGCTGGTCTGGTATGTCACGAATCCTAGCCCTGCTCGGCCATCGCGCCGCGCGCGAGAGAGATATCCCACAGCTGACCGGAACGTGACCCCGATAGCTCGGCGCGAGACCAATTGACCGGCCAGCCGGTCGCTGTCAAGAAGATCATGAAGCCCTTCAGCACTCCGGTCCTCTCTAAACGTACCTACCGCGAGCTGAAGCTGCTCAAGCATCTCCGACACGAGAACGTGGGTTTTACCCCTCACCCCCTCCGGTGACACCCCGCGGCCGCACGCCAACAACGCAACTGACCACCCTTGCAGATTATCAGCTTGAGCGACATCTTTATCTCCCCCCTCGAGGACATGTAAGTTGTCGCAATTCAGGTGTTCGCGACACACGGGCACTAATATAGCTGCAGCTACTTCGTCACCGAGCTCCTCGGAACCGATCTCCACCGCCTCTTGACCTCTCGCCCGCTGGAGAAGCAATTCATCCAGTACTTCCTCTACCAGATTCTCGTAAGTCTCGCAGTCTATATCTCGATTCTCCCTCGCATCCATACTAAACTTGCTGCTATAGCGTGGATTGAAATATGTCCACTCGGCCGGTGTGGTCCACCGAGACCTGAAGCCCAGCAACATCCTCATTAATGAAAACTGCGACTTGAAGATCTGCGATTTCGGTTTGGCCCGTATTCAAGACCCGCAGATGACCGGTTATGTTTCCACGAGATACTACCGTGCCCCCGAGATCATGCTTACTTGGCAAAAGTATGACGTGGAGGTCGACATCTGGAGCGCGGGCTGCATTTTCGCCGAGATGTTGGAGGGAAAGCCTCTCTTCCCCGGAAAGGATCATGTCAACCAATTCTCGATCATTACGGAGCTGCTGGGTACGCCCCCAGATGATGTGATTCAGACTATCTGCAGCGAAAACGTGAGTCTTTCATCCTCGATTTCTACTCTAACTGTGAGAATCACCGGATGTGCTAATCGTTCAATCTATGTATAGACTCTGCGATTCGTCAAGTCTCTCCCCAAGCGCGAGCGCCAAAATCTGGCGAACAAGTTCCGCAATGCTGATGCCGATGGTATGCGATACTTCCGATCTCCCGCGCCTCCTCCGGGTTCCTCCGATCATCACAAGTTCACTAACCATTGTTTCTGCAGCCGTGGATCTGCTCGAGCGGATGCTAGTATTCGACCCCAAGAAGCGCATTCGCGCAGATGAGGCATTGGCCCACCCATACCTGGCCCCCTACCACGATCCTACCGATGAGCCAGTTGCGCAAGAAAAGTTCGACTGGTCCTTCAACGATGCCGACCTGCCCGTGGATACTTGGAAGATTATGATGTAGGTTTTGGACATACCGATCTTGGATACAGGCATTCTACAGTTTTTCGACCATTGTGCTAACAATGTGGAACAGGTACTCTGAAATCCTCGACTTCCACAACATTGATCAAGCAAACGAGGCTGGCCAGGCGCTGGTTGCGGGTGCATCGCACAGTGGCATGGCTCCCCAAACCTACGTATAGGTGATAATATGCAGCCATGCTAGTCTTGTCACTCTGCACTTGTTCTGTTGTTCTCTCTGTCGGATTCTATTTCTGCACATGAAAGCCCAAATCATCTTTTGAACCTTGGGAAATGCGTTTCCAAGTTGGCGTAAATGTTGTTGTTTTCTTGGTCTCCTATCTGACTACTTATGATTCTCTTTTTTCTTCTTTTCCCTCTCTTCGTTGGAAGTCATTGTCCATAACTCCTACGGCGTCGTCAAGAATTGGTTGGTGAGGGGAAATTCCATGGTCTCGAGCGTTGTCGCGTTGTGACGTACACCTGGTGTACTCTCCCCTTTAATCTACAGTACTACAGTACCTAGAGTTTGGTGGTACTTTACACCCCCTAATATCCTAGTGGAACTACGAATCAAATTAGAATACAACCCCAAAAGCCCACCACCAAAGAAACAAGACAAGCAAATCCCGAGCTCATCGCGGGGGACCCTCTCACACCGCCCGCAATCACCACGTGAGCGATAAGCGTATCGAAATCCCCTAAACTATGCGATCGTCCCTCGATCTTCTCCTAGCGCACAACTGCTTCATGGCGATCTAATCACCATCAGGCCCCTTTGGCTGTACTTGGCTGTGGAAAACACCTCCCCTGAGACCCTGGCGTCTACCCCATAAGAGCGCCCTCGACCAACCCACAATCGAACCCCGCACGCCCCCAATGGCCGTCCAACCTAAACAAAACCCGATTGTGCTGGTGATTGACTTCCACCATGCGCGGTGAGTTAGCTGTCTCGTGGGGATTCGAGAACCGCGCATGCGCATTGACTACAGAGTCGGTGTGGGTTGAAACTAGCTCGCTAATGGTTACTGCAGGGGCCCGGAGATTGAACTTTGCATCGGTGACGAGGGAACGAGTCCGGCTACCGACAATGACTGGTCTCTACTACCGTTCATGGCATTGTCAGATGGCGCACATCTGTACGTAACAGACTCCTCACCGAGAGATCCTCACAGCATTCAAGCTTCTAGAGTCATTTACTTGACCTCTCTCAGCCGCCGCGCTGTCTCTCTCAATTGCGCTAACATATTGGAACCTTGATCTACTCTAGTTCGACCGAGGAGTTCTCCTATTTCACATTGCGCCAGAGGGAAACGTCGACTGCGCCTGCGACCTCGCTTTTCGGCATTGCTTGCTCCCGCCAGCTCGACTCGAGTCTGTTGATTAATCGTCCGCCCGAAGTGACTCGGTCCACCGTACAAAAAGCCGTGGTGGTGGTTACAGATAGCCCGCAGAGGGTGGGTCAATTGCGTGAGAAGTTGTCCGTGGTTACCTCGGCATGGTTTGCTCAGCGGTACGTTCAGCGCTAAAGATTGATTCTATGCGTGGATTTGGTTACTTTGTTCAATCATTAGACGCTTTATGGGATGGGGACGTATATGGTTCAAATGCGGCAAAGGCTGACTAGAGGATTGATCGATAGGGATTTCTCTGATATCGATATCCTGAGGGTATGTTTCACATTATGGTTGGATCTCTGGGCAGCATGCTGATTTGATTATTCTGGACAGAAATTCCGCGAAGGTCTGGTGATAAGCTTGTTGAATGATGAATCAAAAGATCAAAACCTGGGTAAGTATCGGAAGATTCTCTCTTGGTATACCAATTGACTAATTTCATCCAAAGGTCTTTCCCTCCGAGAAATGATTCACGAGTTCAAGTATCAGACCCTGGTTCTATTCAAAGGATTACTACTGCAGCCCAAGGTATGTTGATTCACATGCTTTTAAGCTGATTTTCGTACTAACTTTTCAGATGCTCTTCTTTGGCACTCGTTGCGAGCGTTTATGCATGATTCAATTCTCTCTTATTTCTCTAATACCTGGTCTCATCAATTCTCTTCAAGACTGCGCGGATCCTGCATTCGACAGTTATGCGGAGACCGTTGAGAAACCAACCTCGCTGAAGACCAGTGATCGAAGTTCACGTAAGCAGCATCAATCTGATGTCTTCGTGTTGTAATGGTCTCACTAACTGTTTTTGATCAGTGTTGGCATATATGGGTCTGCCATTGCAAATTTTCGGCAAGGTATTCATTGCAATCACATTCTGACAGGATTTCATCTAACACCACTCCCAGGGAAGCATGTTCGGACCATACACCCCTCTACAGCAGCTGGATCTGCTGGCCGATGACGGGACCAAGTCATACGTGGTGGGATCAACGAATTCGCTGCTATTGCAACAAAAGGACCGCTATAGCGATATCTTAATCAACGTCAGTGCTTCGTCTTGTAGCAAATTTCGACTGTGTTTCTGACCGAATGGTTTCACTATACAGCTTGACGAAGACAGTATCAGCATCTCATCCCTGCCACTCCGCAATGCCCTTATCCTCTCCGTGGCTGATAGGCGCTGGATCGACCTCCTTACTCAGATCGTCAACGACACATGGGATGAAGCTCACCCATCACGACCCAAGACCCTCGGCTTCATGGGCTCGGAAGAGTTCATTCGACTTCAATTCGAAGAGTACCTGCTCGCACTCCTATCATGCATGAAATACCACGAAGAACTCAGCTCATTTTCCTCCGGCGACTCTCCGCATCGGAGCAGAGCACAGCTTCAAACTTTCAATATCGAGGGCGATCCCGCCCTTGATTTCGGCGTGGAATTCCTTGCTCAATGGCAGAAGACTTCTAATTACGCACTCTTCTCGAAGTTAACTTCGGACGCACTCCTCTTCTCCATTACCGAGCCACGACACCCCAGTGCCGGTGGCTTGACTATGGAAGACGTCCAACGCCGACTATCCCAACAAGTCGCCGATCTCCATCTCGACGAACGAGTCCGCGAAGGCAGAGAAGCACTCAACCGCCACTTGTCAACGGGTCAAAAGAAAGTCAGCGCCGCTTTCAACAGCTTCTGGTCCGATATCGAGTCTATGCGCGAAGCCCAAAGAAAGCGCAACGAAGAGAAAGCCTCGCAATCAACACGTACCTCAATCGACAAAGAGGGCCCCAGCTCCCCGCAACCAACACCAATTGAATCGCCATCCGAAACTTCTGCCTCCTGGTTCGGCGCCCGCCAAAGACCATCCATCGACGTAACCCAAGCACAAGCATCCGTGTCCGCGGCCAGCCAAAAAGCTGGAGCATATTTCAGTTCATGGGGTTCATGGGCAAGCGACAAGCGCCGCGAATGGCAAGAAAAGCGCAGTTCCTCGCCGGGTCCCAACCCCAACCCAAACCCGGGCATGACCGCATCACCATCCACGCCCGTCCTACCCACAGTCAGCGAAACAGTCTTCGACTCCGACCGGGGCCGTCGCCGCTCAATGCAGCGACACAGCGAAGGCGCAGAAGGTCTATCGCGCAGTCTGAGCCGTCGAAAGCGATGGAGTAATATCATTCTCCGTCGCGAAAGCGGCGAGTTTAAGCGCGAGGAGGTCGATGCCGCTGATATGCCATTCCCAAAGTCCCCCTTATCCCAGGGATTCCCGGCGTACGGAGCCGACGCCGAGAAGAGGAAGGCCGAGCTGAACCCACAGCAGGATAAGCCTCTTCCAGAACCGCATGCAGATGATGATGGGTTTACTTCCGTGTCTCTGACGCCCCATGAGGGACTGCGCGTGGACATGAACCCCGAGAAGAGCGAGTCTGCTGCCGTTTCTGCGGATGACTCGGTAACGGCGCCTCCTGGGAAGCTGGAAGAGCATACTGCCGAACTACCCAAGGACTCTGCCAAGGAGTCTGTCGGCACTCAGTGACTATAGTATACATAGAGCATTGCATTCCCTTGCGTCCTGTGCATTAATCATCATTTCTTGTCTTGTTATAACACTCGCCTTTGTATCATTGCATTCCCATACCCATACCCATACCCCTATCCACTTTGAGATTATATCCTTCGTTCCATTCAACCATGGCCTTGTTCATATTTATCCATTTTACTGTTTTTCTTCCTTCTCAATACAGTCTCCAGCCTGTGAATATGACATAAATACTAGATATGATAACAGCCTCCCGACTTTGTACGATGCTAAAGTCCAGAACATGAAAAGATAATAGAAAAAACCGCGTTTCATTTACTATTCAGCTCTGCGTGGTTTCGATGATCGATTTCGATGTAGATTATGAGACCGCACAACACTACTAGCCTCCATGATGAGGATGACCACAACACCAAAAAAAATAGACCAGCCGAAGCTATAGCCGACGACGAACGAAAATTCCGGGTTATCATTGATCTGTCGTCTCAACGCTATGATGAAAGATGGACCATAAAATAAACAGACAATGTAGTGGTTCTTGCTCCGTAGCTCCTTGTCATCCCAACCCAAGCCAATGCCCCTTTTACCAGTCCCTTCAGGTTCAGACTCCTCGCGCCCATTACTGTGACGCATACGGGAAGAGAGAAGAAGCCGTGGGGGAACTGTGTAGAAGAGGCTAACAAGAAAAAGGAAAAAGAGAGAATCAATGAAGCAAGGGGGTAGGTAGTGTAGATGCGATGAGTTGCGAAGATGGTGGTGATGGAGATAGGGGGGTGAGAAAAGTGCGAAAAGACATTAAGCAATGTAAGAAATCTCATCCCCGTCTAGACGCTCGATATAATCCTTCTCCATCAATGCTTCGATGTTCTTCTTAATATCAGGAACCTTGGGCGGGAAGCGAGACTTGACCTGCTGGATGACTTCGTTCACCAGCTGCACGTGCTTCATCTTCTTGCGAGACTTCATGATACGAACAATGGCGGACTATAAAGAAATAGTTAGAATGATGTTTAACAACGTAGTGGCGAGGTATTCGGGCCGATATAACTTACCTGGAGCAGCAGCTTCCGATCCTCCTCGATGGTCTTGTGTGTGTCGTCGGCTTCCACCTTCTGCTCCGACTTGATCTGAATGTTAAGGTTGACCTTGATCTTCTTGTTTTTGAAGTTGTAGTTCAGGGTAAAGGTGGTAGAGGGGTCGGGCTTGGCTCCCTCGGGGCTGGCAATCAGCACCTTAGCCTTCAGAAGAATGCTAAGGTTGGGGTCGAGAATTTCAGGGACTAGAGTGGTGGCCTTTTGGATGTCAGAGTATGAAAGGGTATCCGTCTCGTTGAACAAAAGCAAAATGCCCATCTGGTAGGTAGACACCTGGAAGGTGTAGGGCACCTTGGCGTTCTTGATGTAGTTGGCCTTGACTTCGCCCTTGCACAGCTGCCACAGCCAGGTGAGCTTGCGGCCGTTGTGCTTGTCAAAGTAGAACTTCTGGAAGCGCTCGGCAGTTCGGTTGATCTCAATGGGGGCGGTAAAGTCGGAGGTAGGGGGTTGGAGAGGCCAGAAGCCGGTACCCAGAACCTGGTAGTGGGCATCGACCATGCGCTTGCGGTCATCGTCATCAAGAACCTTGTCTTGCCAATCCTTGTAACTAGCGTTAAGATCCTTGGAAATTTGAATGTCCTGGAACATACGCTGCAACTTGTTGGTGTATTCGAAACCACATGCTTCCTTCAGCTTGCTGATCATGCTGGTCTCGGCATCATCAGACACGGAGCTAACGTGGACCAGACGCTTCGCCAACATCTTGGAGTAGAACTTTTGGAAGACATCCTTATCCTCGATGTACTTGAAAACCGTCATAATCTGGACCAACATCTCCTCGAGCTCCGACTCCTCGGCAGCCTTGGATCCCTTCTTGAGAAGAGAGTCGGTGTACCGCGCCAAAAGCTCCGGAGACTTGGTCGTGGTGGCTTTGCAGATGCGATTACGGTTGACAAACTCACGGCAGGCATTGTCAAGAGAGCGGACAAACTCGGACTCGCCGTTGAAGGCGTCATCGACCAAGTTCTGGTACCGGGTATGCACCTGAAGAAGAGCATCCACATACAGCTTGGGCTCGAAGCTGTCGCCCTCCGAGGCGACCTTCTCCACCGCCGCCAAACCGGCCCGTCTCACATGGTTCTCAAAGGTAGAACGCAGGGGGTCCAGGCCCTCCTTGATACGCGAGAGTAGTCGGTACATCCGAGCCAGGTCTTCTTGGCGCTCATTATCCAGCAAGATCTGGAACTCATCACGAAGCAAGGTAGAGTGTGCAGTCACCAGAACGTCCAGGCATGTCTCCGTAAGAGTCTTGGCAACATCCGGGTGAAGATACAAGCCAACACGGGCCTTCTCCTCGTCCAACCGAGCCTCCGCCTTCTTCATGTATTCCACAACACTGTTCTCCGCGACAAACTGCCGTGATTCGTTCTCGTAGTATGTCCTGGTGGCATCGATGAAGGGTCGCTGGAAGTATTGGCGGTAGACCTCGAGAGTAGACTTCTTGCTGTCGTTCTCATCTAGACCCAGCGATACAAACGAGTCGACAATGCTCTTGATCTGCGATTGTTCGATGGTTTCTCCATTTCGCTGTTTCTCAATTAAGTTCAGCACGGCATCCATCACCTTCTCATGAACATTCTCAAAGAAATCATCCTTCCACTTGACGAGATGCAGAGTATACACGTCGTACACATTCTTCTTTCCTTCGTCAATCTCGCGCTTAACCCAGTGACGATTGAGGTAGCTGAACAGGTGGTTGACGTATTTGGCGGCGGTCGTGAAGCGGGTCCACTCGCGGATGTAGAAACCCAAAAGAGCTTCTTCGGCATGTCCTTTGGACTCATTTAGGACAACTTCCAGGTGACGGGAGAGGTACTCTCCAAGTAGCTTGTAAAGCTCCTCGCCCAAAAGGTGTGCTGCGGAAAGGACAGTCCGCGTTAGCTGGTGGGGCCCCGAATGTACAACTCCAACGGGGGGTGGGACGGGAAACGAACCTCCACGATGGGCTTGGAGACCTTGGTTGTTGGCAACGGCTTTCTGCGAAGTACAAAAGTTGTGTACGGCCCTATATTCGGTTTGTCAGCGAGGAAAGCGTATCGTATTGTCAAGGGTCGAGGGACGCACGTGTAGAGAGCCATGTACTAAGTCAATAAATGCAAATGTTAGCCCCAGTAATAAACACAAGATCGAACTCTTGGCAAGATTTCCGTCACCTACAGTCTTCATGTCGACGCCTTCCTCCAGCTTCAGCATCACACTGTTGATCCCCGCCTCCAAAAATGACCAACTGTGTCACGGTCAGAGAGTCTGCATAACCAAAATCATACGATCAGCCATCCAGGATATTTCCAACTCACGTTTCCTCGAGGTCATCCTTGTGTGGGGTCTGCGGCATGGCGGGAGGCATGGTGTCAAGGGGCGTAGTTGTCCGATGAAGAGAGAATGTCTTGGAACCTGGGAGCCAATATGGTGTGTTAGCCATGGCTGACAAGGAGGTGACTTTCCAGTGTGATATACTGGACTGTTCTTTGGGGAATAACTTACGCTACCGACACTCTCCAAGACCGGAGACTGATGTAGCGCCACGAGTCACGGCGTCGGATGCTCGTGGTGACGGAAGGCGCGTAGGGTTCCCAACCCCGTGTGGAGGCAGCGAGAGGACGAGAGAGAGAAATGGAAGAAGGCCCGGGGGAGGAGAGAGAGAAAAGATCAAGGAGATTAGGCAGAAGATGTGGCGGGCAGATGTTGGATGAGGCTGAGGGAAGGGCGAGCGTGGGGAATGGGCTCTTTTGTAGCAGGCGGTGAGGGCGGGTCTCGATCGGACTTTTCGGGGAATGGAAGCTTAGTTACGTACTATAGTTCTCTACTTTAGGTGTCGGAATGTAGCTAGTACTATTTCAATAACAATGGAATTTCCTAGGTTTGGTACTTCGGTCTTTCATCTATTAGAAATGGCGGTATCTATTGTTCTTTCGAGTTCTATAGAACAGCCCAAATTGCAGCAAACAAGTAGCACCAAAGGAAGCGGGTCTCCATCGTATACACTACGGCAGATCAACAGTCTGCCCCCCAATAGCTCCCTCGTTTTTTTCATTGGCAGTAGATCGCATTGCCATGACAGCTCCCATAGCATTAAAAGAGGTCATAGCTGTGGTCTCTTAAAACTATTCATGAATAGTCTTTGATCACCAGCATGAAAGTGTACGGCGCTATAAATGACGTCATTGTCATAGCTAAAAGCCGACCGTACCCCAAAAGGGGCAGAGACCTTGGAGCTTTCACCTTCAAACCCAATCATGGCTTTCCACCCACCATCAGAGATTCAAGTGACCTCTCGCCAGATCCCTGCATGGCGAGGAATTCCCAATACCTCGATCCAATTAAAACCACTCATGATATACCATGGTGCCTTTGACGCCACACCCGCCGAGCTTGAGCGTCGCCTGGAAGCAATAGGTGAAGTGGTCCCCCAATGGGTGTATACTATGTACAGTACGACCCATTTTCATTCCACTAGCCACGAAGTTCTCGGCGTCGTTGCGGGGCAGGCTCGGCTTTGCTTTGGTGGCGAAGAGAATCCCGAGCGGTTCGAGCCAACGGTCCAGTGTGGTGATTTGATTATCGTGCCCGCAGGGGTTGGGCATCGCCTGTTGGAGGATCTGGGCGACAAGGCATTCGATATGGTGGGGTCATATCCTCCTGGAAAACAGTGGGATATGTGTTATGGCGAGGCTGGCGAAGGGGAGAAAGCCAGGGAGATCCAAAATCTAGCATGGTTCCATCACGATCCTTTATACGGAGGGGATGGCCCTGCCCTGTATGTATAAAGCAAAGTGTGTAATTGATCCAAACCCAATTCGAGTATTATCCAAAAAGGCATGATCCCAATATCGATGCCGAATTTGGAAGTCAATCTCAGTGTTTCACTCTTTCAACGAGCCTATCACCAAGTTAGTCTATCACGCATGTCACAGTAGAATGTCAGTTCGGAATTACCTGAGAACGCTGAGGCAAAAGGTCAAGAGCCAAGCAAGCAGTGCAATCAATAAAACTGATGCAAGAGCCTTCTGTCGTACGCAGATATTGTCATTCCGGGGGTCGAATATTTGATTGACCTCGGCTTCCGTACAGGAGCCCGTCACCTCGGATAGGGAGTTGAATGCCAAGCTCAGATTGGCAGAGTCAAAAACGATGAAAAATAGATCGAGAAGAATGAGCCGTGCCTTGGCTGACGGAGAGCGCAAGCCCAGAGGTTTCGACGTGTATTCATCGAAAGTGATGTACACAAGGTAAACCAGAGCTACCGCGTCAACAATGATTGCCATCAGTGCTGACGGGCCCTGGTCAGTGTGGCCCTTGTCCGACAAATGCTGTATAGATCCACCCAAAGCCAATGCAGACAACGAGAAGCACCAGACCGTCAGTCGTAGGATCAGCGGCACCATTGGACTTCTCAGCAGCGAGGTTTGGAAGCGCTTGATCCAGATCTCCCGCCTACGCGCGTTGATGTGCAAGGGGTTCTCGGGGCTATCTCCGTCCAGGAGCTTGCCGCGCCATGGCTCCGAGTAATTCCCATGATTATCATTCAACCAATCCGATGTGACCTCTTTTGATTCATCCACATACTCGCGGGGGTACTGAATCATACGCGAAAACGTCGCCCATCGTGATTCCCGGTTCGGCACGGTCTCTTCGGAGAAACCTGGATCATGGATTTGTGCAAAGTCGTGGCTGGAGATATTGTAAGGAGTGTGGTTATGCTGAGCAACCTGCGCATCGCGAGGCTGGGAGGGTAGTAATCGGTCCGTTGCCGCGGCTTCCTCGGCGTCATCATCGATTTCTTCGACCGATCGGATCCATGCTAGAAAGGATTTGGTATCAGCAATATGGTCTCAAGCGCGTAATTAATCAAGGCGAGGATTTCGGTGTACCTGGTAACGTGCGCAATGTAAAATGTTGGTATCGGGCGATCTCCTCCAGTGTATGACCATTGGGTGTTCGCGTTGCCGTGGCTGGGGAGTCAGATCCGTTAGGGACCGCGGACTGAGTGTCGAGGCTTAGGTGAGTTGTCAGTGTATTTGACGAAGAAGAGCCTGTAGGAACTTTTTTCAACGGCTTTTCATTCCAGGTTCGTCCCGCAGCATGGTCGGACTTGGAGCAGTGCATGATATCCATGGCCGCGTAGGGTAAAAAGGATCGGAGCTGACGGTAGAAGTTAACTCAAGCTGCGCATGCCTGTTCGTGGTAATTGCAGACGAAGGACAATTGGGCAAAACCAATGCCCAGTGAAAGAGAGAAGAATTGGTCACGATGTGAGCTCCGGGATGGAGGGTCCAGGTCCTGGACTAGTAGTAGTAGTGTAGGTCCAAGATTATCTCCGAGTACCAAACGAGATTGCCAGCCGCGGAATGACGTCTCCCCCCCCCTGCTTGCTCTTAGCCTCTTTCTCTTTCCCCGTCCTGTCCCTCCGCTAAAAACAGAAAAAAAAAACTGAATTTGTATCTCTCCACGGCGCTTTTCTCTAGGTTTGCAGACAATAAGAGCACCCTCTCTACTGCCTCTTCTTTCCTTCATCCCCTTCTATCTTCGGCGACAAACCGACACTCCGACCTTAATCATCCTCATCCCTCGCCGCGATGCGCCTCTTCCTGATCCCCATCTCGACGCGACGAGCATTGATTTACGCTCGGCCACTACGACGCGACGCCTCGAAAGAGTTATCACTACTCGACCGAACAACAAGCAAGGCTGCCGAGACATGGGCGAAATGGGAAGAGGCTGAGTCAGGCTGGAAGAAGCACCTTGTCACTTGGGGCAATCGGGTTCAACAGCGCATCCCTTTCGAAGAATGGGGACTTAAGAGCATCCCATCGCTCAAGTCACAACAGCGCATAGATGAGAATTACAACACCAAGCAAATCGATGTGCTCTATCCTGGAAACTCGGTGCGCCTCGAGAATGTCCCGAATATGCTGCGCAAGATCGCGACGGAGCGACAGGAGTTTCATAGGAAGAAAATGTGGTGGAGCTTTGTCATTGCTCCCCTGACAGCTCCTTTTGCACTGGTTCCAGTGTAAGTTGCTTGATCTGCCTTCTCGGCGAATATCACATCTGACGAAGCTCTTCTCCCCTGCAGGGTCCCGAATATTCCGTTCTTCTACATGGCCTACCGAGGCTGGTCACATTGGCGCGGTTAGTCAAGCCCATATTCTCCTCCTATCCGATATAAATCGCTAATATCTTCCCAGCGCTGAATGGTTCGCGACACCTGGAATTCCTTGTGGAGAAGAACCTCCTTAATCCTACTACCCTACCCGAACTCGAGCAGCTATACGCCAAGCGCGCATCGCGTATACTTGATGGTACCTCGGTCGATACCCAATCATCCGAGTTAATTGAGGATATCGAACAGGGGGACGACCGTGTGCTACTAAAGATGTCCGATGCGAAGAAGTTGGCCTCGATCCTAGATGCCCCCGAGCTGGCTCTAGAGGCTGAGCGGGCCATCGTCCAAGTCACTGAGCAGCTGGAAGCCCAGAAGAAGAAAGAAAAGGAGGCCCAATCTGAGGAGAAGAAGAATTCATGATCTGAAACTAGCATCTTTCTGCTTTAATGTTTTGGGAAAGGGAAAGGCAACCGGATAGAGAAAACCCCACTTCGAGTACTTACTTGTCTTAATAGTTGATGTACCATAGCCCATATAAACAGGCCCAATAGCTCTCCAATAGAGATTTCGCATGATTTTGTGTCTTTTATCTAGGGGGAAACCTGGCTTTTGACGTTCTCATCACGTCGTCATCTACACCTCGAAATCGTTGGTGACTCAGGCCGACCAGGGATGATGCACTAGTCTCGGGCCCCTCCCCGGAATGATACCCTGAGGGGTATTTCCCTAACAGATGCTTCTTTTCTTGCTTTCTCTCTATACCCTTTGCGAACATGACACCTATGGACCGTATTCCTCTTCTTGATCTATCTAGGGATAGAGACCCAGCCACGATCACCAGCATACAGAAGCGCTTCTTCGGTACGGTGTCTTTCGTCTCTGGGCGCCCGATCTCAAGAGTGCCCATTCTCTTGAACTAAAGCAGAAAGTCGGTAATTCTCTCTTTTCGTATCTCATACTTCAGCAGACTGAAAGCATCCAGGCTCGTGAATTCTTTCAGCTCCCGATTGATGTAAAAAGAAAAACGACAGGATATTCTGCTTTCGACTCCGAACTTATTCGCGGCGACACTCCTATTCCCAAGGAGTCAATCTATTTCTTTCGAGGGGCAGACATTCAACAAAATCCGCCTCCCATGGCTCTTCGCGACTCTATAAACGTGTTGCATGATGTACGCTTCATCAGTATCTCATTTCGAGACATTCCTCGGACTAACATATTGGCAAAAGAAATGGAGACCGTTGAAAGACACCATCTTCTCGATCGTTTCTGATGAAATCCTCAACTCCAGCGTCCCTTTGACGGGGACTCCTCAGCTAGATACCGAGTCCTTTGGGATCAACTTCTACGACCCACGGCAACTGGACAATGAGATAGCCGAGTATAACCCTGCACACATGGATACCGGTACATTGATATTATTGATTCGGGATGATAGCAGCCACGATGGCTTGGAGATTGCCGATCGTCTGTCTACAAGCAAACTCGGTAGCAAGGACATAGGACAAGAGGCGTCCTTCCATCCTGTCCCTGCAAACCCTGATGAAGTTCTTGTACTAGTAGGTACCCGCTTGCAACGGCTATTGGGCAGAGACAAGGTACGAGCATGTGTGCATCGAGTTCGCGGACCTGCTCCAGAAAGGAGACAAGAGGAAGAACCGAGGTTGAGTTTTACGATCGCTTGCGCTGCGAGTCCCCCTCCTGAGGTACAGCCTAGCAATAGTTGATGAACTGCATCCTCTCGACTTTCATTGTGGTGATTTGCGGGCAATGAAAATGAAATTTCAAGAAATGAACATATTTTAGCTCGAATTATCGCCCCCAACTTTGGCCTCGCACAATAGATTCAACTTAGAATAAGCGTATCACGTCGGAGGTAGCCTTGCCCGGCGTAATGTACATAACCCGGAGGCCTAACCCAGAAAAGAGTGTCTTGTCTCATTAGTATCGCTCGACTCGGAATTATTGATGGCTGTGAGCCTCTTTCTTCTCTTTAACTCTCCTATGTTCAATCTGGACTAAACTCATCCTACAGCCATGCTATTGAAACTACCCAGGGAAGGGCTTACATTGGAGGCTCTATTCCCGCCTCTCAAAATTCTCCTCCAGCTGCTTGTCACGGGTGGACTACTCTTGATTCTGAGATGGGAACCTGCAAAGTCGAATTGGTTGTTCGGTTCAGTAAGTTTTGCAAGTGATCATGGGGCCCAGAAATGGTGCACTGTTCTGTTGGGGGCCGGAATTCTCTACCAAACCAATAGATGGCTTTCGAGGCGATACCTCAATGCCTTTACAGGGAATACCAAATGGGACTCGACGAAAGACCTTATGGTCATCACTGGAGGATCTAGTGGAATTGGAGCTGCGGTAACATCACGCTTATCAAACGATGGCACCAAAGTCATCATCCTCGATATACAACCTCCCTTGGAGAAAACAGGTATCTACCCTCTTAACCTTAATCGGATAAGGAGTTGCTTACATTTCATAGCGGATAATGTCTTCTTCTACCCAACGGACATATCATCATCAGCGGAAATTGAGCAAGTCGCAGAGAAAATTCGCCGAGAACACGGCAATCCAACAGATTTAATCAATAACGCCGGCGCCGGAAACGACATGCTGATAACAGACCAACCGACCGCAGAGACCGAGAGGATATTCAACATCAATATTCTCTCCCAATTCCGCCTCGTGAGAGAGTTCCTTCCCGCCATGGTCAAGCAGAATCATGGTCATGTCGTGGCCGTGGCGAGCATGGCCTCCTTCATTACGCAAGGGAAGAACGTGAGCTATGCGTGTACAAAGGCAGCAGCCTTGGCCTTCCACGAAGGGCTTACGCAGGAGCTAAAACATCGGTATAATGCTCCGAAGGTTCGCACAACGTACGTAAATGCCTATTGTTACTCGTGTAGTACACGGTTTGGTCCGTGAGTTAACATTAACCTAGAATTGTCCACCCAACACTTACTCGTGCCCCTCTTGTGGACATTATTACTAGAGATGAGAAGTCGAGGAACTTTTGTCTGGAACCAGAAACTGTTTCGGATGCTATCGTTGACCAGCTTTATTCTGGAGAGAGTGCCCAGCTAATATTACCTGGCCGATTCAAGTTTGTCAGTGGCATCTGCGGGTTTCCATCGTGGTTTCAGGAGTTGATTCGCGATGCGTTAACTTCTAGTCGCAAGTTGAAAGATTCCTAGTATATCAGGGTGGATGTCTCGAGTACTCCATGAGCGTGTTCAACATCCATGAGGGCCTATCACGCTACGACTTATATATTTGCTAGTATGGATTTAAGCTGTATCATGCTTAGGGGTTTTCATTATGTGGATCTTTATTGTCTTTTTAATCTAGTGCGGGTCATCAATGACTTGATATGAATGCTTAGTGTATGTCTACATCCTCGCATGTATATATTTCCGCCCAGGCCAGGAACCTACCAACTAGGTACTCATATCTAGGCAACAACATATTCCCACCACCTATCGTAAGGTTGTGGCATAGGGATAATTCGTCTTAGACATAATTCAACGAGTGTAGTAAAATCTAAAAAGAAAATAAACCATGTTTGTAACCAAAAGGAAGGGTGCCACATGATGTGAAAAAAAAAGAAATGAATGAGTGATAAGAGTGAGATTCGAACTCACGCCCCGTAAACGAGATCAGGATTTTATGTTAAGGTGGACCTTAACCTGACGCCTTAGACCAACTCGGCCATCTTACCAACTTCGATGTATAGAGATCCAGTCTTTTGCTCTATCGACCACGTTTATGCTTTGAAGGGGAAACCAGTTGATTGGAGTACTCTACAGGTAAAGCATAGGAACGAGTATCCTGCCTATAGACTAATGATGCATATCTAATAGTCACCCGAGAAATTGTAGTTCCAAACTAGCCCACAAATATACGTAAAAAATTCAAATGTATTTCAACCAGCTCATTACAGTCTATATACTCTGTAGTATTGAAGATTAGCGCGCAGTAAACAACGATGACCTCAGATCCCCTGAAGGCGGACAGCAGACAGCGGGCCAGTCCGTCTTTACCCCCCAAACTCCCGGATCATCCAACCTCCAACTCCAATTCCTACAACCACACCATGTCGAATAAGAAGATCGAGCAATGGGAGATTGAGCGGTATTGGGAGATCTTCTCCTCGCTCTCGAATGGCCAGTCACACCTGAACAGTTCGCAGGCTGCCTCGGTGCTGCGCAACAGTGGCCTGCGCGATGAACAGCTGGAGAAGGTCTGGGATATTGCGGACGTGGACGGCGATGGCGAGCTGGACTTTGAGGAATTCTGCGTCGCGATGCGCTTAGTGTTCGACCTTGTCAATGGCGTATGTACCGCATGGAAATTACAGTTTGCGAGGCAGAGCGACGAAGCTAACGAGAACGTGCCCAACTACAGGAGCTCCAAGAAGTCCCGCCCGTGCTGCCAGACTGGCTCGTCCCCGAATCCAAATCACATCTCGTCCAAGCCACGCGGGCATTGCACCGCCCGGAACAATTTGAGCGGATAGAGGATGAGGACGAATCTCTAGGATTGAAAGATGGATTTGACTGGTACATGAAGCCTGCCGATAGGTCGAAGTACGAGGAGATCTACAACTCCAGCCGAACCCAACGAGGCGATATTACATGTGAGAATCCCTAGTCCCTACAAGACTCTCAGACTTTCAGAGCAAATCGCTAATCCAAGACCTCCAGTTGAATCTCTACAACCACTCTACGAGTCCCTCGATGTCCCAGACACCGACATCCGCTCTGCATGGAACCTCGTCAACCCCTCCGCATCCCAAGCCATCAATAAAGACGCCACCCTCGCATTCCTTCACATCCTCAACTACCGCCACGAGGGCTTCCGCATCCCGCGCACCATCCCAGCCTCCCTGCGATCTTCCTTCGAGAGCAACCAGATCGACTACCAAATCGATAACAATGCCCGCCCCGCACAGCGCTGGGGCGCCGACGGCAGCCAGGAGACAAGAACCGGCCGCAAGGCCAAGTTCGGCGATACTTATCTGAGCCGATTGGGCGTTGGCGGCAAAGGCTCGTATCAACCCAAGGGCACGGACTTTAGCGAAACGATTCAGGACGAGGAGTGGGAGAAGGTTCGGCTGCGCCGGGAGCTCGCTGAGATGGAGGCTAAGCTGCAATCCGCTCGAGAGGCATCCGAGACTCGACGTGATCGGCCGCGTAATGACGGCCGACCTAACTGGGTCTTGATCAAGAAGGAGGCACTTCAGCTGCTCGAGTACAAGGAGCGGGAGCTCCGGGAGCTGCGAGAGGGTGTTGGCCGGGCGAAGGATGGCCAGGATTTGGAACGGGCGCGGGAGGATGTTAAGACTGTGGGTGAACAGGTTGAGAGTTTGAAGAGTCACCTTTCTCAGCGGCAGGGTGTCCTGGCTGATCTCCGCCACGAGATTGAAGAGGAGAGGTCTCGACGCTGAGCATTGAAATACTCTTGTCACTCGTGTTGGCATACTTCCATACACCTTAACCTTCTGACCGTTGATATTCATGTACAGCCATAGTTCTGGCGAGGAGCTCCAGGCGCTTAATGGAATTTTTGTTTATTGTCAGTGAAGATGGATTTAGCTCTCTCTAGCGAAGTCTAAAAGCACGTATTGTACAACGAAGGAACCACTCCACTGCCACAAATCCCAGCAAGAAAGACATGACAGCAGCAAAAAGCCCACAAAAGCCACTCATACAGTTGGAAACAAGACCAAGTCCTTTTAAGACAGACCACCGCCAATGAAAAACTCCCGAATAAAACACCGACCACCAGGCTCGGGACGAAAAGCATACAAAAACCCCCAAAAAAAGGATGTAGTCTTAGGACATCAAAGACTCGCCAGCATCACGCTTAGTTTCAACAGAAACAAAAGCCGGTCCACTCTGTCCAAGACCCTTTTCAGCTCGGACATAAGCCTCCTCGCTCCGATCCGTAAGGATCTGAAGATCCTCATCCGAAAGAATAGCCGCGGGATCAGCGCCTGTTTCGAAGCGCTCGAATTCATCTTCGCCGAGGGCCTTCCTCAATTCTTCAACGTCATGGGCACTACCAGTGTCGAGGAGAGACCGGAACTTGCCCTTCTGAATGACCAGACGTTCAAGACGACGCTTGGCATCTGCTTTCTCGAGAAGAGTCTGCTCGACGGTGCCCTTGGTCGCGAGTCTGTACACGATCACGGGCTTGGTCTGTCCGATGCGGTGTGCTCGGTCCTGAGCTTGGAGATCTTGTTGTGGGTTCCAGTCAGAGTCGAAAAGAATGACTGTATCCGCAGCGACGAGGTTAATGCCTTGTCCACCAGCACGAGTGCTAAGCAGGAAGATCTTGTGCTTCTTGTCCGTATTGAATGCCTTGATTTGCGCCTGTCGGTCGGCCTGGGCGATTGCGCCGTCGATGCGGCAGCAAGGCCAGTTGCGTAGTTGCGTCGCCCAGTCCTGAAGGATGTCGAGCTGTGTCTTGAACTGGGAGAAGATGAGAATCTTGTGTCCCTTTTTGAAGAGATAGGGTACTAGACGGTCAAGGAGAAGCATCTTGCCGGACGCAGTTACAAGGGTTTCGTCCACTGTCGAGGATTCGTCCATCCAAGGCCAGTAGAAGTTGTGGGGAGAGTTGCAGGCCAGGCGGGCTTGCATGATGGGATTCATCATCTTCTTTTGGCTGATTTCTTTCTCTATTAATGTGTTAGTAGGCAAAGCATGATAAATGTAGAATAGCTGTAGCGAACGTACTTGCAAGCTTGAGATTGTTTGCCCGCTCAATCTCCTCAATCTCGGAATCGTTCGGCTCGTCTAACTCCTCTTCTTCGTCCTCGACTCCTTGTTCAAGCTTCCGCAGCTTAGAATTAAACTCTCGGTCGCTAATATCCTTGTAACTCTGAGGTCCTCTGCGCCGTCTGGCTGAAGCCGTGCCGCTGGCTGGCTCGCTGTCTCGAGCTGTGCGCCGACTCTTATTGGGCGTCTCTGATCCATCACTGCTGCGACGACGCTTCAGGCTGCTAGAGCGAGTAGGGGTAGAGCTCTTGGCTGTTAGACGCTCTAAAGCCTTTCCTTCAAGATATTGACGTCCGGTGCCACTCAAAATCTCTCTGTAAAGCTCTTTCTGTTCAGGAGTAAGCGGAGCATACAGAATGTACTCTCGCTTCTTGGGTAGAGAGTGCTCCACGTCGGTCTTGACACGTCGTAGGAGGAACGGCTTCAAGATGGAATGCATGGTAGTCACCAAGTTGCGCTTCCGGCGCTCGATGACTTCTGCCTTGCCCGAATCATCTAAAACAGAAGAGAAGTCGAACCAGCTTTCGAAGCTCTTCAGATCATTGAAAACCTCAGGAAGCAAGAAATGTAAGAGCGACCATAGCTCAGAAATGTTGTTTTGCAATGGCGTGCCAGTAATGAGCAATCGATTAGCAGAGTTGTATGTCATTAATTCTTTGATGAGCTTGCAATTCATGTTCTTGAGGCGATGGCCCTCATCCTGTAGACTCGATTAGCTTTGTTCATGTCAGGATGAGTATTCTAGAACTTACCACCACAATGTACCTCCACTGGTACTGTCCAAGAAACTTTGAATCATTGATGCAAATGTCGTAAGATGTACAGATGACCGGGAAATCCATCTTTCCCTGATCACGCGGTTTCATGTGCTTATTTCTAATGGCCGCGCGCTCCTCTTTAGTGCCGTGATAAAGAACAGTCTTAATGTCGGGAGTCCATCTCTTGAACTCGTCAATCCAGTTGCTCAAGGTACTAAGCGGCGCTGCAATAAGGTAAGGACCCGAGACATTGTTCTCTTTCAAGAAAGCAATCATTGAAATAGACTGTACGGTCTTGCCTAGACCCATCTCGTCTGCAAGAATACCGCAAAGTCCATTCATCCAGAGGGTCTTCATCCACTCCAGGCCCTCCAATTGGTAGGTGCGCATCTTGCCGCCGGTTACCAGAGCTGGCTGCTGGGTGGCGACAAGCTCTTGTTCACCAAGAGCAGTCGGATTGGCCTCATAATCCTCCGCTGCCTGCTCAAGTGCCTCTTGAACAGTGGGATTATCCTCTTCAACTTTGACATCGGCTTTCTGAAAGTAGCTGGAAATTGTGTTCCCATTGGCTCCGCTCTTGCGAGGGCGGCCTCTTCGCTTCGCGACAGGTTCATCTCCGGTAGTTTCCTCGGCAGTGTGTTCCTCTTTGACTTTATTTCGAGTTTCGCGTCGAGTACTCGCTGCGGGCTTTGGCTTGGGCTTTTGTTCGGTGGCATCTCGTTTCTGGGTGGCGGCCCGTTGCCTAGCCTCTTCCTGTTGTTTCTTCATCTTTTCCGACATGATGGCAACAAAGACCTATAGAACGAAGGAAGGTTAGCTGTCGGCTCTAGCGAGACGGTCATACAGTAGCTGCAGCTTACCGAGCTCGTCTTGAGAAGGTGCATCAAGGCCTTTGCCTTGACATCCATGCCTTCTGTATCGTCCGCATCTTCAGTCGCCTCTGTGGCGTCGCCATTCAGCACGCTTGTTTCTTTCCCTCCATCTTCATGTTTCTCCGCATCCGTATCCTTCTCCAAGGGATCTTTCGGGTCCTGATCGGTAGGCTCGGTCATCGGCGAAGAGGGCACGGTCGACTCGGGCTGGATTGTCCCAGCCCGGGAATCGGTAGGTGTTATGGGCGAGTCCACCGCAGACATTGCGAGCAGAGAGAGGTCCTTGAAAAATGATTGCACGAGCGACCAGGTTTGAAAATGTATAGGCAAGAAAGAGTGTGTAAACGAGTGTGTGCTAGATCTCGATCCAGGAGAAGTCAGACGTCATCCCCAGGGGTGAGAATTTGTCAAAAACCAGATTCTTGGGAGAAGTAGACAGAACAGCAACTCTCTAAATGACACAGCAGTTCTTCCACAACCTTCTGCAAGACTCTGAACTCCGCTGGGAATCAACTGTATTCTCGACGAGTACTTAGTCTCGACAAGTCTACGCGTGTCTGACGCGGATTTTCGCGTCGGGTGCACGGACCAAGTTTTAATCGAAGACTCCGAAGTATGTACATGGCTACATGGCTAGAGCAAAGATCGAAATCAGTTTCAGAACACAGAGATTCTTTCTCAAGGCCTGTAAAACAGGCTAATCTAGATATTCTACGGCTACAGAGTCCTTTTCCTCCGCAGTACAGTGCTGTGCCATAAATTATCAAAAGCGATGACAATGCCACCACAAAAAGGCCGAGGAATCTGGCAGGTTTGGACATGGTGAAGAAGAGAATATAATCTTAAGTAATTTCATGATATCTACTTATAAGTACAGCTGACATAGTTCAAATAAAATTGAGATAGGTATATAGGGATCTTCGTTATTATCGCAAGCAGTCTCGCGTGATCGGCATTGTGATGGAGCATACTGGTAGTATGGTCTAAACAAAATCATTAGCACGGATTTTCACGCCTCTTGTCAGCATCAACTTACCCTCAAGCAGTAGAAGTCAGGGAAAGTTGCTCGTTCAGGCTCTGGTCCCAGACAGCAAGCACAAGTTCCCGCTTCTCATTGACACGCAGGAAGTAACCAGAGCCCTGAGCAACAAATTGATACTTGTTTTCGCCGGCAAACTCGAGAGTATAGATCCGGGGATCTTCTGCTGTAAAGCAGGGGTAGTCTGGTTTGTCACCACAGTGGAGGTAGCCGCCGAGGATGTTTTCAACTAAGAAATCACGATCGCTCGAGCCGCTGCGAGAGAGTAACCAAGTCTGACCAGGGTGGTCATCCTCCTTCTGAGTGAACTCGAGGAGCCCATCATTTGCCGTGGTTTCACTCAGGACCAGAGATGGATCGAGAGCGGCGGAACCAATCGTATAGGATCCTTCGCTGAGAGAGAAGGCTGACTGGCAAAGAGCGGCCAAGGCGCCGAGAGCAAAAGCGGCCTTCATGTTGCTTGTAGGTTGTAGAATTGAAATACTTGGACACTTACGATTGCAATGAAATTGGGAAGAGAGATCAACACTGTCGAGAAACATCTTGGAGCTTATATATTCTCTTCCCCTGAAAGAGATGTTGCTGGGACTCGTGATCCGATGAATCGTGCATTGACTATTGATATATACGATCCAATATATGCACACAGCCCCACCTCTTAGGATCGATCATCTCCCTCCGTCCCGTCGTTCATCAGCTGCTGCTGCGTATTACCGCGATCTATTTACTTACTGACAGCTTCATCACACGCGTCTTGAAAGGTCAAATGTCAACACAATTGTTTGCAGCAGGCGGTAGGAATCTGACCACTCAGTACCTTTAGCCAGAATGACAAAGGTAAGCTAGTTCCTGTAGCCTGCACGATATCCTTGTATTTTATCGAAATATTATATTAGTAAATCACACTATGAAGCGGGGAAAGATACTATATTCAAGTAACTTGCCCCTCGTCTATGATACCTTTGGACAACACGAAGCCGATAGTTAATTTCTCGAGCATTAGCTCAGCCAACATGTAACGAGACTTTACTTCGTTTACGTTACATGACAATTAATACTACCATATTCAACGCATATATTAGCTATGATCTTATATTACCGGGTCGACGTAATACAAATCGATAAATTGTGAATTCGACTGTAGTATCGGCTTAGCGTTGTCCAGACAGTGTACGCACCTTTCCACCTTGAGCCAATAAAATTCTTTGACAACGTTCATTTTTACATATAGTATCCTGCGTAACTCGACACAAGGTCTTTATTGAGTGTTACCATTTTCCCTTCGACTAAAAGTGGGCGATGCTAAGAAGCAGGGGTTGATATAGCCATCCAAATATTACCTACAGTAACTGTAATCCAAATCACTTCATCTTGTATCAAGCGCGGTCAGATTTTCCCACTAAGGGCTTCCACGTTGCCATGCTAATCCTGGAGAGAGCCACACTCGGTGGGATAATTGCCGCTTCAACGGTGACCTTGGACAGGTTCTTTACTCTTTTTGACTGTTTCCCTGTGACTTACGAGCCGGAAAACATTATGTCTGTGGGTTTCAGCCCAATAGGCGCCAGAAATGTCACGAAATCGTTCCACATAATCAAACCCTGCAAGCTGTAGAGTTGAAAAAAGATCCCGCACCCAGAGGAAGCGCACACGGTCCCTGGAGTGGGAGTACACCCGCGAGGCCTGGATGGCAACGAGCAGCCCATAGTGGAGACCTGATGGACTCATCTTAACTTGACCAAGGTATGGAAGACAGCGAATGGTCTTGCCGACGTAAAATGCAGCAAGTTTGTTTGCCTTCTCTTCGAGAGAGCGTTTTGTTATTGGGGTCCGACCAGGCGTCTGTGCTCCAACAACACTCTGGCAATAGCAGATAAGAGGATGAGTAAACGATAACAAAAGCCAGAAAAGAATGCGAAGAGTGGCATCTTCAAGAGAGGAGAAGCGATAGGCAGGACCAAACAGGTCATCTGCTGGGGATATTCTCGTATTCAATTCATCACGAGCGTATAATGGGGGCTCCCCGGGGATGCCATGATTGATCTTGATATCAAGGTCCCGAGCGCCCATTTCGACGTCCAAGGCGTTGTCCAAAAGAGACTGATATGCTTCATGATCGGAAACATCTGTATTGTCAACGGCAGCGCCAATGCGTGATATTTCTGCCATATATGCAATCAATTTTTCCAGTATTCCATCTCCTCTAGGCTTTTTAAGCCACTCAATAGCGTCTGGAGAGAGATGCATAAATTCAGCGAGTACTATGCTCAGATTATGACTCGGGCCATAGATAGTTGCCAAGATCGGACTCGTAAACGTTTTTGGGCGATAGCATTTCATAATTGCCTCTAGCCCATCGAGATGGGCCACCCATTCAGTGAGGCTAGATGGGCAATAGTGAATCTAAAAAAACGAACAGTCCATTAGCATTAGATAACAGCACAAAAAGAAAGCTTAGTGCTCACCTGGATTTGCTGGAAAATAAAACAAGTATAAATAAGCTCATCAGTGTAACTCTTGCGACTGATTGCTTTTGACATCCTTTGAATTGCTTGATTGTATAGCTGGAGCCCATAGCGCAAGAGCTGCTTATCATCATGAAGTTTGCCTATGAAAACACATGACAATGCCGACAATGCCTCTTCTAACATTTGGCCTTTCTGAGGGAGCCCAGCTAAGCCCGTCAGAATGAATTGCCTCCTATCAACATTCCTGTAGTATTCGCCGCTGCCATAGCAGAAGGTAGCGAGATAGCGCGAGCAAATCTGGTCACGTATCACTGGGCTCAAAGCTACCGTTTGAAGCATGCGGGGTACACCTAATGACCCTACATCCTTGGCCGAGCCCTTTAACTCAGGAGAAGGGTCTTTCTGCAGTAGGGTTGGCAAAAACAAACGCAAGCCATGGTGTTTGTCAATGTCAATATCATCTGGAATGACATAAGACTTTGCTCGCTGGTCCCCTGAGCTAGGCGAACGGGCTGAAGGTCGTATAGCAGGCGTCTCCTCAGTGGGTTCCTTTTTGATAGGACCAGACCTACGGCCGGCACTATATCGAGCTTGAGCTTTGGACGCAACTTCCGCACTTTGGTCATAGACCCTCAAAGTACCAGGATCTCGATATCCGGAGCACTCTTGATCAACTCGTAAGCACTGTGAACAAGATGGCCGACGTTGATCGCACTGTACGCTGTTGGTTAACAGTTGTCTATCCTGTCCTGATGTGTTCACTTACTTGCAGCCGTCGCTTCCGGCACAACGCACACCCCATACTTGGTTTTCCTCTGTATATCATGACGATTCGTGGATCAAAGGATCAAAGGGAAATTCCTAATAAAGCAAGAAGTTCGCAGAAGAGAACTTATTATCACCGCGGGGGGACTGTGCCCTTAATATAAAAGTAACTTTGGCCTGCTGGGAACGAGGGGAAATGCCCCACAAAGTACCCGAAAAACAAAGGATCATTGCGCCGGATGCATAATTATTGAACATGCCTACGAGGCATGATAGTAGGTACTAAATATGTTCCTATTTTTGACGAGAATCGGATGCGACTTTTAACCGAAGAACTTTGGTTCTCTACCCCAAAATATGTCATTACAGATACCAGAAACTATTACCCACTAGGAGGTTTTAACGATTCAAGCTTAGAATATTCTGTCCATTTATTAGGCAGGATTAAAAAATGATTGGACCTAATCTCGCTTACTAACTATTTACCACTAACTAACTTAACTACCTAAACTTACCTACTTCCTGCGATATAATCTCGCAGGGGTATAAAGTAAATCCGTAGGGGATAAAATAATATGGAGTTTGGCATTGGTTTAGTGAGCGGTTGCTTTCATCAAGTTCTCAAATCTCTGATCACGTCATGAGCAGTCGCTTATCCCGTAGTTGTAAAGGTGGTCTAACCTTGCCAGCATGCCCACCTACGTGAACATACCCACCAGCCGCCACTAAAAGTGACCCGACAGCTTGTCCTCCCAGCCCCCAGAAGGCGCATTGACGAAAGAGGTCTGGGCGTTTCGAGTCTCCGACTCACCCGATGGGTTACATCTCACCATGACCTGTCACGTAGCATATCAAGCACGGAGAAGTCAATCCCTGCTGAATCCGTATTCAGTAATCTCTTCGGCATAACTAGGGAAGGCTTTTTTAACTTCCGGCATAAGTTCATTAGTTAATAACTGCTCTGCTTCTGATTTATGGGATCTGCCGTGGGGGCCAAAAAAGGGAAGCTCCTATACTAAGCCATTCTAGGTAACCAGTTCGGAGAAAGCGAGATCCGCATCCAATTGTTGAGTCCTCAGTATTATTGTTGAGTGATCAGCACACCGCCAATCAATCCTCTCGAAGAGTTTATTTTTTCTTAACTAGTCTGGATAAATCTTCCCAACGAGAGAACATAACCGTAATGCTCTAGCGGGATCTGTTATGTATAGGAGATCTACTATAGATCTATTCCCACTATGGGTACCTGATGGCCTGACAAGAGATAGGGCCTTTGTCACGGCTATAAGGATTCGGTTAGAAATGACCTATACATATCCTGGCAGCCTAGTTACTTAAAGGGTCACACTACATAAAGGACGAATCTCCGGGGATGCTCTTGCAGCTTAGCTAAAGGGTTACGACTGTGTCATTTAACTACTCATATTATTATTGCGTTTTTGGTCTCTCTCTTCTGCTTGAATCTGCTTGATCTAAGTATAACTGTTTATAAAAGTAACAAGAAGAGACCCTCGAACACCTCAAGAAACGGCCTTGAAATAATTTGATTTATGACATTCTTCCTGAACCCATCAACAAGCTTTCTACCCTGCAAGTACTGCAGATCTTTTCATCACGGAGTCGCAGTTATCTTCAGACTCCGACTGTCTTTAAAAAGTAAATAAAGCTATGTCGATCATGCCAGGCCGAGATCCTTGGGGGCCAAAACAAGCCTTCTGTCATTATGCGTTGTGATTGGCCAGAAGGGTATTAATTTACGTTTAAAGGTCTCGAACTTGTCCCGTCGATCTCTTAGGTTTGCATCGGTTACGTGGCTAAGAATTGTTTACCACATTGGGAACCCCGGAATGCCGATCAGAAGCTTGTGTCAATTGAGAATGAGCAAATCAACGATGTCGAAAATGAAACCTGGCCCCCAAGCCCCCACCGAGCTGGTTACTTAATTAAGATTAGCGCGCTCGGTTATCTGTCTGGCGGCTCTAGACGAACCGCAGCCGATGGGGCATCTTGCAGTAGCGCGCAGCGCAACGAAACCTTTGAAATTAAGTAGTTATGAAACAAGGTGTTGACTACACATCATAGAGAGAGGATACTGATATAGTATCGGAGCGCATTACCTTCGACGCCCCCACTCGCTTCCACGTAGCTGATAACAATACATGGGGCTAAAAGTGCGCCAGTAAGCCCCGTCGGCTTGGTTTAGGCCAGGCAGTGTACTATAGTCCCACCTTGGTCGGCTCGGTATCTTCAGGACTGAAGAGTTCACAAGGCAGTTTTCTGAAAGTGGATCGCTTTTGATACGTGCTAGACTCTTTCTGGGAAGTTTGCGTTGACTAGGATGATCTTTCTATCTTTGAAGCGCGAATTTAACGGCTTGAAGAAGTAGCCCCCGAGGCTAAAATGGGCGTCTGTATGAGAGAGAGAGATACCTAGAAGTGCATAAATAGGCCGATTCCCCTGTCGTGAAAGTAGTCCACAACAGATTCTTTCTATCATCATTTCATTGAGCCTCAATCACCACCCCGTCTTCTTTTCTGCTCAATTCGATACAACTACGACAATGGGGAAATTAACCTACTCAGACGACATTTCCATCCTTCAGTTGATTGTATTCCCATTTCTTCTTGCTTCTTCACTCTATGTCTGGAAACGAACAGGATGGAGAGCTGGCCGTCATACCTGGCGATTTGCCGTCATCCTATCTTTGCTCCGCATCGTCGGCAGCATATGCACACTGGCCCAGCTCAGTTTCAACTCATCCAACCTCAAGATTGCCGCAGTTGTGTGTAACTTGATTGGTATTGCCCCACAGTCGCTTTTGTATATGGGTATTCTACAACAAATGTAAGTTGAGGACGATGAACCACCCTGATCGGAGGACACATTCTAACAATCGTGTTTCTAGTGATGTGGAATACCGAATCCCCCCCAAACCCCTCAAATCCTTGTCGCTTGTTTCATTGGTTGCTCTTATTATCGCAATTGTTGGAGTCGACAAAACCGAAAAGTCGGGCAACATGAGCGCGCTCCTCAAGGCAGCCATGATCATCTTTCTCATCGTCTTTGTCGTCATCATGGCGGCGACTGCTTGGCTGTTCAACGAGACTAAGGGCACACTGCGACGGTTCCAGAAGAAGCTTTTCATTGGAATTTCTCTTTCTGCTCCCTTCTATGCAGTGCGCTTGATCTACGCCGCGATCGCTGATTTGGGCCATTATGAGATTTTCCAATCCGCCCTCAGTGGCAACCCTTCCCATAGCAGTCTCACACTCTCTCTGTGCATGTCTGTTCTGGAAGAGATGATTGCTCTGGCTATTGCTGTGGCTTTTGGATGGATGGCTATCCTGGAGAGCGATTTCGTGACCCCCGGAGCTGCAGTTCCTCGGGATTTCGAGCAGGAGCAGCCGAAGCCCGAGGATGTATGATCTGGCAGATTTCGGGGGCCGTTGCATTGTTCTTTTGTTTTAATCATGTTCACGCTAATAGCTAAAGACGTTTATGTTAAAAAGGGATATACCCTTGGATTATGTTGTTAATAAAGATACGGGCGAGATGTCTAGTCGCTATTACGGAGAACAAAAATGTGGTCAATTTTACGAAGTGTATAATGGATTTTGCTTATATTCGTCAGTATAGCGGTCCGCTCTTATCCGAGGAATCAATTATTAAGTTTCAACTTATTTGTCCTATAGCTACTAGTCGCATGATTTTGTGTTTTAAATGTGAGCACCTAATGTGCAGCCACCCAATGCGCAAATACTCAAGGGTACCAATGCGCCTGGTGACGAATTGGCTTGAAAGTGATTAAATAGCTCACAGCAGCCCTATTATCTTCGGCTTTCGGATGTGGGTCTTTAAGTCCGAGGGGCTGGTCAGTGCTGTCTCCTTGTAGCCTGGGCCGAACAAAGGGCGTGGAAATTTGGCCCTGGAGAGTAATTGGGCTTAATATGCTAAGGTTTGATCGTTGAAACTGGTCTGACTACAAAAGAGCCTCCATCATAGTTCTGTTAAAAAAGTGGGATTTGAAATGGTGAGAATACACTGAAATTGATGTATTAAAAGCAAACAGAATATAAGAAACATTGAAGACCTGCTAATTATGTCTTATAAAGATACAATCCGTAACATTTGACGAAAATCCCCACCATTTCACCTATCTGATTCACACGCACTGGGAAGATGGAGGGATTATGCCGTCACCAGGACAGCCATACCCATCATCAATACAGCAGACCACAGCGCCGCACCCAGTGATCCTTGCACCGACGAAGAGCCGGAAGTCGATGAAGATTTCGTCGTGGTTTGGTTCGAAGCGGTACCATTCCAGCAATAACGCTGGAAGCACTTAGTACACGCCTCAGGGACGGTGGTACCAGTGCGATCCAAGGAGCGACTCAGTACCGCACAGCCCACGCAGGTCGACCACTCGTCATCTAGAGTACCATTTGCCTGAGTAGCAACATTGTAGCCATTCATGATAACGGCATCGCGCTCGGCATCGGTGAAATTCTCTGTGTGGATGCTGTAGTTGGAGGCAAAGCTAATGTCGTGGTTGGGCAGGTAAACGATCAAAGGTGCCGGGGTGGATAGGCTGGATGCATTGCAGCCGAAGAATGTTGGGCGAGTATTGAGCCCGTTCTTGAGGAAAGTGTCGACATCCGGGACAGGAGGGAAAGAAGTGTCGTTAGCCACGTTCAGCAGGGTCCGGTTGTAGGTGGCCACCAATGCTGAGCCGGTAGGCCAGTCGTAGTCGCTGTCGCCTCCGAGAGAATCAACAGCGAAAATTACGTCCACGTTGCGCTTTCTTTGGATGAGGGGGTAAAGTGGGATGTTTTCGCTGGTTTCGCCTCCATCTTGTACAACAAGGTCAACTTCATCCGCAACTGGTGATGTGGCCGTGTTGTACTTGTAGAAGGGATTGGGGTAATATGCAGGCCCATTGATAGTCGAGTTGGTCGAGCTCGTGGCGTTGAGGAATTCTTCAATGATGTATTTGAACAACTCCGCATCCGTGGAGTTTGATGAAAGTCCTTCCATACCAGCCTCGAAATAGTAGACAAGGTCTTGCCCATATTCATTCCAAATGTCACTTGAAGTGCCTGTGATGAAACCCGCATTATCAAAGCCACGGACGCAAGTATCATTGCTTGGGACTACACCATCAATGAACTGAGTCCCAAGATATTCCAAAGGTGTAAAGCCGTAGATGTTGTCATCATATGTACCCCACTCCCAAGGGGTAGTCTCATAGATTGGGTATTGTTTCGGCGAGGTACCGAGGGTTGATGTGTTACGATGATTTCCAGTCATGACTACCAACGGCAGTGGCATGTCACCATCTTGGAAGGCTTGCGTTTCTGCGATTGAAGACCAGGTGTAGTCGACACCACCATCACTGGCATTGAAGAATTGATAGCCTTGGATACGGCCCCTGAGAGAGGAAGTTAATAAGATTTTGTGGCCCCGAAGAGAAGGCCGGCTTACCAGAAGTCAGGATCACCAGTCGAAAATCCAGCTTCGCGTTTGCTCTTGACTTGATCCGATATGGTTGCCCAGAAGTCGACAGGTGACATCGTAGAAGGGCCAAGGACAATTTCATTTGTAAAATTCCAGAGGTTCTCTTGTAGATTTGACACCGTCGTGAAGTTGTTGATATAGATCGAGCCGAGCGCCCAGGAGCCACCGCTGAGGGCAGAAAAGTAAGTCGATGATTGCAGGAGACCACCCAATTGGCCCTTGGCAGTTGACCCTTCTGTGCGCTCATCAAAGGCCTTGATGGTACCACCGCCATTCAGGCATGCTACCAGACCACCGCCTGATATGCCAATAGCAATATTAGGCAGGGCGGAGTAGTTGCCCGAGTGTTTCTTGATGTAGCTGACCGCATCGAAATCGTCAATCTCGACATGGCCAAAGAAATCCTTTAGGGCAGTTTCGGTCTTCTGTCGTCGAGATTTAAGCCACGTTGTCTCTTCAGAGGACAGCGTTGAAGCGGACCGAATAGTAGGTCGGCTTGACGGACAGGTAACATGAGCTGGGGCATAACCATTTGGAGCATTTGGGAGAGCGCGAGGCCTGATATCCAGAGCTCGCGAAACCTGCTTGCCACTAACCGATGCAGGGATAGCATCTACGGCTGAGTGTGAATCATTTCTTTAGTATTCATATTCTACAAACCCAGAAGGCGGATGGGAATATCCGTAGTGTATATCAGGGACTTACATGGTACGGTGCCGAGGAAGCCCAAGGCCAAGAGTGCTGTAGTCTTCATGGAGCCGGTTGCTGAATTGGTTGACAGTAAGAGAGATGACGGGCTCTGAAGAGGACAACGCTGCACAAGTTGATGCTTTCATCTTTGGGCGGGGGTTATCGAGCTACTTATAACTCCAAGCTGCAGGGCTGTGCCCAAGCCAGTCGAAGCTTCGCTTGGCATCTTCAGTCTCCAATGTGACGATAAAGTAAGCGGAGAACGGAAGACTGTGCATTGGGGTGGATCTAAGGGATGCCCTGAGTCCTCTAGCCCTACCTTGGAAATAATGAGGGATTTCGTCGGGCTGGGGTTTAATCCCTATCGAGTAACCAGCTCGGAATAAGGTGGCTCTTTTTTTGTGGATCTGCACTGGGCACATCGTACATACTAAGTAAGGCTCCCAGACTAAACCAATTTAGGTAACTAGTTCATATCCACAGTACACGCTTAGTCTGGATTATATAGGCGCCACTGTGGGGATATCGGCAAATCGGTGGTTAGTCGGTGCGACTCGGTGTAGATCTGGTCAGGTACCAGATTCAGGAGTTCGGGGGGACCCCTGTAAATACTAAATTGCCAGTCACCTCAAGACCTGGAAGGAATCTGCCTTGTCAAGTTGTTATTCTTCTCGCTTATCTGTTCTTCTTCCTCTCACAGGTCAACATCATTGTTTTGAGTCTCGTCGTAGTGGGTCTTCGCTTTGCATTAGCTCGTGGGGGCTGATCCCCACGGGGCCTCCTCGTTTCCAGCCGAAGCCTTTTGACGGGAAGTTCGGAACAGTTAGCCCCCAACGCACCCTAAAATGATAAATCCATTCTTTTTCTACGTATGACTATGCACCAATTTTCATAAAATAAGCTCCACCTAGACACGAGCCGTATGCTTCATTTGGTCCTCCTAAAATTCGTGGCTGCTAAGAGGCCGCTAAAAGGGGGCCAAAATATACGAGCACTATCGTAGCCCGCTCAGCCCACTTCATTAAGACCATAATGGCAAGCTATTCATGACATGTTACGTAGACGTATGCAGCTTGAATGCTTGATCTTTGTAAAGCAAAGCAAGCCGTCTAAACAGGGAATGCATCCCGACGCTAAAACATACCTTTCGAATCAGACCGAGTCCTTTACAAGGCTGTTTAGTTTGCTACAGTCAAGGCTGTTTAGTTTGCTACAGTCAAGAGCAGACAGGAAACATGCTATATCATTCAACGAAGGAATCAAGTCTGCAGAGAAGAACGGGAAGGATAAGAGAGAAAAAGAAGAAACAGTGAACTCGATTACGTACCTATGGTCGAGTTCCCCGGAGATTGCCTCAGCTCGTCACATAGTTCACAGAATTATAAATAACGAGACATTGCTTCATGAACTTGAGATCGCCAACGAATATCTTTCCAAAAAAAAACCAGCACCATGACTTTATTTTCCTTACTCATTGTTACTGCCGGCTCGCTGGCCATTGCTGGAGCCAAACCGCTATCTCAACCCCCTCGCCAGCTTTCGAGTGCAACAACCCCTCTCATCGCAACTGGATATGGAACTGTGTTCGATGCACCAGTTACCATTGGAAACCAAACCTTCATGCTCCTTGTCGACACTGGTAGCAGTGATACCTATGTCATGCAGACCGGTTTCACCTGCATTAATAGTACCAGCAACCTCGTGATCCTCGAAGAGGATTGTGAGTACTCCCAGGAGACATACCACAAATCCAAGACCTATCGGAAGATCGCCAACGAGATGTTTGGTGTCGAGTATGGAGCGGGACTTGCGAGCGGTTCCATGGTCTATGAAGAAGTGTCCATTGGTGGTATAACAGTCAAGTCACAAAAGACCGCCATCGCAAACGACTCCAATCCCATGGGAGATGGAGTAAATAGCGGGTTGCTTGGTCTGGCTTATCCATCGATCACCTCGGCCCACCCGGCGAATCACACGGACAATTCAACGTACTGGTACGATCGTCTGGTCTATAACCCTTTGCTCTTCACTATGTATGAGGAGGGCTTGATCGATTCATACTTCAGTCTTGCACTGGCTCATACACCTCAAAATGCCTCCGTTACTTTGGGCGGGTATATGACTGTCGGTGGTCTCCCCCCCGTTGATCACAGCTCTCATTTCTCGACTGTACCTGTTGAGATTACCGAGGGAATTCCGCTGTGGTATACATCCGGAAAGAAGACTCAATCATACTGGTCGACGACCGTCAAAAACGTTAAGTACGGTGCATCATCTTCCGACAAGCTGACAACCAATTCGACTTCCTTCCAAGCATTCATTGATTCGGGAAATTATGTTTCGTACCTCCCCAACGAAATTATTGAGCCGATTAATGCCCTGTTTTCTCCTCCGGCAACCTACGATTCTGCATCAGGCGTGTATATTGTTGACTGCTCTGCGAATGCACCAGAGTTCGGTATCACGCTAGGTGATCAGACTTTCTACCATGATGGCTCGGATCTTATCTATCAGACCGGTGATGGTTATTGCTATTCAGCCCTGGCGTCTTCAGATGAAGTCTCTCTGGGTGGTATCACACTAAACATCATCGGTGTGCCCTTCTTGAAGAGTGTGGTTGCTGTGTTTGATTTCGGGAAGAACGAAATGCGATTCGCGAAGAAATATTAGAAGGGTTGGGGGAATTCTGGGATTTTGGGTTATCTATTTGTTGAAGTACCTGTCAAACTAATTTTCCAACTGTATCTAATTCGTCGTTCGATCATTTGCATGGATTGTGTTTCTGTCTCTGCCTGGCTTTGCTCAATTTAGAACATTTTGAACAGCCCCTCCCATTCACCACTCGTATCTGTTTTAGGAAGTATGATTTGCCCATACCTGGAACTGTATTTACGGTAATTTTAATGATCTACGAGAGGTATGTACATCGAAGAAAAGTGGTGGGACTGTCCCTGACTAAATTCAGCTTAGCATGACCTGTGGGGCTTTGGGAAAGAAAGCGTGTTTGCCATCTGGGAGGTAATCTATTTTGGAATATCTCAGAGGTAATTTATTTTGGAATTCTACTGTAAAATTCATGTATATCCCGGCCTTTTTCAATAGCCCCAGGATCGTACCATGTCCCCGGGACCAGAAATCGTAGTTACTAGGAGCTACACGTGTGCTGAGAACCATGTCGATGGCGTCTGGGAGGATTTATCATAATTTCCGGGAGGACCATAGGGCTGCAGCAAATCCTGGTCCTTGTGGGTCTTTTTAAAGCAATTAATAGAGCCCAACTCCGTTCCTGATTAAGTTTAGGCAAATCCTTTTTAGCCAATAATGAAAAATATGAAAATTCAAGAGAGGCGCCATCAAAGCTTTAATAGAATGCAGTGATAGCCCGCTTTTGTTCCAAGAACGGAATAGATCGCAACTGTCCGTGACCTCTTTCTCCTCGATTTGGGATTTCTGGAATACTGGGGTTAAGTCGGAGTTTATTTCGGATTTAAACTTAGAACTGGAATAGTCCTGTCGGAGCGGACGAATCCTGAGACCGAATTCCTAGTAGGGCTAGGCTCTTCCATGAAGTTAGGTGGAATAGCTACCTGATGTGAATAAATTTTCAATACAGTATCTTTCATGATGTCATGTGGCATAATTTGGGAAGCCTCATATCATTGATGCTGTCTACGAGAATTTAGTTTGCTGGAGCTAACATTGGTTACATCTACTAAGAGGAAGCACAAGTTCGAGAATCATACATTTCATACAAGAGGCTGCGACGACTAACATTGCAATAGATTGGAAAAAGATATTCCCCAAACTCACTCATTTACGATTGACACGCTCAACCTCCAGGTTCCCGAACATCTTCGTCGCCTGAATCCTACATGAGGGTTCGCATCCCCCTAGGTTCCTTGAATTCCTTGAAGAACAAGCGTCCAGAGTAATGAACCCATCATGTCCTCAGATGGATAGCCAATAGATACCGAATATTCAAAGCATGTAAATCACCAACAAGTAGATGGACAGAAGTCATATCGTCACCCATGTTGTCTGCACATCGTACACAATCCGACTCAACAAATACTCCCATGGCCGCTCACTTCTGCTTCTCTCGCCGTTCATTGTTGGCAAGCAGATGATCACTCCATGTTTACATCAGGGTCCGCAGATCGGGAGTTGGACCCATCCTTCAAGAGACCCCGGAGGTTCTCATTGAACTGGCCAGCCTCCTCCAGCAGCTCCTCCAGAGCGTCCTCGTCCAGCTCTGAGTTCTCCTCATACTCGACATCGGGGCGGGAGTCGTAGCTGAGGAAGAGCTTCTGGCAATCATTGGCCAGCTTCTGGTACCGGGCCTCCAGTTTCTGCTCCCAGGTTCCCTCCGTGATATCACGGGCCGTGAAGGGAAGACCGTTTGTCCCTGCAGCTCGCTTCTCGGCCTCGGAATCGAGCTTGGCCTGCTCAATCCGCTGGTTGTACCGGTATTGAGTGACCGGAGGTTCTGGTAGCGTGGGACCATCCTGGTCGGCCATGATAGCAGCCGCACCGTCCTTGCCCAAGGCCAACTGCAACCGTCTCTCGCGGGCAAGGTGGGCCTGGTTCTCGTCGGGCTCAGTGAAGAGCTGCTCCCAGTCATCCCAATGTTTCTGCAAAGTCTGCATTGGGTGCACGGTATCAACAGGCAGGGCGATTGAGCTACCTTGGCAGACATTATTGATAGCGGCCGTCTTCTCAGCCAGTGACAACGGCTCTGTAGGACAGGAATTCATGGGCATGATTGAAGACCCCTCGGTAGTCACAACAGGATGGCTCCGCTTGACGCGCTTTGCCACAGGCTCATCATCTTCGTCCAGCCGAAGTATTTCAATGCCATTGCCGCAGTCTCCGGCCAGCTCCTTCGAGAGACCTCGCTTCTCCAGGATTTGCCAAGCTGCGCGCACGTCTCTGGTCTTGTACTTCAGAAATTTCTGTTCTGGGTCATTGGCGATTTTCGATTGATATTCTTTGGCAATCCTACCAAGAATATGCGCTTTGGGCACATTCCGATCGTTGGTGCAGTCGAGCTTCATCAAGAATTGGAGCTGTTTGTCCCTCATATTCTTCAATTCTTCGTCCTCGCGTTCCAGAACCTTATGGTACCGGTCCAGGTACTCTCTGGCCTTTTTGTCTTGCTTTCGACTGAGACCAAGCCTATTGACGACATCCTCCCAGGTGTATTTCTCTAAGAGGTTGTCCAAGATCTCTACTTGGAGAGACTGAGTAAGATCTCCCCATTCGGGAACCCGAGACTCTTGCTCAGTTTCAACTTCGCTGTCTGAGAACTCGACAACCAGTCGGTTTGCAAGGTCCAGGTCATTAGAACCAGCTGGTTTCTTTTGTCCAGAGCCAGCCATGTGTGCCATGTTCCTCATATAGACCACGTTCAGCTCCGTGTTTCTGGCTTCCCAGTCCACATTGGCTCCGTCAGGTGCTTCATACTCAGCATCGACTTCATTGGCATCCGCGGGGTCTTGGTTCTTTGCTGGTTCCTGGTTTTTGGACTCATTGATGTCGGCTTCATCATCCTGACCACTGATTCTGAAGATCGGCCCTGGGTGATATGACTCACGAGGGAGAGGATCAAGACCTTGAAGACGTCTTTCGCGGTCTTCCTTGACACGGCGCAAGTGTCCTTCTCTGGTACCGGTAGGTATCGGCTGGCCAATTGTTGGGAGGCTTGGGAACGCGGCAGGAGGAAGGTTAGGATCGAAGAGGGGGATGAACGGCTTCACAGGACCCTTTTTCTTGGGTTGAGGGGGCGGTGGTTGATACTCCACTCCAGCCTTTGCGGCGCGGGCCTTTCGAATGCGCTCGAGGAGTTCTTCCTGAGTTAGAATTTCCTCACCGTCCTCAGGAGGCTCAGCATGCTCAGCTGGCTCAGTAGGTTCCGCAGACTTCACTGCATGCGCGGAGGGGCGCGAATTTTTCTTAGTGTTTGTCTTCTTCTTGACCATTTTGAAGTCTCGTGTTAGATTCAGCGAAGGTGGGTTGCGGGTGTTGGCATTTCACGGGACTTTGGAAACAGTCCAACGGAAATACCAATGACAGGTCTTTCGAAGATGACTCGTGAAAGATACAGATGAACGTGGGAGGCAGTGGTGGACGATATGTACAGCAGTCGGTGCTTTCTCACAGAGAGACAGCAAGAGGCTGGTGCCTCGGGGCCACTCGAGTGAGAGATGTGTTGAACTGATGACACAAGGCGTAGGATCTCACAAAAATATTTGTCTGGCAAGAAGAAATGGAGACAGTGAAGATGTAGGATAAGGCAGAGAAGGGACTGTTGGAAAAGCGTGGGATCGTGGAGGAATGTGGTGAAGGAAGATGGGGAAGAGGAAGCAAGAAAGAGAGAGAGAGAGAAAGCAGAGGTTGTTGATGTTGTGGATGGACACGCTCGCGTGTGTTGGCCTCAGAGTTGTCCATGCCTAGTTTGCCGACTTCTACTCGTTGACTAATATGGCAAGTACAGATCAGGACTGACCAGTTTGGTGGATATCTGAATATCAGCCAGTAATAAATATGGACTCTCTATCAAATGGGTATTTCCGTCGTCGACGACTAAAGCCATAGATAAAACAACTCTTGCTCTCTAAAAAATACAAAAAATGAAAAAGCCACCACATAAAAATATTGAAACATAACTGCCGCATTGAAAGCCATGATGTAACGTACCAGGCCCGTTTTGTCTACCTGAAGTTTGTCAGACGCAACAAGGTCTGTCGAGACGTGGGAGTAGAGTGCTCGGTCTCTGTTCAGCAAGCAAGTGCACTGCGATCTAAGCTACTCGATCCTGGAACGGTGCCCGCGGCATTCGATCCATGGATGAATGGCCCTTGCTGTCGATTTCCATATCACTATCGGCCATGTCGATATCGTTCTCCTGTCGATCCGCGAAGCTACGCTTCTTGGCTAGAAGCACAGGCGGAATGGGAGGAGGTGCCAGAGTCGTTGCTCCACTTTGTGTGTTGGCATGTTTGGCACTTTCGACGTCACGTTTGGCCATTAGGATAGACTCGAAGGCAGCAAGAATGCGTCTCATGGGATCTTCAATGGAGACACAGAATCGGTGCTGCTGGACTGCATGCGTGGCGCGAACAGCGTCCAGATTAAGCATGACCATGATATAAGCAATGGCTACGCCAGCAGAGCGTTCATTTCCCGATTCACAGAAGACCAGAACCTTCCTCTTGCGCAACGCGTCCCGGCCATCGGGGAGTTCAAGTCGGAGTGGTTATTATCGTCCATTCCTGCGAGATGATCATTGATTCGGCGGATGGCCCGAGGAAACGCGGAAATCAACTCTTGGTTATCAAGCACGTCGATCGTATCAGCCTTGATGCCGAGTTGAGTGGCGGCCTTGTCTCCAGACACGAGTCGCGCATGAGCGGATTGGCGATTGCGGATTGCTAAAAGAAGAGTGAAGCCCTGGCTGCGAAGCGACTCAAGGTCCCGGAGACATGAATATGGGCCCAGCGATAAGAATGGAAGGATAGGCTGAGCCTCGCGGCGCATCTCGTAGCTCCATTGCGAGTGGTTGAAGCGACGCGTGAACCCGTCGAGATACGCGAGGTTGAAAAATCCCGGGCAGACAAAGTCCCCATCAGCAAATTGGTGTGTTGCCCGGCTGAAGACCTTATTGTCAACCACCACGGTGTCGTTGTCATCATCAAATTGCCCAAGGCCGAAGTAGCCCAATCCTGGGCTCATACCAACACCGGAAGGGTATTTCGGAGCGGAGGTGTACTCCTGCGTGCGGACATAATGAGCTTGAATATCTTGGGACATTGGCACCTCACTCGACGGAGAGAAGTTGGACATGATGTCGGGCATGGCCTGTTATGCTGGACACGCGAGGTTGTTGAAAGAGGTTGAGTCTGCCACTTCAGTGGGACCGTAAGGAAAGAAGAGGGAAGACTAAAACTCCACTCGGCAGAACCTCAGAGCAGCTCAGAATTCAGCTTGCAGAGCCCCCACATGTCCAACGTGCTACAGGATACAGCTGCACTGTGCCACAAAAATTCACGCGGTGGCACAGATCGTAAACAACAGCAATGGATCCCGTCACCACCACCTAGCCGTCTCAGAGTGGCTTCAATTTTGGATCTGGTAAAAATTCCAAGAGATGGTCAAAACCCTTGTGGGCCCTTGAGTTATCCTGAAGGGTTCTTCATGCGTTGAATGAATGACCCCAAGAACGGGTCTAGAGGTGAGGTTGGTTTAACCTACCTGGGGAAGCTGCCAAGATATTATGTAAGACACTTTTTTTAGCCGCATGCGGATGAGTGGTCCTGCGTGGTAAATAGTTCTCCAATCAATCGAGGACATATAGATTTAGATTTGTATCTATGTCTTGAGTAAATATGTTCTTGTTGATTCCCTGGATTCATGAACGTCCGGGGGTCTTTTCGAGTGACCGGTCCATATTGCATATCTGTCTATCAGGCGGAATGGAGTCGATATCGAATGGCATGCATCTTCTCTACGAGAGCAGAGCGTGCTCAGATCAAAAGATTACAAAAAAAGGATTATTATTTATCCATATTAAATAAAGATTCAAAAAATAAGACCCGAAACCGTGCCGCCCAGGTGGGACATTGGCCCCGGTCACCCGCTAACTCCGCCCCACTGGCCATCCGGTACTTAAACCCGACGATCATGGGGAGAGTGGTGTCGATTAGACGAGTGCATCGACACCACCCGGTTTCGAACCTCCCACTCGCCCGAGGTTCATGGTAAGTCTAGTGTTTTACCACTAGGTTACCAGGGGTCTTCTTGCCAATTTGGAACTGGAAGTGATCCTTAGATTGTCAAGGGCAAACAAAAGGGCCTTAGTTCGAGCCCCGCTCGATTCTCCACTACCCGTGGGCTTCTTTTCGGTTCCACCCAAAGGCCCGATATTACTTGTTGATCTCGATATCGGGATTATTACCCCATGGGGTTGATTTTGATATTGACGGGAGGCCTCCATGCTGGACCAGATTGATCCCCACCCATGGCACTGGAAGCATCTGCGCATGGAAGTAGTGTGGCAAGAGTACGGTATACACCTGCACTTTTATGCCTCCACATTTCGACAGCATATCCACCCACAAGCCTTTTTTATGACCTTCGTGTTATGGACGTGCCGTGCCCTTCTACCGGAGCCATAAACCAGCACGCTATCAATTTTATGCATTTCTGCATACCCAAAGGGCATCCCACAGTACAGTTTGTCCATCATTACACTCCTCTGGATAGTCTGTGCTGACCCTCTGTCTATTCCACAGCACGACAGACCATGATACCCGAGCCATGCACCAGCGCACCATCGATGTTACGCATTTCTGCGTACCCAAAAGAGCATTTTGAGTATCCCAGGCTGCACTGTACCCATCACAACGCCTCTCTGGATAGTCTGTGCTAACATTCTATCTATTTCGCAGCATGACGGGACCATGACACCCGAGCCATGAACCAGCATACCAGGCACAGCCTTCCATATACTATTGTCCTACATACACGAAGAGATCCGATGCATCTGCAGATCCATGACATGCAGCGAGACAACATTCCGAACATTCCATGCAACATGCTGATGCTAACATCCCATCCATCCGACGCCACGCCTAACGCCGTCAAACCCGCAAGCCAAACCATCCTCTTCGATTACAAATCCACCCATCGCAACCTTCCTGAACCCCTAGGTTGCCTGTTCCATTTCACCGAAACCCGGAAATCCGACCTACTAACTCCGAACCGCATACCCTACACATGACTCGAAAGCCTCCAACAATCACACGGCTCACGATGACCATGACGAATCCGCCATCAACCATGACTCATTCGTATCCCGGGGATCCGGCGGTAGCCTTGTATGAATCGGGTGCCCGCGGACGGGAGACCAAGTCCACCATGAGGCTCATGCGCCGCTAGGCGGGATTACTAGATGGGGGCTGGCGGGAAGGTTCACGAAGGATAGGGGTCTAGATTTGGATGGCCTTAGGGGAGTGGGCTTGGGGGCCTCAGGTGCCGATGGTTGCCTGGCGCGGTGTGGCTGGTGGGGGTTTTGGCCCCCATTTAGGATCGACGGATCTACGGATGCCTTGTTTGCGAGGCTGCGAGGCTGCGAGGCTGCGAGGTACGGCAATATAGTTCAGGGATCGGGGAGGCAATACGAACTGCGATGCAAATGGATGGTGAATCTGGTATACATTAAGGGATATTACATAGAGAATAGGAGATTCGGTGCTGAAGAATCGAAGGCGCTAGGCGCTGCGGAGACTAATCGGATGGAAATGGCAAACGAGTTTGTCAAATAATAACTTGGGAATAGAAAGATAAGACAATGGTACAACTGGGGTATATGAGACGATGGATACACCTTGTGGAAAGAAAACCGCCTGACCCATTGAAAGCCAATGTCAAGCAAAACGCCTTAGGTCCCTAACAGCTAGCTTGACGGCCATCGACCCCCGGCCATCATCAACAAAAAACCCAGATGCAGTAAACATGGTGAGATAGGGGACTAGAAACGAGGAATAGAGAACAAAAGCAAATATTTCAGACCTCTGTTCGAGAGGAGGAACGCCCATGGAAATGCAAAGAACAAACATCACGAAGAAAACGATAGCCATCCCACATAATTAAGCGGTAGAGTAGAGAGGGAGGGGTAGGACCTAAAGCTGAGGAGCGGCAACCTGGGGCGCGGGGGGTGGCATCGCCTGCGTAAGCTGAGGATCGTGTTCGGGCACGGGCGGCTGAGGGATGGCTTGCTGGAGATCGGCGACGATGCGCTCCAGCTGCTCCAGGCGGCGATCCTTCTCCTGGACCTCGCGACGCAGTCGCTTGACTTCGTTGTGCAGATCATCGCCATTATCATGGGGATCGGTAAGGTCACCATCGGCCGAATCGCGCCCGCGCTTGAGACCACCAGTCGCCGGGAGGGAGTTGGCGCGAACGCCCTCCAGCTCGTTGGCGCGTTCCCATGGCATATCCACGAGAATAGAGGTTGTAGGACCTTCCTCCGTGTGCATGTGGCGACGGCGCAAGTGCTCTCGAAGGTTTTCCTGGCGCGTGAATCCGTTGCCGGTGCTGCGGTTGCAATCGGCATAGGGACACATCAAGGGCTTCTTGGCGTCATTGTTCTTCTTGTGGACCTCGCGCTGGTGACGCAAGAGACCACCAGAGTAGGTGAAGCCTTGAATCTTATCGCAACCAGGTTCGTAGCACTTGTAAGGGCGATCGTGTTTATCCATGTGTTTACTGATCGACGAGTTAGTATAGGGAAGCGCCAGCGACCGGCGACGGTCGCGTGGAAAGGGAAACGAATTAACTTACTTCCATTCACAAGGACGGCGGAAGGTAGGCGGCGCAGCCTGACAGTCGGTGTGGTCGCAAAAGATTTGGCCTTCGGCGTTCTTAGGAGGATCGCGGGCGCGTCGGACGGAGAGGCGTGGGCGCGCAGTCTCCATACCACCATAACCGAGGGCGGCAGCTTGTTCGTTCATTCTGGCAATTGAGGAGAGAGATTCCGTTGCTGAGGCGAGGGCAGAGGCAACAGTGACCACGTGCGGAGCTTCACTTCGCGGACTAGGATAGTCAGAGCCGTCGCCCATAGTATCGTGTCGACCCCACTCCAACTGAGGGGATTTGTAGTGGAATAGAGATACCGGCAAGACGCGTCCACCGATCACTCACAACCACACTGGGAGTTGGTTCGCAAGGGGGGAGATGGAAAATAAAGCAGAAACAATTCCTGAGGATCAGGAAAAGAGAAGATTCAAATAAAATTGACCGAAGTCGAGAGGAAAGAAAGCCGATGGCGTGGTAGTTGGGGTTGGTACTGGTTGATGGGGGGAGAGCGAAAAAGTGGCCCAAATTTTCAGGTCTCAAGGCAGCACCATCGCCCCTTTTATAACCTAAGGCCGCCTTGGTGCGTCAACCGCCACTGTGGCGCAGGAATTTTGCCGCGCTTCTCGGAGTTTCTGTTCGTCCACGACAGTCCCGGAGTTACCGACAAGCTGAAGAGGGTCCTCTTAAATTGTTCAGCAGGGCAAATTCGTCACTGGGCCGGAGGCATCTATATACTACTGCATGTATGCAGGCTTCGACCAGGGGGAATGCGTTGGCCTTTTAATGCTTTTCTTGCTTTGGGCGTTTTCATCCCACCCCACCATAGCCGATCTTGGATGGACGGTGGCCACACTGACTCTAGTACTCCCGAGCTGTTGTCAGTAATGACTCATACGATTGAACGAGTCCACCTCCGACCACGGCCATAGCGGTCTCACTAGGTACCAATAAGAATCGCTTTCTTCGCTTCGATCGACCCAGTCTTGGGTGTCCAGTCCTCAAGAAAATCAAGTCAGGCAGCCATCCTGGTAGGAGGAGGCCTGCGTGCCTGCGAAGGCTGCTCTTGCTGCACTTCGGCCCAGATCTATCGCCACAAATTGGTGCCTTACAAATCTAACGCTAGATGGAGCCCTACGGAGTCGCCTACGGAGTGACCTACGGCGTCTCCTACAGGATGAGAGAGTGGATGTACAGCGTGTACACTGTACAATACTTGTGGCGGTGAATGGCCCTGCATGGTCACGGGACTGGATGATCGCCATCAGATCACGTGGAATTATTAGGTAAGCCATATAGGGCAGAGGCTGTGCTCGTCTAAGAAGACTCTTGACTGGCTCCTGCATCTTTAGGCTGCCGAATATTCAGAGCTTTTCCCTCGTGGACGTCTGCTATGTTTAGATAGCATGGATACTAATCGGATCGACATGCAGAGTGCTTGCGAATCTTCAGGCGAAGCACCTTATTCATAGTCAAAATGTATTAGATTAAGTTCCAGAATATCCATGGCAGTGGCAGTGAACCCTCGACGGTTCTTGGTATTTCGCAGGCTACAACAATATACACGAATCCAAGGGTGGCAGCGCCTGTATCAAGGCGGATCTTCAACTAGGATTGTCGAACATTGAACAAGTTCCGTCAAAGTTTCAACGCATCGCCCCGCGGACTCCGGAGCTGATCCAATACCCACCGAATCTCGTCAGCAACTATATCCGGCCGTATCAAATGCACGTTATGTCCGCAATCCGGCAAATGCACTAGATTTGTTGTCGAGGAAAGTTGGAGCTGTTCCTCCTTCAGCTCCCGGTCTATTGCCTCCCATCGATCCAGGAGATCCCGGAAAGCTCGTTGCTGCTGTGGCGTCCCATTCCCTGCCTCAACACCCTTCTCATAGATTCGCTCAAAGTCCCTAGCGCCATTACAGCGAATCACACTTACTGGTCGACTCCCCATCACCCGGTTCTGAAACTGCTTTTTCTCCGCGAGTGTATGGCAAACGCCCACATACGAATCAACTTCAATCTGTGCTGCGGCTGCGCCGCGCGCAATATCGATGGCTCGATCTCTCCATTCATCTCTTGAAAGTTTCGAGTCCATTCGTAGACCCGTAACCTGCGCCACTTTGAGATCCCCCAGCACTGCATTGATATTGGTATCTGGAAGCTCAAAATAGTCACATTGTCGCTCGGTGGAGCCATCCGCGAATACGATCCCGGCAACGTCGTCATTGTACAGATGTAGATACTCGCGCGCAACGATAGCGCCGTACGAGTGGGCGACTAGAACCAACGGTGAGCGCAAGTTTGTCGCTATGAGAAGGCTGTGTAGTTCCTCGGCGGCTGTAACGGCCGTAGCAGTTGTGGGATTTGTAGATCCTGGTAAGCTCGGTTTGGGTTCACTGCGACCGAGTCCGGACCGATCGTAGAGCAGGATCCGAGAGAATAGAGCTACGAGGGGTGAGAGGGCTGTGTAGGAGGACGCGACGTCTCCGGCGCCGGCAAGAACCACGACGATGGGATTTTGGGACGTGCGAGGAGGTCCACTGATTGAAGTATACAGGCAATGGGTACCAATAGACACCATTGCCGAGCCTGTATCTATTGCCCAGTCCTGAGGCGCAGTGTTCATGATGTATGGTCGATTAATGTTTCAGGAAGCAACCAGTCGTTTGACGTCGTGTACAGTCGTATAGATCCACGTCGAGCGGGGCAGCGGGGTAGAGCATCAGTCCAGGTCCCCTCTTGAACCCTAATTACAGTAAGCCAGCATATCTCCAGAAGCCCTACTTCGGGAACTCCTAGAATTACCTAAATAGCAGATATTTCTTACGTATTAGAACTACACTAATTAAGTAGACCAAAATGCCACACAAATCTAATTTTATTCATCAAGATCCTAGATACCGAATGGTGTATCATTCCACAGAGCCGTCTCTGCTTCCAACTCCTCTTCATAGCTTTGCTCTGAGAAAGCCTGGCGAAAGATCTGTCGGATATCGGGGAACATCTCAGCCCCGTACATCAGTTTTGTAAATTCCCAATACTCAGGGTAGAACCCGGCGCATTCCCAATCGACAATTCCAGACAGCCGTCCGCGATTAATGATAATGTTGCTCGGATGCAAGTCCGCATGGGTGAAGACAGATCCGTAGGTACGGCCGTGAACGGCGGAGATTTTCTCCTTTGTCTCCTGACGCACGTAGGAATGGACAAGGAAGGCATTGAAATCAAAGATTGAGTTGAACGGGCCACATGTACGGGAGGGGAACCGATGATTCCTCAATGGGCCGCCGTGACTATTGCTGAAGACATACGGAGTCTCATTTGGAATGCAGCGTAGTTGTGATACGACAATTTTCAGGTCTTTCGATAATTGTTCGCGCTCCGGGTATGAGAGTCGATGGAAAACTTTGTCCAAGGTTTGCCCAGGGACCGCCGTCATGATGAGAACAGGGTGCGTCTTTTGGTAATCATCCACCCAGAGTGGTGCTGGGATTGATGTGTACTTTTCAAGGAGGCGCAACGCCTCGGCTTCGTTACGAGGAGAGCGAGCACATTCCTTCGCGTAGAGTCCGAACGGTAGCTGGTGGACGAGACCTGTGAAAGACCGCGGATAGAGATAGCTGCCAATTCTGATAAGCAAGGTATAACATTGCGTACGTATCCATCTGGGCACGATATGCCAGAGAGATCGCAATGTTTTTTGTGTTGTTGAACTCAACTGGACTGTTCCCTTGTCAGCCTTGGTGTCTCAAAAACAGAAAACGTTGGTCATACTCAATGGAGGCGAGGGCCAGCCCTTTGATATACTTTCTTCAACATAGAATAAATGCAAAGAAGTTGAGATGCGAAAGTGGGTTCTAAGGAGGAATGGATCTGGGAGAGGTAGTTGGTCATCCTGGCTCTCCATTATGAACATCTGCATCGAACGATCCCATGGGCTACCATCACTCAAGAACAGCGAGCCATAGGGCTCTGGCCCAATCCTGGAGACGAAGTACTGTTATGAAGTTAGTCAGGAGCACTTGAGATACAAGCTAAGATCCTTGCAGGGTACAGACATAGACTTTGCTGGCAGACTTGATTTTGGTCTCGGTCTCATCATTCCAACGATCCGCCGTATCAGTGATAGGAAAGAGATGTATGTGGCCATTTCGGAAAGCCGAATGAATGCTCGGAGAGAGCAGGAGGAGGTTCCTTAGTCGAGATTCTGCTGTGTTCGTCTGTAGAAGGGTCTGAAGTTGAGAAGTTACGGGAGGGGAGAGAAAGGCTTGAAGAATGGCATAAAGAGGACCCTGTATATATTAGAATATTGTGCAGATAGAGTTACATCTTCAAATGCCGCCCGTAGAGATGCTGATAAACACCTACCTGTGGATTCATATCACTGTCATTGAAAAGGCTCGGTGGGATGACCCAAGCATGGCCGAAGTGCACAGATGCGCTGGGGGTTGACGTCCTCTGATCCACCATAAAGCATTGGGACCCGTCCCGAGTTTCGACTAGAGTTTTTGATTCGTGGGGGACAGTGTCACGCCGGGCCACTGATTTGGTAGTTAGCGTATACTCGAAAGCCAATGCATGTTCTGCTTCTCACTGACACTTGAAGACGACTTGCTTCCATTCAAGCTTTAATTCAGTTAAAATTTGCTCCGCCGGTCGACCGGTATGGTCATGTATCCTCTCCCAAATGTATTGAGCCGCATATTCTCGATCGACGGACTCGTTCAGAAACGCTCTCCAGAGGGAGTGCTCAGTTGGAGTCAGCCGTGCGGATTCGATTAAACGGGCCGTTTCATTGAGCCTTCTGGGCGATGACTGCATGCTTGAGGACAAGAGAAGCTTGATTTGAGATCACGATATCTAATCCAGTACTTCTGTGTTGAGTCGGGTCTGCCGGGCTGGGGAACAGTCACGTGCCTCCTAATGAGGGATCGGCTGGCAGAATGTCGAGGTGACTGACGTCTTCTTCAGAAATGCGCCCGTATTGTTCAGTATAGAAAATGTTAAACGTGTGTCAAGTGCCTTCATGGAACTTTATGGTATCCAAAGTCGTGTCTCTGGGGTGGTGCTGTGATTATAGCCGCCTCTAAGAAAGCGGAGAATTCCCAAGCATTTGATTGGCTCTGGTGGCAAGTCGCCGTTAGTATGAAGCAATGCCAACGCATCATGGCTGAATGTAGTCACCCAGCGACAACAATGAGGACAACAGTAAATCCTCCGAGTCATGGAGGCGTAGTCGTCCTTTTAGTTGTTATATGAACCGCCCTGCCTCATCTTCGGAATCGAACGCATCCAGCTATTGAGCCAACCCCAATCCGCGACCCAGCCTAAGCGCTATATACCCAAGGAGTGTTGTTGCCATCTACCAGACATGCCAACAAGCCAGAAACACACGCATAAAGTCACCTCCTTCTGGAAAGCAAACGGCTCTACCTGACCACAACTTTCGCCTCTGACCTGACCATACACAGCCCTCCCTACACACCTTCGAAATGTCGACACCCTGCAACTTCGAAGTCAACGGTCTCTACATCCTCCTGACGGACCGTGGTGAAAACAGTTTTGCATTCCACTGGGGCTTCTACCTCCACCAGTCTGGAATATCGGGCTGCATCTATCACCTCATAAACGATGACGGCCCAGCGAGCTGGCGTTTCGACTCGCGACTCAGTGAGAACGTCATGTTCTCGCAGAGACTCCTTGCGGCCATCAAGATAGGAGTGATAGATCTCGTTCTTCACCAGGCTTTACCTGATCGTCTTCAGGAAATTCCGATCGCTTACTCAACTCGGTTCCACGAAAGCATCACCTGTCGCGTGTGGCTTAAAGAAGCACTCTTTGCGTTGGATGACGAGGGCTATGTTAAGCTCACACGGAGCGTGGATGAGATCGAAGCCGAGGCGAAGATTCTCGCAATTCAGAACAAGAGTATGGGCCAGCGGACTGTTTCTCGAAGTGTCGGAACTTTAGCTTGAGGCACTGGATGATGTTCAAGAGTACCGTATCAAACACATTCGTTTCATCGATAAGCGCGGAAATCCTCTCTCGATTCTTGTTGACATGCCGCTGGATTTCGAAAGTTGTACTGGGGAAGGTGGAGAGTACGCCCTCAGCTGGTGTTTGATTTCGGAAGAAGCTCTGTGGAACGAATATTCCTAACAGGTTTCTACTCCATGCTACATGCTATATGAGGTCTGATAGCGTTTCACAATCTCAAACTTACGGTTATCAATCTCTATGGCAGAATCACAGTTTTATGGTCTCCATGGTCATGTAATTTAGCCAGCCTGCGAAAAGACTGCACTCTTCTCTCGATGGCTTCTGTTGGGCTAACCACAGCGAACCAACCGTAGTCCAAAGCTTAAATCAGAGGGGTACTAGGTAATTATAGTAGTTGCTCACCCCAGACCCACCTAACAGACGAAAGAATTAGTCGTAAGGGATACTCCAGTATACAAGACTACAATTTGTGTTAAGAAAAGCATAAAAAGTCTCGATTTTTCGGGGCAACAACATTGTGGATACCTAGGTAAAGACTGCTAGGAAGAATCGAGCCTGAAGGGGGATCAGGATAAAATTGCAAAGCTGCCCGATAGATGACTACCGGGCCCAGCTGGGCGGTTGAGTGAAACCCAGCCATTGCATGTTCAGACAGCAGGCCCAGACGCAGAAGAGCTGCCAAGGCCAATGCTTGTCGCCTCAACCCATCGACAACCGCACGTGATGGGAACGTCACGGCGACAATAGAGCCTCAAAGGGGTAAAAGGGTTGCCCCCTTCAGACTAACTGAGGATATCGGTGGTCTTGAATAGATCATTCGGTAAGGTGGCAGCGCCCAGAAAAGTAGCGGGGCCAGCCTGGCCTTACCGAATTGACGTCCGGATCGGCATGGAAGAATGGACGGGTAAGACTCTGGTGGAAGGGACTCTAACGTTTCGTGCGAGACTCTGCTTCCTCGAGATGAACATGATGAGAAGGCAAGCCTGTTGGAGGCCAGCCTTAGCATAAAGTAGCGATAAAGCATGTCACTCAGTCGTAGTTCCCGCCAACCTGGCTAGCGAAAGCGGTCGAGACGCTGCGAGCATCATCGTCGTCAACGGCGTTATGTCCAGGGACGCCGCGAGTAACGCGAATGCTGGCTGAACTGCCGCCAAAGATGCTGCCATTGTCCGGGACCCCACCACGATAAGGCTCACGGCCGCCGGACTCCACGTAGCGCTTCAGACGATCGGAGTGGCTGAAACTCGCTTGCTTGCCCATGTCATTGATGCTCAATCCAGCAAGGCTGACACCACCTTGATCGGCACTACGACCATCGATAATGCTTCCGGTGACATCGGACTCGGTAGCGGCAACGGACTCTCCAGCAACGCTAGGAGCACCCTTGGCCCGACCACCGTTCGCACGGCGACCGCCCGAAAGAGACGGCCACTGATCAGTAAAGTTCTGGAACATCGGAGGGTATCCGGAAGGAAGACCGACTCCACCGACCGCAGAGGAGTGAACCGAGGAGACATCGTCAGGGATGTACCCAACAACAGAGCCAGTGTCCTGATACTCATTGCGCTGGCCGTTGCGGCCATTCATGTTGCCCGAGACGGCAGCGGCGCCTCCTTGGGTGAAGGCCGATGACATCTGGAACCGCTGAGGCCCACGGTAAGCCTGCTTGGGGCGGCTGAACTGAATCAGAGACTCCTGCAGGTTGGACAAGGGTCCCTCGACGAGACAATGGCGTTCCTTAAAGTGCTGCAGCAGGCAGTTCCACAGAGGATGCTTGGACAGCACCTTGGGGTTTCCAAGAATAACCAGACCGAATCGGGCACGGGTAAGAGCGACGTTGAGACGGCGCGGGTCGCTCAAGAAACCAATACCTTGGTGGTCATTGGAACGAACACAGGACAGAATGATATAATCCTTCTCTCGGCCTTGGAACGCATCGACGGATGCCACTTCGATTTCTTTGTAGTGTTCCTTCTTAAAGGTGCCAGTGGCCTGCATGGAGCTGACAATGTAGCTTCGCTGTCCCTCGTACGGGGTAATGATACCGATGCCGCTTGGCTGCACACCTGCCTTGAAGAAGCGAGTGACAATCTTCTCAACGTTAGTAGCCTCAGTGCGGTTGAGGTACGAAGTTCCGGAGGCGGAAATTTCTTCGTTGCCAAGGTTTGACCAGAACATCATGGGGTTGTCCATCATGGGCCAAGGGAAGTCAACATCGCGGCGAAGACGGTCATGGATGGTAATACCATTCTGCAGCGAACCCTCGTAGAACATGTTGGATGGGAAGTCCGAGAGACACGGGTGCATACGATACTGGACGTTCAGGCGAATGGGCGAGCAGCCTAGAATGACAAGACGCTCGAAAAGAGACTGGTTCAAGCCAGCCTTGGCGGCCTTCTTGTTCATAATCACAGGTCCAAGCTGCTGGTGATCGCCAACCAGGACAACTTGCTTGCAACCGAGAACCAAGGGGATCATACATTCCGGCTCCGCGGACTGAGTCGACTCGTCAATCAGGACAGTGCGGAACTTAAACTTGGCCAAGCGAGGATCACCAGCACCGACGCAAGTACAGCAGATGACATCGGCATTGGTCAGGACTTCGCGCTCGGCGGCCCGAGTCAGTTGCTTCAAACGCTTTTCATCCTGGCTGGACAATTCACCGAGCTCCGCCTTCAGCTGGTTGAGTTTCACCAATTCAATATTGCTATCGTTCATGCGGACTTGCTCATGCAGGGAGAGGAAAGCAACCGGTGACTCGACGTCCTCACGAGACTTGGCAGTGACACGGACAGTCTTCAGGCCTGTGCGGTGAATGCGCTCACAGAGCTGATCAACCGCAACGTTGGAGGGAGCACAGACCAGAACCTGGCCTCCGTTGATCTTTGCCAGGTGGTAGATAATTGTAGCGGAAGTGACCGTCTTACCAGTTCCTGGAGGTCCCTGAATTAGACTCAATGGGCGCTGCAAAACACTCTTCACGGCGTTGATTTGGCTGCCGTTCAGGTCGGGCAGTCCAGGGACACTGAACTTCTTCGGAATCTGTGTCTTCATAGGGGCGGCTGCAACCTCGTGGCCAAGGAGACGGTGGAAGATGTAGCCGGAAACGCTCATCTCGTCAACAGCGAAGGTTTTCATGGCGAGTTGCATACGGTCAAATGAGGTCGACTTCCAAACATAGTCAGCTGTGAAGTTGTGAGTGCATTCAGTAGGGACCGACTTGTGGTCGCCCTTGGAGCGCAACTCAATGGTGACTTCATCAGACTGGTTGTTAGGGATCTTCATGACGTATCCAACACCTTCCCACTTGGAGCGCAGTTCACCGGTGTACTTCAGGCGCATTTCGTCGCCAACCGCCAGCTTGACATCTCCAAGCTCGAGCTTGGGAAGGACGAAGCTTGCGAGGTGCTTGTTATTCAGACCAAGATCCCATCGAACAATCAATCCATCCTGCGACTGCGATTCCTTAAGCTTTCGGTCATAGTCGGCCTCGATCTTAACAAGGGGTCCGAAAATGTTCTGATACTGGTATGCGTCATCATAGCGCAACAAAACAGGCGCAGGCTCATCGTCAACCGCAGTAGCTTTTTCCAAATCCTCCAGAGTCGCCTGCGAATTCTCCTTCCACATTTCCTCCAGCTTCGCGATCAACTGCGGGCTGAGATGGCGGGCACGGAGCTGTTCTTGATCGGTAGGGGCAGACACGAGCCAGGGCAAAAAAGAGCGATCCTCGATGAGTGGCTGCCAACGGGAGGTATCCCAGTTCATATCCTTGGAAGAGGGCATAGCCGCACATGGCTGTCGGCAAAGGAGAACCACAACGGTATCCGACTTGGCAGGGATGAAACCGAGTAGGAAAACGTTCTTGGTGCCGCAATTGTAGCATTCGAGAATAGTGTCGCCGAGCGAAGAGGCCGGGTGAAGTTGCACCTCCTTGTGGCGAGCACGCACGAGGTGATTGACGATATGGGAAGAGGAAGTATTGCCTCGGGCACTGCAGAACCACTTGTTGCAAGAGAGACACTTCACCACACTGCTAGGGTTATGGATGCCACAGTATCTGACGAGTATCGACTATTAGTACACAGACAGACGGGTCAATAATTAGAAGATCACTCACGCGCATGCATGGGCAGGAAGCTCCTTCTCTTCATCGCCGTGTCCATGGCCCTTGTGATGGCCCGACACTGCTCCACCAACTGTGCTCTCCAGGTCATCGTCCTCCAGAATATCGGAGCCCTCATCTTCATCATCATGAAGGCGTGGCCGCGCATGACCCATGTTACCCATATGGTTGTCGTCTTGGTCTGCCATCACCGAGGCGTCATCTGCCAACCCTGGATGGTAGTTGTCCATGATAGATGTGGGTTGTCAAATATGGTGATAGAGGGAAGTTGAAACCGTAAACCAAAAGCGAAATCAAGTTAAGAGCGACATGCGGGTAAGTTGAAAGTCAAAATATCGAGTCCGTGGTCAAAAGAGCGTAGGAGACGATCCGATCGTCCTTGTGCGGTTCTTGAAAGCCCAGTCCGTCTGTGTGCCTGAGGGGCAAATCAACGGGGATTCTAGAAGTTCTGAGATCGAGTTAGCAAAGCAATCAATAGACGCATAGCAAAGCACCTACATCCAAGCCACCTCTTTGTCTCCAAGACCTCACAAAAGAGAGTGGAAAAGTTTGGAAGAACGCAAACCAACCTCCGCATTGCGATCCGCATTCTCTATCGGTGGGATCCCACTACGGCGGTGAGGGCGGACCACTTGCGCAGCCCCGGAGTTTAGAAAAAAAAGTTGCCCGCTGTCATCGGCTTGGAATCACTGCAAGCAACATTCACATTCGCTCGCCAAGATGCTGGTAAGCTTTTCCTCGAACGGTATAAACCTGTCTGGTCAATATTGAATTTACTAACCTCCCTTTTAGCGCCGTCAAGCCCGTGAGCGTCGCGATTATCTTTATCGGAGAGCGTTGCAGCTCCGCGATGCTTCAATCGCCGAAAAGCGCGCCCAGCTGAAAGCCTCCTTGGCCTCTGGAAAACCCCTCGACCCCTCGATTGCAAACGACAAATCCCTCCGTGAAGATTTCAAATTCGACGAATCAAAGGATGAGGTGGATGTGGACGACGAGTATGCCTTGACGTCCGGTCTGATTGACCCTCGTCCGCTGGTCACTACGTCTCGCTCGCCTTCTGCTCGCCTAGGAGCTTTCGCCAAAGAAATTCGACTGCTTCTCCCGACTTCCATCCGTCTGAACCGTGGTAATCTCGTCATGCCCGACCTGGTATCGAGTGCAACCTCAGCCTCTTTGACCGATATGATCCTTCTGCACGAGCACCGTGGTACACCTACCGCCCTTACAGTCTCGCATCTGCCCCACGGCCCGACCGCCAGCTTCTCTCTTCACAATGTCGTCCTGCGCGCGGATATCCCTAATGCCGACCGAGGCACCGTTTCCGAGAGCTACCCTCACCTGATCTTCGAGGGCTTCACGACCAAGCTGGGCCAGCGCGTTGTCCAGATCTTGAAGCACCTCTTCCCTCCCCGTGAACCTGGCAAGGTTGGCACTCGTGTTGTCAGCTTTGTGAACAAGGAGGACAGCATTGAGGTGCGCCATCACGTTTTCGTGAAGAGCAGCTACCGGGATGTGGAACTCGCTGAGGTCGGTCCTCGGATGACAATGCGTCTCTTCGAGATTCGGGGCGGTACTATGGAGAAGGGTTCCACGGGAGACGTGGAGTGGGCTCTTACCCAGTACACGAGGACCAGCAGAAAGAAGGACTACCTCTAGATTTCTCACGAAGTTGCATTTTGGTGTCGGCTGCAGGCGCGCAAAGTTATGGTTACAGTCGGTCTGGTTTTTCTTTTGGGGCAAGCTTTGGCTTCGTCCATTGGTGCATTGGAGTTTTACGGTCAACTAAAAAGGCACTTTCGCCAGTTCATGTATATCATTGTTGGTGCTGTCCCTATACCCTGTTGAGAGTGACGAGGGCAATTTCAAGCTTCGAATGAATAAACAACTAAATGTCAAATCAAAACGAAAAGCTATCCTCCATCCCCATGTAGGACTCCATGCGCGAAATAATCCGAGTGTCGATAGATTCACCTTTTTCTCGTGGAAGCCCTACTGAAATTCGGACTCGGTCTTAGTATCAGTATCCACTGCTGGTTCAGACTTGGCAGGTTGGCAGGCGTCAGCAACTGTGCTGTCCGAATCAACATCGGCATTATTGCCGCTATCTTCCTTTGGCTGCGCAGCGACTTCGGGAACAGCCGTCTCAGGTTGAGCGATGACGGTCTCTGGTTCACCGGGTGCGTCTCGAGGGTCGGCAGACATAGTACTGTCTGTACTTCCACCAGAAGGTCCGGCCTGCATCAGGTAGCTTGTGAACACGTTGTCGTGGCTTTCATATGAATACCAGCCCTCGTGATGGGGGAGAACATTGCCTTGGCCATCTGTCTTGGGGGCAGGGAGTTTGTCATCCTCCCTGTTCTCCCAATCCTTTCCTGTCTCAGCCTTGAAGAACTGCTTGAAGGCACGCACAGCAGTAGCCGCGTCACTCTTGGGAGGAGTCAGTTCTTCAACGCGAGACGTCCCAACGCGGCTATACTTTGCCCACGTCGAGTAGGTGGGTGGTTGAGAGGATGTTTCGAAGATCTGTTTCTCACGTTAGCTCTACCATCATATGCGAATAATTGAGGGGGCTCTATTTACGGCCAAGCGGTATTTGTCTCGAAGACGGGATGTTTTACCCTCCCGCAGGAGTACTGCGTCCCAGGCAGAACCTGTCTGAGAGTCACGAAGTACGGCCTTCTTGGCTGTATCCTCATTTGTTAGTGATGTCGTACTTCAAAGGCCAACGTGTGGATAAACGTCATACGCGAAGCTATGTTCTTGGAGCCCTTGGGCGATTTCTTTTGGACGAACGGATCACCTATATCAGAAATATAAATTAGGAACCATTCATGAGCAAAGGTTCAAAAAGAGTGTGTCATACTGTAGCGAATCCGCGACTTCGACCCCGAGTCCACCACTCTATTTTTGTTTTCGGTCGTCTTCTTCGGCTTGATCAGATTCTCCAGAAGAAAGGGTCTCTCCGGAACTGGGCGAATGGGGTTGGCGTGTAGCGAAGCAGTGAGCCAGTCACGAGAAACGATTTTGATTTTTCCTAAAGCCTTCGCAGTTTGTACTTTCTTGGGTCAGTATTGGATCCCTAGAGGATCATTCACTGCCAGATAATGAAGAGCACTGGGAATAAAGTGAGAGCAATATTGCTTACCTTCTTCTACGTTCTGCTCGTAGGCCTCTTCCGAGGCAATCAGGTGAGTGATCTTGTCTGACACCTTGTCATGGAATTCTCCACCATTTCGGCGCATCCACTGGGAGACTAGGTTCCCCTGGTAGAACTCCCCGACGATAGCAGCGCGAATGCGCCGAAAAGCCTTGCCCGTTTTGGGGGCTTTGGCGTTCTGCTTGGAAGGAGGCGACATGGTTCAGATCTGCGGATGGTTGTTCAGATAGGGAAGAAGAGTGGTATATGTAAAGGGGAAAAGTGACCTATGATGAGAGGCTAGTAGGCGAGGATACGTTGGATTGAATAGAGGGTTGAACGGAAGGCTTCACTTGGCGAGGGGCAAACCCGGGAAATATCCGGTGCAAAGAGGAGATGGTTGATCGGGTTCAAAAGATGAGGCCAGGTGATTTGAGAAACAGGCCGTTCTCCTGGGGTGGTTGACGCATGGAAGAGGAGATGTGCTGGTCCAGGGAGGGTTCTTGAATGATATCAAGTGAATCGGGTATGGTGCGGGGAGGAACTGGATATGGCCAAGCAGACGAGAGGTTGTTCGAGGGTCCGAGAGGAAGATGAGACGCCCTGCGAAAAATAAGAATCAAAGGAATCGAGGAGATCGTGGTTGGATATCCGGGCTGCAGGCCACAATGTAACGAAAGGAGCAGAGGGAGTGGGTTGGTTGACTGGATGTTCGTTGTGGTAGAAGGAAAGCAATGTAGAGAGATGAAGGTAGCTCAAGTTGGACAGTCCGTGATTTGCTATTTAGCAGGAGACTCAATACCTCATCAGAATCTTACTCTCCTCAAGGATGCTGTTCGGATCTCTGGATATTCTGCAACAATGAATTGCCCATGTTGATACGTATATATACGAAAGCTGCATGACATTATGTATACTGATCCGTTGCATTTTATTTGTCCAGGTGTATCATCATATTGCAATGGATGTTGTCAAGTTGTGGAGTGATAAGAGAAGTCACCCTCAGACGATCTAATAAACCGAAATCTCGAACTTGTTTGAGGAAATCATGCACGAACACTTTTGGCTGCCTTCACAAAGGCGCGGATCTTCTCCAGATCCTGAGCACCGTTGGTCTCCACTCCGGAGCTGACATCCAATCCCACCACCTTGGATCCCGCCTTGCCCAACTTGTTGACGATATCGACAACGTTATCGGGGTTCAAACCACCTGCCAGAATCACTCGCAAACCCTCATCACTGTCGAGGACCTTTTGCACACCTGCTCCCTCGAGCAATTGTCCGGACCCTCCCGCGCCAGAATCCAAAAGAGGAAGAGTGTGGTAGGCTCTGCGGGCAATGCCAAGATCACCTGGAGCAAACTTCCGGATCACCGGTACGGGAATCAAGCTGGCCCATTCCAGGGGCTCGGAGCCGTGGAGCTGCACCACGTCAAGACCCAGCTTCTGTTGTTGAGACAGGACGTATGACAAAGGTTGGTTCATAAAGACACCCACAAGCAATGCACGAGTGGGATGACGCAGAACCTTGCTAGAATGCTCAAACCATTCGGAGGAAGTGGTCTTTGATATTTGCTCAGATGAGTCGGTTGAGTGCACACCCGGTCGTGGTGTCGACTTGACTGTCTGTGAAATGCGCAGAGCCACATCGTCGGGAACCAGCCTTGATCGGCCCTGAACCATGATGATTCCAATGAGATCAGCGCCAGCCTCGATAGCAGCCTTGGCGGCTTCTTCGGATCGTGTGCCACAAATCTTGACCAAAGGCGAGCTTGGTGACGTCGAGGCAATCTTCTCAGAAGACCCACCTAGCAGCTGTGCCACGAACGCAGAAGTATCGGTTGCCCGCATCAGGGCTTCTCCAACAAGGATAGCCTTCACACCCTCCTTCTTATAAGCTTCCACATCCTGGGGGCCGGTGATACCACTGAGAGCACAGACAATTGTGGTCTCGGGCACCTGGTCCATCAGACGGCTAGTGGTACCAAGATCAACCTCAAAGCTAGTCAGGTCGCGGTTGTTGACCCCAATCACCTCGGATCCTAGATCAACTGCAATCTTCATCTCTTCAGGAGTGTTGACTTCCACAAGAGGCTCCATGCCGAGGCTGCGAGAGTATTTGTACAATCTCGTAAGAAGCTCAACACTGAGCATCTTCACGATTAGCAGAACGGTATCGGCACCGGCAAGACGTGCCTCCAAGATTTGGTACTCGTCAAAGACAAACTCTTTGCGCAGGAGAGCGGGTCGGTTGGTGAGACCCTCCAGGCTTTGGCGCACCGCCCGAAGGTCATCAATGGTACCCTTGAACCACTCAGGCTCGGTAAGGACGGAGATGACGCTAGCACCGGCTTTGGCGTATTCACGGGCTTGGGCAGGTGCACACACATCAGCCGAGATAATTCCCTTGGAGGGAGATGCACGCTTGATCTCTGCCATCAGAGACAGGGGATAGTCGGACTGTCTCAACCGGGCGGGGAACGAGATCTGCGGTGGCGCAATGTTCAGGTCATAAGCGGCTTGGAGAGCCTCCGGACGCAGGGCAGGAATCTTCTTCTGCTCCTCGACGGCGTTCCTCCGGTGGGCATAGATCTTGTCCAGAATGGACAGCTTCTTGTCCACGGGGGCAGCAGGAGTAGCAGCAGCCTTAGGGGCAGAACTGCTCTTGTTGCCAGCCCAGGTGCCTGCGGTAAGCTTCAAGAAGTTCCTGAACATGGTACGCCCATACTCAGTCAGGATACTTTCAGGGTGGAACTGCACACCCTCCACCGCAAGCTCCTTGTGCCGGACACCCATGATAACGCTGTTGCCGCTACCGTTCTCAAGTTCCGCCCACGAAGTCACTTCCATGCACTCGGGGACTGTTGAGTGAGTTCCAGCCAGCGAGTGGTACCGAGTGACGGAGAGGTCGGCGGGCAATCCCTCATAGACACCCTTTGAATCATGCTTCAAGACCGAGGTCTTGCCGTGTAGGATCTCGCCGGTCACATCCACCTTGCCCCCAAACGTCGTGATCATACATTGTTGACCCATGCATACACCAAAGACCGGGATCTTTCCGCTGAAGTGTTTGATTGCCGCATTGCTGATTCCTGCGTCGGTCTCGGGGTGGCCAGGTCCGGGGCTGATAACCAGCTGGGTGGGATTCTTTGCAACTAGGTCTTCCACGGTAACTTCGTCATTCCGGAACACAGTGACAGTCGCACCCTCAAGCACAAGGTATTGGTAGACATTCCAGGTGAATGAGTCGTAGTTGTCGATCAAGATAACATTCGAGGCACTGGTCAGCTTCGCAGCTCGGGTGGGATGGTGGGGTGAGTGGTCGACGAGGTCCGCCATAACCGCTGTAGTGAACGAGGAAGCCGAAATTGTACACTCAAGAGGATAGAGACTGCGAGAAATTGATTGCCACAGGGCTCTCCACACAATTCCGGCAATTCAGCAGGTATAGTGGCTTTCAATCCTGACGGTGACTCAAAAGTCCAAGGGAAGGCGGGCGACTTTGCAAGTATTCACCGCCCGGCAGTAAAACACACTAAACCCGGATAGGAAGTGCGGATTGTTGACCGCAGACGCGCAGAAAGAAAGTGCAGGTTCTGTTTGGAGCTGCCTGAAAGCTATAAGAGCTGACCCCGGGGAGATTCCATCACTCTCTCCTCAGACCTTCCTCAATCTAGCTCTTCAGTCTTATGATGATCTAATCGTCTCGCCAAATGGCTCCCGTCCCGGAGGCCTATTTCCCGTCCCTGGACAAGTGCTTCTCCGGGGACGTTCAACTTTTGTACGCCCTGCCGAGTCCGTTTGCTTGTTTGGTATGATGCTGATTTAAGACAGGTCTTGGAGAAGAGCATTCCTTTATGTCAATGACCCTGAATCACACGTCGACGATGGGGGCATTATCACAGCCTTCCTGTCGCATCCAGAGAGCATTCAGCTGCTGTCGCGCAGCGTGAGCTCTTTCCCCGAACCTTCCACTCAATCCAAAACCGAGTTCAATTCGAAGACAGCCGCGATCCACGTTGAAACGAATGCGAAGAAATCCTTCGATCTCCAGCAGATCAAGGCCGATGCACAATGGCTCAGTGACAAAGCAAGAATCGACGAAATCACCGCCCTGCGTATCGTCGTCCTCGAATGGCAGAATCGCCCTGCGGCTCGCCTGACAACAACGTTCTCTAGCGAAGAGGCTACAAGCTTACAGAGTGCGGCGGGCTCGGATAATCTGCGAGTGTCGGTGGCTGGCCCTAACTTGGCGAGCATCTTGAAGCAGACCGCGGGCGATGCAGGATCGTCCACTTTTGACACAGAGGAAAGCAGGCGCTTACGGTTGCGCGCCTTGTATCTCTCAGAGAGAATTCACCTCTTGAAGACATTCCGCAAGCTACTCGCGCTATCATACCACACGCCAACCGAACAGGCCCCCCTCAACACACACGAGAATAACTTGGTCAAGCTCGGAATCACAATGTTCCAAGAGAAATCTACCGGCCAAGGCCTATACAAGCTTCTCGAAGCATGCATTACCACGGTCCAGAATCGGCTGCAAGACCTGGAGTCAAGTGGCTCCTGGCTTGGAGCGGCGGAAAGCAATGAAGAAACGGAGGATATCTGGAGAACTACCCTCGTAGAGGAAATCGTTCACATTCTCCAGATCATGTTCCACCAGCTGCGTGCATCGCAGGCTATCCCCTGTGGGGCTCTTTTACTGTCATGGCTCGAACTCATGATTGAGTATGATTTCTTGGAAAGGCTACAGGTGGTGAGTTATCGCACAATCCTTCCGTTCGAAGAGCCTCGCAAATTACTGACTCTTGAATCTAGCCCTGTGAACAACCCACAGAAGTCTTGGTGCCCCTTCAGTCATTTGTATCGTTGGTCACCTTGGCGTTCTTAAAAGTTCCAGTGGCCTTCGATTCAATTCTCAACAAAAAAGTGCCCGAGACAATTCCTTCAGGTGAACCGGCCTACTTCCTGTCGAAGGATACTATTTCCAAGACCAGTGAAATCCTGGTGGGCGCTTCCCTCCACCAGCTGAGCACTGTTCACCCTGCCGGCTTTTCTTGGGGCCTGCTTCTCAATACTATGCACGAGGTGGCTTTGAACGACAAGAACGCCCGAGAACTCGAACAGTGCAACCATGCCGTGAACTCTTTCAACGCCAACAGACGTAATTCTGCGCCTTCCCAGGGATCAGAGGATTCCCTGTATGACACTCTCCTGGACTGTGCTCAAACGCCTCAATTTGGTAACGCGGAGAATGCGACAGCGGAGATGACATCTGATATTGTCAGGGAATCCGTTTTTAGTTCAATTGTCGCACTTTCCATCAAGGCAGGTTCGATTTCAGCAGTGGATGACGAGTTGACAGCTCGATGGATCCGCTTGGAGCTTCTCGACCTCATTGAAATTGCAACGGAATTCCTGGATTATTCACCAGAGATCATGGAGTCGGTACTAGGAATCTTAACAGGCACCTCAGATGGCCTCTCATGGCTCTCAACAAAATCTCTGGGTCCTGAAACCGATCCAAAGATCGCCTTTGTCAACAATGTCAGACTGATGGATAAGATTTTCCACATCGCGCGATCTCGGTTCCCCTACGAAACCGTTCCTTTCCTGAGGCTTTGTCGTGCGCTGGTCAGCGGCCACTCTGTGAATGATGATGGCCTGCCCCGAGTCCTAGAAGAGCTGGAAAACATGGAGACCTTCACTCAAATTGTTCCTCCGGCATTTCAAGGATATGAAACCATTCGCGAGGATGAAAACGCCAACTATGTGTCCCTTACCCGGTCCCTTCCGATGTTTGAAGGCTCCTCGCACAACCATCTCCTCGAAACCGAGACAAGCAGCGCCTTGGTTGTCAGCGGATCGTCTGAAATCCCAGCTTCGACCGTTGGCCAAGTGATTTCCGAGTCAAGGCCTGCAGTCATCATGTGGCAACATCAATATTCATGCCTGAGCTATCTCGGAAGCTGGCTTGAGGAATGGAGTGAAAGTGGTGCGGTCTGCTCGGGCTGGGATGCCGAGTCTGCTACGGAGATCATTGGGCTCCTTGCAGATCTCGTGGCCAGTGCAAAGGATGTTCGCACCCAGGATTCTGCAGGCACGACGGCTAAGCGGATCCTAGAGATGGCTAGCGACGGTCTTTCTCGGCAGGGTGACATCATTTCCGTTGTTTTGGACATCTTTGAACGGAACTTGCAAAGTATCAGCACCCAGGGCGATGCTGCTAGCACCTTGGATCCCATTATGGCTTGCATGCGGTTCATCCAAGAGGCAATGAAGGTTCTCCCCAGCCGAGTGTGGCCCTTCTTCAGTCGCAGTAGCTTCATTGGATCGGATGGAAAGGGAGGGGTCATGTCTGGAGTGATCTCGGCAATGGAGATCCCCTCTGGAGAATATCCGTTCCTTGTTAGCTGCGTCGACCTGTTCGAAGCAGCTATAGAAGATGCAGCATCTCGTGCAGTTCTGCGAAAGAGCCCCGGCAGCATTGCTGGAAAGTCAACGATCGTATCTGACTGGAGCGCTGGAATTCCCTCCCATGTCATGAGGAGTATTTTGCTTAACTTCACCCGGATAATGGTCGAGATCTTCAACAGCAACGGTAACTGGAGGTTCAATTTCCCAGAACAGCGGTTCAAGATCAACGGCATGTTGGCCACTTCCTTTGACCGCATCCTCTACTATGCCTATGGAATCAATGATAGCGCCAAGCTCGAATCCAAAATTACCGGCATTTTCTCCGCATCAGCAGGATACATCCTCGATCTGCTTCGCCCTCGATCCACCGCCGACCTCCCATTCAACCCGATCCTCCGATTAATCTCTGACGGTCTCCAAACTCCGCCTACCCTCCATATGCGCTATCTTACCCTGATTGAAAGCCAGGTCAATTCCACCTTGAACCTCTGCATCAAGCTCGTACAGGCAGCGCGACTCTCAGAGCAGCCTGCATCTCTGTTGGAAGAACAATTGTTCAAGGCTGCCCCGGTCTTGGTGAAACTGTATGCATTACATGATGCCTACCGGCTGTCGGTTGTGGGTCTGCTAGAGATTCTCATTACCACCGCTGCATCAAATCCGGACAGTGAGCCACCGTCGCTTGTCGGTCACCTCGGCGCCGAGTCATCATGTCTTTTCCTCGATGTGCTCTCGCAACTCGACAAGCCGCTTGCCGATGACGCCTTGTTGCTTTCTGTCTGGCGCCTACTAGCAACTTTTGTGAGCAAGCGCCAACAGTGGCTTGCAGTCTTCATCCTCACCGGCGCATCCCCTCGTCAGACCTTGAAGAAATCTGACAAGGTGGAAGGACCAGCTATGCGGGGTACCCCCTTCTTGCAGATGGCCCTCGATAAGCTTGCCAACATTGACAAGGAAGAACCTCAAGTCGCATTGGCTTTGCTGGAGTTTGTGTCCCGTGCGCAGGAGAACTGGCCATGGGCCACCCCCACTTGAAGAATCACCCTCAATTCTTCACCAGCATCGTAAACTATGTTTCGAAGCTGAAGATCTCATCCTTGTCCGTTACAGACCAGATCTATGCCACCCGGATTGCCGCTGTCGTTGCAGACATCTCTGCAGTCTATCTCCACTCGGCCAAGGAAGCAAGGGACTGGAGCTTCGTCAAGACTCTTATTCCCCTCGTGCAGTGGTACGCTAAAGATGCCGTGGATGTTTCTGCTTACAACTACTCCTTGCATACCAACTTGAAGAAGAATTTCGAGAGCCGATATACTGGCTGCAAGATGATCGACTTTAAGCGGACCCCACTCGTCAGTCGCAGCTTGGGAAGTGATTACTATTACGACCTTGGCATGGGCCAAAAGTTGCTGTCTTTCGACTTTGCCTGGACTGGAGGAAGTCGAAACCAGGGTTTCTCCGAGGAGTTTGCGCGTGCCAACATCAACTTGTCGCTGGTTGAAGCACAGGTGGTAAGTTTACGTTCTCAACCTCTCGGCCTTTTTTTTTCATTCCGATTCGCTAACACCTCACAGTCTCTTCTAAATAGCTGGAAGTTCTTTGCCATCGAGCACTGTGCGGATTTCATGCCGGATCGGGAAATCCAAAAATCCATGGCAATCGTGGCGCAGAATTGTCTCGAAGCCAACACCCGCAGCGTGCCCCCGGAGGCTATCTTTGAGCGAATTCAACAAGTTCGGGTTGACTTCGCCCAGGCTCTGCTTCAGCGCCTTGTGGAAGTGGAGTCCCATGGCGCTGAAGTATTCCGGCTGCTCGACGTTGTGTTTAGGACACTGCGTGCCCGGCATCGGACCTACGAAGAAGCACTTATCAGTGACGACACCGAGTACTACCGGTCTCTCCTCAATGTGCTCTTCCTGGCTCTCCAGTTCCATTTGCCAGGGCCCAACCGCGCCAGCCCGGAGGCCCTCAACAAGCAACCAAGCGTCTCGTCCGACTTGAGTGTGGTGGTTGATATCGTCAAGACCGTTGTAGCGCAGGGATTCAAGTCTCTTACTACGTATCTGCACGAGCAGCCTGAGAAGTGCGCGCCGAAGGACTTTGCCATTATCATCGCCATCCTCCAAACCTGTCTACAAGTCAAGAATGCGGATCGGTTGTACGAGCACATCGCGTTCCATATTGCTGAGAATGACATTGCTCGTCATGCCACTACCTTGTTCTCCTGGGCCGACCAGTTGACCGTGGCGGGAGACCCGATCTATGGTGACCTCAGCATCTCGATCCTTGTCAAGATGTCCACACTTCCTCTACTGGCTGAGCATCTTGCCGTGGAGGGCGTTTTGATGAAATTGTCAACATGCCGTCTCACCAACGTCCTTCGGCAACCCAAGGGCTTCGGCCCCTTCGACCCCGTTCCCCGACTGTACACTATCTGGACCGGTGGTTTCCTCCCTCTGTGCCTGAACCTGCTCTACAATGTCGTTCGGGCAGCACCGGAAGTTGCCGCCTTCCTCAACCAGTTTGAAGGCCAGCTTAACCGGGCATCAGAGTGCTTCTCCACACCTCATGCCACGGCGGTGACCCCGAGTCCGGCAGCACAATGGATCAGCCTGAGCATGGCCTCCGAGGCATACTCGCTTGCCTTGATCTCGTTCATCCTCGCTCGCTTCCGCGAAGCAGGTGCCAGTGCCGGACTGGACGCGCAGTCCATCCAGGACCTGAAATGGGATAAGGCGCAAGTCAAGGAGGACATTGAGGAGTTGTTGGGTCGTCGTCCTGCGCTGCGGGCTCGTATTGTCGCTACGAACGAGAAGGAGGTGGAATGGTCGCGACAGAAGCCGGCTGACTCGGGATCTGGAGCCGAGAACCGGCTGGAAGAGAAGGTTGTGAGCGAGCTCCGGGCCGCGGTGGCTTGTCTTGGGGGTGAGGAGGAGTCATGATAACCATGTTGATTTTTATAGCCTTTCAAAGTGTTTTTTTTTACTCAAAAGAGTGGTTGCCCTACAATACTGTTTCCGTTCCGACCTACTTTTTGATGGACTTAATTTTGAACCGTGGCCTTGTATTTTGACGTATTCGTTCTTCTTATTTCCCCATCAAAATTACGTACTAGAGCATGATGGCAAAACAATGGAGGAAGGTCACTACAAGATTTAACTCTTTAGTGGTACCAGACCAAGAGTTTACAGTAAGCAGCACCAGAAGCAAAGACAAGCTGCCCTCAGCGCAAGCGCCAGGCAGTATACATTCAGACGCAGTCACCTCCGAAGAGGGCCAGTCAACTCTAACAAAATGTAAATAGAGTAAAGAAGTGAATGTATAAAAGAAACAAAAAGAAGAGGAAGGAAAGATATGACAGAAAGACGAACAGAAACTCGAGCAGAAACTCGAACAAAGAGAGAACAGAAAGAAAGAAAGACGAACAAGAAGAGATATCTTCACCCAGTTTTTTCCCTTCATCTCACCTCTCTTGAGGTTCTCGGAGAGAAGCAAAAACGGTCAAAAAGCAACAGAGGAACGCCACAGGAAACAATCCACACATAAGTGGCAGACCCATTTCATTCATCTCACCTCGCTGAGCTTCTCGGAGAGAAGAAAAGGGCCCAAACAACAGAGGAACGCCGTTGAGTCCCCCAAGACTCAAGCCTTAACAATATAGCCAATGTTGCGTCCCGCAGTGGTCCATGTGCTCGCCTTGGTGGCAACCCTCTTGAAGACAGGGAGACACAGCGGAGGTTTCGTCTTCATCCAAAATCGTTAGCATCCACTACCAGTAAGGGAGATGGTAAGTGCCATGCGCTGTACCTTACCTTGCGACGACACGGCAGACCCTCGACAACGGGGACGGGCTGGGAGGCCGGATTTCGGTCCAGGAGGCTATGCCACGAGATATCAGCCAATGTACATGTATTCCATGATCATGATCTTCAACTTACGGATATTGCTCGCGCTCCTTGGCCTTGAACTTCTTCACCTTCTTCCACAATATATACCCTGCGCATCCAAGCAGGACGACGCACAAGACGGCAACGAGGGGGGGGGCAGCACGCCTTCAATGGCGCCCATCACCTTCGCCAGGTTATCTATACCCGAAGGGGCATTGGAGGACGTCGGGGCCGAGGGGGAAGAAGAAGAGGGAGAAGGCGAGATCTCACGGACGATAGTGGTGGTCATCGTGGAAATCACCGTGGAAGTGACAGTAGCATACTCCATGATGATCTTTGGAGGTTGTTGTAGAGAGAAAAACAATCTAGGGCTGAGGGAGGGGGGAATATAGTATACCCTACTTAGCAAGTTCGTGCCTGCCAGATTAGTGTAATGTCCGTTGTCGTAGTGACTATATCCGTAGCTTCTATTCTCGATCTTAAAGGCCTATCCGCGACTTCCTCTGCTACGGGAACAGCTCCATGGTTTGATCTGGATCACTCTCCAGAGCAGGAGAATCCGCATTCAGTATTATAGTAAGGCTGAAAGTAGAGTGAAGTGAGGTGAAAGAGAAGTTGTATACTCTTAATTACAAACAAGATGTGAGAGAGCGGAAGAAAATATAGTCCTCTGTGTAGTGTCATTATACTCTGTTTTGTGAGCGGGGAAAAAGAAGATTTATTACCTCGCAAATGGCATAGTTCAAAATTAGGTCCATAAATACGTTATATCATGGCCAGTACTCCGTAGGATAAGCACTTTGCTCCTGGCGCTACTTACTACAGGCTCTTAATCTACCACTAACTGCTCTCTAATCTCATGGAGCGGAAGAAGTACCAAAATTAGTAGAAATTTATTGGATTAATAAACCAAACACTTCAAAGTAAATAATATGCCAAGTAGGTCTGTCTTTGTAAAGATCAATTAAGCAAGAATGAGCAAGATGAGCACTAAGGCTCGGCGGTTTTATCATGTCCCAATCACTCCAAAGACACCAATTATTAAGTATCAAGGCCGAGCTTGATGCTTCAGGATTCTCTTCCAAAGTCTCCTGGGAGACTTTGCGGTCGCATAACCGGTCCTTTTAGAGATATCGGCCTTATCATGGGAGAGAAGGCTTTTGTCAAGTTTCTCATTGATCTGATCCACCCTTGCCGAAAGGTCGAGGAACCGGCCAGAAGAGCTCAGAGAGTCGTTGTTGTAATCTCGAGCTCTCCCTCTATGGCTGGTCATCAAGGCACTTTGATGATGGTTTCCCGAATCTCTCTCATGGCAGTTGATGCCATTTTGATTGTCTCCGGCTGGCGTGTGTTGTATCTGCCGGTTTGCGTTGTCCCGCTTCAACGAAGCATAGGTCTGGTTGAACTCACTCTCAGTGAGTTTTGACAGGGCAATATAGAGACCACTATTTTCACCGGCCCGTGTTTCGAACACATCTGCTAGGTCAATAGATATTTGGCCCGACTCTATACATTTTGAACCGAGTTCTCGAGACCATTTTGCCTTAACAAGCGAGCTAGATTCGTCCCGTGGCTGCTTTTCAAGTAGCTTTTCGACCTCGTTGTTGATATGTAGTAGCCGTTGCAATAATATCCGGCCAGTATGCTCGGTCTCGATAATAAAGGTGAGAAGATCTTGGCTTGGCTGGCTTGGACAGTAATGTGGAGGTTGGTCGTGGTTGCAGAGGACTTCCTTCGATTCTTGGCCTTCAAGAGATAGATCGGACATTTTCAAGGAGTATTGGATAATTTGTGTACGGTAGGCTTTTTTTGTGTAAGAGAAGAAATAAAGGTTCTGTGAGGAGAGAAAGGTATAGGAATAGGCCTTGGAAAGAATTCATAGATCTTGGCTTCTGCTACAGCCAGCCGCCGCCTAGACGGGACTCGGAGCTATGGTCGCCCACGCTCCTAAACTCATTAGAGCTCTACTAAACTGGAAAAGTCCCATGTGCCCTTTTCAGATAGCCGCAAGCTCTGCTTTAGGAATAGTATACCTTGATCCTCGATCTACAAGGGACATGCATTCCTGGAGGGGGTTGTCGCTGCAATCTTTTCCTCTCGCTCTCGCATGGGTTCGGTTGAGATCATTTGCACTTTTCGATAGTACTCTACGTTTAAGTGCATTGTAGATTAGGTTCAACTCAATTCGATTGCATAATTCTTTCCACCAATGCTTAGCCGTACCTCGGTCAGGAAGTATTGTGTTGTGCATACATGACAATGACATTATTACCTCCAACCTTGTCTCAAGATCTCACCAAATACCTATCCTAGCTATCAGAATGCGACAAAGTTTAACAGACCAAAAGAGTATCCTCTAAATTATACTTTCTATTCATTATTTATGGTTATCACCATACATTCTCTCTCGAGGATCTCTACAAGCACACCCGAGGCATCCTCGGATTTCCCCGCATGCATAACCGATTTATGCGGGGGAAGCTCCAACAACGAGCCACGGCACGCAATTTGATTCGATCGCAACTCGGTCCTTTCCTGGTTATATGGCTATATGAGCCTGAATTAGTGCATTTAGCGTGTTGAACGATTGGGATCGCCCCCAAGTCCATGCTTTTTCCAGCTCTGATGGAATTGAATAAGTAAGCACGACTCGCACGCTGATGCCAGCACACGGCACTTCTTACTTCTTACCTTCTACTGTCTACACTACACCCCCTACATATAGAATCACCCCCCCTCCCTTCCTCCACGATGCCATACAAATCCCGCTGGCAGATCGACGTCCCCAACATCCACCTGGCCTCCCTCCTCCTCACCTCCCCGACAGCACCACTCTCCCAAACAAAACGATGCTACCTCGAAGCCGCCCGCCCAGACACCCACTACTTCACCCCCCATGATTTCCGCCTCTGGAGCCAACGCTTCGCAGCAGGTCTGCGCAAAGCCGGTCTCAAACCGGGCGATCGAGTCCTCCTCTTCTCGGGGAACGACCTCTTCTTCCCCGTCGTGTTCATGGGCATCATCATGGCGGGCGGTATCTTCACCGGCGCGAATCCCACCTACGTCGCCCGCGAATTAGCCTTCCAGCTAGAAGATAGCGGTGCGACGTTCCTCATCTGCGCGGGTGCTAGTCTAGATACGGGCATTGAAGCTGCGCAGATGGCGGGATTATCGCGGGCGAAGGTCTTTGTCTTTGACAATGCCATTTACGACGGCCGCGGGCAGGCACAAAAGGGGTGTCCGTATTGGGGGGATTTGGTAGCGTCTACAGAGGAAGGACGCGGGTTTGCCTGGGAGGTGTTGGATACGCCCGCGCTGGCCGATACAACGCTCGCACTGAACTATTCATCCGGTACGACGGGACGGCCCAAGGGCGTGGAGATCACGCATAAGAACTACGTGTCGAACATGTTGCAGTACACTTATATGGGCACTTTATATCCCGACTACGAGCAGCGACGGGCTCGTGCGCGCTGGCTCTGCTTCCTGCCCATGTATCACGCCATGGCGCAGAATATCTTCATCGCGGCGGCGTTGTATCGCGAGACGCCCGTTTATATCATGCCCAAGTTTGACTTTATCCAGATGCTGGAGTATACGCAGAAGTTCCGGATTACGGATTTCATTCTCGTGCCGCCGGTGGTGGTTGCGTTGGCGAAGCATCCTGCGGTTAAGAAGTATGATCTGAGCAGTGTGGAGAGTGTGGGGAGTGGTGCGGCGCCGTTGGGACGGGAGGTTTGTGTTGAGGTGGAGAAGTTGTGGCCAGAGGGGAAGATCAATATCAAGCAAGGTTGGGGGATGACAGAGTGAGTGATCTTTTCCATAATAGAGAGGTGATATCGTATATCATATGGATGGAATGTTGCTTGTCAAGAGTTCAGGCAAATGCTAACTGTGTGATTCAGGGCAACCTGTTCCATTCTCGGATGGGATCCAAGAGAGAAGAGTTTCTCTGCTTCTGTCGGTGAACTAAATGCCAACTGCGAGGCCAAGATCATGGCCGAGGATGGACTCACCGAGGTGCTTGAACGCAACAAGCGGGGCGAGCTGTGGGTGCGCGCACAGAATGTCATGAAGGGTTATTGGCATAACCCCAAGGCGACGCAAGAGACCAAGACCGAGGATGGATGGCTTCGAACTGGAGACATTGCCTATGTGGATGACCAGGGCAAGTTCCATGTTGTGGACCGGATGAAGGTGAGTAGCTATGTTATGCAGTCTCGTGTGGAGAAAGACAGCTCTAGACAGACCCTTGTACCCGATGCTAACGAAGGTTCCCTGCAGGAGTTGATCAAGGTCAAGGGTAACCAGGTTGCCCCCGCAGAATTGGAAGCGCTACTCCTCGAGCATCCGGCTGTGGCAGACGTGGCTGTCATTGGCGTCACAGTGTGAGTAGACCCTGACATGTTCCGTTCCTGTCATGCCCATTCTATGTTTCGCTTCTTCTTTCCTTCTTTTCCTTCTCCCTATATTGCTTTTTTTTTCTCTCGGCAACTCTTCCCAGACCCCGACACTGACAGCCAACAGCAACAATGACGAACGTCCCCGTGCATATATCGTCCTCAAACCCGGCCAATCTGCTAGTGCCGACGAGATAGTCCAATTCATGGCCGGCAAGGTCTCTGCAACCAAGCGGATCACCGGTGGAGTAATTTTCCGCGACGTGATCCCGAAGAACCCATCTGGCAAGATCCTGCGCAAGGCGCTGCGCGAAGAGGCGGCGGTGGAGCTGAAGCGAGAAAGTGCCACGGCTAAATTGTAAGGGGTATTTAGGTTTTTGTTGGAAGCCCAAAGTATGAAAGGTGTGAAGTGTGGAGTTTTGAATTATTTAGCGGTGGCCACCTCTGTACTCATAGAAGTATACCGAAGCCCGAGATATGTCGAGTTGACAATATTCATCTTATTTTCTTTTCCGCACCAGACAGGGGGGTGCTTCCCTTGATTCCGTGCCCTTCCATTGCTTTTTCCCGCATATTCCCTATGGTCGGTATTCACTTCCATCTAATTTCTCCTTCAGGCTTCAAGACAGCCCCCACCACCCGCAAACACGCAGACATGCAGCCGTGCAGACCAGGATGTATCCTGTAAATAGCGGCGATCCCTCACGGGGATCCATGGCCCCGGTAACGAGGGCGCCGTCAAAGCACTCCCAAAAAAACCAGAGACACCCAGAATATTAAAATGCCAGATAGCCGACCGGTGTGGCCTGTGCAGCATGATTCGCCGGCGCGGGCCAGCCTTAGCAAGTTAGCGCGAGGCCCTAAATGCCAGCGGCCAGCTGAAAGGGCCCCTACAACGATGGAGATCGTGATCCACGATCGGGGGATGGCGTGAGACGAGAGAGCTAGAATTTGGAAGCATTCTTCGAATTTGACTTGGCAGTGGGGGGGATTATGGTTCAATGAGTTGGAGGCCTCTTTTTTTTTCTTTGATTGAATATGAGACTCATCAGCTCCTAGTATTTAGGGACAGTCCAGCCCAGCCATGCACGGAGGATCGACGTCGCAGGCGAGGATTTGGGATTTTCTGGCGTGGGTCGTGTAAACCGTATTGACTGTAGACTGTGGACTGTATATAATTCTGACAGTCAAGAGTAAGATAGTAACATGACTCCAAATTGCGCGGCTCGGAATCCGAGGCTATACCAGTGTGTACTTGCCCACTGCAGCCATCGCTTAGTAGTGCAGCTCGTCTAAGGCAAATTGAACGTAGCCCCACGGGCAAACTGTTATTGTACTGTAGACACTGTAGTCCATTAGTCCAGACCTTGGATGTAGATCCTTGGCATTTCTGCTGTCAGTGGCGCCTGGGGAGTGCAGCTGAATCCCTCGCACAGAACCCGTGGCTTGGCTGGAGTGTCCCCTCGGCCTAGCGGGCTTATCCACTTGACTTGCCCCTTTTGGATAACGATTCACGTAATCTCAAATCATCGCGGCTGGAGACGCGCTAAGAGCAGCGCGATGAGGTGGGGTTGTTTGGTTTTAGTACGTGCAGGAATCGGGATGGAGGGGGAAGATGGAGAGAAGGCTCGCTTGGAATGGACTTATGGCAGCCTCTTTAATATGATTTGTTGGTCCATTTCTACTAAAGATTCTGGCTTGGTTCTTGGTCATTCTCGAGTCCGTCATTACTTTTGAGTTTGGCTTTTGTGATGGATCATAGGGGAGGTTATACTTGGAGGAGGGACCTGAGGGGTATCCTATCATGAGCATGAACTCCTGTACAATGCAGTATAACTGCATGGATATAGTCACTTTTGCGAACCATTGTGTCACCCTGCCATTCTGACATCTACTGGTGATCACCCAGCAGGCTATACTTTTGTGCATACTTCATACTTTATCCTCTACTACTCGAATCCTTTGTACTTTTGACCTTCTGTAGATCGATCTGATCGGGATCTTGCCCTGGTTCTTATTCTGGTCTAAGTGATATATAGATCTAGATCTGCCTTAGGTGTTAATCTAGTATCCATACACCCGTCAGGTCTCTCTCTTTGCCCCGCCATCCACTACTTTCTATCGTTGATCTCCTCTTTGTCCCATCTTCAGGCCGCCATGTCTTGACACCATCGACACCTCAACGCCCCTCTCTCTTGATTCACAGACTATAAATATAGACTACAGCCCTTGTATCCTGTTTTGTAGTCCTTTCCAGCTCTCTCTATTCCTGTCATCCTGTCTTTCCAAATCTCATCACATCCCATAAGATCGTGGACCCTACCCTAGTCCACCCCAACCCAGCATCCTGGTTGTCGGGTCCTACACCATCATCATCTCAATCAAGCAGACCAATACGCCAGTCCACTCGCTGTCCTTCAGCTCCACGATATTCCTCCTACCTGGGTATCCTATTCAGCTCAGTCTAAGGCTGTCAGCACACAAAACACACACACACACACACACCAACAACAAGGGAATTGCAACCAACAACGCCCTCCATAACGAAATGCTCCCAATCGGACAAGAAAACACACAACCACCCTGCCCATACAAACTCCCTCAAACCCTCACACTAGCCCTCGGCTTCACACTCATCACCCTAACCCTCCTCCTGATCCAGCGCATCGCGCGCCGCCACTATCAGCCGACACATACACATTCCCCTGCAAGCCCAGCGCAACCAGACCAAACGGACGCCATGGAAAAGGGCAACTTGACGAGTCCAGCACCGAGCACGAGCATGACTATGAATATCTGTCCGCCACCAGCCACAGCTTGCGACGTGTTGCAACCTCTCTCGCAGAGTGGTGCGTTCCCATCTAGCGGGGCGGTGGCGGCTAGGGCTCGTGAGCTGATGCAGACGGGTAAGGCATCTCCGTCTTCTCCGGGGATGGATGAGACGGTGATGGCAATGGTGATGGCGAGGGCGCTAGGGGAGTCTGAGGAGGGGTGGAGTGAGACCTGTGGGCCGGTGCAGAAGCGTGGTGAGTCGGTGCTGGAGATGAGGGATGTTGATAGCGATGGGGTGCGGACTTGGAGGCGGGTTGTTGCTGAGTATAGTTAGTTGGGTGGCGAATGTTGTGGTTGTTGTTGGGATTTGCTGGTTGATTGGAAGTGTTGTTGCTTTTTTTTCTCTGTTATCTTTGACGTGCGTTTGTGTTTAGCTTGGAGGTATTCTCATTTTGTGTTTCGTTGTTAGCTTTGTCGGGTTGTTGATTTCTCCTGATTATCATTGTTTTCTCTCTTCGGTCTTTTGATCAATTTTGCTCTTGTTGTGTGCCTCGAGAAGAAATGCCTGATATTTCAGGAGTGTAGTAAAATAGCCGAGGAACAGTCGACCTAAGATGTAGTGCTGATTTCTGAGTTCAAGATCATCTGGTCAGTTCTGAGTGATTGATCAAAAAGATCTACAATCGACGATTTTGGTTGCAGGCCCAAGTGCTGAGTCATCATCGACATCCCGCGGCAGGGCTGTTGGCATCTTCGGACTTGACCTGGAGCTGACTGGTTTACTCGTCAGTTTCCTTGAATCACACCTAAACTGCCTCGCTCTCTCGAGGTCATTCGCTACAATGGCAGTCTCGGCATTCCCTTCAATGGAGGAATCTCCTGATCTCACCCTCCTCAACGTGGCACGACTCTTCACCCGACTGGAACACAACCTACTCTCCCCCGGTTCGGAGCTCCGCACCCTGCGCAAGTCTGAGCTCCAGCGTTTGCGAGTATCCAAGGTACGATTTACTCTTATGGCTGCCCTGATAGTTTTGGCTGTGGCCAAGGCTATAGTCATGGGGAATTTCCATGGGCAATATGCCACTTTGGGACGCCTTGTAACCATCTTTATAGAACGTCGACTATGCCCGCACCCTACTATCCCAACTAGAACGCTCCCTCCCACAAATCAAACCACTCGACCGGCGATACGAAGCGCAGGCTGAAATTGCGCGAGATCGACAGCTGCTCAAGCGTATGCAAAGTGTCCTCGACGAGGAAGAGTCCCGTGCCGAAGAGGACGACGATGTCGAGGACGAAGTCGACGATGAATGGAAGGAGTTATTCTCGAAACCAATGGCCGTTGAATCGGCCGAGGCACCTATCACCGAAGAATCCAAAACTATCGCGACGGAACCTACAACTACCCCAATGCCACCAACTGCATCAACACCAACACCAACACCCACGCCCAGCACAACAATCCCACCATCAACCCTCCGCAATCGCAACACCCCCCAAACCAAAGCCCCTCCATCTCCCCCCGCAAAAACAACCGGCTTCACCAAAGACACCACCTCATCCTCCACAAAAGAAGAAGCCCTCTCAACCTCGCGCCTCGAACAAGAAGACCTAACAAGCTCCCTCCTCAGCCTAGCAAGCCAACTCAAAGCCTCAACGCAACTCTTCCAATCGACACTCGAAAACGAAAAGTCCGTGCTAGACCGTGCAGTCTCGGGCATTGACAAGACGAGTAGTACCATGGAAGCTGCGGGGCAGCGGATGGGAATGTTGAGGCGGATGACGGAGGGGAAGGGGTGGTGGGGGCGGATGATGCTTTATGGGTGGATTTTTGGGTTGTGGGTTGTTGCGGTGTTGATTGTTTTTGTTGGGCCTAAGTTGAGGTTTTGATTGTTAAGAGGGGGGATTGTGTTTTGTTTTTGATACCCCGAGTCCGTGATGGATTTGATATTCCCATTTTTGGATGGTTGTTAGAGTTGGAATAGAATACTGTATAAGATAGTTCATATCGAATCTATATCTGAACTAGTCTACTCAATTATATCATCTAGGTTCTACACAGCTTAAGAATATCATGATTAAAGGTCGGAAACCCGAAGATTCAATTCCTGTCTGACTATAACCCAACGACCGACCTGGCATGACACATGAGAAGAGACATGAGAACTCCGCGGATCCTGTCCATTTCCCCGTGCCCTATTGCCCAGATGGTCGCTCGAGGCTTCCAACGGACGCGAGACCAAGGAAACGAGAAAGGGGGTGACGGTATGGTTACATACAAGATCGACAATAAAAAAAAAGAGAACAAGGAAATTGAGACAAAACGGGGGGTAGGGCAGTGATGGGCAAAGTGCAAATCAAGAGGTAGATGATAGGATATCCAGCATTTCAAATCAGACACAAGGGGTAAGACATGGAGAAAAAAAAGAAATAAGAAATAAGACTGTAGACAACAAGTAAGAAATAAAAAGAGGTCCAGAAAAAGGTAGAGTTCCTGTTCCGCGTCGTCGAGAGCAGGAAGATAAGAACCGGCTAGAGAGAGAGAGAAATCGTGTCAATGTGAACGGGCGGACGCAATTAAAAAAAAGAGACACACAAGAAGAAAATGGTGACAGATGAGGGAGGAAAAAAAAAGGAAAATGTTCAACGCCGGAATTTCTGGGAACGAGGACGAGGCTTTTGATCACATCCCGGCGAGATCAGATTACAAGCCGAAAGAAATGACACATGCGATCTAGTTTCAACACACTTCGACACCCGGGGGATGGGAATTCATTAGATCAAACCACAGAGACGGAGGTTCTCTTGGATGATGATATCTGGGAGAGAAGTCAGCAGAGGAACATAATAAGAGTAAGGCAGAGGCAAAAGCGAGAGGCATCCCGCTTTCTTGAGGAGAACGTACCGTTGACAGCAGCCATGACGAAGCGGATCTGGGTGGTGTCGGTGGCGCAGGTGAAGTGGGTGTAGATCTGCTTCTGCTCGGCCTGGTTCAGAGACACGAAGCGGTTGAGAATGTAGTCGCAAGCGGCAGCGTAGTCGGCACCGCCCTCGTAGTCGGGGAAGTAGTTCTTCATGGGGCTGACGGGCAGCTTCTCCTTGAAGCGGTCGATCTTGTTGAGGAAGAGAATGATCGAGGTCTTGACGAACCAGCGAGAGTTGCAAATGGAGTCGAACAGGGTGAGCGCTTCTTGCATACGGTTGACGGTCTCGTCCTCGAACAACAGCTGGTCGTACTCGGAAATGGCGACCAGGAAGAGGATAGTGGTGACGTTCTCGAAGCAGTGAATCCACTTCTTACGCTCGGATCGCTGACCACCGACGTCGAACATGCGGTAGGTCAGATCGCCGATGATGAAGGTAGTCTCGGTGATACCGGTGGTCTTGACACGGGAGCGGAGGACATCCTGGTCAGTGGGGAGGTAGTCGGGCTGAGCAATGCGGTCAACAGCATCGAAGTAGCTGTAGGAGTGATAGGTTAGCGACTGTTAAGCACTGTGTGGTGGGCATCTTCATCCGGGCAAAATGAAAGAGCGGGAAAGAGTCAAGGTTCCGACATACTATTTGGCGGAGTCGTTGAGCTGGTATTCACGCGAACGCTTGAAGCAGTCCTGAACACCAGTGTCGCGCCAGAGAGCACCGATAGCGTTGCCGACCTCGGGGGGAATGCTGTCACCCTCAATCTGAGCGGGCTGCATGAAGATGGTCTGGACGTGGTACTCGTTGCGCGCATCCTCCAGAGGAAGCTCCAGAGACTCCATGGCCTCGAGAATGACCCGCATAGACTGGACGGTGTTGCTGTAGATAATTTCCTTGAACGACTCACGCTCATCACGGGAGTAACCACCCTCGTGAATGAGCTTCATCTGCTTGAGAATGGTGGATTTACCAGACTCTCCGGCACCTGCATGTATCAAAGAACCCCTTTTCGTCAGCTAACCAATTTTCTCACTCAATCGCGAATTCTCATCCCAGAGTCATCGCGCTTCATTCCAAATTGTATCCGGGTGTAATCATACCGAGCAGCAGCATCTTGATCTCGTTTCTTTGCAGCATCTTGTCGCGCTTGAGCTGGTTCTCAATCTCCTCGTTCCGCGCCTTCCCCTCCTTATCCTCGGTGCTCATGCCACAACCCATGATGGCGGTAGTACGGGTTCGGTGTAAACGATAGTGGGTACGGGTAGTGCGAGTCCAATCGACTCGTTAAGGGTGGTATTCGATGATGGGAACTGATGCAGCGCGGGAGATAGTCAGCACAACGGTCCTTGATGGTGTAAGTTTGCTCTCTCTGGCGTTTTCTCTCTCGCACCCGATCCCGGATCGCATCAAACAATCGACACAGACTTGGCGAATGTCGTACAAGCCGTCGAGAGCCGACGTTTCAGGATTGCAATCGGGTAGACGCAAGGGTGAAACGGATGGAGAAGAAGAGAGTCGGATTTCCCACGAGAAGCAGAGGGAGGAAAGCTGCCGATAGGGAGGGCAAAAAAACGAGGCAGTCAGGGAGAAAAAGAGATCAATGATACGTACCGGGATATGCCCTGGTAGATGGCGGCGTAGGAATGACGATAAAAACACACGCGAGAAAGGAATGGAATCAAGGGCCTTGAGTAGTATAGAGGGGGGGGGGAGAAAGGACAGAAAAGAAGCCGATAGGCGAGCTGAGAGAGAAGGAGAGGTTTAAGGTAAGGGGGTTGAGAAGGAGGAGGGGAAATTGGGAAGTTTCAGTAGGGAAAAGGGGATACGCCCGTATTACCAGGCGGTCGGAGACGCGCCGGGGGGGAGCAAGAGAGTGAAGAGCGGGCTGGGGACTGCAGGGACAATCCGCGAGAATTGGGAGAGAATGACGATACCACGATCAGCCCCGTATCGAAGATTACCATACGTGACCGGTTTTGGTACCCGCTGGTCGATTTTGGCATCGCTGGGTCGATGGGGGATTTTGATTGGTTACAGCTGTGGACCCACCTCTTTTTCGCGCTCATAGTTCAGCCAATCAGCATGGTCATGGACCCCCTTTTGCTGGATTGCCTTCGATGGACGCCCACAACTCGCCGATTGGGTGTTTCGTTTTCTCTTCACTACTGGGACCTTGTCTGGCTTGAATCAGGAGGCTCGCTCCGTCGGGTTATCTGGTGCCAAGTGAGATTCTGGTCTCATTATTCAGTTTTGGTCAATTATACGAAGAGCCATCTATACAATAGCCTACCCCATAGTATATAGATTCTTCTTTATAGTTCAATTGCAATTGACATTGGCGCTAACACACCATATTACTCCCTCCTATCCATACTCCTTCGCTAGTATCGCATTCTCCGCTTCAGGGGATCACCAGCAGGGAAACCATTGCCCATGCAGATCCTCGTGTGGGGGCCCAGTCAGACTAATGTTATTGTCCGACAATGATGGCTCCTCTCCATGCTCCATGCTCAATGCTCCATTGTTATTCAGTCTTGAAGCATGACGATCATGAGCCCAGACTGTCCTTAAACGGGACATTTGATAGACACGGGCCATCCTCTGTCGTATTTCTGGCCATAGGTCAAAAGTTAGATGGCATACAATACTACAAACAATCGCTGTGGTAGTAACTTTGTAGCAACGCTATCCTCACGATCAAAAGCTGATCGCCATCCCTAAACGCAATTCAGATATTTCTGTACTATTCTCGGTCCTGGACCCGCCTGCGTGAGACTGGCCGGACCGTTGTGCAGCCTCAATTCCAGTATGATTCCTTCTCAGACTGCCACTGCCTCAGCCTGGAACGCGATGAAAGAAAGATCCGAAACCTGCGCCACATACCCCGTGTACCCGACCTCATGAGCTATGAACCGTACCCATGGTTTGACCTAAAATATCTATACTTTGCGGCTCTACTAGTGCCAGGTTGGTTCCTGAAAAAAAAGCATCTTTGTCGCCCCGTGACGTTGAAACGTTGCAAAACGTGATATCCAAGTCAACGACCCGCTCTCAGACCAAACTCCACAGAGACCTGGAGTCTGAGCACTAGGCTCTGCCGATCAGTAGGGGTATGGGGAGGTAAGAGGGGGGCAAGTACGGAAGACGGAGTATGGAAAGCTGCACGAAGAAGGAGGATGAGAATTAGCCTTTATTCGCTTATTCATAGTCATAAACGGAGTACAAGTATCGGCATCGCCGCTGAAGATTTTTTTTTCTTTTGCCTCTAATAATGGCATACAGCGGTTCTGTGGGATGGCAACATAGGGTGACCCGCCAGGGTACCTGAAACCGGGCCAAAAAGGAGATGTCGTATTGATTGTAATGTACGGAGTATTCATCTCTTCCACCTTGTAGTAAACATGTAATCCGCAGTAATATATGTGCTCATAATAAAAGATTGTACTTGGTTTATAATCAACTTGGGAGCTTATCGCTACTTTACGTACGTCTTTGGTTTCTTGATTTTCCCCCCTCTTTTTCGCACATGGCTTTTTAGCTAACTATGGGGCCCCCCTGAACTCGTGGAATTTCTGGAATTCCCACATCGTACGGCGCTATCGCCTCCTGACCCACTATCTAGTGTTTCTAGCCGCTTTTTCGCCGCCATGATTTCTCCTAGGGTGAAAAGCAAGGTAACTATGGGATTGAGGTGGCAAGTCCGGAGCTCTCTCATAAATAACAATTGATTGTTGACAACCTTTGTAAGCATTAATCGCGAGCTCATCTTAGGTTGACCGTACCATTGGAAACGGATTTGTGTATCGCAATACAATTAACTAAAGGCGGTACGGAGTTAACGATTTGCCGAGGATTAGCAGAGCAGATCTTATGCATATACCCCCTAGGCCTGTGCCTCGTACACAAGTTCTCGATCTGCAGCGATTGATATCTTCTTAAAAGTCCCCGCTTAACCCGGACCTCCAGTCCTTCGGACGATTGGTTGGGATGCCTGCCGCCAGTCTATCCACCAAGCAAGTTCTGACTACGTCGAAAGCATAAATGGATAAGCAACGAAGCATAATGAGTACCTTTAGCCCAACCAAAGTCTCTCGAGTCTCATGCAATAGTTGAGGCTGGTCGTCAGACATGTACGACCCAAAGGACCTAAGGACTCGGAGTTTATCGGTCAGCTCTAAGTCGTGTGAAACGTCACGTCCTACTCAGACACATCTCCGTTTCTCTGACCATAGCTCTTCCCTTGGGGCAAGTAATCCAACAGTAATGTTCAACCCTTCCCCAATATTTAATGTCAAAATTTCCCAGACTCCGGAATCGACAAAAAAAACCAACGCGATGCCTGTATACTTTATGGTAATGCTCATTTATACCCAACAAATGTCACGCCTATACAACCACCAATAGTAATGGAATCCCATTTGAAACAGATTCTCAAATAATTCTAATAGATGTAATGCCCGAACAAGTTTCAAATGCCTAAGAATCTGACCGTAGGGCTAGATCTATACTGCCGCTAGTGGATAAAAGGTTTCCCCGCATACTGGAGGGCTCCATAGAAGCGTCATCACACGTCCACACTGGGTTGTCTATCGGGTCAAGAGATCGCTAGGGCACCTGGGCACTTGTGTAGCGGTAAATGGGAGTAACGGTAAGTTAGGGGTCACTTGCAGTGGGGTATAGATATGGGGGAGTTTCTAGCTGTATTATCACAGATATCGTGGAAAAGGAGGAATATATACAAAATACAGGTGGTTCCGTATACCAAGGCTACACTTAGCAGTAACAAGGATAGTAGGTATTGAAATTAACGGGCTCTGATCTTGTCTCCTGGTATAACATCAAGCCAATCGCTCTATTTCATTCGATACTCTTCCCTACTCACGTCATTCCCAGTCTTGCGACCATCTCCTCGTCTTATTTCATAGACCACAACGATCCAACGTTGTGTCACTTAAGTGGACCTCGAATATCTAGGCTATCCGAAGTCTAGAATTCTTGAAGATGACTTTGCGAAGTCAAAAATACGAGAAGCTTGTGTGAATTCACAACCAGAAGATCTGGTGCATTTTTTTTCTATGATTACCTTTTCAGCGCTCAATTACTCCGTATATATACCTCGATTGATGATTGCAGCCTCATATGGATCGACAATGGCTAAGGTAAATGGCCTAGCTTGGACAACCTCACAATAAGCGAGACAAGGTAATCTGACGAGTGTTCATATGGGCGATGTTGAAAAGAATTGACTCCACTGGGATTCCCCACCGGTGTATCAATAGTGCGAAGACTATTGCGGCGGCTCGAGGTTCGCGGGTAACGTTCGTTCTGGAGGGATTCTTGTTGGCCTGCTGAACATTGCCATTGACATTGTCGCGATACTCCAACAAGACTATTGCACTCATTGAGGATATTAAAGAGAAATTCTCCTAACCAATAGTGAATGTTTTACGGCTCGATAATCCTCCCGACCCACGGTTCTTGTCCTGGATCAGATCGGGATCTCAATTTTTGCTTTTTCGGGTCCATCCATTGGACGATTCCCCACTCGAACCCTTTAAGCTCGCCCTGGCCCTGTTCTGCCCTGCCCCTGCGCAAGCCCCCCAAAGGACCTCCATCCCAGTCTCATCCTCGCCGTCGCCGCCGCCGTCTCACCATAATAACCATGTCACACGAAATGTCCCACCTGGGCCCCCGGGGTACGTAACTCGTCGCGCGAAACCTTAATTGGCGCCTCTGTCCCTCCCCAAGCATCTCCTGACTCTGACTCAAACTCTCCAGCCTTCAACCACGACCAGAGCAGCGACGCCGAACAGGAATACGACCGCCTCCGCGACCTCGCGCGGCAGGAGGCCTCGAAGCGCGGCGATTGTTTCTCACGGGTATGTGCCCTCAATTACCTCAATCCCACTGTCCTCGGCGCTCTCAGCGCACAATGTGTGTCTGCCAAAGATAACGTGCTAACTCGTCTGAACAGTCCAAGGAAGCCTACTCCAACGGCGATGGCGCGCGCGCCAAACAATTGTCGGAGCAGGGCAAGGCGCACGGGCGCAAGATGGAGGAATATAACAAACAAGCGTCCGAATTTATCTTCCGCGAGAACAACGCCAACGGGCACGTCGAGGCCGACACAATTGATTTGCACGGACAATTCGTCGAAGAGGCCGAGGAGATTCTGGAGGAGCGCATTAAATACGCCAAAGCGCATGGTCAGAATCACTTGCACGTGTACGTTGGAACCCTCGCCCAGAACAACCCGGTTTCGCCGTGCGCATGAGGAATACAATCAAACTAACTTCCCCCTCCCAGAATCGTCGGCAAGGGTAACCATTCCGCCGGTCACATCCAAAAGATCAAGCCGCGTGTCGAACAAGTCTGCCAGGAACTCGGCCTGCAGTACGCCACTGAGGAAAACGCCGGTCGGATCTACGTCAACCTGACCGGCGGCGAGGCCGTTATGCCTTCTTATCCTTCGCACCAGGCGCCGTACCACGGTGGTGGTGGCCAGTCATACCCCGGCCAGCAGCAACAGCCACACCACCAGCAACAACAGCCGCAGCAGCAGGACGAGATCGAGCAGGTCGTCAATGCGCTGTTGCCCAAGGTTATGCGCAAGTTGGAGAAGGCGTGCTGTGTTGTTATGTAAAGTTGGTTTTATATTGGGATGTTTTCGGATATATTGGGATATAGGCATTAGGTGTTGATTTTTGGGGAATAGAGCGATGGACAGTTGTATTTGTGGATATGGCATTATGTTGTGATATAATATTGGATATATAATCTGGTCTACAGCTAGCGATATACACTGGAGCTACGACTCACGACGGCGGGGGCTTGGTTATACCCCGTTCATGGATATTGATCATGAATTACTAGTTGCCACTTCACCTACTATACTTTGGCATTCAAGTCAGTGTCAATTATGAGATACGGGTTGCAATTATGTAGACAGTTCACTGTTTAATAAAATCATGACATCGTATATTTCAGCTCGCTTTACATAGCCAACAGCATCAAAGAAAGGGTATATCAAAGCGCCCAGACACCAAACCCTAAGCAGAATCAATCTCGAACGATCCAGGTTCAATCGTAATTCAGATCCAAAACCAAACTGAAAGAGCACAGGACCCCAGACTACTCCTTCGCAGCCTCCTCCGATGATAACGTAGAGTCCACAATCTTATTCAGAACCACCCGGACCAACTCCCCATCGCCCGCACCATTAATCTGCGGCGTGGCATCGATCACTTCAATCAACGACAACGCCCGATCTCTCAACTCCCGGACAACCTGACAAGTATGCGCAAAGCTCCCCGTACTCTCCATATACTGCACGGCATACCGCTTCACCTCCTCATCCTGGGTCTTCTGCTTCAAAATACTCAACAACTGATGATTACTCGGATTCGAGCGAATGCTATGAATAATGGGATACGAGAACTTGCCCTCGGTTAGGTCCTCGCATAGCCCCTTATTCCTTGTATACGTCGTATTCGAAAGATTCAAATAGTCGTCGCAGATTTGGAAAATGAGACCCATGACGTTGACCAGGGCGACGCAGTCCTTGCCCGTCGCGCTTTCGGCTTGCATCAGTTTCACGGCTAGGCGGAAGAGTCCGCCCGTTTTGTTGCCGACCATTTCGAGGTATTCGTCCTCCGTGGGGCAGGTCAGAGTGTCGCGCCAGAAGAGGTCCATGCCTTGGCCGCGGTGGAGGTTGAGGAGTTCTTTGACGTAGATGTCGATTGCGGCGGGGTTGTGGAGTTGTTGGATTTCTTGGAGGGCGAGGAAGTAGACGTAGTTGGCGGAGTTGATTGTCTGGGCTGTGCCGAAGATGTTGTGGGCGACGGGGATGCCGCGGCGTAGGACGGAGGAGTCTTCGACGTCGTCGATTCTGTCGGGGGCTTAGCGGAGGATTCAGGAGAGAAGGGGACTATCGGTGCACAATCTTGTTCCTGGTACTTACAGCAGCGACGCCGTGTGTAACATCGTCACCACCCTGTCGATAATCGCCAAACTCTCCGGCGGGACTTGAAGCCATGAATTAAACGCCTGAATCAACTGGCGACGCACATCCTTGCCAGGATGCTGGTGCATATATTCATACGGCCCCATCAAGATCTTCTCATTCTTCGGCGACCACGTCCCATCCTTGTACTTTGTCCCGTCGACACTGGACTTGTTGCGGCGGTGCTTCGATTTAGGTGGCAACTCGGTCGCAGGCGGTTCGCCGTCCACGACGGATTTTCTGTGCCGGTGGGAGGGCGAACTCGTAGCTCCATTTGCAGCGCCGGCGGAGCTAGTCCGCGGTGGAATCGGACTGGGTGGTTGAAAGGAGGAGTTCATATTGCTGAGGAGGAGTTGATAGTTGAGATTGTGATGAGGGGAAAATTGGAGGGGCTGCGGAGAGCAGATGACATCAAGCACGAGCCGCCAGCGGTGAGACCGGGGAAGCTTTGGGCTTTTCTACTGTACTACAACAGCTTGGCTTAACGGGAGTCAGCTATTATGATTTCACTTAAGTTTCTCCATGATCATGGTTTGTCGTCATTTCTTGGTTCTATCGACTAAGCGAGCAGGTTACGGAGCCGTCCGGAGCTTGAACATTGACTTGCTGTGGTCGCGGAGGGGCGACACTGAGCGATTGTAGATCGATCGATCGATAGTTCAGATTCGGAGGTGAGGAGGGGGAAATAGATGGATCACATATCAAGGGATTAAAGTTGGCGGAGCAATTATTTCTGAGCTTCCAGTCGTAGTTCTTCTTCAAGTCAAGGTTGACGATACAAGGGTTAAATAATCACACGACGAAGCGAGAGTGCAGAGGCTGGCTGTAAGGCGGATGTTTGCCAGGGCAACGTGATCGGCGACTCCGTCTATCACAGTCATCTTTCTGACATTATACTTTGCAGGATTTTCTCGAGGTTGGGATAATATTCACAGACCGCTCTGGGCTCGAGTGTGAATAGATTAATTACTACCTATTCTTAGGTGTAGTACTCCTCCGTAGTAATCATAGACTCCCCCGGACTCCAAAACCGGTTTTTGGTGGCCTGTCAGAATAACCTTCAATTGACGCCATGGAGATCCTAGGAACCCAAGGAACCGCAGGTCCCCCAAAACCAAGCTCTGCACGATCTCCCCTTGAAACCGGGAAACTAGAGAAATTAGGCAAGGCTAAGGCGCTTACAAAGGAGGCTGGAGGAGGCTGAAGATGTCCCGAAATGGTTTAGCGCGTGTTTTCTGTTGGTGGGTCGTCCGGGGCAACCACCCGGATTGCCTGTTCGGGTGGCTTTATTTACTAGATTTACTTTTCCTATTTCAGTGTTATCTTTTTGATATGATAATTTAGTTCCAGCACGGCCCGACTGACCTCATCGGCCTCACGGACCACACCGACCAGTTTTTCCTCGCTTCATGCTTTTCCAGCCTCCTCAGCTGAGCTGATCGTGGTTTTTTTTTGGCTCTACAACACTCACGGCCCATCTTCTTTTTGACTCTCTTCTTTTCCTCCTCAATCTTGCCATCCTTTTATTTCTACCCTTCCTCTTCCCTCCCACCCCCACTTTCTCACTCCACCCTTTATCCACGGTTACACACATCCTCATGGAGACTCTTTTGGCACATTCATTCGACTATCTTTCCTCATACGAGCCCAGCAAAGTCCGCAAAGGATTGCGCCAGGTCGAGGGCCTGTTGGCACAAATATGCCTGTCTAAATCAAAATGTACAGCCGACCGGCGCCGCTCATATTTGGCTACCGAGGCTCAACCGCCTCCCAAGGCGCTGGCCGAATTGCGAGATGATCCGGCCTTCAGAGAATTCTTCAAGCTACAAGAAAGCTTCCAGTGGAATGGTGCGCATTTCCTTACACTCGAAATAATGATCACTTCTGTCTCATTTATACTAACATCCAATCTTTTTTATTTTCCAGTCGCCATGCGCCTAGTGTCCTGTCTCGAGCATTTACTCGGCCGTGGCAGCAATGGCACAAACGACATGCTCATCGTCTGTACCCTCGACCTAATCCAAGGCGCACTCCTCCTCCACCCACCCTCACGCACCCTCTTCGCCCGCGAAATCTACATGAACCTTCTCCTCGACCTCCTAGACCCCATCAACTGCCCAGCCATCCAATCAGCCACCCTCCTCACCCTCGTCACCGCCCTCCTCGACTGCCCAGCCAATACCCGCACCTTCGAAGACCTAGACGGCCTTCTCACGGTAACATCTCTGTTCAAACAACGCGCCACCTCGCGAGAGGTCAAGCTCAAGCTAGTGGAGTTCCTGTACTTCTACCTCATGCCTGAAACACCGATTCTGGGGCCGGGCGCCAGTCCGCCGGGTCTGCAGCGCAGCCCCAGCAAGATCTCCTCACGACCCATGTCTCAGAGTTCACATACCTCCGCAGGGCCGGGCAAGATGATTCGTGATACGCGGACGACGGACGAAAAGCAGGCTTTGTTGGGCAGGTATTTGAATAATGTGGAGGATTTGGTCGAGGACCTTAAAGAGACGGCTCCGTTTGGAGCGACGGTTTACTAAAGAGTAAACTGTGGGACATTGATTCTGATTTTTATGGCGATGATAGGCAGGTCCTCCTGCCATGGTGACGAGACTGCGACATGACCGCATTGATGTGGTTGCCATTCGATATTTTTTTTTCTCTTCTTTTTTCCTTGGGACTCTTTCCTTTCTCTTCTCCTCGTTCAGCCTTTCTTCTTCCTTCGATTCTTCACGAGCTTTTATGTTCCGTCCGGTACGGCGTGATTATGTGGTCAAGACCTTGATGCTGCTTTCCCGCTCCCTGGTTCTTTGTTCGATTTGGGACTTTTTTTTCTCTCTACCATTCTATAACTCTCCTTTTTCCTTGGCTCTTTCTTAACTCCTTTTCTCTTTTTCCTACCGGAATTGTGTCGACCTCTCCTTGGGGGCCCCCAAGCCCTCGTTTTCTTTACTTGTCTTTAATGGCGACATGATAATGTATGATTCTTCGAATTACTTCTTCGACCTACAATGGAATTGAAATTGACTCAGAAGCTTTCCAATAACCATTTCTCTCTACTCTGCAACCATCCGTAGAAACATGGCCTTTCGTCCAATTCTCAAGTTGCCCATTCCAACCTCCAAGACAACCCTAATTTAAGCTTATCTCGCATCTCCAGACCATCGTCAGTCCCGCTGCGATAACAGTGCCGAGGTATTCTATTTTGTTGGCTTTGAGTCACTACCCCCATTAGGTAGATAAAGTGACAGAATGAGTCAATCTTATATTCGGGGTCTACTTTGGGACCGGTCCGAGATGTGGGGTGAACAAAAGTCAAATCTAGTGTGACAAACTTCGGAAGTATATATCTCCACTCCCCCCCTCTTGAACGGACACTTGGAGCATCAGATCTATCAGTATCTTTATCACAGTCTTACGCCAAAGCTATGAAGACTATCCAGGAATTGTTGGCTGAAAAGCCTAATACTGATGATCCGCAACCGGTTCAATATGTTGGAACGGTGGAGGCGTATGATAAGTGGGCGGAGGTACGCATTCAACAGCCTTCCAAGACTATAGTTGATCAACACTAACTTGTTTAACAGGTCTACGATACAGATGGGAATTTCCTTCAGCGTCTTGACACGATCGAGATGCGTGTACTCTTGCCCCAATTCCTGGACCGTGTGTATACCCGCTTCCAAGCCTCGGGGCAATTGACACTGTTGGATCTGGGATGTGGTACCGGGCGGAATACGATCCAGCTACTCGAGGCACTGGCACAGTATCAAAAGGATACTACTTCCATGACCAAAGTCGATATGGTCGGTCTCGATGCATCCCCCGGCATGTTGGATGTAGCACGATCCGCCATTCACTCAGCGACTCAGCGAGAAGATCTCAAGGACAGCCCTGAAGTCTCCCTAGACACTATCGACCTACGCCACCCTGCCACCGTGCGGGCGAATCTACCCCCATCTCTACAAAACGCCGGCGCAGCCGGTGTTATTTCCACGCTTGTACTGGAGCACATTCCAGCAAAGGAGTTCTTCGAAGCTGCGTCTGCCACGATGCGGCCCGGCGGGTATCTACTTGTCACCAATATGCATGCGAATATGGGAATGCGCAGTCAAGCTGGGTTCACGGATCCGCAGACCGGGGTTAAGATCCGGCCGACTAGTTACTGTCACTCTGTCTCGGAGGTGCTGACAGCAGCCGAGCAGGCTGGATTCCAGGTGGAAGATATAGTTGGCGCGGAGGGTCAAAATGGAGTACTGGAACGGGATGTGGATGAGCAATTGGCCGAGAAATTAGGTGCGCGGGCCAAGAAGTGGATTGGTATCAGGGTGTGGTTTGGGGTATGTTTCAGCAAGAAAGCATGAACGTGATAAGAAAAAAAATGGAAGGATCCCTCAAATAGTCAAGTGATCAGAGGGGAGGATAGTATTTTCAGTCACTTTTTGTCGCTCAATAATACATGTCTAGAAAAATCGCAGTAGTCTTTCCCGGTGTTGTACAAGATTGGTGTGCTGTTTGAGCAGCTGTGCCAATCGGTTATGTTTCCATCCCATCCCCTCGTCCAGGATCAGATGCGTGTAGGCAAATACCGTGGCATCGAATAGGCCGGGGTTTGGCCGGCCGAAGAAGTGCTCGTCCTCGGCGAGTAGGGTTGATAGCGCCTCGAATGCATTCTGTGCGTCTCCCTCCAGGGCAGCCACGTCGATATATTGAGAGGTTTTGAGGAGCTCGTCCCGCGCAGCTTGTTGGAGCTGAAATCCAAGGGCGGCCCGAACGAGGGAGGAGGTTGTTGAGGGGTTGACGTAGAGTCGTTGCGCCACGGCCTTGAAGTTGTCGTCATCTAGATACATCATGTACAGCTTGGGGGGTGTTAGCAGGGTTCAAGATCTGAACATAGTTCCTATTGTCTGAGGTGCATAGAAACATAACGTACCCAGGCATTGCGTATCCGATGATCCAAAAGGGATGCATATACTTCGAAGCGCAGGTTCAATTGCTGTTCCTCTTCGCAGTGGACCTGCTCAATGGCCCATTTTTGTAACTTGTGCGAGGGGATTGTGACCGCTGCATCGGTGGGGAATGCTGGGAGGAGGAATGGGAGAGCGCCAGTCGGCGAAGCATGATTGTTCGAAGGAGTGATCTCGAAGTCGATCCCGACAAATTTCAAGTACGCCTGTGGACACCGTGTGAGCGACAGCTGTTCCAGCAGAAGTTGTAGATCCACTACCGACTAACCTGCCACTTAAGACATTGGGGGTTGAACGAAGGTCGCCCACGTCGCGCACTCGCTGCGTCGCTAAAGACAAATAGCTGGTTGTCCGCGCGCCCGGACGGAGTCCGTTGCGGCAAGTCGTTGGCAGGGTACGTGGTCAATGGGAACCGGTCGAAGAGTTGTTTGATAGGAGGCGGGACTCTGAAGAAGGACGGGGTATTCCCATCCGTCTGCGGGCCCTCACTGGCCTGTGGTGGCATTGCGAAGCTTTCGATTGTTGATCGGAGCAACAAGGAAGCGGCCTCGGCGAATGCCAACTTGTCCGCGACGCCAAGCCCAATGCGGCTTAGGTAATCCGTCACCTCCCCGCATCGTTTTCTTCTTGTCTTTTCGCCGTTGAAACATCGTGCAATCACACGGCCCTAGCATTCCGATCAACCCTCCTCCCTCGATTCTCCCTCGTCGCGTTATCCCCACGGTTACCGTTGGACTAAAGTGCTCGTTCCGCTGCGCAAAATCGCCGAAACGTAATCGACTTCCACCGAAGTTCCGCCTGACCCCGCTCCAAAAGCCGATAGATCTGACGACCGTCCTGCACATGGCTTGAATACTTGGTTCCTCTACAAGGGATCTGCAACGTCGGAAACGAAGTCGGGTTGCACAGGAAACTTTGGAGAATAAGATACCTGCAAAGGGCATCTCAAGTTCACGCCAAGCCCGTGGAATAGCGCTTGCGCCAGCGCGGACTCGGTTATCGTCATTCGACGATCATCTCAGCGTCTTCCCGACTGGACCCTGCCCCTTCCGAATATTGGTCAATTACAACCATGCCTCTCGATGAAGAGGGGGCCAAGTGGTCTTGGTAAGGACGTCTCTATAACATTATTTCCTGAATATGCTACTGAGAAGACTTTAAAATCAGCGAACCATGTATTCGCGGCCATCGATCTTCAAAATGCCAGCACTTCGACAGACTCATGATGAAAGTGCCCAAGGCAGGTCGCCCTTTGGCCAAGTGCCCTCATCCCAAAGGGACTTGTAGCTGTCAAAAAACCTATGCCTTCATGGTCCGGATACCTAAAGGTAGGAGTTTACACGCAACCGACTCGATTGACTCATTTTTAACACGCTTTTAGGCTCTAGCTGCTTGTGTCGACCAGTTTACAAGGTACCCGCAGGCACAAGCGATTCATCACAATCCACTCCAGTGTCCATGGCCTCAGTGTCATCACCTTCGTCTGGCAAGGTCCAAAAGTCCGGAAGGAGACAGAGCAATATTCAAGCCACCCCAGAGAGCATTGCCAAGGCCTTGGAAGCGATGCCCGAGAATCTCAAGTTTGAAGACGGGGCCTTTAACTATTTGGGAAATCTTCCTTCCCACAAACCGGAGCCAGATGATTTCAACGACACCCGCGCTCGTCAAGCTGCTCCTGTGCCCCAAAGATCCACTAACACTACGAATGGATCTAGCTGCTGCTCCCAGAAGCCGCAACCCCCACCGGTTCCACCAATATCATCGCAAGGCTCTGGTTCTTGCTGCAGTGGGAAAACACAGGTTTCCAATTCTGTCGCCGAGGGCGTCTCCAACGCGCAAGGACCAAAAGTAAACCAGCCAACATCATGGAACGACATGTCTTACATGAACTTCTCGGCGCAGCAGATGCCCTCCTGGCAGAACTCCATGACCTCGGCACAGCAGTCATTCATGGCACCCTTCGGAATGTCGAACTCTGGGGCTCAGTCATTCTACACGAACGGATACACAGGGAACGGGTCTTCCACGTATTCGAACTCCATGAACGGGCTTGGAATCACGCCACCTAACATGACACCATTCACCATAAACCATTCTCAGAATTCTGCTTATGGATCTGTCAATCTCAGCAACGATGCCAGCCATGACTGCAGCTGTGGAGATGACTGCCAGTGTCTAGGCTGCGCAGCCCACCCCTTCAACAACACCACCCGCCAACATGTTCAAGAAATGGGTGTCATGATGACATTTGATGGAGACGAATCAACACCCGACTCCATGGCTAATGCCTACAAACCTCCAACTTTCCCAAGAAACACCGCAACGACTCCAATGAACTTCTTCATGCAACAGGCGCAATCAATGGACCATGGAATTCACCAAAGTTCTTATGAGCCATATTCCGACCCCAACTCGGCTATGCCCAGCGGCTACTCGTCTCCTCTCCCCGCGGGGCATCACTTCAACCAACAGTTGATGCACCCATCCGAATACTACACAATCGAATATCCAGTTGGAATCCCGAGTGCCTGCTCAGACGTGACGGGCAGCTGCCAATGCGGCAACGACTGCAGCTGCGTCGGCTGTCTCACGCACAGCGGGCACAATGGTGTCGCTCTTGAGGTCCCAATCCCAGACACTCCTGTCACCACCGCCGCGCAAAATGTCTCTTCATCCCACGGCGCGCCGACGACGAGTGCTGGCAGCCACACTTCTCGAATTCCAGTCCTGGAAAATGTTTCGATGCCCTGTCTCAGCCCACGCACGTTCGAAACATCCATGATATGATTTTAGCTGCTGGCTGGCTCGCTATTACGATTCCTCTTTTCACCCTCTTCCTTCACATTGTTCTACATTCGCATGATTTACGATCTTCAATGATACCCCTTAGATATCTCTACTCTAGACTGCTGCTGGCTCGAAGTCAGCCAGCGCATTTGCTATTTTGAATGAAAGTTTTTATCCTTGCTTTCCATCTACTGTCTTCATTTTTTCTATTCTGTTTTCGATTCGAGCCATGCTTCTCCTACTTCATTCAGCTTTCAATACTTCTATTATCAAAGTCACGTTCATGAAGATGAATTTATCATCAATGCATTCAGGGATATCATGAATCTATGGAGTACAGGGAATGTAGGTATGGTACAGAAGAACAGAAAGCAAGAATGCGACCAAGTCACCCAAGACTCTCAAGGAAATGATCAAGCCTTATTCCACTTTCCAAACTTCACATAGTCATCATAAAGAGACTTGAACACAGCACGACCCGAAGCATCCAGACCGGCGTTCATCGCACGCATAGACTCCCGGGACATCACATCCAGCGCCGCATACAGACCGGGCATCAGGGCGGCCTTCACATCCGGAACCAACGACCCACGCAACGAGCATTGCGCATACGCCATGATCACGTATTGTAGGTATTGGCCAGCGATGCGCTTGGCTTTCTTAGTCTCATCGGTCAGAGTCTCGCGAGACATGCCAGGCTGGGAGCGCAGCACAGCGGAGACAGTCGGGTCACTGAGGGAGGTAAGGAGACGGGTGAAATTGGATGTGTGAGAGGCGTCGAGGGGAGCGAGCCAGAAGGGGTGGGAGATGACTGCGGCGTGGTTGGAGCGTGAGCGCTTCCGAGACCGCGCAAAGAGACAGCCAAGCAGTCGCTGCATGGCAGTGACGACGAGGTGGAAGCGACCGCCGATCTTGATTCGCTGCAGACCCAGGATGATGCTCATCAAGCGACACAGGCGGGTGTAGATAGTCGGGGCATACTCGGGTGAGATACGCGGGCCACTCTTTGAGGCAGCGGTAGCGATGGCAGCCAACATATCGTCGACGTTACACTGAGCAATGCTGCGAGTGTGTACGCGGAGAAGGAGTGCCATAGTCTCGGCGGTAAAACAGAACTGATCGATTGAAGTGCTGTGGACGAGAGCCTCTGCGAGAGACTGGCTGAGCAGGGAGAGCTCGCGAGAAACGGGACTGTCCTTGTCTTCGACGGGCTGGAGGGAGATGACCGCAAGATAGACCACAAGAAGTCGATATGCTGCCTGCTGACCACTGAAGCCGAGCTCACGGATCTCTTGAATTGCTTCACTGACCTGTTCTCCAGTCATTGAGCGGAAACGCTCGGTGGTGGCTCGAATGAATAGCTGTTGATCCTCGGCGTAGAGCGACTGGAGGGCAAGGGTCTCAGCGCATTGCAGCACCGGCTCAGTGGCCTTCTTCTCGGATCCCTTGGTAGCCATTAGGCGCCGTCGAATCAGGCGCGACGGAGCGGAATCGACTGACATCTCCATGTAGCGCTCAAGCTTGGAGAGGAACTTTTCGACCTCGATGTTATTGGTCGCCAGATCCTCAAAGTCTTCGAGGGCATCGATAGTTTTGATGAGGGTGATTGTCTCCTCTAGCTTCTGCTTCCTGCACTGATCCTTGACGGATTTCATATCTGCCAGCACCAAGCCAAACACGCGTTGACGGCAGGATGCCAGCTCATCTTCAGGGAATGCCTTGGCCAATTGCTTGCGATGAACCCAGAGTTCTGACAGAGACAGTCGAAGTAGGAAACAAGCCATGGAATCACGGTCAATTTGACGGAGCTTGGACGCCTGTTTGGAGACTCTGGAATAAAGCTTCTTGAATGTCTCATATCGATCATCCTGTGATAGAACCAGCAGCTTGGCAATGACAGCACGATAGAAGCTGCGGAAGGCCTTCATGATTTGTAAATCCAATTCAGTGCCTACCAGGGAGATGGCGCGAGCCTCTGTCCAGATCGGCTCCCAATCGCTCGTAACACTAGCATCGCACTTGGGCATAGCTGCGAGTTTAGCCATCATGGTCAAAAGGCCAAGAGTGACCTCGGTAGCAGTGTCCTGTTGAATAACGACATCGTGGAGTTTGTCCAAAAGGCTGGTTCTCAGACCACGGGTGATCAATGCAGCAGGGATTCGCTGCATGCTCTCCACGTAGAGACGGCGATTGGAAACGTCATCTTCGATGCTCTTGGTGAGCAGAAGAACCAAATCAGGTACAATGAATGGCACGTTGAGCAGATACTCGTGACAAACAACACTCGCCCATGCTTGAAGGAATCGCGCATTATCGGCAACTGTCTCCAAAGGCAACGAGGACGAGTGGTACTGCGCAGCAGCAAGAGACATGAGCTGCTTGAACAGGCTCGACCGGTATTCGGGCTTGACCTTTTCCCAGGCATCAGGTTCCCTCACCAGCGCCAAGGTGTAAGCCAAAGCCAGCGTAGTTGATGAGCACAGAGTATCGATCCGGCCATCCCAGGGAGCCTCCATCGAGGCTTGAGCATCCTCCGCTGTGACGGATGAGACCAATTTCGTCACATCCTTGGAGATATCAGCGAATGCATCCAGTTGTTCATCACTGGGCTTTCCCGTGACAACCAACAGGACAAACCGATAGATTTCCCATGACTCCAGAGGAGCAAGTGGCACTTTGGCCAAGTTCTTCTGATTGCGGTGAAGGGCCTTTGCACCAACGCTCACGAGAGGCTTCGTAGCCTTGTCAAGGACACTACCAGCGGCGAGCAAGTTGTTCTGCAAAAGATTCCGCACGAACCGCCACAAGCGCCAGCGCCAGTGGAGCGTTTGCTTTGACGACAGAGTAGACGTCAAGGTATCAAGGAACTGTGCCAAAGCCTCCTCCGAATCGGCCGTCAATACCTTGCTTCGGAATGTGGCCTCCATCACAACGAATTTTGCATATGATTGTGAGGACTCGGAAATCTTCCCATTTTCATCCCGAGTTGCCGTTGCGGCAGTCTGCAGCTGTGCGGCAAAGTTGATGCCGGTAAGTGAAGTCCGGGCCAACTCAGAAAAGACATCGCACAAATCATCATCTTCCCAGACAGAGAAGAATGGGAGATCCTTGTTGCGGACGCGAGCTTCTTCCAGGATTACAAGCTGGTTATGCCAGACCTCCATGAAAGATGTCAAATCTCTCGCGCCTGCAAAGCCCCGTAGAAGCGGGATAACGACGTCATTCTTGATTGTACTGTAGTCATTTGAGTTCTTGGAAGAATCACTGCGCCATTGCAGCATGATCTTGTCAAGTAGCGCATCCAGCAGCTTGCTTGCATCACGTAGTCCCGAGTTGGGCAGGAAAACATCAACACCAAGGCTGATAACTAGAGCTGTAACATTCCACTGAACCTGCTCTAAGCCTTGCTCAAGGAGACCGGTATAACCGGCATGGGTAAGGATGGTCTGCAGAGACAGACCGACATTTCGGTCTAGAGCAATGCGCAATAGGTCCTCCAACACGGAGACAAACCTGGCAGAGAAGGTGGCGGGCTCTTCCTCCTTTGCGGTGGAATAAGCTAGCTCTGCAACAGCCACAAACAAAGTCTCTAGCCAAGGAGCTTCGTGTGTCTGACGTCTGAAATCATCTCTTGGGACGGCGCGCACTGCATTATCGAACAGCTCGGGAAGGAGTTCGATTGATCGCCACGAAGGGTGGAACGAGCGATTGGTAGACTTGGCAGGCGTCATTTGGATGGCTGAAAGTTCACCAATGATGGGTCTGAATGTATCAGTCACTGGTTTGACCGAGCTCCAATCTGGTTCTTCCTTGGAGTAGTCAATGCCAGAACCGCCGCGGGCAAAGAAAGCCTCCCGAGCTGGAATCAACACATGAAGAGCGACAATACGTTCGATTGCATGTAGGAGATGGGCCCTCTCGTCAGTGTCGAATGTGACGTTTCGAAGACAGAGTTGAAGCCGGAGAGCGTGAGAGAAACAAGACTTGGCAAACCATTCATGGCTTGAGGTGTTGTTCGTATCGTCTTGGCGGTAGGATCTTGACTCCCATAGTTCAAGCATTGCTGGGAAGACAAGTAGTAGGTGCTGGAGATCGGTTGTCCTACCTGCTTGCGAGAACTGCATTACGGCAACGGCAGCCAGCTGAAGCGACCTGCCCAGCAATCCTGCAGCTCCCTCGGGCTCCCCTCTGAGCGCCAACTTGAGGTGCGAGTTGGCCACTTCATCCACGCCAAGTGTGCGCTGAACCAGAGTCGCAACGCCATAAAGGCAGTCCAGAGCACGAATGAATGCAAGGAAGCACGAAGCGGGGTTCTGCGGCGTCTCGTCTAGGTCCATAGACTCGGTATCATTCTCCCCAACAACTCTCTTCCTCTTCGTTCCCTTCGTGCCTCGAGGTTCCTCCTTAGCGGGACGCACGTCCAAAGTGTTGCTAGAGTCGGACTCGAAATTTGAGGTCGATGCACCGCTTCCCAGCGTCGTAAGGATGTCATTCTCCAAATCCGTAACCGTGTCGCACAGAATGGAGAAGAACTTTTGGTCTTTCAGAATTGTCGCCAAATTCTTGGGCGAGATGAAGCCAATGAGCTCTCGCAGTAACAGGAATGAAGCTGGATCCACGCGGTAGTTTTTCCCAGTCCGGAGCCTCTTCAATAACCAACGGAGCACCCACTCCTCCTTGGGAGTGGCCTTTGACTGAATTTTCGCATTTCGGTGTGTCTCCGGGTGACTCTCACAGGTCTTGAGGTCCACACCGAGGATCTGCGCGGCTTCGTGAAGTTGGGTAGTTGGCGATGCGCTGCTACCTTTTTCAAGGCGGAGGAGCGCCTCTTGCGACGAGCTCGAGGGCTGCATGAAACGAGAGTTAGATACCAGTCAGAATGGATAGAGTACAAACCAAGAGTCTGAACTTACCCCCGCAAGCAAAGGCATCTCGAAAACCAAAGGAAAACGCCGATATGAGGGGTTGGTCTACTCGAAAGGAAAAAAAAGTGACCCAAAAGAGAAAAATATCGCGGCGAAATTCCCCGACCGCCTTTGCCCGACCTTCACTCGTAACTCCCGACTCCTTGCACTTTGCACCTTCCGACAAACAACCTCTTCAATTCACCCTCCTTATTCCACTGTACGCTGCTCAATCCATGTGAAGCTATTTCCTCGATCTAACTCTAACCCATGGCTGCCTAGATACTTCGCAATGGCCGATTCCAGCGAGACCCGGCCGGTCGCGCGGGCTACCAAGCCCGTGAGCGAGGCTCTGCTTAACGAGAAGGTACGGACCGACCACTGAATTCTACAACCTACACCGGCTTTATCGGAACTGTGTCTATGTCAAATCAATTTTGGAGAGACAGACAATTGCGCTCGCTGGCTTTCGGCCATATCGGACAAGAAACAATGGGCTAATTCGTTGACTGCTTGTATAGTGGGACCGTGCCATTTCTTCGATGATCATCAAGTCCTCCCTCGGTTTGTCCTTCGGTGTCGTTTTCTCCGTTCTTCTGTTCAAGCGGAGGGCCTGGCCTGCCTGGGTTGGCCTTGGCTTCGGTGCTGGCCGTGCCTGGGAGGAGGCTGACGGTATGTTTATTATGCCTTCAGTTCATGATGTCAAGTTGCCCAAGGGTAGGTAGTCTTGCATGGATCCAATCATTGTCTGCCGCTTCTGGAGTTGCTCTTGCAGCACCAGAATTGTGGTCCATCTTCCAATTAGCTCACTGCAGAACCTATCTCATGATGGTCTGGCCACTCTGAAAGCTTTGGAAGTTAGATCCGCACCACCGACAGCTGTGATAGGACTCCTTAAGGCTTATTAAACTTGGGCGACTAGCTTTTTTTCATGACACAGATAAGCTAACGGACGGTACAGCTTCTTTCCGCCGGGGTGATTCTCCCATCAGAGATGCTCTGCGCCGGTAGAGAAATACCACGGCTTCCCATCGTGTACGATACCTTGTACAGAAGTCAAATGATTGGCAGGCAGAAACCAAACAATTTTTAGATCAGTTTTTCATCATTGCGGCCTAGCGGTATAGTAGCTTCCACAACTTGAAAACTGGGGGAGGTTTTAGCCTCGAGGATGAATTCTTTCCTTATCGCGCCTGTATCCTTTGTATGTTGCCCAAAATTGGTAGAATATAAGTTCGACTATTAGAGTTGTTCCCATCCAGTGGCGTTGCTGAGCTTGACAGCCCGACAAATCATCTCATCGGTGCTAGATTGAAGAAGAATCCCATGATAATCGCAGAGATAACCCTTGTGTTGTATAAGGCGATTCCAATACATGGAGAAAAAGGGGTTAAAGAGAGGAAGTGGGCATACCTCGGTGAACAATAGACCTGGTCTATAGACCGAGTAGACTCAGATATCTGAATCCCCTATCATCAAGACAAGAGTAGGAATCCAGGAGAGAATACACCATCCAAGTTCAGCCCACCAACCACGTGACCCTCGATTTACCATTACTCGATCTCATCGAGTCAACTCCAACCATAATCTTCAGCCCCAGTTTTTCCCTCGATGATTAGATACGCGCCACTCCATGATATCCGCCAATCATCAAATCCCATCTGCTTGCGGAGAGCCAAAGTGGAGCCCGTTTGCACCCGCGTTATCGCAAGATAAACCTCGTCTTACTCGACCACCTCAGGCAATGGGAAATGATAGGCGTATTACCCCAACGCCCCTCCGTGCTCGACCCTCCACAATCTTCCAAGCTAATTCAAGCAGATAGTAACCGGAGACTCACACATGGCAGACTCGGGCCAAAGATCGTCCCACTGGGACTCTTCTGATTGCTCCCCTCCTTATCGCAACCCTGACGGAGTGGAACGGGGATGCGACGCTCCCAGGATCCGGATCACCATCACCCATGCGACTTATTATATCATAGTTTCCCCAGGTCCTTGACCGGGATCTTCTTGGCCTAGCAAATATCATTTCTCAAGTTTACATCACTTCATTTTGCCCGTTGGTTGATCCCGGGCCTTGTTTTTGAATTCTGCTTCTGCTTCTTGCTCCTCAGCGATTTGTCTTTTGCTTCAAGTACTTTCCATTGACCGGCATCATGTCGAAGCTCAAATGGATTCTCAACAAAGCGGCGGTCTCTAATGAGCCGGGGCTATCGAATGCCCAGATGATGTTGACAAACGACGATTTGAGGCCAGGTGAGCCGTTATCGGAGCTACTTTCGCTCGTTCCCCACGCCCGTGGCTACCGTTGAATATGGTCCTATATCGACGGCCATTCTCTTTTTCTGCCAATTTTAATGGCATCCAATATCTTCTATAAGACCAGTTAGGTTAACCATTGTGTATTTGTGAACCGCAGTCGAACCCGAACGTCGTCAATGGAGATGGTTGAACTATATCGCATTCTGGATTGCAGACTCACTGAACATTGTGAGTGCCGCGGCCCTGGATAGTACGCCCGAATTTGGAAACATGTCTAACCTTAGCCCCAGAACACATGGATGATCTCCTCTTCCATGATCGTCGATGGCCTCTCCTGGTGGCAATCATGGCTCTGTGTCTGGATTGGATATTTCATTGCCGCAGGCTTCGTTTGTCTCACCGGTCGCATCGGTGCCGTCTATCATATCTCCTTCCCAGTGACCGTTCGAGCATCCTTCGGTATCTGGGGTTCTTTTTGGCCCGTGATCAACCGTGTTGTCATGGCCATTATCTGGTATGGCGTGCAAAGCTATATTGGAGGTAAGACACTTTACCAGACATTCCAGGTCATCATAGCATATAGGCCATTATACTAATAATCGCATCCTTTCTAGGTGAATGTGTGACTTTAATGATCGAGGCGATTTGGCCCAGCTACAAGAATCTGCACAATAGTCTTTCAGCCAGCGCTGGCATTGACACGAAGAATTTCCTGAGCTTCTTCCTGTTCTGGCTCCTCTCCCTCCCAGCTCTATGGTTCCCAGTTCACAAAGTGCGACACTTGTTCACCGTCAAGGCGATCTACTCTCCCATCGCCGCAATTGCCTTCTTCGCCTGGGCCATCTCTCGGGCACACGGTATCGGCCCAATCGTCCACCAGGGCAGCACCGTCCACGGCAGCACGCTAGCCTGGGTGTTCGTCAAGGGAGTCATGAGCTGTATCGGAAACTTTGCAGCACTGATCATGAACGACCCCGACTTTTCGCGCTTTGCCCGAAAGCCCAAGGATGCCTTGTGGTCTCAGCTTCTTACCATCCCCATCGGTTTCGGAATTACTTCTTTCATCGGTATCATCGTGTCCTCTTCCTCGTCGGTTATTTACGGTGATGCGATCTGGAACCCGCTCGATCTACTCGGCAAGTTCCTCGAAGGGGCCAGCTCAGGTCAGCGATTCGGTATCTTCATCATTTCAACCGGCTTCGCCCTCGCACAGCTGGGAACCAACATCTCAGCCAACTCCGTCTCCGCCGGAACAGACCTGACAGCCCTGATGCCACGGTATCTGAACATCCGCCGGGGCAGTTACATCTGCGCCGCCATCGGTCTAGCCATGTGCCCGGTATGTGCTCACACACCCCAACATTCCTGTTCCAATCAATACTAACAATCACGCCTAGTGGAACCTCGTGGTAACATCCAACCAATTCACAACCTACCTCTCCGCCTACTCCCTCTTCCTCTCCGCCATCGCCGGCGTAATGATCTGCGACTACTACATCGTCCGCAAGGGCTACCTGGACATCAAAGCGCTGTACAGCGGCCGCAAAACAGACCCCTACTACTACACCCTAGGCTTCTCCTGGCGCGCCTACGCCGCCTACTTCGCCGGCATTCTAATCAACATCGTCGGTTTCGCCGGCGCAGTGGGTCGCGATGTCCCCGTCGGCGCGCAGTATATCTACAACATCAACTATTTCACCGGCGTGCTGGTTTCGGGTGGGATGTACTGGATTCTTACGCGTCTTTTCCCGGTGCCGGCGACTAGTGATCGGTGGAATGAGGTTGATATTGATGTTGATGATTATGGTGTCGCGTATGGACAGCCTGTTGTTAGTGATGAGGAGAATGCTGGTTATGATCGTCGGTCGATTACGGATTCGTTGTCGCCGGATGAGCAGAAGAAGGGGGTTCATACTGCTGCGAAGAGGATTTGAGCGGCAAGGGTTGTTTGATTGGATTTAATGAGCGTGATATCTGGGGCGGTTCTTTTTTACGAGTCTAGTATCTTTGGCTCTGGGGTTGTTTATGATGTGGACTTTCTCTGCGTATATACCAGATTACAAGAGCTTGGCCTTGGACTTTATGATATGATGACAATTGATGATCATTTGATTTTGAAGCTTGTACCTGTAAGAACTTGTAGTGTCCAAATGCCTTCCAAGTGCCCCTTCCCGAAGGTGCGATATACTGTCTCTGGGAGTCACTAGTGGAAGAACAGTTGCTACATCCTACATCTACATCGAGAAAAAAGATTTAAGAGAAGCCAAAATAATGGTAAAAGCATTTTGTCATATTGTCAGAGACAATGCTAAGATTGATCTATACCTAGACGACCATTCGAATGCAGACCAAAAAAAGAAGCGAGCAAGGATAGACAAATCCCGCAAGTATCCCATGCGACCCAGCGCGTCATCTATTAAAAAGACAAAATATGAACGACAAGAAGGAATGGTAAGTTAAACATAGAAGAATCCAAAAGACCGACAAAAAAAAAGGAGCAAGGGCGAGATCCAGCACCCGAAGAAATAAAAGTGATAATCCTCGAGTGAGCGACAAGATTTCCTCCGTGGAAAAAGAAGAAGAACCATAAGAAAAGCAAGGCCAGAATAAAACAAATTGATAGGGCGCCTCTCGGTTCAATCTTCCAGATTGCCAACCGAATGCGAAATATGCCCGGAGGGACGAGACCCTGCATCCCCGACCATACCATAAGATGAGATGCTCGAATGATGAGTGAGAGATGTGCGTTACTCCGGTGAACCAGCCACGAAATGAGATGAGCGATGTGAAGTGATCTTTCCCAGGTAATGACTCCCGCAAATGCGATGTAGTTGATAAGAGGTGGGTGGCTGTTCGGCCGAAGTCCACAAGATTTCTCCGTATCCCGAAACAAAATGACGACAAACTTGAAAAAAAAGCAAAAGTAACACCCTGCCATATGGGTACCGAGCTAGTACAAAGGAGAATTGACACAAAAGAAACAGGCGCAGATTCAAACAGCAGTACAATGTACACGAAATAAAACATGGGGTATCGCTGCGACGGGTATAGCAATGGTAGTAACATGCAAACTAAACAGGCAGAGATGTGATGAGAGAGAATGTCATCGAATACAAGAAGACGCACGAGCGACCTTGCAAAAGTCGACATTGGGATGTAGATGATTGAGGGTAGATGTGACAAGACCGACCACGCGAGAGGAGGAGAGGAGAAAACCGCTTATTGCAGGAATGAAGAGGTAGACGTAGTGGAGACGGTCGGGGTGAGGGTTGGAGAGCAATCCTTATCCTCAGGACTGACGGGATCACTGCGATCTGCAGATTGATCTTTTTCACGGTCAGTAGACGACGAGCGCTTGAAGACAGACTGGCCAATCTGGCGGAAGATGCCCATGCGCTCGGCACGGAGTTCTTCCAAATCCAGACGCTGGACGGGAACGGGGTCCTCCTTGGAGATGCGGCAGAACAATGTCGAGAACAGGTACTGGTCACCGCTGCCATCGTACAGAGGCAGGTAGCGATAGCCCTGAGAGAGACTGGTGAGCTTGGCAGTAAAGGTAGCCAGTTGTACGCTGTTGTTGTTTCCGGCGCTGCGACCGTCCAGGGAGCTCCAGACAGTCCATCGAACAAAGACCAGATCGGGATACTTGGTCTCCAAGGAAAGCTTGAAACGATCATTGAAGACGGGGCTGTATCCGTTGCTTGGCTCGATCTTGGTGCGCCGGCGGTGCGGATATCCAATACCGGACATGCCATTTCGCGCAGAAGCATCCATGCCACCCTCGCCAAAGACCAGACTCTGACCACGGTCATCAGCACTGAACATCTCAATCTCAACGTAAGGGTTGATGCTGTCCTCGGGACCAAGAGTACGAGGTCGCGGGAGCTGCTGCGCTGAGATCACGTCAACCGCAAATCGAACCAGTTTCCGCTCCATCTTTCGCTTCGCGCCCTCGAAGTCCGACATTGGAATACGGAGGCTCTCAGGCTTGAGGACATAACCGGTACGATCGGTTCCAGCCGCGAACATGGCTTGGTTCATTTGCATACCAATATCGTAGGTCTGCCAATTGAGCGCAGCCATCTGCACGCCACGGCGCCAGAATTTGTTCGGGTCGAAGTTGGAAGAACGAAGGCGGAAGCCGGAGGGATACACACGAGTGAGATATTTCCGGTTGTGAGCTTCGAGTGAGACCTTGTTGTCGTGGTTCTGGCAGATACTCTCGAAGGCGCGTTCAGCGAACGAGTACACGTGGTTGTATTTCCTGCTCTCCGGGGAGGAGAAGCTGTGCCATTTGTAGCCACGAGTGTAAATACCAAGGTCCGAAAGGGGCTTGGTGATCTTGCTCTTCTGACGGCGACGCTTCTTCTTCTCATTGTGCATGGAAACCAAAGCGCCGTCACTGTCTTCGGTGGCGCTGCTTATGCTGGTCGCGGTGAGTGAACGTCTGTCCTGGGAAATCAATGGACCGATGCCGTCCACAGAACCAATCGAGGGCGGGCTCGAGAGCGATGGAAGGGGCATGGTGCTGGAGAGAGTCATGTCGGGAGGAGGAGTTGGGCGAACAAATGGCGAACTAGCACTGCGCTTGCGACCATGAGTACCGACGGAGCTCACCGTATCCTGGCGAGGGTCGAGCGGGGTCTCATCACAAGTCTTGACCTTCACCAAAATGCGGCCCTTGAGCTCCTCGGGCGAGGGCAGAATGTAACAGTTAGTCATCAAAGGCTCCAGGATGAGCTGCTCCTTGAAAGTATCCTTCATGATCTTAACCATTGCCTGCTGCTGCTCGGGATTGCAGTGCACTTCAAGGGAAAGGATAAGAGGGAAGTCGCAGGAGATAAAGGCATATCGGTTGATGACTGTGATACAATCCGCAAAGAGAACGCTAGTTGTCATGGTCCGTCCGTGAGACACGATTGGACGCCCGTCAGCACCATCCCAGCAGTCGATCTCCACACAACGGCATCCCTGCTGGAGCGCGCTAATGTAAGCCTCGGTACTCGAGGCCCCGGCGACTTGGCGGCCCAACAAGTAAGTGTTGTGAGAGCTGGAAATGAAGTACTCGTTCAATGGACGATCAAAACGTGACTGAGGAGCCTTGGATGCATAGATTCCATTGTTAGGGGAAGCCAGGAAAGCCGAGAAGGTGTCGAGACTCATGAGAGTAGGAGGAGGCGTGGCGACTTCGGGGATGTCGGAAGCATTAGACAGACGAGGTCTCGATCGCTTGACGAATTTCTCGAACAAAGCAACCCAGTGCGCGCGATCAGTTTCAACATCCTCCTTCTGAACATCGCGCAGGAAGTTCAAGAACTCTTCCTGAGTCAAGCCAGTCTTGTGATCCTCCGCACGGCTCTTGTAGATTTCCTTGACATCCTTCCGCTCCTTCAGTCGCGCCAGAAAGTCCTTGAATTCGGAGAAACACAGCCGGCCATTGCGACCAGCGTCAGCCTTGGAGAATTGAGCTCGAAGCATATTCTTAGAGCAGTTGATGTGCAGACTGCGGCACACACTCTCAACGGCGGTAAAGTCCAGGCTTTGCTCCTCACCAGGACGAAGGCCCTGCGGGAACAGCCTCGACATCTCGCGCTGCCAATGAGCTTGAAGAACGGAGTCGCTCTGGGCCGAGGCAGCCAGACCAGCCATCAAGCCAATCCGGTATCGAGAAATATGCTCCAGAGTCGTGGTCCACAACTCGAGGATGTGGTCATTGGGAGCAATCAGATGCAGCGTCTTGAATGCACGGCCCTTGAAGCGTTCCGAATCCGCAATCACAATGGTGAACCATCGACGCTCGATATCCTCGGGGATCTGGTGTTCTTCACGGTAGTTGCGGGCATCTGCACCAACGCGGATCTCCTTGATATCGTCGATGTAAAAGCGCTTGGCGGGATTAGAGACATCCCAGAAGACCTTTGCGGCGTCGAGATCCAAGAAGAAACGAACTTGCTTGCGGTGCTTCTTCGTCACTTTGGTCAAGATGGTTCCGCGTTGTACGGCGGAGTCCACCTTGGGAGCGACAGCACCACCGGCAGTAGCAACCAATTCGCGAGCCGACATCATACGGCTTTCACTTCGAAGACTTGATGGCTCCGAGCCAGCCCAAGCACCCAGTCCGTCCAAGGCTTCAATGGAGTCATCCTCATTGCTAGACTCCAGGGCGTTATCTCGGGCGGTTTGAGCCCCGTTCTTGCTGTCACTCCTTCGACGCATGATGACGGGGCCGGAGCTCCGGTCTCGCTTGTCGTTCGGCGTGGCGGATTGCCTTCTCCTTGTCAGTTTGCTGGCGGCACCTCGGGAGATTCGCCGCATCAAGCCTGGAGCTTTGGAGCTAGACATGGATGGGTCATTGACGCCATTGCCATTGAGGTTGATGGTCTCGGGAACTGCCATCATGGATTCGCCAAGTTCGAGAGGAGCGGGAAGAGGAAGGGGATAAATTCGACCACGAGGGCCCTCACTGGGAGGTTGAAGAGGAGTACCGGCTGGGGTGAAGGCATTCGGTGTACCCGGGCCTGGGTAGATGGAGACCGGGGTAGAGGTAGGTGAGGAGGTGAAGGAAGGAGCTGAAGAAGGAGTCGGACCAGAAGGGGGTAGAGAGGTAACGACATGATGTAGGGAGGTGGATCGAGGAAGAGATGTGGTGAGCTTTAAGGTGGTTTGGGGGTCGGCATCCATGGCCGGAGGTGAGGTCGCGGTAGCGTAGGCCATGGCGGGTATCCGGTATCAGACAGCTCAGCTGTCGATACGTGCAATATTTTAGTGGGTGTTTCGTGAACCGTGCCAACTTCCGAGTCACCTGGACTCTGTAAGAGGGCGAATCGGTAACAGCGCAGGGGACCAGCCGGGCCGTTCAAAGGTTGCAAGAGGCCAGGATGGGAAAGGGATCCGAGCCAGAAGAAAAAAGAGAAAACGGAATAGCCTGACACAGTAAGCAAATAATGGTTCAGCCACGTCCTCAGCAGAAAGGATCCGTTCTTGAACTCTGCATCTTGGCCTGGCTGGAATGGAATGCGGAGAGCCCTGCCGGAGAGCGTCTCACGGGGAAAAGCCGAGGATGAGGAAAGAAGGTAGAAGTGACGTTGAGGGAAAATAGAATGGACGAGAGGACAAGATAGAAAGAAAGAAAACAAAAGGTTCCCTGATAACAATTGCAAAGGGCGCTGGCCCCGTGCAACGGTTCTCGTTTCTTTTTTTTTTATTTTCTTTTTTTTTCCGTTTCGTTGCTCGTTCTTGTTCTTTCCCTTTTCTAGAGCCAAGAGGAGTTCCTCCGACGGTAGCCACTTGCTGATAGACGTCACAACTACTCGAAGGATGATCTCCGAGTCCAGGGATCCGGTCCGCAAGTCTCAGGGTTGCTTCTTTGGGAACCCAGCTGATTTCCTGTCGAATCCTCCCAATGGGACCAATGCGACCCCTCTTTTCTGCTTGACGATCTGCCGGTCCGTGGGGAAAGCTGCCGCTCTGCACGAGAGAGGGGAAGGGACGTTGCGATATGAACCAATTGATCGCGCAACCAGTGGGCGAATCCAAGGAGGGGAGGGGGGGGGACCGATGACGAGTAGCGTGCAAGTCAAAGAGGCTGTCGACCAACTGCACCTAAGTGGACACAATCCCAGCGTTCAGGGAAGAGCCCCAAAGAAGATGCAGTCGCGTGTTCGAAATGGGCAACGAACAAGGCCCAGGATAAATGTCGAGAATAAGCAAAAAAAGAAAGGATTATTGCCAGGGTATAATCCTAGTCCAAAGCCAGCTCCACAGTATTCGATTGGCTCCAAGAGACTAGCAAATGCAGCGGGCGATGGGAGTACCCGTGTGCTAGGGTGCAGTGAACTTTTTTTGCGGCGCAACGGGAGGGCGGAGAAACGGGCGATGCGATATGGAGGAAACGAGGAAAATCGGGAATTGCGACACTGCCAACGCAGTGGATGCAGGCGGTCCAAAGGGGAAAGACGAAGCAAAAATCGGGGACTGAGCCGAGTTTTTTTTTAAAAAAGGGCCTTCGCTGATGTTGGATTTCTCTCGCTTTTTTTTAGTGCTGTTTGGTCGCGGAGTCGTGAGCTGATCGGGGGTGGTCGGTGGTAGTGGTGCTGCACGGTTACGTGGTGGCCGCTAAAGTCCGTATGCGAGAGAGGTGGGTTTGGGGGGAACTGCTCCTGCAGCGGAAATCGTGACGATCAACGGAGGAGGACAAAACCAGTGTTCTCCTATCGAGGGCGAGGTTTGTGATCAGGATGAGGTTGAAGGGAAATTTGGGAGAGGAGGTTTTGGAAGGGGTTGAGAAGTGGAAGGGGGGAAATAAAAAAAATGATTTAATCAATGAATCAATTCCCAGCGATTCCGCCGGGTTGGACTTGAAGCTGCAGTGGGTACGTATCGCTGGTATTGCATACTGTACTTACCAGAGACCTCAAGCCTGATGAGTCGTCGTACTGACCGCTGGTATCGTATGGTATTGGTTTCGAGTATTCGTGGGACGTACGTAATACCGTACGGGGAACTCGACTCTTGGCTTTCTTGTCTTGTACGACTCTTGTTTCTTCTCATACAACGGTGGCAAGATATTGAGAATGCAGCCGTTTATCGAATTGTGATAAATTGAAAGCCCAGAGTTCTTATAGCCCAAGGGAAAGGAAATTCAAGATCTGGATGGGGGTATGCGTGAAGTATAGATAGCGGGAAACCGGAGCGGTTGAGGCGTTGGGGATAAAGTATCCTTCGCTAATTGAGAAACAACATAAGTAGCTGTCCCTTAAAACTTCCCAAGGGGAATAAATAAAACAATATAGTAGGAAGGAAGGCGGACCCGTGTCTATCTATAGTATCGATAGCCCTCAGATGAGGCTTAGAGTGCATCAGATGGACGGTAAAAAAGAGGATAAGATGGGGCGAAGAAATTGACCAGGGCTAGGGCCGACCCTCAATTAAATATTCAATCTTACAATAGAAAAAAAAAAGGGAGAGAGAGAGAGAGTAGCAACGCGGAAGACGACGAGTGGAAACAACGCATATCAGACTAGATTAGAATTTACGAAGCGATCTCCTACGGTGAAGGAAGGTATGAGATGCCACTTTGCCAATAGCCGTCTAATCGGCATACAGGAACAGCAGTTTTTTTGAATACCGTTGGATATGGGATGACGATATGGAATGACCTGTGACTGCCAACGGGGCGGGCAGATCTCGTTGCTGGGTGTCATTGGACGATCCTTTTACCTGTGGTAATTTCTGGGGAATGTTATCGGCCAAACGGAGGGGGCCGATCAGTGTTTCAGGTCCGTGGAAGGGGGCCAGCGCAATGACGACTGAGCGAGAGACAGAGAGGACGTTGAGCAGGTAACTACTCCGGGGTACAGTACTGACAAGATTGACTTCTTCATAATATTCAGAACGGCAACGACCAAGGGAGGAGCCCTTCATCTCTGGTATGAAGCTGTATTCACTCAGTAAACGGAGGATTTCTCCAGTCAAGTGGATACACTCGAGCAGTCTATTTCATTCAGACTTTCATAGTCTAACAATCGTGTGCCGGACTCCAGTTCCCCCACATGAGCCATGAAATTGAGTCCACCAGCTATTCTTCCATTTCTTTTCCTATTCTTGCTAGTAAAAGCGGGCTATCATATTATTCTGTGGGGGAGAGAAGTGGTCCTCGGCGGAGCAGTATCAAGTACAGTGTAGAAACTATCTACTCCATATTCAAATAGGATGAACTTCCAGTTACGGACTCGTGTCGCGTGGTATTGTCGCATACCTAGCCCATACAAATTGGTCCACATCGTCATTCTTACCCTCCCGTACAATGCCCATAGGGCGGTTGGTGTCTTCCATGTATTAGTTCATTTAGTTCCTTTCATAGTGGGCTTTAGTGGGTTTCCCAGCACCGACACGCCGGTCCCGGGGGAAGAATATGCGGAGCCCTCGGATTCCTGCGTTTGGATCTCTACCGGTGACAGATAATCTGCCCCCTCAATTCCTCGACCAATCTTTAGTGACATCCCTGTCAGATCGTAATAATCTACGTGAATGCATGTCAGTTACCACGGTCGCCGCGCGGTATGATGATGACGACGGTTGGGTTAATGGTCGGGCACGTATGTACGTCTCTGCCCAACTGGTGGTGGACTAACGGGGTGTACAGCAGAAGGAAATCCGTATGTGCCACAGATGGTCGATCACGATGCACATCGTCATTCCCTCCTATTCGGCCAAGCCTATGGAAAAGTAACTAGGTTGTGGAGGGGGTTGGCATTGGCCAAGGGGGGGATTATCGATAGCCAGCATTGGGTATCGTTCTACTCTGTACTCCGTACATCGCAATAATTGAATAGTTTCTTTTGTCTGTTGGTAATAATAAGACACGAGTAGAATAAGAATAGCTACTGTATACAGTACTGCGTTACGCCGTCATATTCTTGGCCCTTGCTCTCCCTGGGGGCCGGAACCGGTAAGGCTGCAGCAAAACCACCCAACAGACGACTCCTCCGACATCCCTGCCATCCCTGACATCCCTGTGCACTGTGAGGCTGGGGCCGTGGCAGTGAAACGTTCGGGCGGTGCAGATGGAGCCAGTGGATCCCCGCAATGAGCCCGCGAAAGATCGTCGGATGTTTGAGAGCCCGTTCTCTGACGAACCCTCCAAGTGGAGGAGAGGAGGGGGTGTGCTCCAGTAGGGCTCCAGTAAAATCTTGGTTATGCTCCAGTCGGTATTTTGGAGTGGAGGACAAGAAAGATGGGCCTATCCTTTTGTTCACTCCTCTTTGTTCACCACGTTAGACCATTGAGGAGCGGTCTGGTAACGTGATGGAGTATACTTTGACGAGATAATCGATTATACAATTGCAAGTCGCGACTAGTTTTTTTTTTTTTTTTTTGGCTTTCTGGCTTAGTATTACTGAGTTCAACCCTGTTTTTTCTTAATTTTAATATTCTCAAGTTCTTGTTTTCCCTCTCATACTAGACTAAATTGGAAAAAGAGAGGGGTATAGAACAATCGTGAATCAAAATAGACAACCAGCGCCGACACATGCTTCCTTCAGCCCGACTCGTACCTGCGGTCATGCAGCACGACTAGACTATACTTGGATATAAGACAATACAGTTGGAATTGGCAGACCTCAACGCGTGATACAGAATGCGACAAGCCGCAATGCAGTCAATGCCAAACTAGACACCTCGAGAGCCGTCGTACTCCGTATAGTTGATTAGCCTCTGCGGGGTCGCTGTCAACCCCGCGTTACCTGATGCGTTGGCGATGCCATGCTGCTCAGCCCTTTTTCCTTGATTTCCGAGCCCCCTCTGCACGATCCGTGACACCCCGGTGAGCAAGGTGCCCGTCGTATGAGGAGCGCCAAAGAGATAGAGGGCTGAGAGCTGACGGACCCCCTCTCATCGGATCCTCGCAGGATACCCGCAGGCCCAGTGATTTCAAGGTGAGGCACCTTAGCGCGCGACCAGCTACCAGGTAACGAGGAGCGTGACCAGACTCGGTAGTATATCGTGCTGCTATGCGGGCTTTGCGCGACGGGATCTCATACCCTAATCCAATCATGCTTCTTTCATGTCCTGAAGAGTATCGCGCAACTCGAGAGCTTGGATCCCGGACGATAATCCCCTCTCCTTGGCACTGATTCCCTTCCTGCTTGTCAGGACTAGGAATCCACCAAGAATCCAAGCACGGGCAAGAGGGAAGAAACTCGACTGCCTAAACA